TGTATTACTTGTGTGTAAACAGTATGATACCTTAAGAAGTATGTACATTGTTAAGCACTTTAGATCAGCCTCATTACAGGCGTTTATAAGTATTATGTCATCTGATAATTATAATGTTATTCATGATACTTGTCAGTTTTTACATAAAGTTTATAAACACAGAATTGCATTCTTAAAGGAAGAGTGATATATTTGGTTCATCTAAACATAATGTTCAATGATATTTATAGTTCATTCAAACACACTATTTATAATGTAAAACAACATGTTCCACACTTTCTTGCAAAAGTATTAGGTCATCAGATAATTATGTTATTCGTGATACTGTCAGCATTTACATAAAGTTTATAAACACGGAACTGCACTCTTAAATGATGAGTGATATTTATAGTCCAATGAAACATAATGTCCCAATGTTAAACAACTGTTGGTAACATTTGAAACATGTACCACACTTTCTTGCATATGATTGTACATCTGCCTTTATATTAGCGTAAGCGCAGTACATGTTAATATAATCAAGCATGTATTATGGGCCTTTGGCCTTTTTACTGTAATAAAGAATCTGAATCTGAATCTGAAGAACAGTGTCATGTAATGGCTGCGGTCAGTAATGAACGGTGATGAAAGTGTTTATGGGAACAAGTGTACATGTAGATTTTACAATGCGTAATTGTAAGAATAAGTAGACAGTGGTGGATGGCAAACGACCTAACGGTGCTCAGTATTGTTTTGATGTCTTGTTGTTGTTCTTATCAATGGGTTTATGTATTTGGTTTGTTTTCTAAATTTGTGAGATATGTTTAGCGCCCTACCGGTACAGCAGGATGTGATTACCGTTTTCACGAACACCTGGTGTCATCACTGATTAAGGGAGATATAAGAACGGTCATGGTTAAACCGAACCAATTACGAATTATGTGTCAATATTGAAGTCGACCTCATAATCAAGCATTATGCAATCAGTGTTTTCGAGTAGTAAGATGTCTTTGGATGACATATTTGCTTAAATTGATGGTAGCAGATATTTGCTATCAAAACTGATTATAATGTACATCCAGTATGAAAGTACTGAGGGGCACAAGTGGCTCCGTTGTCTCAAGCGCTACTTTTCGCTGTGGACAGTTAGGCGTATTTAAGGCGTGCAAAATATTATCAATGGTACCAATCCAAGATTTGGCCTGTTTATGGTTTCTTTATTTGTCGGCACCCTACACGTGCCCATGGGTTCACCAAAGTAGTAAACATATAAGAATGCGTCACATTCCTCGCACATCAAGTCGGCACGCCGTGATAACATTGAAATAATGTTGAAAGCGAAATTAAACCAAACTCACTAATTCACTCGAAAGTATTGATGGGATGAAACTGTAATTTATCATATTTACTCACTGTTCACAAATTAAATCATTTACGTTGTCATTTAGCTGGTATTATGCTAACAGCGAAACAAAATGCAAACATTTATATAAAATATTACACACATTTATAAAAAAAATATTACCGTGTGCCGCGTCAAACAAACCAGACACACATACAAACAATAAGTTGGTTTTACGCCGCACTCAGCAATAATCCAGTTGTATGACGGCGGTCTGTAAATAATCGAGTCTGGACCAGACAATCCAGTTACTGATATCATGAGCATCGATCCACGCAATTGGGATCGATGACATGCTTCAACCAAGTGAGTGATGACACCAGGTATTTGTTGAAACAAAACACGATGTGTTAAAAGGCTGCGTACAGGACCAGAGGACTCACAGGTAAAAATAAACAATTTTGTTTTCGTTTGGGCCATTTTTAATGTCTCGGCCCAAACAATTCTTTGGTAGTTGACTCCGAGATTTCAGTTTAAGTAAATATAAATCAGTGGTGAAAATTATATGAATGGATCACTGAGGAGCAGTAATAACACCAGGTGTCCACGAAAAGGGAAACAAATTTATTTGCCCCAATCCACACATCAGTACTCCTGACATCTTCCTGACAACCGAGACTTGACCAGACAATCCAATGACAGTGAATCAGTAAGACGAGTTCTACTTACTTACTTACTTACTTTGGAGATTTAACGTGCGCTTTCCGACTGATGCGTATTTCGCACACGGGCCCGGCCAGGCCATTTAATGTGTTTCCGAAAGGGGCGAAAGTGGTCTGTGCAACCCAAGAGGGGGGGTTTAGGGGTTGCTTATATAGAATTTGGGAATTTTGAGATTTTGAATAGATGCCGATGGGGTAGGGGAGGAGAACTAAGGGAACTGGGTATGGTGGATGTTTGTTTGTTTATGTGATTTTGATTTGGTAGGTTATTGTGTTTTTAGATGCGTTTTATTAGTTCCGTTTTTATTAAGAATACGCCTAAGGCCTTGAAGTTTTCTAGTTTATTTTGTGGGTTTAGTATTGCTTCTAGAGTTAGAGCCTTGTTTAGATTGAGGGTGGTTTGTAATGCGGTTCGATGTGTTAGGTAGTGTGTGCAGTGGATGAGTGCGTGTTCTGGGGTTTCTGGTTGTTTGCAGTGTGGGCAGTTACCTGTAGTGTGTTTTTTTAATTTTTTAAGGTGGTTATTTAGGTTGGTGTGTCCTGTTTGGAGTTTAGTGATTACTCTGTCGATTTTTTTGGATGGATGGAGAATTTTTGGTTTGGTTAGTGGTTTGCTGAGCACTTTTTTGATTTGGCTATTTGAGTTTAGATATAGGTTATGCCATTTTTTTGTGATTTTTTGCTTGTTTACACTTTTAATTTCTGATTTTGAGATGGGTAAGTTTAAGCTTATTTCTGGGATTTTGAGGGATAGTTTAGCTGCTTTATCGGCGTTTTCATTACCGTATATTCCTACGTGGGCGGGTATCCACAAGAAGGTTATTTGTTTGCCTGCCTTAGTTAGGTCGTTGGAGCTTTTAAGTATTTGATTTATTAATTTAGGTCGGTTTTTGGTATTTTTGTTTTGGAGGGCTTGCAGTCCACTTAGGGAGTCGGTAAGTATTAGGATTTTTTTGTGTTTTTTGGATTCTTGATTATGGAGGGCTGAGGCCATGCCCATTAGTTCTGCCGTGAATATTGATTGGTTGTTTGGGAGTCGGAAGGATTGTGTGGTTTTAGTTGGTTGTGTGGTATGGACTCCGAAACCTGTGTGTTTGGAGGTCGGATCTGAGGATCCGTCCGTGTAAATGTGACACCAATTTGGCCAATTTTCGTGTATGTATGCTAGTGTGGTAGTTTTAGCTATGTTTGGGTCGGTTTGTTTATTTATTTGGCTAGCTAGTGTTGTGTCTATTTTGGGTATTTTAAGTTTAGGGGTGAAGATATTTGATTGTTTGCAGTTTTGTTTAAGATTTTTAATTTGGTGTTCATTTAGGTAGTTTGTTATTCTTTGGGATATTGGGGTAAGTAAGGGGTGTTTACGAGCTAGAGCTTGGTTTTTGGGGCTGATGTTTTGGTTTATTAAGTTTTGGATGAGAGGGTTTGATTGGGACGCGGCCAAGAAATTTAAGCTTTTCTGTTCCCTGCGTAGACTTAGTGGCAATTCTCCTGTTAAGGCCTGAAGTGAGGTGTAGGAGGTGCCATGTTGGGTGCGTGTAATTAGTTTGAGAGCCTGATATTGTATTGCGTCAAGTTTTTTAGATAGAGAGGGTGTTTAGGTCTTTACTGCATTTAGTTGTTAGGTTTTGGATTTGAGCATCCCAGGTGAGATGTTCATCGAAAATAAGTCCTAAGAATTTGGGTTGTTTTTGAAATTTGATAGTTTGATTGTTTAGCTGGAGGATTGGGGAGGCGGGTTTCATGTTTTTATGTTTGAATACTATTCCTGTTGTTTTTTCTGAGTTAAGGGAGAAGCCCCTTTTGTCAGCCCATTGTTGTATTTTATTAAGAGATTTTTGGAGTAAATTTTGGACCATGTTCATGCTTTTAGTGCGGATCCAGATGGCTCCATCATCCGCGAATTGTGATGTGTTTACTTTAGGGGATAGGCCCTCGAATAGATCGTTTATCATTATATTGAAGAGGGTGGGGCTGAGGATACTGCCCTGTGGAGTACCATTTTCTAGGGGACATTGGTTCGACGAGTTCTATGGATGAACAACTTCTTTATTACAATTAGTGCGACGTTTCGGTGTAGATCCTAACACCTTTATCAAGCAAGTGATGAATAGTGCTAAACAACATAGGTATATATTCTTATTAACATCAAAGTTTATACAGTAAATTGATTGATAGACACAGAGAGCTGATTAAGATAATTGGAAGCCAGTGGATGACTAATGAACACAGAGTCAACAAGCAGACTGATAGAGATGATGGAAGCCAGTGGATTAATTGGATGGACATAGGGATTTAGCAATTAGGTGATGGTAAGCAGGCGGGATGTAATAGCCTTGGTCTATGTTCATTGCTGGCTGGATCCTTTGATGTAGGTGGCTTCTAGGAGTCGCACTAGGAGTCGCACTAATTGTAATAAAGACGTTGTTCATCCATATAACTCGCCTTACTTCATCACACCAACTTCTAAATGCCACTGAAAGAAGACAGTGAATCAGACGTTCCAATGACATGGCAGTGCGTTTTCATTACAGATTTTGTAGAAGCTAAACACGATGTGTTAAAAAGCTCCTACAGGTGCAGAGATTGTGTTGCTCACAAGTGAAGATAAACACTGAAGACTTGTTTCGTTTTGGCCATTTAATGTCTCGGCCCAAACTATTCTTTGGTAGTTGGCTCGGAGATGTCAGTCAACCAGATGAAACACTGACACAGTTCAAGTAAATACAAAGCATCAACGCCAGAAAATAACCAGTCTCGATTATCTTTGGAAACAGATTCCACTGGGCGTAAAAGGCAAAGTTGTGGTGAAAATAATATTAATCGCTCACTGAACATCAGTGATGACATCAGGTGGTAACACTGCCCTACCTCACCTTTCGTTTCTTATCATGTCTACCTTAAATGACAAGTCCTTTATCTAGCTTCTGATTTGGTTGACCTTACACAGTATGTGGCAATGGTGGCCATCTGCAAAACTTCACAGATATTTATAACCACTGCCACTTCTGTTTGATGAAGGCAGTCATGGAAGTGACATGCTTACTGCTTTTGGTCTCTGCTGTTGGTACAACTGCAGGTGAGAAAGTCACGAAAGTGTTTTAGGTATAGAAACTTTGATTGTTGTGATAGGTGGATTGGGATGTAGAGAATAAGAAAAAGATTTTCCACATTTTGTTCACTCGAGATATATGATCCATTATTCCATGTATCGAGCACGTTTTTCCACCGATGAGTTTATGAGGCAGTGGGGTAATCCTAAATGAAACACAAGACAAAGTGATAGCTCTAGATTTTGTATGTTCTTTCTTAAACAGGTAGGACCCCGCACACTGGAAAGCGATTCATCGCATCACTGTTCTCAGTGTACCCAAATGGTAGGGATCGAGATGTTCCGGTTGTTTCCATTGGCCATGCGCGTGAAGGAAGCTGCACGCTAACCAACAGTGATGGCAATAGAACAGACATCCAGCTTCAAGGGAGTAACACCATCACACAATTTAGTCTGCCCTACATCGCGGAATTAAGTCTAGGGATAAATGTCGACAAACGTGCTATGGAACTTGAGTGCACTACTGATGTCTCCTTTTATATTTTCCTCAGAAGACACGTCAAAGTAGGTGCTTTTGCATATCCTGTACTTCCTTTGGAATCCTTGTCTAATAGGTACATCATACCATCAGTGCCGAATAACCCGATGTTAGGAATCGCTGCGATATCCGACAATACAACTGTCACAGTCGAATTTAAAACCAAGTGCACCTACCATTTCGGTTGGACGAGGTTGGAAGGGGGAAGTAGGTTTACTAAAGTCTTGAATAGGAGAGACGTGTTGCAGATAGCTGGACGTATTTTAACTCAGCGTGAATATTGCGATTTAGGAGGATCAATCGTTCAGAGCAGTGAACCCGTAGCAGTGTTCTCTGGATCACCCGGAATCTATTATCAAGGATATCTCAGTAAAACTGGCATGAGCCAGGTACCACCGGTTACAGCATGGGGGACAAAGTTTATTGTACCCCCGCCACTAGTTTCAGATATGTTTAGAATAAGTATCGTGGCAGCTTACAATGACACGACAGTTACCAGGGAATTACCAACTGGGGTCAAAACAGTTCATCTAAATGAATCCGAATTCTATGTCGAAAACACCAAGACAGGATTAGCGGCAGCATATATCCATAGCACAAAGCCGATACTTATCCAACAAATATTTGAAAAAGCTGCAGGTATTGTACCTGCTTTGGATGACTACGGTACTGAATATCTTATACCAGACCTTCAAACTGATAACCGAAAATACCAACGTCATGTTGTACTCGTCACCAGCGCTGACTGCACGTCACACATAAACGTCAATTCAACATGGACGTCACAGTTGAACACTTCGCACCAGGTCTCCTTCACAGGCTTCACAGATTCTTATAATTTGACCGCTATAAGAAGCAACTCTTCATCCTGTCCCTTTGCTGTGCGGGTCAGTGTTGACTCATCTTGGGAGTCACTTGGGTTCTTCGTTAGTCGACACAAGTTTCAAGAAGAAGGTTTGTTCTCTTTTGATACACAAATAACGAAAGAATCGAACGTTATCTTGCTTATAAGTTACTGAAAGTTTGAACTGTGTTTAAGTATTGTTCTAAATAGCAACTTGAAGTCAAATATTATCACTGTTGGCAAACAGTTTGAATGTTCATGAGACGCTCCTCCCATGAGGGCAAATATGATAGCGTGTTACGAGAATGGATGTTCAAACAATACTTAGATGTTCTGAAATCATCTGAGGACACCCTTTGTTATGGTCTATCTGCAGGCCTGCTAGATTCGGTAAACCTGACATGCACACCAGAGACTTGGCAGGTGACGGTGGACACACAACAACTACAGTATGCATACCCGACCTCTGTCCGTCAGAATATCTTCATGTCCAACACGTTTTGTCCTGGACTCCTTGACGGCGATGTCCTTGTGTTCAACTCCTCCTATGATGACTGCAACACAAAGACCAAGGTAGGAAATGGAAACAAATCACTTGCCACTGTATCCTGCAACATGTGTTTCTGGTAGAGAACAAGTTGTGATTATGGCGTGTGATGTGATCCGACAGCTTTATTAACCAGACGACAGAGGTCGGTTTATTTTATGGTGATGGTGACTTTGTGACAACATATATTAACAACTGCATTAATTGATCTGAAAAACATTACAGTTCACAGCTATGGATAGCTGGCATGTATATGAAATATATGTATTTGTCATGAATTGAAAAGCATACTAAACAGAAATAATCTCATGATCTCCTTATCCATGGGATTTTGGGAAAAGACTTGCCACACGTCATCATGTGATGTCATGAATGCAAATCCGAGAGCGCTGAAATCGTCGATGGTTCAAAGGGTGCCCCCCTTTCCTCAACGAATTGGCCTGCTTTAAAAATTCGGTTGTACGTCTATTGGGATATAAGAAAAATAGTTTTTGCTTTTTTGTGACGACAATATAAACGCTCAGCTTGTTCTACCTGCCATGTGTTTCAGGGAAGCAACACATCGATGACATTCAGCAATTACCTCATTGAATATGAAAGAGATCCCAAAACAAATATTGTTACTGGTGCAAAATGGCGTTACAACCTCGAATGTGATCTTCCCAAACGTGAAACTGCTGCTATCAGTTTTAATCCCGTCAACTCGAACGTGGCAACAATACAAACGGCAAGCACGGTAGCAGGACACGAGGCAGCCATTACGTTTTACAGCGACAACGCTTTCCAAACTAAATTGAAAGGAAACCCCTTGAAGGTGAACCTTGGCTCACGTGTGTATGTTCAAGTTGCAATGAAGCTGTCGGCCGAAGTCAAACTGTTGGTTGATAACTGCTACGTCAGTGAACATATACAGGGAGACAACTCTACTCGAGCTGCTCTAATTCAGGATAGGTACGTATCCTATTCCAGATATCCTTTTCATATGATAACATGTGTTCTGTGGACATTTATCAAACACTTCGCTTTCATTGGTCTATTGTGATCTAAGTCGTATCACACTGATAAACATTATTTTTGCAGAGGTGGTTATAAATCCTTAAACAGAACTACGTGTATACATTGCATAAGCACTTGTTAAAAGAGAACTAAAACAAGGAATTAAACAGTGGACTGGTTTTATTTCCCATTGGAGGACTACATGATCAACGAACCATTCCGTCGGGACAGGAGAACACACACTCAACCAGGTTATGCGCTGTGACCAACAAATACTCTAGCGCTCCTAACGGGCACGGTGTGTTGGGGGCATGTTTTACTCTAGAATTTCCATGGGGTTCGTTGATAGTATGTGCCTTTTATTACCTACGAGGGCAAACATATCGGGGTTCATAAAAATCATATGTGCCCTTGGGTCATATCACGTCACGAGACAACAGTGTATTGTCATACGGACGGCATTGTTGACGTCTCCGAATCTTATTGTGACGTGAGGTCAGAATGACGTCACACTAGAAACGACGTCATTGCTGAAGATCGTTGATGTCATTCGACAAATTGTGGTTCCACTGCTTTTGCGACTATAGGTAACACTAAAATCCGTCTCTGTATGTAGACATCCTCTTCGGTAGTAAATATAACATCATATTCGTGTTCATGTCATACTCTCGCTCGAGAAATACCGGGATTTAGACACTCGTGTCGTAAACATAGTATGACAAAGTCCACGTTAGTCCAACGATGTTCTTTATATCAGTTTCAGTTTCAACTGATATAAAGGATGTTGGACTCACGTGGACTTTATTATTTTAGTATATATTTATATATATGCATTCAAGTTCTTCCAACTTCCAGATGCCTATCAAAGACTTGAAGAGGGTAGTTTAAAAAAATAACACATTATTTTACTTCAGATGCGAAGCAAACCATTTCACCCACATCCTCGGCCATACGGACACGCTGGCACGTTTCTACTTCGATGTCTTCGATGTGCCCCATCACCATGACAGCATCTACGTCACGTGTGACGTCAGTTTCTGTCCACTCATGGATTTCACATCGGATTGCCAAGGTGGCTGCAACAAGACTGCGTCGTAGGGTACTGACAATAGGATAATAAATAAATAAGCAAAACAATATGTATGTTCTCTGTAATTTTTACCTCATAACATTCACGGTAGTTGATAAGATGCTATTAATGATGATTGTATCGTATACAGTGAAACTCGAGGTCCTGACGACTATCGCATGTCGAGTTATCCGACGTACAGTTCGGGACAAGTGGAGTAGGAACATTAGACCATCTGACCGTTAATTATTCTATGCGGACATTACAGCTGCATCGCCTTAAAAGATATATTGAGATAATGGAGTTAGTATTAAAATCATGGCAATGCCACATGGCACAGTGACAGCCTTTCCTAACATCGCTCTCGGTAGTGCATTAGAACAAATAATGATGAGCGATAAAGGGGTGGGTGGATGCGGTACCGGCAGCTGCAAGCATTGTCGCGTTGGGCCAGGACTGTATCTGTGGCTTTGTCATAAATGAATGAATGAATGTGAATAGCATGACTTCATAACCCTTTGACCGCCTCCGTGGTCCAGTGGATTGAGCTTCTGTCCGGAGAGAAGAAGGTCGGTGGTTCGATTCCCGACGGCGTCATACAAAAAGATGTCATAAGTAAAACTAGTCTTGTTGTTACCCTGCCTGCCGCTCGGAAGGTTCCCTTCCATAACGTAGACCTCACAAACAGCCAAATCTGAGATGAACGTTTATAAAATCTGTATAGTACATCTGTATAGTACATCTGACTTAACACGTCTTTTTGTTTTGTTATATCTTGATGTTTAGCTATGGGTCATTCCATTATCAATCAAGGTAACAGCATTGCAATTTTGTGTGTACTCAACCAGAAAAGTTGTTATTTTAAGGTGTCTAACAAATGGCTGTCTTACTAATGAAAGGGCACCGGAAGACCAAGAAGAAAAGATGATTATATTACAAATACTTGTCACCCCCCAATTATTATTTAATAGACCTTTCCAGCATTGAAATAGTTTAGCATGGCGACTCAGCCATCTACGATCTTCTGATAAGTATAATATACGAAAAGCAGCAGAAACGCAATCAAATTTCTCATTAAATAAAAACAACATATTTTGTTATCAAAACTAAAATTCGGATTAACAAAGAGCTTAACTATGCCTTGGCTTCTCACAATCTACTCAATCATATAAGTAATCATAACGTATTATTTCTTTTGTAATGAAAACATACAATTGGATTGAAATACCTACAATGATGAAATCAACCACCAAGACCCAGACATAGTTCCTCATCTTCAATCATTCCCTGGCATGAGAAGTTCCTTATACCGACAAAGAAAAGTGAACATACCATAAAAACATTTAAACATGAAATATAGGCGTACCAGGTAAGGATAGCATGGCATCCGGCGCACTTCACTGCATCATCTGGAATAAAACTTAACAGGGCTAGAAATCTGGAATACCACTTAACAAGGCTCGGCATCCGGAATACCACATAACAGGGCTAGGAATTCGGAATACCACATAACAAGGCTCTGCGTCCGGGGTACTGCACTACGATATCTGGAATACTGCTTAAAATAGCTCGGCATCCGGTGTTCAGCACTGCAACATTTCTGGAATACCACTTAACAAGGCTCGGCATCCGGAATACAACTTAACAAGGCTCGGCATCGGGAATACAACTTAACAAGGCTGGGCATACGGAATACAACTTAACAGGGCTCGGCATCCGGAAAACAACTTAACAAGGCTCGGCATCCGGAATATCACATAACAAGGCTCGGCATCCAGAATACAACTTAACAAGGCTCGGCATCCGGAATACAACATAACAAGGCTCGGCATCCCGAATACAACTTAACAAGGCTCGGCATCCCGAATACAACTTAACAGGGCTCGGCAACCGGAATACAACTTAACAAGGCTCAGCATCCGGAATACAACTTAACAAGGCTCGGCATCTGGAATACAACATAACAAGGCTCGGCATCCGTAATACCACTTTACAAGGCTCGGCACCCAGAATACCACTTAACAAGGCTCGGCATCTGGAATACAATTTAACAAGGCTCGGCATCCAGAATACGACATAACAAGGCTCAGCATCCGGAATACAACTTAACAGGGTTTGGCATCCGGAATACCACTTATCAAGGCTCAGCATCTGGAATACAACTTAACAAGGCTCAGCATCTGGAATACAACTTAACAAGGCTCAGCATCTGGAATACCACTTAACAAGGCTCGGCATCCAGAATACAACTTAACAGGGCTCGGCATCCGGAATACAACATAACAAGGATCTGCATCCAGAATACAACTTAACAAGGCTTGGCATCCAGAATACAACTTAACAAGGCTTGGCATCCGGAATAACACTTAACAAGGCTCAGCATCCAGAATACCACTTTACAAGGCTCGGCATCCAAAATACCACTTAACAAGGCTCGGCATCTGGAATACAACTTAACAAGGCTCGGCATCCGGAATACCACTTTACAAGGCTCGGCATCCAGAATACCACATAACAAGGCTCGGCATCCGGAATACAACTTAACAAGGCTCGGCATCCGGAATACAACTTAACAAGGCTCGGCAGGGAATACCACTTAACAAGGCTCGGCATCTGGAATACAACTTAACAAGGCTCGGCATCCGGAGTACAACATAACAAGGCTCAGCATCCGGAATACAACATAACAAGGATCTGCATCCGGAATACAACTTAACAAGGCTCGGCATCTGCAATACCACTTAACAAGGCTTGGCATCCGGAATACAACTTAACAAGGCTCGGCATCTGGAATACAACATAACTGGGCTCGGCATCCGGAATACAACTTAACAAGGCTCGGCATCCGGAATACAACATAACAGGGTTCGGCATCCGGAATACAACTTAACAAGGCTCGGCATCCGGAATACCACTTAACAAGGCTCGGCAACCGGAATACAACATAACAAGGCTCGGCATCTGGAATACAACTTAACAGGGCTCGGCATCAGGAATACAGTTTAACAAGGCTCGGCATCCGGAATACAACTTAACAGGGTTCGGCATCCGGAATACCACTTAACAAGGCTCGGCAACCAGAATACAACTTAACAGACTAGGCATCTGGAATACAACTTAACAGGGCTTGGCATCAGGAATACAATTTAACAAGGCTCGGCATCCAGAATACCACATAACAAGGCTCGGCATCCGGAATACAACTTAACAGGGTTCGGCATCCAGAATACAACTTAACAAGGCTCGGCATCTGGAATACAACTTAACAAGGCTCGGCATCCGGAATACAACTTAACAAGGCTCGGCAACCGGAATACAACTTAACGGACTCGGCATCTGGAATACAACTTAACAGGGCTCGGCATCAGGAATACACCATAACAGGGCTCGGCATCCGGATTACAACTTAACAGGGTTCGGCATCCGGAATACCACTTAACAAGGCTCGGCATCCGGAATACCACTTAACAAGGCTCGGCAACCGGAATACAACATAACAAGGCTCGGCATCTGGAATACAACTTAACAGGGCTCGGCATCAGGAATACAGTTTAACAAGGCTCCGCATCCGGAATACAACTTAACAGGGTTCGGCATCCGGAATACCACTTAACAAGGCTCGGCAACCAGAATACAACTTAACAGACTAGGCATCTGGAATACAACTTAACAGGGCTTGGCATCAGGAATACAATTTAACAAGGCTCGGCATCCAGAATACCACATAACAAGGCTCGGCATCCGGAATACAACTTAACAGGGTTTGGCACCCGGAATACCACTTAACAAGGCTCAGCATCTGGAATACAACTTAACAAGGCTGGCATCCAGAATACCACATAACAAGGCTCGGCATCCGGAATACAACTTAACAGGGTTTGGCACCCGGAATACCACTTAACAAGGCTCAGCATCTGGAATACAACTTAACAAGGCTCGGCATCCGGAATACCACTTAACAAGGCTCGGCATCCAGAATACAACTTAACAGGGCTCGGCATCCGGAATACAACATAACAAGGATCTGCATCCAGAATACAACTTAACAAGGCTCGGCATCCAGAATACAACTTAACAAGGCTTGGCATCCGGAATACCACTTAACAAGGCTCGGCATCCGGAATACAACTTAACAAGGCTCGGCATCCGGAATACAGCTTAACAGGGCTTGGCATCAGGAATACAATTTAACAAGACTCTGCATCCGGAATACAACTTAACAAGGCTCGGCATCCGGAATACCACTTAACAAGGCTCGGCATCCGGAATACAACTTAACAAGGCTCGGCATCCGGAATACAACTTAACAAGGCTCGGCATCCGGAATACAACTTAACAAGGCTCGGCATCTGGAATACAACTTAACAGGGCTCGGCATCCGGAATACAACTTAACAAGGCTCTGCATCTGGAATACAACTTAGCAAGGCTCGGCATCTGGAATACAACTTAAAAGGGCTCGGCATCTGGAATATAACTTAACAGGGCTCGGCATCCGGAATACCACATAACAAGGCTCAGCATCCGGAATACAACATAACAAGGCTCGGCATCCGGAATACAACTTAACAAGGCTCGGCATCCAGAATACCACATAACAAGGCTCGGCATCCGAAATACAACTTAACAAGGCTCGGCATCCGGAATACAACTTAACAAGGCTCGCATCCGGAATACAACTTAACAGGGCTCGGCATCTGGAATACAACTTAACAGGGCTCGGCATCCGGAATACAACTTAACAGGGCTCGGCATCTGGAATACCACATAACAAGGCTCGGCATCTGGAATACAACTTAACAAGGCTCGGCATCCGGAATACAACTTAACAAGGCTCGCATCCGGAATACCACTTAACAGGGCTCGGCATCCGGTGTTCTTCAATGCATCATCTGGAATACCACTTAACAGGGGCCGACACCCTCAATACTGCATGCACACCAATGCGAGCTCAATAAATGAACTTGGCTCGTCATACCGAAAACCAGGTTTCGATTCCCCCACATGGGTACAATGTGTGAAGCCAATTTTTCGGTGTCCCCAGCCGTGATATTGCTGAAATATTGCCAAAAGCGGCGTAAAACCATACTCACTCACACAATCAATAAATTAACACGTATACATGCTTGGTAGAAGGATACTATCTCCATCATTGCACTGTAATGATGGGAGTTGAAGAACTTAATATAGACATTACTACCACGCCAGTTGGGATATAAAGGTTATGAATACCGGTGAGGTCCAATGTGCAATTATTAACCTCTGGTGACGTCATCCCATTGTTCTATACGGGTTTTTCTCCTTTGAACTATTATCCACATGTATATCACTTTCCCACTTCACATTTCTGTAATCCCTTACTTGATAACAGTGTTAGTAGACACCGAAACGTCGCATTCATTGTAATAAACAAGTTGTATATCCATAGAATTATCTCCCTTGTTCATTATACCAACTTCTAAATGACACTTAAAGAAGTTTCAACAAATACTTGAATATACAAGACCTGCTTCCAGATTTCACTTCTTTCAAGACAGACCTAAGGTTTTACTTCGAAGCGACCTGTTTTGATCTCTTACTTTTGAACTATATTAATTAATTCACATATAATGTTGATGTGGCACTGATTATAAGTAAAAGATATTTTTCACATGAAAATTCCATAACGTGCATTAAACCTAGAACACAAATATAATGTTTTGTGTTGGAACCCAGTGTTTTTTCCCACTGAACTGTATTCTACGAAAGCCTAATGGTGCCACTCTGGTAACCTTATATATTTATTTTTAAATAGAAATTTCTCGTTATTTGAATTATTTGTTTATTTTCAAGAAATTAAGAATTTTTTTCTCTTTATTTCGATTATATTTTTGTAATTTTGACTATTTTCTCGTTACTTCAAGTTTATCAGTACAAAAACTCGAAGTTTTTCGAAATATATTCTCGTTATTTAAATATTTTTCTCGGTCTTTTCTCGTTACTTCGATTATTTTCTCGTAATCATCGGACAGGTGATGAAATTAAGTTTCACTGAGCTTATGGTTTTTGACAACTTGCGTCGCCTACCGGTTGGTGCACGTGCACGTTACTGCGAGAGTAAGTATGTTATATATATAATTAGTGAGCGTCAGACGAATCCATTTTAAACAGGGGTATGGGTATCACATAAATACAACATTTGATTAATTCGAGTATTAGTCTGAAAAGATGTCAGGTTATAAGATAGTTGACGAACTCGAATTCGGTTTTGGTGAGAGTAGTAATTAAGACACACCCTCCCCTCTCCCTCGGGTCTTACTTCTCCCATCAAGACCGCATTCTCGGTCGTGAAGCTCTATCACTATATGCTCCGCGAAAGAACAATGCTGTGCTTATGCCGTATGCTATTTCAAGTACGTGTACTTCCACGAAACACTGACCTCATGTCACTACGTTATCAGATTTCAATAACTGGTATGGCTGCTCGGTAATGACGCAACTTACCGTATCCGACGTAATAAGCGCCCAGGGCGCTCTCAAAATTAGAAATAAGAGGCTCTTATTGGAATATTATTTTGGTGAAAAAAGTTAATTTCGTAGTTTATGCTGACAGCCTGAAATGTTTATATACGACAGATATATTTTTCCAGGATTTAACTGCCCATAATTAAGGGTGCATATAACACACTAGTGCGTATTATACATGAATAAATAAGTCTTGTGTACATTGATCAATCGGAATGGGTGCTAATTTAGATTGCTCACTAGCCAATATATTAGCAAATATCGCCATGGGCGCTTATTAGAGCGGTGCGCTTATTACGTCGAATACGGTAGTTTTCCGTACCCTCGAATAGAGACGCCGGGTAAAGGCCAAATTTGAAGAACAGAGGCTAGGTTTCTAATGATCTTTAGTAGAATACTAAATAACTTATGTACATTTTAAACAAACATTTTACTCCTATCTTCTAAACAACCTGATGTAGCAATTATCTCGCCCAATACGATTAATATAATACGTTTAATATCGGTGCCATATGCATTGTAGATGCAATTACATATGGATTTTTAGGGGGAGAGGGTGGAGGAATACGGGCCGATGTCTCACCCGATATTCGACAGGGTTGTTTAAAAGACGCAGTACGGTAATATACAACGTGCAGACAACCTCCTCGGTTTTTTTCCAACACCTCCTGTTGACAAATATATAACAAATTAGAATGCGTTTCCATCGATCGTGTTTTCACATTACCATCATTACGATATTCTTTCATTTTTTAAATATGTATGTCGTGATACTTGTTGATCGATATGAATGTGAAGCATTCCATTCTAACCCCACATGGGATTTATTTATTGATTGATTCTCCTCTGTTCCTCTCCAAATCAATCTTCTCCCTCACAACATGGAATTATGTAAGTCTTAGGGAGACTCCCTACTCTACTCTCCCAAACAAAAGCAATTAAAACCCATTCAATTATCACGGGTCAGTTGAAATAATAAAGCAATTTAATTAGCGGATGCAAATAACGTGTTGTCAAAATTATCTCCCTTTATAGTTGGTCTCTTTCTACTTTCGGTTCTATTATCTGTCTTGTGACATTTCACATTCCAGTAACAGAAACTGAAAATGGAATTGACAGTTTCAGAGAACTGGACAGCTGTGATTAGCATGTAGCTGTGTTCATTTCAGTTCTGTAAATGCATCGAACAGGTAAGTCTTTTACAGCTCATACGACATTCCCCGACAAACCAGCTGGTCTCACAACTGGTTATGATGGTCATAGGCAAGCTATGCCTACAGGTTATAATAAGGTGTTGTTGTTTTTTTATGTTTGACCAAGTCGGACCTACAGTACGTTTGTGTTTTTCTTTTTCATACCAATGAAATCGAGTACCAATCCCAAGCATTTATGTTTATTAGAATACTGCAGGCGCCAACCTTGGGTAAACAGTAAACACACCTGTCCCTCTCCCGATCAAAAAAAAAAATGAACAAATATCTATTAATTAATTGCACCCTGTTTTAAGTGCATCCATTTCACTTGTAATTCAGCCTTAAATAAATGATTAAGAACTTACATACTTACAATATTACAACTTACAACTACCTAACTGGCTATAGAGACCTTCAAACTTCTTCTTCTGCATGTCCCCATTACCACATACTGAAAAATGTCACTTGCCAGTCACACAAAGCTCAATGCTAAGGCATTCATTACCAGCAAGTAGACCTGTTTACATTAGAGTAGGGCCTAGCATCCATGTTACCAATGTTAGGATATGGTGACATCAAACTTTAACTCGCTCCATGAGCAGGTTGGTACAGCCCAAAAGATATGTGTTTGTATGTGTCATTTCATAGCACCCTTATATAGATATAAATCATAATATATATATAAATTTTGATGTTTTTCTTTAGGATAAAATTGTATCAATGTGTTGTAAGTGTGACTTAAGTAGTTAAGGACTATTAAAGATACTTTTATGAAATAATGTTTTTCTGTATGCATATGTAACAAATGTTATATTTGGGATAACACTTTCATAGTAAAGTACAGATACTTGTACTTTATAGGGTTGAGTCCCATATGGGATTCAAAACCACACTGCCAGAGTGAGGCACCTAATTACCAGCACACAAAAGTCAGTGATCAAACCCACTCAGCCACCAAGACTTTCACAAAAATGAAAGTCCGGCAACTGGTTATCAATAATAGTCCTAGAATATGTAAGTAATCCAAAAAAGTCCTAGAATGTGTAATCTGTAAAGTGTTATCCCAAATATAACATTTGATCACTGTGTTTAAATTAGCATTTGAAATGGTGGGGAAATGTATGCAGAGGGCAAGAGAATGTAGATTGATATTAATTGTTTTCATCTAAATTCTGTTTGTAGATTGGTCACATGTTGATGTATCAAATGTATCATCATGATGGCTAATAACTCCACAGTATTTCTTGCTTTCATGTTTCCTGCCATATAGCTGCTATGAAATAAAGTCACTTTGCATTTTTTTTACACTCTTTAGATTCAAATCGATATGGTACAGTAAAAGAAAATTTCATGTGATCTCATTTGCAGATGATGTTGAAATTATGGAAGGTCCACTTACCAGCTCCTTAAGGGGTTTGGAAGGGGAAGCAATTGCAGATGGACAGGGCAATGCATAGAACTGTTCACCATGGTTACTTGGAAAGTGACTCAGTAGTACCGGTAAGTATGAAGGACAATTGAGGTCTACTCACTCAATCACTCATTCATAAACTCACTAACTAACTTATTAACCACTCGACATGGGTACAATGTGTGAAGCCCATTTCTGGTGTCCCCCGCCGTGATATTGCTGGAATATTGCTAAAAGCGGCGTAAAACCATACTCACTCACTATTAACCACTCAATTAACCTTACCTTTAAGAGGTAGTTTAAGAAAATATGTACCATATTCACCATAATAAGCACAATAGGAGCTTAGAAATTGGACTGATGGGCACTCAATAAAACCATACACAAGTTAGGTTTGTTTCAGAGCTCGAGTGGCAGTGAACAAAGTTACTTCAAACATCCATGATAAAAAAAATAATATATACCCCTTCTTCATATTTACATGGGCTGTCGGGGCGGTCGGGTAGCCTAGTGGTTAAAGCGTTCGCTCGTCACGCCCAAGACCCGGGTTCGATTCCCGACATGGGTACAATATGTGAAGCCCATTTCTGGTGTCCCCCGCCGTGATATTGCTGGAATATTGCTAAAAGCGGCGTAAAACCATACTCACTCACTCACTCACTCACTACATGGGCTGTCAGGTAGCCTAGTGGTTAAAGCGTTCGCTTGTTACACCAAAGACCCGGGTCCGATTGCTGACATGGGTACAATGTGAAGCACATTTCTGGTGTCCCCCACCGTGATATTGCTGGAATATTGCTAAAAGCGGTTTACACGCCTGCGCTCCTGTTTTCTGGAACAGATGTGTTACATACACAAGGAGTGTGAGTGAGTTGGGTTTACGCTGCTTTTAACAGTATTACAGTTATATCGTGGCGTGTCAGCTTAATGTGGGAGGAAAGCCCGAAGTGAAGCAGGTTCCAGACGTTTACCACTTCGGTGAAACCCATGAGCACGGGTATGGTGCTGACAAACCTAGAAACATAATCGGGGTGAACCAGGATTTGAACCCACAATCATAGGTTTCTGGCGTGCCCAAGGGACGCAACTCTGCACAGCGAATCACGGCGCCCTAGACGACTGGGCCACCCGTGCCCCCACATACACAAGGAAATATGCACAGTCATGTAAATATTTTGGTCTTAGTTGGTGGCACTTACTAAGATTACTGACAGATTGGTCTCGAAAGTTAATCAAGGGGCGGTATTATAGTTAATAAAATCTTGTTTGTTAAAACTGTGCAAATGTTGTTCAAAATGACAATAACCATAAGAATGACGGTGTCAACAGTTGAGTTGCAAGTGGTGTCTCAAAATAACCTTCATCTCTAATTATATGGTCTTGTACAAACATCTGGCATAACTGCAGTTTGAAAAAGTATAAAATGTAAAGGTAAAAGTCATACCAGTCATTTTACCACTTACCGTATTCGACGTAATAAGCGCCCACGGCGATATTTGCTAATATATTGGCAAGTGGTTGGTTGGTTGGTTGGTTTGTTGTTTAACGCCGCACTCAGCAATATTCGAGCTATATGGAGGCCGTCTGTGAATATCCGAGTCTGGACCAGACAATCCAGTGATTAATATCACGAGCATCGATCCACGCAATTGGGATCGATGACATGAATCAACCAAGTCAGCAAGCCTGACCACCTGATCCTGTTAGTCGCCTTTTACGACAAGTATAGTCACCTTTTACGGCAAGCATAGGTTGCTGAAGACCTATTCTACCCCGGAATCTTCACGGGTCTATTGGCTAGTGAACAATCCCAATCAGCACCCCTTCCGATTGATCAATGTACACAGGACTTATTTATTCGTGTATAATACGCACTCCTGTGTTATATTACCCTTAATTATGGGCAATTAAATTCGTGAAAAATATATCTGTCGTATGTAAACATTTCAGGCTGTTAGCATAAACCACGAAATTTATGATCTTTCAACTCAAAATAATATTCTAATAAGCGCCCCCTATTTCTAATTTTTGAGAGTGCCCTGGGCGATTATTACATTGAATACAGTAAGCTGTAACAACCATGAGTTTCCAGGGAGTTATCTCCCCCTATACAGGCCAGTACTCACACACAAATCTGCAGCAAATATCAGTAGAATTCCCAAATTGGAATTACATCATGCTATTATAGTTAAAACATATGTCATCCAATAAGGAAGGAGTGGAATCAATGTTTTATTTTTCATTTTTGCACTAAATGAAATGTTACAATACAATATTAACATACCTTTAAAGTTAGGAAAATAAGAAGAAAAAAATAATTCGCCAATTTGAGCAAAATAAGATTTTGTAAACTATTTGCTTGCCAAGGGCACATAGTATTGAATCACAGGTAAATCTCAGGTTTCAATGATCACTGATCAAAGCTTATCTAAACTGTCATAATGATTACAGGAAGTCCAGTGAGAGATTGATAGCTGATCATCCTGATGCTGACGTGGTTACCATGTATAATAGACCTCACATAACAACAGTACACCCGAGTGCATGTTGATAGGCTCAGGACGGTGAACGTCACAACATGTCACCTGGCAAAATGTCAGACGTTATTTGATATGGCTCTAAAATCAATACGCAGTTGGGAGTAGGAAGTTGCATGTCAGACCTGTAATCAGTTGATCGTTAGGCCACTTAGACTTGTCTTGTTTGTCATTACTTGTATTTTATGAATGGGAAGTAGATACTATTATTTTATTTTTGGGTTAACCACTTCAACCAAAATTTAAAAAATAGTTTGCAAGTTTTCTGAACAATAACAGTTAGGGATCATAAATATGTTTTAGGTTATTTACAACATTTAGGATGGTTTGGGTGGGTTGGTTGGTAAGTGACAAGAAATCAAAATGTTTTTTCATGTGGCCTGACTGAGATAAGTGTATGTTTGGAAAACAGAAAGTGAAAGTAAGACATAGAAAGAAAACTGAAAATGTAGCTCTTAGAACTTGAATAAGGTATTTTAGCTCACCTGACAGAAAGTCAAGTGAGCTTATGTTATGGCCTGTTTGTCCGTCGTCAGTCTTGTATCATCTGTCGTAAATGTCTTCTCCTCAGAAGTTGCAATTAAACATTAACTTGTTCCAACCAATGATGACACCCCATTTTGTGCAAGAGGTTTACGATTATGATTTTCAGTATGGCCGACAAGGCAGCCATTTTGAAAAACCTGTTTATGTCCATTGCTCTTTCAATTTTGTACAAAATGTTATGATATTTAGTACATGTGTATTAATTAGTGGGGGTCAACATATCTGTTCTGTTTTTTTGTGATATTTTATGTTTTTGCTTTTATCTGAACTTTGCACTTCAACCATACTGCAAGTTAAACTTCCAATGGCTATAACTCTTTTATTTCCAGCTGTTATAGACCCGTGAAGATTCCGGGATAGAATAGGTCTTCAGCAACCCATACTTGCCGTAAAAGGTGACTATGCTTGTCGTAAAAGGCAACTAACGGGATCAGGTGGTCAGGCTCGCTGACTTGGTTGATGCATGTTATCGTATCCCAATTGCTCATGATATTAATCACTGGATTGTCTGGTCAAGACTCAATTATTTAAAGACCGCTGTCATATAGCTGGAATATTGCTGAGTGCAGCGTTAAACAACAAACCAACCAACCAATCCAGCTGTAATAAAATTGGCTATGTGTGTAGTTCATAGTGGGGATCAACACATGCGTGTAAGCATGTTTTTGTTCCGCCCAAATTTAGTTCAGACCTGGAAAAATATCAGGATTAAATACATAAAAATACAGTGAAAATGATCTGACCCTGTAGTGAAAAGTTGTGGTTGACATGAACAAATGTAAGTATGTGTGTGTTTATGAGCAATGTTCCTGTATATATTGTTAATGTGCAACATGAAAAAGTGGAAACTAAGACATACAGTCGCAATACAAATAAACATAATCTAAAAGAAATACAAAGAAATTGATGAAAAATGAAAGCATGATACAAATCCTGATAGTTAATTAATGATCGAGGCAAATGTGAAAACATGTAATTATAACAGAACCGGATAGAATGCAGAGACCAAAACGCAATCGAATTTAGAAGTACTGCTGCAAGAGAATTCAACGAAATGACTGTGTTTATGTCAAAAAGGCAGTCGTCAGTGAAAACTGTCAGGATAAACAGTAAAGGAGAAAAGAAAAAACAAATTTTACCATGGTAACAGATATATTTAAAATCATATTTCTAAAGATTTTTTGTATTTTAAAATGTTAATGGAAATGTCAAATAGGAATTTTTACACATAGAGCATTTGACCATGTTGACCGGAACAAATATACTGCAAGTTTTTGTCCCATGGTTAACATTCATGTATCCTGTCTCTCCTCCATCCCATCACTAGGTAGAACATGGGTGTGAAAGTTCCTGTATGACTGGAACAAATGTCAGTGTGATAAGATTGAGTGAGTTGGGTTTAACGCCGCTTTTAACGGTATTACAGTTATATCACAGCGTGTCAGCTTAATGTGGGAGGAAAGCCCGAAGTGATGCAGGTCTGAGACATTTACCACTTCGGTGAAACCCACGAGCATGGGTATGGTGCTGACAAACCTAGAAACATAATCGGGGCGACCCGGGATTCGAACCCACAATCATAAGTTTCTGGCGTGCCCAAGGGACGCAACTCTGCACAGCGAATCGCTGCGCCTTAGACAACTGGGCCACCCGTGCCCCCCAGTGTGATAAGAACCAAAACTTGATGCAGTATGCACCTCCAAAGGAACAAGTGTTGGTAGTAAACGTATATATGCACATAGAACCAATCTTGTTTACATGCGTTCTTTTTTTTTTGCAACATCTTACAATGTGGTCTTTGTTGGACCATTGCACATTGACCATGCTCCTAAATTCTCTGAAATGCATTTTGTGCAGCTATGCATCCGAAAAAATAGTTGAGTTTGCTTCACGTTAGTAGAAGAGACTGATTTGGGTCATGTGTATGTATAAAAAATGGTGTTAAAATTAATTAGCCTGGCAACAACTGGCTATTATGTAATTGTTTTATATTTTGTGATGCAAATTGCATTTTTCCTGCTTCTATTGTTTTGTTTGTTATTCAACAGAAACTTATAATTCCTTTTATTAATGAAGTAACCAATGTGACAAGACTTTGAGAGAAAAGGTTGTTTCTTAGGAAATGCGTTTGGTCAGGACCCTTGAATCAATAAAATTATTACGTAATTTAATTTTGAAACACAAACATTTGTCCATGTAGCCAATGACTGAAACTGAAATTAACCAATGTTTATCCCAATGCATTGAGTAAATGGAAGTAACTTACTTCGTTAGTGTTGGGGGCACGGGTGGCCCAGTCGTCTAAGGTGCCGCGATTCACTGTGCAGAGTTGCGTCCCCTGGACACGCCAGAAACCTATGATTGTGGGTTCGAATCCCAGTTCACCCCGATTATGTTTCTAGGTTTGGCAGCACCTAACCTGTGCTCGTTGGTTTCACCGAAGTGGTAAAAGTCTGAGACCTGCATCACTTCGGGCTTTCCTCCCACATTAAACTGGCACGCCACGGTAAAACTGGAATAATGTTAAAAGCGGCGTTAAACCCAACTCACTCACTCACTCACTCGTTAGCGTTGTCTGCCAGCTGTCAAAATGGCGGAATCAAAGTGGTTTGATAGGTGAAACTTCAGACATATATTCCGGGTCTGTATGAGGGAATGTCGGTGAGATAAATTCGTTGTCAACGGTGGGATGGTGTGAGTGATGGTGGTGTGATGTACCCTGTGTGTAAGACTATGTACTCTGATCTGTCAGGATTGATGGGAGGGAAATACATTTCTGAGAATAAATCCCTTATACCCTGCCACGAAAAAGACAGACTGCAATGGATTTGTCAGCAGGCGAATAAATCCATTATACCCCACTTTAAAGCAAAAAGCCTCACACTTTTTCCAAGTCAATGAAAGTCAAGTTTACCTCAGCGCAATCGAACAGCTGTAATTTGTTTTTATTCTTGCAGATATATTTGTTCTAGCAGTATTACTCGGGGTACATGGGGTTTTATGCGTCCCGCGTTAGGTTTTATGCTTCCAGCTCATGGTATAATACCTTATTTAGAAGGCCTAAAACCACATGTAGCCAGAGGTTTGTTTGTTGTTTGTTGTTGGTCTAAAACTTTTAGTTGCTATCGCTGTATAGATGTGTTCAAATGGCCTTCAAGATCCAACCTCCAGCCTCCGTACTTTGATAGAAGACATCAAGAAATTAGACGATGACAGGGTGCACTATTTTGCAAAACTGGCGACTGTCATTCCAAGACTACAAGGTAAAGATTTGAGCTGTTAATTCCAAGATTTCACAGTAAAGATTTGAGGTTTATATTCCAAGAATATGAATACAATTGTTACACCTGAATTAGTCATGTGACACCACCCACTTGTCTTTTCTGAAGTTCTGTCTGCACAAAGTGCTTATATGGGTAGTTTTATATATTTCCTAACTAGACTAAGTTTTGTTCATCATTTTCAGATTAAGTATTTCTCTTTTCTAATGAAAACGAGCATAAGTAAAACAAGATGTGCAATATAATGGGGTATTGGCGGTAACTGGTCCTCAGCAATAACTGGTCAGGAGTCCGTGCCTGCTATCCACCCCCAAACTGAAGAAATTAACATTATTAGCACCAACATTGGAAGTGCTCCCTTATGACTTGTATTTCAGTCTCGGGCTAAATCTAAATAAAAATTCAAAACCCCTAACCCCATCATTTTGACCAATGGCAGTCTGGTCCTGATGAGATTATTTAATACAGGCCACTGAAATATCACTGACTGCGGCATAAAACATCATTCACTCACTTACCCACTTGCAATAATAATGTGTAAACTTGTGAACTTGTTCTATTTACATTTGCATGCGACTTATCCAACTTGGTCATTAGCTGTATTGAGGCAGCATACAAAAGTAACTCATTTTATTCATTAAATCATTTCCAGAAAGGCTCACAATACCCAAAATTACTTCATTCTGAGCAGATAGTTTCTAATTTCTTTGTAACTTGTTAAATATTTACTCTGCACCATATCCGGTAAATTTACATAACTTAGACACGAAATAGAAAAAGAGCATACGTGTTGCTTTTTCAGACTGCACACACTGTGACGGCATCGACATTCCAGAATCTCCACAGTTCTGGTCCCAAGTACTGGACCTCCTGGTGAAACAGAAGGAATGGCTGGCTGTGGATTTCCTTGTCCAGCCAAGGACTGGACATCGGGCATCACTAGACGGCCGAGCGGCCACCCTGCCGACCACCGATATCTGTATAGCCAGCATCCTTGGGTCCGTGAATGATGTGGACCTGAGCGTCTGGGGTATCCGACTGGCCATCACACTCCTGGAGAAGGGCACGCCTATAGAGAGTATTGTAGATGAAGACGGGGAACCTCTGATGATAGCTGCAGTCAGATCAGCTACCAGATCAGGTCAGTTGGCCCATGATGATGTATGCGAAACTATAATTATTTAACTGTTGGAAAAGTAGCAGGGAGTGGGGGTCATCCTTCAGATAATATAAAAGTCGGGAGCTTGCTGAGGGGGTTAACCTCTTGAGCCACAGAAATAATTATCGTTAGTCTGTGCCAAAACATTTGACTGTGTTTTTCTCTCTGCATCATTTTGAGTAGATTGTAGTGTTATTTTATGGACGGTTATTAGCTGAGCTTACTAGACCAAACAGACTCTGGCTTCGGACTATTGTGGCTATAGTCACAGACTGGTGTTATATATATCATTCCACAAATACATTTCTGCATTCTGAAGGCCTTTTTGGATTCTGGGTCAGATACAGTCCACACACAGTGTATCATGCTTGTTGAATGAATGACCCCAAATGGGGATCAGGTGCTGTGACTTGACTGATTGTCTTCCATCGTACCTAGATGGTGTGGAATGTTGCTCTTGTTTCGGCCACTGGTCCGCCTGGTCAAGTTGCAACTACTTAATGGCTGCTCTCATGCTTCTGGAATATTCCTGAACGTTACGCAACAATCAGATGACAATATATTTGATGAAGAAAGTATTTATTATTTATGTAACTTGTAGTTCTAATTGAAATACTGACAGTGTTTTGATGCCTTTGTTATCGTAATTTTACAGTTGTGGCAATTTGTTTTGGAAAGAAATTCTGACAAGCAAAAGAGAGTTTTGTAGAATTCATTGACACCAAGGGAGCTTGACATTTGATGCTTCATAATCGTATACTAGGACATCATGTTTATCATATCACACTGTTGTATCTAAGACACATGTAAATGTTTCTGGAGTGTTGGAGGGTGGTAATGTAGCCAAGTGGTTAAAGCGTTTGCTTGCCACGCCAAATGCTCAGGTTCAATTCCCCACAGTGTACAATATGTGAAGCCCATTTCTGGTGTCCCCGTTGTGATATTGGTGGAATATTGATATGAGTGGTGTAAAACTAAACTCACTCACTCATGCAAGAGAGTGGTCATATCTGTCACTTAGTCGGGGACTTAGTTCACTGAAAATCTTTCCTCATTCTCTGCCAAGTACATTTTTAGAAAAACTATCACTTCAAATTCATCATTTCAAAGCTTGCCATACAGGAATGAATTGAAAATGATACATATGTCTTACAATAATTCTAATGCACTGGGGGACACACATGGCCAATCGTGAAAGGCATTTTGCTGCACAGTGTTGTGTCTCCTTGTATCAGTGATTATGGGTTTCATCCCAGACTGATCCGTGATCTGCCTACACTTGCTTGTGGGTTTCCCTAAAGTGGTAGACGTGAATAACGTACACTGAAGCCTAAAGGCATCCATATGTGACTTTGTGTGGTTTAACACTGCTTTGAACAGTATTTCACTTTAAACACATCAAATCAGTTTGATTTTGGAAGAAACCATGAACTGATACAGATGTTACTGCTTTGGTGAAATCCATGACAACATGCTGGCAAACCGTGAAACATGATCAGTTAGACTTTGGAATGGAAACCTTGAGTTGTGGCATGTCTAAGGGACATAACTCTGTGTAGCGCATCCAGTCGTGCCTCCTCACAACTGTGTAATGAATAATCTTTACCACTCCTCTGATCGTTAACACATGTGACAACTCATGTATAATAGATATAGTTGTATTTTTGTCTGAGACAGATGTTTTTCCATATTATTACCTCCACACCACACCACATCACACCACACCACACCACACCACACCACACCAAAACATGCCTTTCATAATTTGCGAGTGATTTCTAACATCTAAGCATTGAAAAAGAACAATATCAAGCTGACTTGTTGTCCATCATCAAACTGTCAGCCCTACACAGCTGAAATTTTGTATTATTGAATTTTCCTTTTATGGAACCATGCCGAAATCTGAAACTTTTTATGGCCATTACACAGGCATGTTTTTTCAAAATGTAAATTTGGGATATCTGTATGTCGTAGTGGGGCTGAACATGTATCTTCCTTTTCTCACAATGTTTTTAATTTTTGCCCTTACAGTAAAGTACGTTTAAGACAAACACAGGTATAATGAACTGATGGATATGACAAACGTATTTTTTTATCCTAGTCGTTTGCCTATATGCTGTATATATTATGCTTATAACAAACTACGGTTACAATGAACTAAAATAAGTGGTCCCTTTGAGTTCGTTATAACCGTAGTTTACTGTATTTCATATTTGACGTTGCTACTAAAAATGCATTTCCTCGCACTGTAAACATCAACTCCTCACACTGTTAACATCAACTCCTCGCACTGTAAACATCAACTCCTGACACTGTAAACATCAACTCTTAGCACTGTAAACATCAACTCTTCACACTGTAAACATCAACTCCTGACACTGTAAACATCAACTCCTCACACTGTAAACATCAATTCCTCACACTGTAAACATCAACTCCTCAAACTGTAAACATCAACTCTTAGTACTGTAAACATCAACTCTACGCACTGTAAACATCAACTCCTCACACTGTAAACATCAACTCCTCACACTGTAAACATCAATTCCTCACACTGTAAACATCAACTCCTCACACTGTAAACATCAACTCCTCGCACTGTAAACATCAACTTTTAGCACTGTAAACATCAACTCTATGCACTGTAAACATCAACTCCTCAAACTGTAAACATCAACTCCTCACACTGTAAACATCAACCCCTAGCACTGTAAACATCAATTACTCACACTGTAAACATCAACTCCTCACACTGTAAACATCAACTTCTGACACTGTAAACATCAACTCTGTAAACATCAACTCCTGACACTGTAAACATCAACTCTTAGTACTTTAAACATCAACTCCTCACACTGTAAACATCAACTCCTCACACTGTAAACATCAACTTCTGACACTGTAAACATCAACTCTGTAAACATCAACTCCTTGCACTGTAAACATCAATGCCTCGCACTGTAAACATCAACTCCTCACACTGTAAACATCAATTCATCACACTGTAAACATCAATTCCTCACACTGTAATCATCAACTTCTCACACTGTAAACATCAACTCCTCGCACTGTAAACATCAACTCTGTAAACATCAACTCCTTGCACTGTAAACATCAACGCCTCGCACTGTAAACATCAACTCCTCACACTGTAAACATCAATTCATCACACTGTAAACATCAATTCCTCACACTGTAATCATCAACTTCTCACACTGTAAACATCTATTCCTGACACTGTAGACATTAATTCCTCACACTGTAAACATTAACTTCTGACACTGTAAACACCAACTCCTCGCACTGAAAACATCAACTCCTCACACTGTAAACATTAACTCTGTAAACATCAACTCCTTGCACTGTAAACATCAACTCCTTGCACTGTAAACATCAACTCCTCACACTGTAAAACATCAGCTCCTCGCACTGTAAACATCAACTCCTCGCACTGTAAACATCAATTCTTCACACTGTAAACATCAACTCCTCACACTGTAAAACATCAACTCCTCGCACTGTAAACATCAACTCCTCGCACTGTAAACATCAATTCTTCACACTGTAAACATCAATTCATCACACTGTAAACATCAATTCCTCACACTGTAATCATCAACTTCTCACACTGTAAACATCTATTCCTGACACTGTAGACATTAATTCCTCACACTGTAAACATTAACTTCTGACACTGTAAACACCAACTCCTTGCACTGAAAACATCAACTCCTCACACTGTAAACATTAACTCCTGACACTGTAAACATCAACTCTGTAAACATCAACTCCTTGCACTGTAAACATCAACTCCTTGCACTGTAAACATCAACTCCTCACACTGTAAACATCAACTCCTCGCACTGTAAACATCAACTCCTCACACTGTAAACATCTACTCCTCGGACCTTCAACAGCATCTCCTCAGAAACCACTTGACCAATGACTCTGAAACTCACATACTTGTTCTGACCAGTGATGACAGTTGAATTTGATCAAATGGTTTCAATCCAAAAAATTTTGGTATGACCACCATGACAGCTATACTGAGAAAGCTATATGTGGCCACCTTTCTGCCATTTCTTCTCAAAATGTGAGGCTCTTAAATCCTGTTTCTTCTTACTTTGGCCATGCTTTTACATTCTCTCAAAATGCATTTTATGCTCCATAGACACCAATCTCATTAAAATCAGATCTAGGTTCTCGCTGCCACTAAACAAAGATCTTAGGACATCCCATTACGGGTCACGGAAGAACAACCTTTCGGGAACTTTGACCTACCACTGAAATGACTGACAAGAAGTCGACATCAACCAATAAGGAAGCAGCTTTCTCGAGCTTTACGGCACTCGTTTCAACCTGGCTACTCCAGGAACAGTGTTATATGACACTTCTGTTTTATATTTTGCTCTGAAAATCCCATTTGAGCTACAGAGACAAAGGCTTTCACTTATTTGTCAAGTGAAATATTTGGGGTTTAGATAATGAAAATATCAGAGAGCTAGATTTTTTTTATAATTCAGTTTACAGTCTCTATTATTCCACATGCATGAAGCAGCTCACCATGTTGCAGGTAATCTTGACCTGATGAAGTATGTCCTGGAGAGACAGCCCGACCTTATCCTGCAGATTGACCAGCCCGACAGTCAGGGGGACACCCCCCTCCATCTGTGTGTGAAGAGTCCCTCCCTGAGTGTCACCCACAGGCAGGACCTGCTTCAGCTGCTGCTGGGGCTAGGATGCTGTACCAGTGTCCAGGACAGTCGAGGGATGACCGCTGTGCAGTACCTGGACACTGAGGATCCAGGACATCAACTGCTGGAACATGCATCCCGATATGCAGGTATTGTGTAGGCATTCAGTTCAGCATGCATCACAATAAGCAGGTGTTGTGTAGGCATTCAGTTCAGCATGCATCACGATATGCAGGTATTGTGTAGGCATTCAGTTCAGCATGCATCACGATATGCAGGTATTGTGTAGGCATTCAGTTCAGCATGCATCACGATATGCAGATATTGTGAAGGCATTCAGTTCAGCATGCATCACGATATGCAGGTGTTGTGTAGGCATTCAGTTCAGCATGCATCACGATATGCAGGTATTGTGTAGGCATTCAGTTCAGCATGCATCACGATATGCAGGTATTGTGTAGGCATTCAGTTCAGCATGCATCACGATATGCAGATATTGTGAAGGCATTCAGTTCAGCATGCATCACGATATGCAGGTGTTGTGTAGGCATTCAGTTTAGCATGCATCACGATATGCAGGTGTTGTGCAGGCATTCAGTTCAGCATGCATCCTGATATGCAGGTGTTGTGTAGGCATTCAGTTCAGCATGCATCACAATATGCAGGTATTGTGTAGGAATTCAGTTTAGCATGCATCACGATATGCAGGTATTGTGTAGGCATTCAGTTCAGCATGCATCACGATATGCAGGTATTGTGTAGGCATTCAGTTCAGCATGCATCCTGATATGCAGGTGTTGTGAAGGCATTCAGTTCAGCATGCATCATGATATGCAGGTATTGTGTAGGCATTCAGTTCAGCATGCATCCTGATATGCAGGTGTTGTGTAGGCATTCAGTTCAGCATGCATCACGATATGCAGGTGTTGTGTAGGCATTCAGTTCAGCATGCATCCTGATATGCAGGTATTGTGTAGGCATTCAGTTCAGCATGCATCACGATATGCAGGTGTTGTGTAGGAATACAGTTCAGCATGCATCACGATATGCAGGTGTTGTGTAGGCATTCAGTTCAGCATGCATCACGATATGCAGGTGTTGTGTAGGCATTCAGTTCAGCATGCATCCTGATATGCAGGTGTTGTGTAGGCATTCAGTTCAGCATGCATCACGATATGCAGGTGTTGTGTAGTGAGTAGAGGAAGAATCACGATATGCAGGTGTTGTGTTGTGAGTAGAGGAAGAATTAGATATGCAGGTGTTGTGTAGTGAGTAGAGGAAGAATCATGATATGCAGTCGTTGTGTAGTGAGTAGAGGAAGAATCACGATATGCAGGTGTTGTGTAGTGAGTAGAGTAAGAATCACGATATGCAGGTGTTGTGTAGTGAGTAGAGGAAGAATCATGATATGCAGGTGTTGTGTAGTGAGTAGAGGAAGAATCACGATATGCAGTCGTGTAGTGAGTAGAGGAGGAATCACGATATGCAGGTGTTGTGTAGTGAGTAGAGGAAGAATCACGATATGCAGGTGTTGTGTAGTGAGTAGAGGAAGAATCATGATATGCAGTCGTTGTGTAGTGAGTAGAGGAAGAATCACGATATGCAGTCGTGTAGTGAGTAGAGGAAGAATCATGATATGCAGTCGTTGTGTAGTGAGTAGAGGAAGAATCACTATATGCAGGTGTTGTGTAGTGAGTAGAGGAAGAATCACGATATGCAGGTGTTGGGTAGTGAGTAGAGGAAGCATCATGATATGCAGTCGTTGTGTAGTGAGTAGAGGAAGAATCACGATATGCAGTCGTTGCGTAGTGAGTAGAGGAAGAATCATGATATGCAGGTGTTGTGTAGTGAGTAGAGGAAGAATCGTGATATGCAGTCGTTGTGTAGTTAGTAGAGGAAGAATCGTGATATGCAGTCATTGTGTAGTGAGTAGAGGAAGAATCACGATATGCAGTCGTTGGGTAGTGAGTAGAGGAAGAATCGTGATATGCAGTCGTTGTGTAGTGAGTAGAGGAAGAATCACGATATGCAGTCGTTGTGTAGTGAGTAGAGGAAGAATCACGATATGCAGTCGTTGTGTAGTGAGTAGAGGAAGAATCACGATATGCAGTCGTTGTGTAGTGAGTAGAGGAAGAATCACGATATGCAGTCGTTGTGTAGTGAGTAGAGGAAGAATCACGATATGCAGGTGTTGTGTAGTGAGTGCAGCACAATGTGCAATTGTTGTGTTGTCAGTAGTACAAGCAACAAATCCTTCAAGTTGAAATGCATCACGGTATGTCGGTGTTTTCTTGTCAGTTGAGGATGTATAACAACATACAGGTGTTGTACAAAGAGTAGAGATGCATCACGATATGCAGGTGTTGTGTAGTGAGTAGAGGAAGAATCACGATATGCAGGTGTTGTGTAGTGAGTAGAGGAAGAATCATGATATGCAGGTGTTGTGTAGTGAGTAGAGGAAGAATCATGATATGCAGTTGTTGTGTAGTGAGTAGAGGAGGAATCACGATATGCAGGTGTTGTGTAGTGAGTAGAGGAAGAATCATGATATGCAGTCGTTGTGTAGTGAGTAGAGGAAGAATCACGATATGCAGGTGTTGTGTAGTGAGTAGAGGAAGAATCACGATATGCAGGTGTTGTGTAGTGAGTAGAGGAAGAATCATGATATGCAGTTGTTGTGTAGTGAGTAGAGGAAGAATCACGATATGCAGTCGTTGTGTAGTGAGTAGAGGAAGAATCATGATATGCAGGTGTTGGGTAGTGAGTAGAGGAAGAATCGTGATATGCAGTCGTTGTGTAGTGAGTAGAGGAAGAATCACGATATGCAGTTGTTGTGTAGTGAGTAGAGGAAGAATCACGATATGCAGTCGTTGTGTAGTGAGTAGAGGAAGAATCACGATATGCAGTCGTTGTGTAGTGAGTAGAGGAAGAATCACGATATGCAGTCGTTGTGTAGTGAGTAGAGGAAGAATCACGATATGCAGTCGTTGTGTAGTGAGTAGAGGAAGAATCACGATATGCAGGTGTTGTGTAGTGAGTGCAGCACAATGTGCAATTGTTGTGTTGTCAGTAGTACAAGCAACAAATCCTTCAAGTTGAAATGCATCACGGTATGTCGGTGTTTTCTTGTCAGTTGAGGATGTATAACAACATACAGGTGTTGTACAAAGAGTAGAGATGCATCACGATAAGCAGGTGTTGTGTGGTGATTAGAGATGCATCATTATATGCAGATGTTGTTTTGAGTAGAAAATGCATCATGATACAATTGAAATTGTTTGCCCCTTGAAGAAGTATTGAGTGTCCACTGTCAGGGCATGAGATAGATATTAATTCCATACAGGTAGAAGGATTGCAGGAAATGAATTCTTTGCAACTCATAATAACGTGCCTTGTGCCCCACCAGATAGCACTGAGTAAGACATAAAATTGCCAATCATGTCATTTAATGGCAAAAGTATTGAAAATAATGTATAGAACATGAGTGAGTGAGTGAGTGAGTGAGTGAGTGAGTGAGTATTGTTTTACGCTGCTTTTAACCATGTTCCAGTCATATCAAGTATGTTTATGCAGATGAAGGTTTTTCATTGTTCATTACTACATTTATAACAATACACTGTATTTGGTCAGTGCTGTCTTTATGTATTTGAAATGTTCTTTAATTCATTAGAGAAAATGTGTTTTTGAAACAATTATTATTTCTTGATGAAATCTCATAGGTGAAGGTCTGAGGATAAGAATGGATAGCCTGAAAGTCTTGGGAGACGGTTGTTTTGAGAAGGATGAGTATAGAGAGGCACTGAAGTGGTACAGAGAGGCCATGACCCTTGCCGAGAGTGTCTCCAACCTTAAACTGGATCTGGCACTTCTTTACAGTGCTTGCTCAACTGTCTACATTAATTTGGCTATCATTGAAGATGAGGATGATGAGACCAGTCCTTCATCTTTCAGAGTAAGTGTATATAGGGAGAAGATAAGTATGTAAATGGGGATGGTTTAAGATTTGCCTCAATTTTACCAGGCTCGCCACTGCCTCCACACTTGGTTTGCCCAACCAGGTAGTGCTTTGACATCTCAGGGGTATCAAGTCCTGTATATCTTCCATTATAGCTCTCAATTTTCGGCACCTATTTCCCTTCTCTTTGGATCATTTTGAATGCAACATCTTACAGTTAGGGGAAAAAACACCAGTCACGCCTGGCATGTGAGCGCTGCCGCCGTACATACTCCACTTTGGACCCTCATAACCTTTGTTGTGACTGCCGCAGACAGTGTAGCTTGATCTCCCCAGTGCCAACATCTGCAGGATTCTGTGATCGTGACTTACTTCCCCAAGTATCATCGCAGGGAGATGGACTGTCGATTGAAATCTAAAGACTCTGTAAAGAAGTCCCAAGTCGGTGAAGTCGTCTACTGTTTTGTCCGGTGCTCTCTCATCTGGCAAGACTTCTGCTTCCCTCCCTGTTGCTGCTTCTGCAGAATCACAGTTACCGATCTTGTTTGTCATCGACGACGCAGTATCTGATCCGATGTCACTGACCTGCATGGCCCCGCGTTGATGCCCCAACCTCAGATCGTTACGTTGCCTACGTTGTCCATCAATCCTACCACCACTCAGGACATAGTTGACCTCTCGTGAACTTTCATTCAAGACTATGGCCTCCGCTCCTCCAGATTATCGTCTGACCATTCACTTGTCCTCTGAAGGATCACTGATCAGACTCCACATCACGCTGCCTGGGAATGGTCCAAGGATCAACGCTCTTGTGATTGGCGATCATGTTTGTCTGACAGTCATTGTCATTTTGTTCTACAGATCTTTGATCATGTTCAGATGTCAGGGATCAATGCTCCCGTTTGCATTCTCTAGATCATAGGCCCTATCTTGATTCTACTCAGGGTTAGATTGATGAGCCTAGCCTGCTGCTGGGATCGATCATCCTCATATGGATACATTGACTCATCTTATTATGGAGATGGCTCTCAATCATTAGGTCTTTAGCAATCCATGCTTGCCGTAAAAGTTGACTATGCTTGTGGTAAGACGCGACTAACGGGAACAGGTGGTCAGACTCGCTGGCTTGGCTGAAGCATGTCATCTCCTTGTCGCAGGGCATTGGTCCGACGATGACTGTTGCCTACATATCAACAACCTGGCAGTGATCTTTGCAGTGTCTCATTGGTCGGAGCTCCTGCGCTCCTCTCACCTCTTGATCCAATCAGACAACATTGGGTGGTATGGTATATCAACAGGATGGGGTGTCCACCAACTCTATGTCTCTCCTCTCGCCCTCCATCGAATTTTTCAAACTAATCAACTCCCTCAATGTCCAGGTCCAGACTCGTCACATTCCAGGGGTCTCCAGTGTCATACTAGTCTCCTGACCCGACAGGCCGTCGCCAACAGAATGGTTCCTTCACCCAGCACACTTCAAGTGGATCTATTCACCACCTGTACCCGTACCTACTGCGAACTGTGAACTTCAATCCCTCATCTGCTCTTACTAATTGGCAGACCAGTTCTCTCGTTTCCAGGCCTCCATCTTGGGTCCTGAATGTTATATTGTAACACCTGTCTTCGGCTGACTACTAGCCACTTGCGGACAAGGACTTACTTTGAGAGGGTCACCTTGCTACGGCTGCCTGTGTTAGCAAGATCCAGGGATGTCACAAAGGTTTAATTTGAGTGGTCCAATAGTGGAGTGTTTGTAGGCCTACCCTAGGATTTGGTGGCCAGCTTTCATCTGTTTACAATCCTGTCTCTATCTTGTATTCGGACAACCAGAGGATCAACCCCTTTGTCCTGTGAGAGCACTCTGTCAGAACTCTGAGAAGAGGCTTTTATTCCCCTCTCGAGGCATCCCGTAGCACTCTCTCATTGTGGCTGCCTCCATGATCCTCTAGGGCTATACCTTCGCTGAGTTGCCTCCACACATCCAACCCGCATGGAACCCATGCTGTTGCCTCTACTATGGCCTTACACAGTAACTTCACCCTGTCTGCCATCATGGAAGGGTGCTTCTGGAAATCTGACACATTTTTTCCTTGGTATTACCTACGTGACGTACGTGGAACTGACATTTGTGTTACAACCTACAATGAATGGTTATTTTTGTGGAGAGACTTTGATTTCTTCAAGGTTTAGTGGGATGTTGAATGAAAATAGAACTAAAAGTGTAGAAGAATAAAAAAAATAATTCATTTTGAAAATACTGGTAGTATATGTTTGATATTCATCTTAACATTTACATACTTTCTTGTATTCGCATTTAATGGGATTAACGTCAATTTGTCAGGGTTGCACAGTGTAAGTAAAGCAATTGCATACATATGCAAAAAAATGTTAGTAATGGTGATCACATTTTAAGAAATATGTGGCTAGTGGCGATTAGTCAAGACATATACTTTGTTTTAAGTTTTTCGTAGACCTAATCAAACTTGAAGCAATTTAAAAGCTGTGATCGTAAATCACTGTCATTTGTTAGCACAATGTACCAGTCAGATTTAGGCATGCACACTACAGACAGCACATCAAGTTAGTAATGTAGACAGCAAAGCAACCAGAAACGCAAAGCTAATATTAGCTTATATATTGACCCAGAAATCTTTTGAGTGAAACGCATGGTGACACTGTCAGTAATGATAAAGATGGGGACACTGATGTCATGCCATGTAAACGAACAACACTGATGTCACACCATGTAAACGAACAAAGGCTGATAATGATCAGAAAATCAAAACTTGCATTATAATAAATGGCAACTAAGCCAAATATTTGTCTAGAGCCCTGTTTGTCAAAATGAAAAAATAAAATTACATTTGAGATAGATTTTGTGTCCAAATACAATTTTCGTCCAGTTACTACAGTTGTGTTGTATACACACATGGTGTTGTCTTTGTTTTCATATTTCAGTAAAGAAACATTTGTACTTTTTATAATACCTTTTCTTGCACAAAACCATATACAATATTTATGTTATCTGAATATGTCTAAAGTGACAAATCAAATTGGTATGGTCAAAACAATATGCTAACAAGGCCAAAACAACTCAAAACTATTTTTCATCATTTTTAAGATTACGATTTTTACAAGGTCAAAACAAGGTATTAAATTTTAATCCAAATGACAAGGTGTCAACAGTTTTTCAACAAAATGTTGACAAGAATCTATAAAATTTATTATATTATTGACAAACTCTTAACAAGAACCTTTTTATAAGGGCAAGGTCATTGAACTAATGCATAGAACTCTCATATTATTGCAGGTACATGCATGGGATTTTCTGTTTTGAAGTTGTCTTGCATTATTAGACATGTGTATTCCCAGTGTGAGTTGGGTGTAACACCGCTTTTTACAGTATTCCAGTTATATCACAGCGTGTCAGCTTAATGTGGGAGGAAAGCCCGAAGTGATGCAGGTCTGATACATTTACCACTTCGGTGAAACGCACGAGCACGGGAATGGTGCTGACAAACCTAGAAACATAATCGGGGCGAACCAGAATTCGAACCCACAGTCATAGGTTTCTGGCGTGGCCAAGGGATGCAACTCTGCACAGCGAATCGCGGCGCCTTATGTGACTGGGTCACCCGTGCCCCCCGTGTATTCCCATAGTGAAGTTATGTCATCAAACCAGTTAACCATCTTCTTTAAAGTCGAAATGTATGTCAGATGTAATGTCCCCAACCCGAAGGGACATCATTTAACTGGAAGTGTGTATGAATTTCTTGTTAGGGTAGCTGGAGGTATTATGTCTGCTTTATGGTTGTCGGCATATGACATGTTTCCCAAGTGATGTCTAACAGTGGAATTGCCTTTCTGTTCCTCATTATATGAGCTGGAGGCAAGGCACTTTAATCTGGCATGTGGCTGTTGTAAGCATGCATTTCACTGAATTAAATTGTATCACACTGGAAATGCATGATGGTATGTCAGGAGTTCTGGTGCCTTCCAGAATAATGGTGTAGGGGTACTTGCAAACACTTTTCTAGGTGTATCTGTGTATATGTGTATTAGGACAGACAAGAATGTTCTTTATTCACCATATGCAGAGGTGTTTCCATGAATTGATTTTTGAAGTTTTAATTCATGTATATAATATATGCCTGGGTAGTGTTCGAATTCTCCAGTCTGTTTTTGCCTGTTTTACTTACTGTTTTCAAGTTATAAATGTTTGGGGCTATACATTTTTAATACCAGAATGATGTCTGTATTTTTTAATTTTGCAGGGCATGGAAGAACTACACAGACAAAAGACACAGCTTCTGTCCTTGTTATCTGGCCATAACACTACTTCTGGTACACCAGTACTGCCGGTGTATGAAGATGACTTGAGCCAGGGACAAGGTGATGGACCAAGCAACACTACTTCTGATACACAAGTACAGTTGGAGTATGAAGATGACTTGAGCCAGAGACAAGGTGATGGGCCAACCAACACTACTTCTGATACACCAGTACAGTTGGAGTATGAAGATGACTTGAGCCAGAGACAAGGTGATGAACCAACCAACACTTCTTCTGATACACCAGTACAGCCAGTGTATAATAATGACTTGAGCCAGAGACAAGGTGATGGACCAACCAACACTTCTTCTGATACACCATTACAGTTGAAGCTTGGAGATGACTTGAGCCAGAGACAAGGTGATGGACCAACCAACACTTCTTCTGATACACCATCACAGTTGAAGCTTGGAGATGACTTGAGCCAGAGACAAGGTGATGGACCAACCAACACTTTTCATGATCCACCAGTACAGTTGGAGTATGAAGATGACTTGAGCCAGAGACAAGGTGATGAACCAACCAACACTTCTTCTGATGCACCATCACAGTTTAAGCTTGGAGATGACTTGAGCCATAGACAAGGTGATGGACCAACCAACACTTCTTCTGATACACCATCACAGTTGAAGCTTGGAGATGACTTGAGCCAGAGACAAGGTGATGGACCAACCAACACTTCTTCCGATCCACCAGTACAGTTGGAGTATGAAGATGACTTGAGCCAGAGACAAGGTGATGAACCAACCAACACTTCTTCTGATGCACCATCACAGTTTAAGCTTGGAGATGACTTGAGCCAGAGACAAGGTGATGGACCAACCAACACTTTTCATGATCCACCAGTACGGTTGGAGTATGAAGATGACTTGAGCCAGAGACAAGGTGATGAACCAACCAACACTTCTTCTGATGCACCATCACAGTTTAAGCTTGGAGATGACTTGAGCCATAGACAAGGTGATGGACCAACCAACACTTCTTCTGATACACCATCACAGTTGAAGCTTGGAGATGACTTGAGCCAGAGACAAGGTGATGGACCAACCAACACTTCTTCCGATCCACCAGTACAGTTGGAGTATGAAGATGACTTGAGCCAGAGACAAGGTGATGAACCAACCAACACTTCTTCCGATACACCAGTACAGTTGGAGCTTGGAGATGACTTGAGCCAGAGACAAGGTGATGAACCAACCAACACTTCTTCCGATCCACCAGTACAGTTGGAGCATGAAGATGACTTGAGCCAGAGACAAGGTGATGAACCAACCAACACTTCTTCCGATCCACTAGTACTGCCGGTGTATGAAGATGACTTGAGCCAGAGACAAGGTAATGAACCAACCAACACTTCTTCCGATACACCAGTACAGTTGGAGTATGAAGATGTCTTGAGCCAGAGACAAGGTAATGAACCAACCAACACTTCTTCCGATCCACCAGTACAGTTGGAGCATGAAGATGACTTGAGCCAGAGACAAGGTAATGAACCAACCAACACTTCTTCCGATCCACCAGTACAGTTGGAGCATGAAGATGACTTGAGCCAGAGACAAGGTGATGAACCAACCAACACTTCTTCCGATCCACTAGTACTGCCGGTGTATGAAGATGACTTGAGCCAGAGACAAGGTGATGAACCAACCAACACTTCTTCCGATCCACCAGTACAGTTGGAGTATGAAGATGTCTTGAGCCAGAGACAAGGTAATGAACCAACCAACACTTCTTCCGATACACCAGTACAGTTGGAGCATGAAGATGACTTGAGCCAGAGACAAGGTGATGAACCAACCAACACTACTTCTGCTACACCATCACAGTTGAAGCTTGGAGATGACTTGAGCCAGAGACAAGGTGATGGACCAACCAACACTTTTCATGATCCACCATTACAGTTGGAGTATGAAGATGACTTGAGCCAGAGACAAGGTGATGAACCAACCAACACTTCTTCTGATACACCATCACAGTTGAAGCTTGGAGATGACTTGAGCCAGAGACAAGGTGACGGACCAACCAACACTTCTTCCGATACACCAGTACAGTTGGAGCATGAAGATGACTTGAGCCAGAGACAAGGTGATAAACCAACCAACACTACTTCTGCTACACCATCACAGTTGGAGTATGAAGATGACTTGAGCCAGAGACAAGGTGATGGACCAACCAACACTTTTCGTGATACACCAGTACAGTTGGAGCATGAAGATGACTTGAGCCAGAGACAAGGTGATGAACCAACCAACACTTCTTCCGATCCACCAGTACTGCCGGTGTATGAAGATGACTTGAGCCAGAGACAAGGTGATGAACCAACCAACACTTCTTCTGATACACCATCACAGTTGAAGCTTGGAGATGACTTGAGCCAGAGACAAGGTGACGGACCAACCAACACTACTTCTGCTACACCATCACATTTTGAGTATGAAGATGACTTGAGCCAGAGACAAGGTGATGGACCAACCAACACTTTTCATGATACAGCAGTGCAGTTGGAGTATGAAGGAGCAAGCTGTTCAAATGTAATACCGATGACAGAGGGTACTGAAAAAGTACACAAGAGGAACATGTTCAGTGAAGACCTCGATGATAGAGCAAGCCACACAGATGTTGGTTCAGAAGATACAGAGATCAGGGAAGCAGATGAGAGAAAAGGTATCATTTATGGAGAGGATGAAGGAGTGAGCTGTTCAAAAGTGATGCAAGAGACAAAAGAGGTTTACAAATCAACGGTGAATGAAGAAGTAGCGAGCACATCCACAGGAGCTGTTCCTGACACAGCAGAGAGCAAGAGAAGGAAAAGGCAGGGACAGGTCTGCAAAGATAGAGATGAAGAAGGGAACAATGCTGAAGTAATTCTGAAGCCTAGCAGGGAAGCAATGAACCAGAGTGAGAAATACAGTGACATGCCCTCTGAGGGAGGATGCAGTACTGATGTAAGTCAACTGGATATTGATGGGACAAATGACAAGTGGTCTCAGCCTGATGTGTCTGATGGCAAACCCAAAACAAATCAGATGGCTAAGATTCCATCCAAAACAGAATATGCACAGTCACATCACACAAATGAGAACACAGAGAACAAAAAGCAAGCCCCAAGAATATCAAAGCTAGAGCACAGCCATCAGAGGCCACCAAGGATCGCAGGTGTTTCAATGGAAGATGATGATAGTTATGAGATATATCCACATCAATGCTCCCACAATACGGCACCAGGAGGACTTTCAGAACTAGTCCCAAGACAGTTGGCAGATTGTACAGAAATGGAAACAAGAGCCTCTCTATCAATTGGTGAAACTCCTAATGAAGCTATTGATGACACAAATGGATGTTCATCCAGCTCAGAATCATATACTTTAACTGGGTCAGATGCTTCTAATGTCACTGTGATTGAAAGAAATCTGAATGCTTCCACTTCAAGTGTGAAAGTAGAGAAATGGTTGCAAAGTTGTGATAAAAGTCAGCCAAAGTCAATGAGAGATGGTGCTAAGATGGATGAGAAGAGACATTCTTCTGATCCCCTTCTTGATGATGGGAGTTCATGTAGTGATGACCATTCTGATGCAAATATGACACAAGTTTCCAAACAGGCTGTTCATATGGATTTGCCAGATCATAGAGATGACATTACATGTGGAGAAACCAGTAATGGAAAGATACATGGAGTGTGCTCAGTCAGTGTAAGTGCATCAGAGAAATCCACAACCACAGACACTGTAAAAGTAGAAACCAAAACAGATGTTGTTTCCAATGAGGTGTTTGAAAATAGTCAAACGAATACAACTGTTCTCAAGGAAAGCAATGCAACTGCCAAGATTCAAGAAAGAATAGATGAAGAAACATGTGTTCCATCCCAAAAGCCAACAAGTAAAAGCAAAACAAAAAGTCAGAAAAAGAAGAAGAAAAAGAAGGAACAGAAGAAGATGATGGTCAAGGAAGAGCAATCACCTAAAGCTACACACGAGAATGATAGCCAGGGGGAAAATATAAAAAATGAGATAGTTGATAAAGAAAATTCTGAAAAACCCAAGGAGCAAAAGCCGAAAATTGTGAAATCTATACCAGAAAGACCAGTTTTGAAAGTTTCGGAGTGCAAGTCAGATATTTTGGAAATGATTCAAAATTCCACCAGTTCCATCATGAGGAGTATCAGTGAAGCTCCAGGTAGTGAAGGGTATGAAAATGCAGCTTCCATAAAGAAGGAGGCAGAAACTGCGGAAGAGGAGGGGGAAAAAGATGATTTTGGCACTTTGAATGATGAAGAGGATGTGGAGTTTAAACCAGCCATCTTTGATAACTTGCCATGGGAAGTAGAGTTCACAGCTGATGCTTGGAAACGCCTTAGTGGCAAGACAGTACAACTGAGACTAAAGCAAAGGGCTGTAAGGATTATCACGGAACTGGCAAGTGGAAACTGGAAACCTGACATTTGCAAACCTGTCAGCACTAGCACAGGAAATATTTTTGTATCAGAACTGTCCCAAACCACTTCACTAATATGGGAGAAAGCTGTTGCATTTTCAGGACTATGCAGTGACTTGCCAAGTAAAAGAATGCAGGATGAGGATGATACGAACTTTGCTGTTAAAGGTGGTCGTATCTATACACAGATTATTAGAGTCTGGGATATTGTATCCAGTGATGATGATATTCAGAGACTGTCTGAGTCAATAAGAACATCTTATAAGAGAGGACAAACATCACTATTGAAAAGAAACTTGAAGGGACTGGAGAGATCACACCATACAGAAAAACATAAACAGCTTCCTTTACATTTTGCAGAACAAGATATGACGGTAAAAGCTACAAACCCTTACATGTTCTTTCCCCCAGCAAGTCCAGATCCAAGGGAATACCATATCCTCAAGTTCTATACATTTACAGCTGCCTTAGTCAACATCATACTTTCCAAAATGCACAGGAAAGCTGATCTGCCTTTCAAGGTGACTGACAAGGAGCATGCTATCATCCACCTCAGTGGGGAAGCCCCTATCCTCCTGCTGGGAAGAAGTGGGACTGGCAAGACCACCTGTTGTCTGTACAGACTCTGGACAAACTTCATCTCCTACTGGAGGCTAGCTCAGGAGACAGGTGACCCCTTTCTTCCAAGACTGGACTGGGTCTTTGCAGGGTCAGGTAAGGTGTACACACATTTATGTTCACATCATGTTTCAGGAGATTGGATTGTTTTATTAACAGTCATTGTTACTTTTGCTAGTTTTGAGATATTACTTAAGATTTTATGAAAGTTAATAAGAACCAGCACAAAGGGAAATGTAAAATGAAAACGAAAACTTATTTGCCACTGAAAATATTTTGACAACATATCAGAAACTTAAAAGTATATTTAATCTACATATCAAAAACACCATTGATGTATATATCCATGAAGGTATTGATCAAAACTAAAAACCTATCTTTATAACTTCTATTGTTTTCAGTGTCAAATGACAGTTTTTCCCAACCTGAAATGAATTATTAGGTTCTAGGTTATTGATAATTTACAGTTGGCCTTAAGTGATAAAACCCCTTCCATAAGCATAAGAAATCTCTGCTATGACCATGTGTTTATGAATCACTATCAATTAAAGGCATTAACTGTTGTTTTGGATGATTTAGTTTCAGCTGATGAAGATGAAAATGAAAACCCTGAAGATGATGAACAAGCAGATACTCCTGAAGCAGCTGAAGTTCAACCTTCATTTGAGAGACAGGATGAGGAGGAGGATCTAGATCTTGGAGAATATGACCATCTTCATCAAATATTTGTGACAAAGAATCCTGTGTTGTGCACAGAGGTTCACAAGAACTTCTATGAACTCTGTCATGCTTGTGATGAAACTGCAGATCATGTAGAAACTGAAGGCCAGGAGATCCCTTCTAGACTACAAGATATCGAGGATCTAAGTTACCCACTTTTCCTCACGTCTAAGCAACTGTTAATGATGTTGGATGGCTCACTCGGCCAGCCTTACTTCTTTGAAAGGAATGAAGATGGTAGTCTTGGTGTTACTGTGCAAGGATGGGAAGAAGAAGGGGATGTCTTGGGCTTCTCACTCATGGATCAAGACTCCGATGATGAGGATTTTATGGGAATGAACATTGACTATGATATAGATGAGGATGTTCTGCAACAAGGAGCAGCGGCAGGAATAAGACAACGGAAAGTGGATCCAAGAAAGGAAGTCACTTATGAGGTATTTACTTCAACCATTTGGCCAAAGATTCAGAAGAAAGCAAAGTACCACCCATCTCTAATTTGGACTGAAATCATGTCTTTTATCAAGGGATCCTTTGAAGCATTGACTAAAGCAGATGGACATCTCTCAGAGCAGGAGTATATTGAAGTTGGGAGAAAGAAAGCTCCAAATTTTTCAGGAGAGAGGGAAACAATTTATCAATTGTTTAAGAGATATGACCATTACAAAAAGCAACATTTGCTGTTTGATGAGGCAGATCTGGTGTTAGACATTTTCAAACGCTTGAGAATTCTGGAGGAATTACCATGGGTAGTGCACCAACTCTATGTTGATGAAACACAGGATTTCACACAGTCAGAATTAAGTGTCCTCCTTCGAATCACACAGAATCCTAATGACATGTTCTTGACAGGGGACACAGCTCAGGGCATCATGAGAGGCATATCCTTCAGGTTTTGTGATCTCAAATCGCTCTTCTTTCATGCCAAACAATCACTGGTAGCTGGGAATCTGATGCTGCTGAATGAACCCAAGCAAGTATACCAACTGACACACAGCTACAGATCTCATGCTGGGATTCTTGCCCTTGCATCAGCAGTCTTGGACCTGATGGTGGAATTCTTCCCCGAATCATTTGATAAACTGAAAAAAGACCAAGGTCTGCTTGATGGACCTCTGCCATTGCTGATGGAGTCCTGCAGGCCACAGGATCTGGCAATTCTGCTTCAGGTCAGTTTTCTTGTTGTTTGTTACATCATTCAATAGTAACCATCCTCAATTATCCAGGTTATTTCATCTCCATGTGATTATGATTAATATATGAACCCATTCACTACATGGCTTTGTTTACAGTCCAAATGGACCTGTGAAGATCCGGGGTAGATAGTTCTTGCGCAGCCCATGCTTGCCATAAAAGGCGACTAGGCTTGTCGTAAAAGGCGACTAAGGGGATTGGGTGGTCAGGCTCGTTGACATGGTTGATGCATGTCATCGTATCCCAATTGCCTGGATTGATGCTTATGATATCAATCACTGGACTGTCTGGTCCACACTCGATTATTTACAGACCGCAGTCTTATAGCTGGAATATTGCTGAGTGTGGCATTAACAACAAACAAACAATACAGTCCAAATGACAACTAGGATAGACGTCCAGTCCAGTAACATCCATAGGAGGTGTATTCTCTTTGAAGGTACTGATAGGAGGCAGAAAGATGTCACTTCTATGACAAAACTATCATAGTGAATGGGTCCAGGGTATGTATGACAATAGAATGGAGATGTAAAAAATACCAGGATAACTGAGAATGAATACAGAATACATTCCGACTACATTCAAGCAAACAGTGTAAGTTCAGTTACATTTTTGTAGCTACCTTTGACTATCTAACATCCTTCTGTTGACCTGAGCACATAACTCCCATGTTAATCAGTGGTCAGATGAAAAAGTTGACCTCAGACCAACATGGCAAATTGTCAGAGGGTCTGCCGATCATCACCTTCTGGATAAACACAACGACAAATCATCTTGGTTATTATTTATTTTTAATTGTTAAGTAGACAGCTGAACTGATTTGGATGAATTTTTAGCTGAAAAATAATGTGACAAAAGCATTTCTTAATTACAAAACATCAATGTCAGACAATAACCAGTCTTGATTATTTCCTGAAGTAGATTCCATTGGGCTTAAATGCAAAAATGGCAGTGAAAATTACATGAATGGATGATGGAACATCATTGATGACACCAGGTGTTCGCTAATATGGTAGCATCCACCACTCACACGTAAAAAATACTAAAGTGTTTGTTGCCTGACACCTCGCATCAGTACACCTGCCATGCAAAGGCAACCTGACTATATCATAAGCATGTGTTAATGAATCCCTACGATACTAGATGTTCACAGAGCAGCAGGTCTGGTAAAAGTTGAATTTATGTCTGACATATTTTCTCGCAGGCAAGAATATATTTTGCGATCTTGTTATTGGAGAAATATGTCTGGGGTTTCAGGGAAACAACAGAAAAGCTTCCCACATTGAGTTTGGAGCCCACCAGGCCATCCTGGTGGTGAACGATGCAGCCAAGGAGAAGATGCCGGACATGTTGTCTAGGCACAGCATCGTCCTCACAGTCTATGAGTCAAAGGGGCTGGAGTTTGATGACATACTGCTCTACAACTTCTTCACAGATTCACAGGTATTAAATTAAAACCTAATATTGCACCAGCCTCAAGATACTGGTGCACGCTCAAAGCACTAACATTATTACCCCCATCAATGGATACAGTGTGCACTCACTTTTCATTCTCAGCTCCCTTGGGACAACACAACCCCAGCTGCCTTGTAAGGCATCCTCTTCTACTGCCTACATGTGCTTCAGTGTGGGGCAAGACCGAAGTCGTAGAAACAATCAGGCGCAAGGCTGCCAAACATGGTCACCCATCCCACTACTTTCCTTGACCGACTTTGCTTACCTGCACCTGATTTGTGACCTATGCACTGTGCCCAGGACAATGTGCTCCACATCTAATTGCTCATCTCAATGTTGTAGGCCACCAAAGAATGGAGAGTTGTCACCACATTCCTAGAGACACTTGCCAGTCGCCCACAACATGAAGAACAAGCAGAAAACCTTCATATCATAGATGAAGGTAATTACATTTATTAATACATACATCAGGTCAGACTTTTAAGTTCTTCTTTTCAATGGGAATTTCAAGAAGCAAACTGGTTCTTCAAGAAGATATCTAGATATGTTGACATGAAAACTCTTTCAAGGAGGCCAGTCTTATCTTACAGTGTTAAGTAGGTTTGCAGTCAGTAAAATGTAACAAATAGTGATATGCAGATTTATTCCCCTTTACATTTTTAGCTCACCCAACTGAAGGTCAAGTGAGCTTATGTCGTGGCCTTCATTTCCAGAATGATGACTCCTGAATTTGTCCAAGAGGTTTGAATCAGCCATGTTCAAAGTCATGAAATTTGATGCAAGTGTGGTGAGCAGTAGAGCTCAACATATATGTTCCGCTTTGCGATATTTATGATTTTGGACTTGATTTGACATTTGCGCTTACTGAAACATCTTATAGTCATTACTCAGTCAAATGTTCAAATGTAAAGAAATTGTCAGCCTTGCTTGCCAATGGTATAGGGCTGGGATGGGTAACTCGGGTACTCGGGTCGGGTGGTTTCTGGGTAGGACCTGGGTACCTACAGGACTACCCGGACCCGTGGTTAGTCATGTGATATATTGTTTAATGGCAAACATTATCTAGAACTTCCACGGTTACGCTAATAGTGATTAATGTTTGCATTTCTTTCTGACTCTGCTTGCATTCCTTCTGACTTTATATGTTTGAATAGAGATAAAACTTCAGTCAACTTCAGTGTGTAGGACCAGATCGTTTTATACGAGTATTTAAATACATTTTGCCAAACAATTTATAGAAATTTGGTATATGTGCAGTTGGTAGTGGGGCTCAGCACATGTTTTTGTGATATTACACAAAAATAATTTTTGTGATACTTCGACTATGCTCCTAAATTCTCTCAAAGTGCACTCTTGGCTCTGTAATGAGCTGAATGAAGCTGAAGCTTCACATGCTTGTTCGCACCAGTAATGACACACTTAAAATTTGTACAAGAGGTTCAAGAAGATTTCCATATGTTCAAAGCATCTAGGTTGAAAAAAATAATTAATGTACATGCCTCAGCTATTTCTGCTCAAAATATTATGTATTGAACTTAAATTCTGTCAAATGCATTTTTGGCTCCGTGAACATCTTCTCTTCTGAGGAAGGGGCGGTCTAGCATCCTAGTGGGTAAGCGTTTGCTCATCACACCGAAGACCCAGGTTCGATTCCCTACATGGGTATGTGTGAAGCCCATTTCAGGTGTCACTTACAGTGATATTGCTAAGATATTGCTAAAAGCGGTATAAAACCATACTCACTCACTCACTCTTCTGAGCAAGGTGAACTGCTCAGAGGCCGATCTTTGTCTACAAGTCTGCAGCAAATGTTGGTTACAATTTCCAATTCGGAATTGAAAGTTCTCAATTCCTTTCGTGTAGTTAAAACTGATGTTATGGCTTTGCAGAGGTGGCATGTATTCAGTGATAACAGAACCAATAAAAGGGAAGAGGTTTCAAAGCCTAATTTTACATTGAATGCAGTTTTAAAATGTCACTGAAATTAAGTACTTGAAAAGAAATATCAATTTTGAACCAAATAATTTTAGGGTTTTTTTCAAATGTGCCTGCCAAGGACAGTTTGGACTTATAGGTAACATATTTTCATGGAACAGACTACCAGAGTAATGTTTTGGGGGAATTATTCCAGAAATGCTGAGACAGCCAAATCGACCAAGAGCACTGGCATTTGAAGCTAATGAGCACAAAGTTCTCAACTCAGAACTGAAGTATCTGTACACAGCCTTGACTAGAGCACGGGTGAATGTGTGGATCTTTGATGAGGATGAGGAGAAGCGGGCCCCTATGTTTGAATACTTCAAGGCAAGGAAGCTGGTCAGATGTATATCCCAGACAGAGGATGGTAATTCTGGTGAGTTGCGCTGCATAATGTGCACTTATCATTGCATTCATGTCATTGTGTTTACAGAGATGATTATTTAGAGATTGTAGAGACATAGAAGATGAAGTAAATATTTGATTGTTTAAAATATTTGATATGCTCATTTTGTAAAAGTGTCCAATGGTGTATATCAATTCTCTTCAATAGATTAATGAACCTTTGTTTAAGATTAATACAATATGACCTGTCCTACAGATAACATTTAGTCTACATTTGCACATGTCAGTATCTGAAAAGAATGCCAATCAAGATTCTGAAAGAAGTGCTTATAATCTTTTACTGTCATGTTGTTGCACAAGAGACCACCTTCGTGGTCTTGTGGTAGAGAGTCCGCCCGGAGAGCGGAATGTTCAGCGTTCAATCACCCAGGGGTGTCATACCAAAAGACGTTAAAAGATGATACTTGTTATCCTGTCTGGCATTCAAGGGCTAAAACAAGGACTGGTCGGCTCGGAGTCAGTATACTGTGTCTGAGTGGGGTATTCATGTTAATCTGCAGCATGGTATCTCAGTGGGTTAGCACTATAAATCGTTATCAGTCCAGACTAGTACAAGCAGCAACACAAACACACACACGTACATGCACGTCGCAATATAACTGCAATAATCTTGGAAGCGACATTAAACCCCATTTCGACTCACCTCACCTTGCTGCTCAAGACTAACATATGTTATTGTGATTTGAAATCATTGATCAATCAAATAATCAAAATGCTCTGATCTGTGATGAACTGTGTGAGATAAGACCAAACAGTTTAGAGCCTCTTTGAAAGTTATATTGATTCTTCAATTGACAGAGTTTACCAACATGGTGTTTGCAATGAAATCATCCCCTGAGGACTGGGTGAGGAGAGGAGATGAGATGATGAGCCAGACCCTCTATGAGGTGGCTGTTAACTGTTACCGTATGGGTGGGGATGAAAACAAGGAACAGCTCGCAGTTGCCCACTGCCAGGCACAGGGGGCGCTCAAGCTGAAAGACACACCTCGGAAAATGAGGGAGGAGTTTGTGTTTGCTGCACACAAGTTCCTGCACTGTGGGGAAGTCATGAAGGCTGCAACATGTCTGCAGAATGCGCGTGAATTTGAGTTGGCGGCAAAGTTGTTCCAGAAGATGAAGAGGCATCTAGAGGCAGCCAGGCTGTTCCAGAAATCTGGCAAGCATACCGAGGCCAGTGATTGCTATGAGCAGCTTGGCTTGTACAACAGAGCAATAGAGTTGCTGGACAGAGAGGAACTGTACGAACTAGCCATTGACTGCTTGAGGAGGTATCAAGTGAAAGTACAGGTGAAATTTCTTCTTGTCCTAACTTAAAACAGTGCCACCATGTTCAGATCATAAATGGATGGTGTCTTTGCAGGATGTTTTAAAAAGTAATACAACAATAAGGAAGAGAATTTATGGATGTCAACTTCTTTATTATGACATCATGGTGACATCATAATGAAGAAGTTGACATCCATAAATTCTCTTCCTTATGTGTATCACTTCTATTGTAATTGAGTATGGTTTAACGCCGCTTTTAACAATATTCCCGCAATATCACGGCGGGGGACACCAGAAATGTGCTTCACATTGTACCCATGTCAGCAATCGGACCTGGGACTTTGGTGTAACAAGCGAACGCTTTAACCACTAGGCTACCTGACAGCCCATGTAGTGAGTGAGTGAGTGAGTGAGTATGGTTTTACGCCGCTTTTAGCAATATTCCAGCAATATCACGGCGGGGGACACCAGAAATGGGCTTCACACATTGTACCCATGTCGGGAATCGAACCCGGGTCTTCGGCGTGACGAGCGAACGCTTTAACCACTTGGCTACCCGACCACCCCGTATCACTTCTAAATGCCATTCAAAGACTTAATACAACAATGGCAAAGTATAGTACTGAGAAATTGTATAATGCAACCATCATGCTCTTAGTCCCTATAATACCTTTGAAAGTGATTACATTTATTTATTTTAGTATGTCTGGAAGACACAAGAATGGAAAACATATCAAAGATAAAGTTTGAAAAATCAAGTTTCAGATACATCTATATAAAAATAAATGAACATAAAAATACAAAGTCATATCTGTGTGACTTCTCTCATGAAAACATATCTTTTGAAACAAATTCTGAGGTCTTTAAATAGTTAAACATGGCAATCCCCTATGCAATCCCTAAAACTGCTGAAATCAATTTACTTTGTATGAAGAGAACATTTCTAATTGATTATCTCATTTTGTGTGGCATCCAGTAACCTGTAATGAAATGATTGCTTGCTAACTGTGCACTTATGAGGTGGTAACAAAATGTGTTTACTCAAGATATGCATTTGTAGGAGAGGAGAGGAACAGACAGGGGAATGATGAAGGTGCTTGAGAATAACAAGCCAGGAGCTCAGTTTACTCTTGACAACCTCTACTTCAAACTGGTCAAATTCAACCATAAACACAAGAACAAACCCAAGATGTTAGCAGCATTGGACCATCTGCCCCATGATGACCAGTTGGAGTTTCTGGAGAAAAACAAGTATCTCAAGGAAGCTGCTCAGCTCATGTTAAAAGGAGGTTAGTAATATTTCTGAAAGGATTATTAGTAGAGCCTTTTTATGTGGTGTAGGTTGCGATGGGAGAAGCAAGAAGTGTTTGTATGTCTGACAGTGGTCTGGAATATTGGTATTTCAGCAATAGTTGTGTCCCTGGCTGTCACAATATGAACACGCAAGACAACATTATTTAAATTTGAACGAGGGTCAATTCCCTGTATATTGGATGGTAAGAAAAAAAATTGGAAGAAGTTGTAGAATTTTCCTATTCGGAATATTCTATAAGTAATACATTACCGCTGTTATACCGAGGCTGTTGTCTCCCACAACTGCTGCTATAGCGAAATCTACCACAGAGATCTCAATTACCTCATGCAGCATGTGCGTAGCCACCTAGCTGCCATGTGACACCCTTCCCTCTTGTCTCTTGCGAGAGCAAGTGCTCGGGGGACGGACGGGCGGGCAGCAGCCCAGTGGTAACGTATTACTTATAGAATATTCCGAATAGGAAAATTCTACAAATTACATTAAGTAATACGTTACCACTGTTATACCGAGGCTGACTACCACAGTAGGCGGTGGGGAGCACCTACAACCCGAATCCTGACTGCTAGCGTTCCTTCCGACCAGCGGAAGTAAACACCAAGGCGGAAGCACTCGATGCGCATGCACCTAGCTAGGCGTTACCCTATAGGAATACCAAAGCACTGTCAAGCGCATACCGTAAGGCTCAATCGTCATTGCCAAAACGATTGGTGACTCCAAACGGCCCCACTGGATAGGTATTTCATCGCCGCAGCGGATGAGAACACTGTATCCGCGTGAGCTTAATCTTAGATCAGGTTAAACAGTCGAAAAGAGGGAAATTAATTTCATTCAGACCGTATATCCCAGAGCAAGCCTACTTAAAGTATGCATTAGGCGCGTGACCTAATTCCAGTATTTGTAAGCATGCATCACAAGGTTGGGATACACGACAGACAATTAAATACATAATTGTCTAAATTCAAATAAGGACAAAGCACACAAAAAGCCGCCCTCACCTGTGGTGTGAGTGCGCTGGTTTGCGGGACCCCAACTCCTGTACCCACGGCAGTGGGAACATTGGGTCGACCCAGATTGACCACCGTGCAAGGTCTGACGCCTGAGGAGTTCGGAATCGCTTTGGCACACCCCTTAGGTGCCCGCTTGCGCCGCGATCCGCGGGCCAAGACGGTGCACACTCTCCACGACGGCATCAGCGACCTGTTTGAGGTAATGATTGGCAAAAACCGAGTCAGAACGCCAGTAACAACCTCGTAATATTCTGCGAACAGAGATATTCGAGTGTAGGGCAAATGTTGCCGCTAGCGCCCTGATCTCGTGCGGGTTTGACCCCGCTACCGGTAACCCCCGAGACCGGTACGCCAGATTGATGACAGAACGAAGCCACAACGCAATCGAGTTGCGAGTTATGTCAACCGTGCGATTAGGGTTACACGATATGAACAGACGGTCACGCCCTTGTCTACGTTCATTCGAAGCCTTAAGATGATACTTAAGGGCCCTAACCGGACACAGCGCTCTGTCCTCAGTATCAGCAGGATGTAAGATTTCTTTGAGTGATCTTACAGTGAATTCTCTCTCCGTTTGCCCGATTCTCTGATTCTTGGCGACGAAGCCCATGAGCAGGCCCAGGCCGACCGGTCCTTCGTCACCCCTATCGAATCGTACCTTGGCGACATCGAGTGCATGAATTTCGGATACACGTGCCGCCGTGGCAAAGGAGAGGAGAAATGCTGTTTTCCAAGTCACATGCCGGAACGAAACACTATGCAAGGGTTCATACGGAGCTTCCGTAAGTGATTGCAACACTAGGGAAAGCTCCCAGGCCGGTGCCCGAAGGCGGCTCTTCTTAAGATCGTGCTGTTTGAAACCCTTGATAATACCCCGTATCACCGGCTTTTTGGAGAGACTGGCAACCATAGCAACGTCCCGTACCGTAGCAACGGACGAGACATAGTTGGCAATGGAACCCCCGGAGAGTTTCCGGGTCTCTCGCAAGTGAGACATGAAATGAGCAATATCCTGCACAGATACCTTATCTGGCGAATGAATGTGATGTTTACAACACCACTTCGTGAAAATAACCCAACGTGCATTATACACCTTCTGGGTAGAATCACGATGCATACTAAAGTATGCCCGAGACGCCCGGCGAGAAAAACCTTTACTCCTCAGACGCTCGGTGACAACATCCACGCGTGCAGATTGAACTGCCCTGCGTTTGGATGAAGCTGACGGGTGTGAGGGTGGATCAAGAGATCCGGTCTCACAGGCAGTGGAAGGGGCGACTGCGTGACCTGGGTCAGCAAGTCGGGGTACCACGATCTGTTCGGCCACATGGGCGCGATCAGTAACATTCGACAGCGAACTCCTCGGAGCCGGCTTAGAATGTGTGGTATCAACGCTGTCGGCGGGTAAGCATAAGCGTCCAAGCCCGTCCAGTCTAACGCGAGAGCATCGTGATCGATGGCCCTCAGGTCCGGGACTGGTGTTACAAACAACGATGGTTGAACCGCGTTGCGACCTGGTCGACCATCGGACGACACAAACGTTCACACAGCCACTGAAACACTACTGGGTTCAGCATCCACTCTGTGGGGCTCGGATCCTGAGGCCTCGATAGAGCATCGGCCAGTACGTTCCGCACACCTGGGATGTGACGGGCGCGTATCTGGCAAGGGACACTGTCCACCAGAGCGTGAGATCGAGTAGCGAGTGACTGTGGGTTCCCCCCAGTTTGTTCACATAGGACACTACCGTTGTGTTGTCGGTCGCCAGCATGAGCCGGGCGTCGACGAGACGATGCATCCAGTGATTGACTGCGTTGATCACTGCCTTGAACTCAAGACAATTGATGTGAAGACCTAGTTCGTCTACGCACCACAGCCCGGAGCTCACCTCCCCCTCTAGATGGGCGCCCCAGCCCACTAGAGAGGCGTCTGTATACAGGTTCAACGTGGCCCGGCAGGGCCGCATAGAGACTCCTGATAAGACATTGTAAGGGACCGTCCACCACTCCAGATGCGGTCGGGGCCGATCCGGGAGGGCGACGGTCGCACTGTTCACCTCCGTTGCTAACAACTGGATTAAAAACCGTTGCAGTGGGCGGAGTTGGAGACGACCCTGTTCGGTGCAGTCCTGGGCTGATTCAAGTAGCCCTAACAGCTGTTCCCAAAAGTGAACAGTCTGTTGCACCGCTAAGACTTTGGCCATCATCGCCTGAATCTTGTGCCACCGGTCTGGGGGGACAAAGAGGCGATGGGACACCGTGTTGAACCGACCTCCGATGAACAGCAAGTTCTGAGAAGGGGTTAACTCGCTCTTGGGGAGATTGATAATCCACCCCAATTGCTCCAAGAGCCGACGTGCGAAAACGAGATGGCGTGACAGGGTGTCCGTCATTCGATTTGCTACTAGCGAGTCGTCCAGGTACGCAAAGTACTGGACACCCCTCCTGTGGAGGAACCCCACTATGGGGGTGGTTAACCGGGTGAACAGCCAGGGAGCGGACGTGTGAATCATTCTGAGTTCGGCACTGTCCTACTTGGGAAAGAGAAATATCCTGAAGTAAAACCCCGGTGTTATTTCTGGTAGAGCTAACTCCCGTACTGCCCCTTCTCCACCAACCTGCCGATGGCATTGGCGAGGATGGGAAGATCGGTTTCCGAATCGAAACCTGCCAACGGGGCAACGGTGAGTGGCGGATTCGCTTTGAGATCAAGCCGATAGCCGTACTGAATCGTGTTGACCACCCACGGGTCGTCGAACACTTGTTCCCAATTCTCCCAGTAAGTCTGGAGTCTGGCTCCCACTGGGGAAGGAGAGGGGGCCCTGACAGGCTGCGGCAGGCGCAACTGTCCAGGGTCAAGTGACTCGGGTTCGCCTAAGGGCCAACCGAAGTTGGCGCTGTCGGCATACGAACCCCTCCAATGAGAGTCACCTGGAGGGGCCCTTGCCGTCCTTAGACGACTTGGGCTTCCCCCAGTTCCCCGTCTTCCCGCGAAAGGGCAGCTGATTGCCAATACCGGAGCCCTCAGGGCGGGCTACTTCCCAGAGGAAGAAGAACCCGACCCCTTAGACCTACTGGCCGCAGCAGCCTGGGGCGCGCTCCGGTTAGGAGCGGCACCCAGGCGCTTATGCAGGGACCCAACAAGAGCAAGTGTGTGCCGAGAGTCCTCGGCAACGTACTCCAGGGAAGCATTTAAACTGAGCAGGCAGTTGTAAATGCGCTGGTCACGGTCCGTGGGAGAACCTTCGACCAGACTGGCCGCTGCAGCCTAGTAAGTGTCTCCGTGAGACATGGAGTGCCGAGCGAGGGCGTCCAGCTGGTGCAAGGTAGCTTGCGTTACCGTAGCAGCCGGTGGGGCACGGACACCCAACCGCTCAACATGGGCCTCCGCGGTAGGACCAGCCTCGGGAAAGGCAAGGTCATGTACCGGGAATAAACCCTTTCTCCACGACGTCGGAGGCAACGGGAGACCCTGACCGGAGGCCGCCGCGAAGGCGTTCTCCAAGGAAGGCTTGATACCGTGCAACAAGGTTGATGCGGGGAAAGCCGTGTCGGAAGACTCATCGTATACCTCGGAGGAACCCACAGTCATGGATTCCCTGCGGTACCGGCCGGGGCATGTCCTCAAAGAGGTCATAAACCATGGCCACGCGGTCCTTAACCGATAGCGGGAGCAACGGTTCGGGGGAAGGACCGGTGACCACGGGAGCTGCCGCCGTACCGGTGGACCCCGCGTCCGACCCAGCGGCCACCAAAGTGGCCGGGGACGGAACAGCCAGCGGCCTATCCTGAGATAAGGCCGCCAGCTTGGAGTCCACAAGTTATGCAAGTAATGCAGCGACGGAATCCCCGGACAGCCCACGGGCCGCCAAGGGATCCGCCGCAGCTGTGGCGGTGGTACCCGCAAGGGGACCCCGACCGGACGAGCCGGCCACCACAGGGGTGGAAACGGACTGCACATACAGCCGGTAGCGCTCGCTTGCGGCACATCCCGCAGCTCCTGGTTGCGGGGGTAGCAGGGGTGGAGGACGGCGAAACATCCATGTCAGACATTTTGTTTGTACTATGAACAAAGAGCAAAACATGGTTACAACACACGCACCACAAATAGTCACAAACGAGTATTTTCACAAGAAAATAAACGAGCAATGGGAATATAGAACAAACACATATAACATATAGAGGAATAAGTGATGTAAAAACCCCAAGATATACTAGAACAGGGGAACGTAAGACGCAACGTGCATACGAGACACCCCGCAAGTATATAGAAAAAAAGGGCGGGAAAAATATTTCCTTTTGGCGGGAAAAATATTTCCAAGCATAGTTACAGCAAACGCCCCGTAAAAGCACAGTTTATTAGAGAGAATAAACAGTAATAAATATCACCGAATGGTCGGAGAAACAGGAACGCTTGAGCAGTTTATTGTACGTCTTGCTAGAGCAAGCGAAGAGACAAGAGTGAAGGGTGTCACATGGCAGCTAGGTGGCTACGCACGTGCTGCATGAGGTAATTGAGATCTCTGTGGTAGATTTCGCTATAGCAGCGGTTGTGGGAGACAACAGCCTCGGTATAACAGTGGTAACGTATTACTTAATGTAATTAACTGAACAAATCGTTCCTTAAACCTTGTGAATGGCCAAGTCAGACATAGTCATATGTGTAATGTATGTTAGTACAATGCTTTTTTAGTACTATCTCATGATACATACTACACTTTCTTTACAAATCTATTAAAACCCTTATTTGGTTTTGCAGGAAAAAGTTCCCATTCTGAGGTTGCTCAGATGCTGCTGCGACATGGTGCTACCAGAGATGCTCTTCAACACGCTGAACAAGGAACTGATGTGGATGTCCGTGGGAAATGTCATCACAGCTTAGCACTGGAGCTGTATTCAGAGATCAAAGAGAAATGTCAGAGTGAGGACTTCAACGTGGATTCCAGCCAAAGAGAAATTATCAGTCATTTTCAAAAGGCAGCATCTGCATTTGAGGAAACAGAGAATAACAATAGTGCCGGAATGGCTTCTTTCTTTATCGCATTGATACAGAAGAGAATAATAAATGCAAAAAAAGCATTTGCACTCTTTAGGAAAGTCTCACCATTTGCCAATGAAGCAGGCATGGTTGAAGCCCTGAAAATATTTGTTCATTCTGTTTCCAATGGGCAACTTTCAGACTGTCAGTTATTAGTCACTGGTGCAGAGACTTTGCTAAGTATCATCACTACACTTTTGAAACCAGATAGCCGAGAAAAGAGTAGCAGATGCACATTGTACTTGCAGTTCTATGGGCTTCACCAAGATGACAAGGACCCTAATCAACTGATGGCTTATCCAAAACAGAGGCCCCTTTGTGCTGATGTCTTGCCAGGTTTGTTCAGCAAGAAGGAAAAAAGGACTGTTCACCTTGATAAGCAAGACATGTCCCTTAAGATTTCATTGTACCTTGTTGGTATTTTGAAAGAATGGATGAAGATCTGCAGAAATTGGATAGAGAACGATGTGTCCAGGAATAAGCAGTGCAGGTCATTTCAAGAAGGAAGATGTGCAGGAAACAAATCTTGTGACACTACTAAGTGTCACCATCTGCATGAGCCTTTCATCAGAGCAACTGCTCTCAGAGGTTTAAGGGCACTGTTGTTGAGGGTCAGATTAGAACATGTCATACAGTGTGGAGTGAAATCAGTTCAGGACATAGCTTTGAAAGAGCAAACCAGAAAAAAAACCCTTGACAATGAACTTGGTACACTAACAGATGATACTGCAACACGTGCAGCATTTGGGAGGTTGATGCATTTTGTGTTTCCAGAAAGTCATCACTTTAGAAATTTGACAGAAAATAAAGAAGTGATGAGAATCTTCAAGGACACCTTGGACAGTGCGAATTTGAAAAAAGTAATTCATCAAATTGTGAATCAGTGGAGTCAAAACACCTTACAAGTAAAATGTAAGAGTTCAGATTGGTTTGTGAGAGCAATCATTCTGGTCTCATTGTTTAAGATTCAAGATATTGACTTGAAAAAGATGAGCTTCAACATGATGAAACAACTGAGAGACTCGCATCTCCTTGATGAAGAGGCAAGGTATGCTTTTTTTTCATTTGGAAGAAACAATGTGATTATTCACCTTGGAGGTCAGTTCTATAAAGCCTTTGATGCATTGAAAGAAGATCCTGTATCATCAGTGTTTGAATATTCAACGTTTGTCAAAATCCTTGGACATCGTAACAAACCATCACTGTTCCCTGAAATGCCTCTGTTCCTGTTTTGGCATGAATTCTTTATGACTGTTGCTCTTACATCATTTGCAAAGCTCTCTGAGACAGGAAGATTTGTCTTACCAGCAACCTATCTTGCGACCCTACCATTCGTCAATGGAATGTTGCCACAAGGATCAAGATCAATTCAAGGGTCAATCAATTCAGTCAGTAGAGACCAACGAAGCATCAAATTATTTCAAGTTCACCTTCAAAGCTTGGCTGGGGTCCTGTGTGGCAATAGGACAGAAATGAATCTTCTTTCATACATATTTCGCCCAAGAGAAGATTTTGACTACCTTCAAGCAGAAAGATGCCTCATCCTAGGTCTAGTAGTCCTTGCTAATATTGGACTGTTGCAAGCGCCATCAGTGGAAGTGTCATTGATGGAAGCTATCATGAGACTGGAACTCCCAGAAAATGCTCCAGCACGACTTACTAAAGGTCTGGGATCAATAAAGGAATCCAAAGGTATAGCAGACCTTGTGGATATTCTTCAGAGGATGCTGAAAGAAAGGGAAGATGAATATCTACATTTGTGTCGGTGGAAATGGGATCCATATAGAAATGAAGGTATACAGCGCCAGCAGTTGACTTCTTTTGATTTGTTCCCATCAACATTCATTAGCTATTTACAACCTATGTCACCTGCAGTACATGATGAAAGGAAACACAATGCCGCTGGAGTACTGCAGCGCTTCTTCAGGAACCTGACTCTCATTGGACGTGTTGAAATGGGGAATCTGAAACAGAGATGTCAACAGCAAATGTTGAAAGATCAGCATGACCACTCTGAAGATCAAGTTCCGGATGAAAGTAGTGCAAGAAATGAAGAAGAAATTACTATGAGTGCAGAAGAAGCTGAAAGACAAAAGGAAGAATTTGATAAGTTTCTTCAGGATGAACAAGAAGACAAATCAGCTTGGGTTCTGCAGCGCTTCTTCAGGAGGTTAACCTTCACAGGAAGAGTTGAAGGAGGACATGTCAGAGAAAGATGTCAAGAACAAGAACTAAAGGAAATATTTTCTTTCTATGACATTACAGAGCAGCAGTGTGGAGTCTGTTGGGAGTCTTTCAAAACAGAAGAAACTGAAATTGGCAAACCATCAATAGAATCTGATCCAATCCAATCAGAAACAAATTTTGAAACAATAGAGAAAGAAGAAATCACACAGCTGACTGTTTCAGAGAGTCTCATGGATCAGCAGAAGACATCACAGAAACTGCGGGAAGAACATTTATCATCAGTGATTCACAAAGGAAATATGAGGAATTTCCAGTTTTTTAAAGATCTGTATCGGGAATATTTTGTATCCAAAGTGCTTGACATTCAAACGTTCATTGAACAATTGAGAAACCAGAAAATATGCATGGATATGGCAGCTGTTCATCTTGTCCGCTTTGACTATATGATGTCTGTAGTTCAAATGCTATATCAAGGTATTTTTCATGAATACAAGTGGGATCTGGTATATGACCTGAGGTCCAAGCTCATTCCATTATGTTTCTACTACAATAAAGTCTCTGAAGAATTGGAAACAATGAAAAAACAAGCTGTGGTGAGATATAATACAGTTCTGTTTCACATCTATTGTTCTTTATTCTTCCAGATTTCAGCAAGAATTTAAATTTCATGGGTGTTTTTCAAGTGAAGTGTTAGCATACCCTTTTCAGTTCATTTAGCAAAGAGTGTTAATTATGCTTTTGATCTTCATGTCATAATATTAGTGCATTGTGTCATAATTAGATAGCTAAATTGATGTTTCACTTTTAGATTCAACAAGAGCAACAGCCACAGTTGATATCAGGCGACGGCAGTTCCAATCAAGAGATGACAAAAGAAACTCTGGAAGTAGTTGATCATGTGGAGGATAAACTATTGGAAGTTGCTTATGAGGAAGTGAAACCAATAGGACCACCCAGACAGAATAGAGATGATATTGACCAAGGTCATGGTCATAGCAGGGAGCTTGGAAATGACCAGAGAGGTGCAGGATATGTGGGAAGAGGAGTTCCACAACATTATGGAAGAGGTAATGGAGGGTACAGACATGATCATGGAGAACATAGGAGAGATCAATATCATGAGGGCCGTAATGACTACAACCAGGGACAGGATGCACACAGGGGAGGTCGGGGAGGAAATTGGAGAGGTGGTTGGGGGAACAGAGGGCCAAATGAATTCTATGGAAGAGGTTATAATCAACGTGGGGCAGGAGGTTATGGCAGAGGGTACAGAAGAGGTCATGGAAGACCGGGAGGAGGTCCTGCTGGCCAGGCTAGAGGTAGAGGACATCAGTTTCCTAATGCACCACCAAGGCATCAAAGACAACAACAGTTCCAACAGTACCAGCAAAACCGATTTCAGTTTCAGTAAGTTTTAATATGATTCACAATTACTGGGACATGTGGTAAACAGTGAGCTGTTGACTCTGCGATGTAACTGAATAAGCCATTGCTACTGACAACATCTGAACTCTTCAGCCATGTGCGAGTGAAGACATTTGTGTTTCTTGTCGTTAACCAGCTGGGATACCAAAAGCAAAATTGTTTTTTCTCGAGTTGTTGCTTTTTGGGTAGACATAGCAACAGCCAACACATAGATGAATAGTTTTATTTTAATACCATCGAGTCTGTTTGTAAATGGGGATAGTTGTGTTCTTTTAACTTGCAATGTACCAGATAGTGATCATGTAAAGGTCATTGGAAATTGTGTGAATGTGTTTTGACTTGTGACACAACTTATTGTCCCATCCTTTGCCTCATGTGTCATGTTTTCTACATGTCTGATGCCACGTGGCCGTTGATGTTGACACTTTCACGGTTGACTCCAAAGTAATGTGTCTAAACAGCACAAACTTCTGATTCAAATTTAAACATGATCAAGGTATCCATATTGAGATTGACAATTGCCATTTGGTCCATTTGTGTTATTGTGAACATCAGTAAGTACACAATATGATATGGAAATCTGATCCCACAATGATCTTCATTATTATATAGATTTCAGTTCATCTGACAGCTCATACCTTGTTGAAGCTCAGGTTTTGTGCATATGATCTTTGTAAACATGTTCCAGTATGTCAACTAGGACATTGAAAGTCCTTTTTCATTTTTGACTTCCATATTTGGAGGAAGTACCAAGGACTAATGATGTGATATGTGCTAAATATCTCAGGATTGTTTCTTTATCCATCTGCCACATGAAACAACATTAGACTACTACCATGGATAAACCCTTTCAGTTGTGTCACTATATATATATTTATAAAAAATATTTATATAAAATATTAATATAAAGTGTGTGAGTGCGTGCCTGCGTATGTGTGTGTGTGCCTAGATATTTTCTCATTCAACAAAACTGCTGTTCTGGACAGTTTGTTTGGCAGTCAGTATTCCAACACACCGTATTCAATCTAAATCACTTCATTCCAAGTAAAGGACAGAAAACTGTGTGGTCACAAACAAATAATTAACTTCTTAACATGTAAAGTGACAATATCTCCAGGCAATGGGAGACTAGATTCCATATAATGATATATATATAATACTTCAACTAACCCATTGGAACTGTTATAATGTACTTTTTCATTTATCAATGTACCAAACAATTTTGCTTGGGGAAAAATCAGCACTTGGTTGTTTGTAAACATAACTGTCAGGCAGGTGCATATTCAACTCAATGCATGGATGTAGGCTGCCTTGCTGTAGAGCTGTGAGAAAAGTGATATTTCCCATGGATTGAAGATGTGATAGGGAATGCTAGTGTTCAAATCTGCCACAGTACCCAAGATTTTTTTATTGTCCCCCACCACAATAGCTAGGTTGCTCGTGGCTGTGATTGATAATCAAGGTCCTTCAATGAAAGTGATTGTAACTTTGTTATTAAAGTAGTTAGAGGAATAGGATTTTCTATTTCAAACTGTACTGCATTGGACATGAGTGTTTCTAAAAGGGAAGTCATGTTGTGCCGAAAGTCCTCATTCCTTTGTGATTAAAGTTGCTGAAGGCATATCTAATCTTGTCAGTCAGTGATTACTGCTTATGGTTGTATTTGATGTATGAGATAATAGATAATAGATCACAATGTTGACGTGGAAGTGAGACAAGTTTGTTTGTTTTTTGGTGGTTGTTTTTTATTATTAGTAGTAGTAGTAGTTTAAGTAGTATTAGCAGTAGTATTTGTTTTGTTATTATTATTAAAGAGGAATAACAAACATGTTTTGTGGGAAGCCAGTGCCTTGGAAAATTTGAAATAAAATGTTGCTTTTTTATCATTGTATGAATATATACCTTGTCTTGTTAACACCAATTGTGTTTTTGTTAAAACTAATGACACCTGTATGGTACTATATCCTATGTTAAAATAAACAAGGCTTGTTACCATGGTGTCCAGGAGGTAACCATCACTTAGGTGTGCCAATGACTCTTGGTTGGAATCTTCATTGTTTCCCTGTCATCGACATCATTGCTGTGTTCATGAGTTTCACCAAAATGGTTAATTCGTGAGACATCCATCACATGCTTTTAACTGAAGTACTGTTGAAAGATGTTCAACCAAACTCACTCACCTATATATACATACATACATACATACATACATACATATTATTTAACCATTCAATATGGGTCCACATCTTACCTAGGAATGACACTTGATTAATACTATACTTTTGATAGTAGTAGCTCTGAGACAGCCCTGTAAAGGGCTTTGGATTGATAGATGAAGTCACGACATACTGGACATCAATGGCAACAGTGCACAGGTTTTATGTTTGTCTCATAGTGATTGTAAATGTTTTCAATTTGATGATCAGAAAAGTTCAGTGCTGTTATAATTTTGCAATACCTAATGATTGCCTTTTTCTTATCTGTATGTTATTTTTGGAAAAGCTTTGTTTATATATTTGAATGGAAGAACATTTATCATTCAGTTTGAAATGTACTTTTCAAATTCTCAGCTTTATTTGATTTGTGTTCATGTTGACATAAATCATTATTGACTGTTGTATCAAATGTGTTTCTCAAACAACATCTTGGCCAGCAATGTCACACAAGAACTGTGGGGCCAAGGGTGGCCCAGTCGTTCACTGTAGACAGTTGCAGAAACCTATGGTCGTGGGTTTCCAATCCTGGTTTGCCCCGGTTATGTTTGTTGGTTTTACCAAAGTGGTTGACATCGCCAGTGGAAAAAAATATGAGATCTTCGACTCCGTGTATAAGACGACCCACCTTCTTTAACCCCCTCATTTTAGGTACGAAAAACTCACCTTATACACAGCGATATACGGTAATGGTCTAAGACCAACATCACTTTAGGCTTTTCTCCAACATCAGACTCACTCACTCACTAGGGTTACTATCAATAATAATGACTAGTAATAATGTCAATGTGCAAATGCTTTGTCATTTGTATTGTACTTTTTTGGCCATGTGGCCTTTGATACAGAATAAACTTCTTTTTGTTCTTCTTCTTCATAAAAGAAGGCATTAGAATAATATGATAAGATATATCAGGGAAATGTGACATTATTTTTCTGAGCTTAGTCAACTTAATACAAATGTCACTTTGCTTTAATGATTACAGGAAACATCAAAGTGTTGGTTGGCATCTTTATATAGAAAATTGCTATTTTAACACATCCTCACCCTTTAAAATGTTTTATGAATAAAGGTGAGCTTCTGAACCAGTGATTGTTTTTCAACCAATTATGACTCCACCATGACATTTGTCACTCCCTGTCTTTCCTGCAAGTAGGTTTGGTAAGTATCGATTCCAGAGGTTGGCTGCTGATGGTCTGAGACTGTGCTGGACATTTGGAGTGTCTCTGATCTGAAGGTATGGTCTGTGTGCGGATACTGAATAGCGCGGCCACTGAACCCTTGTTTTCACTCCAGTGTTAGGGTCACTGTGTAGGTAAAATAAGGTAGTTACGTGAGGTTAGGAATCATAAAATTGAGGCAGGCATCATACACTTGAAAGTTTTTTAAATGATTACATGAATGATTACATGAAAAATACTCACATCTCTCTTTTGAACCTAAATGGCAAACTTGTATAAGTGGTTCATATTTTGTAATTGACAATTAGAAGTTCCATGCACTTGAACTTATGGTCATCGCAGATATTTTCATATTTTTGTTTTCAAAGTCGTATTCTTAAGGGTTGGACATCATAATTGGATTATTAATACATAAATAACTATAAAGGATTAAAAGGACTTTAAAAGAACATCTCTAGTTATGACATAAACAATTAACAGTGATGTTACATGGTAGCTTTTGGGATGTGCCGCAATACGCTGTGCAGAGTTGCGTCCCTTGGGCATGTCAGAAACCTATGATTGTGGGTTCGAATCCCGTTTCACACAGATTATGTTTCTAGGCTTGTCAGCACCATACCCATGCTCATGGGATTTACCGAAGTGGTAAACGTCTCAGACCTGCATCACTTCAGGCTTTCCTCTCATATTAAGCTGACACGCTGTGATGTAACTGGAATACTGTTAAAAGCGGTGTTAAACCCAACTCGCTCACTCTTGAGATGTGGGGACAAATGACTTTTCTAAAGATCCAAATTATCAAAAGTGTGTTTGAGCAGTCAGTGTCCAAGTTCATTCCACACATGTTCAATGGGGTTGAAGAACCTTGATGTTCCCATTCTAAGAGAAATCCACTGACATGACATGATCTGTATGTGAGTGGGCTTTCTCCTGTTCCTTTATGCACATATATTGAGCATGTAGTGAATTGTGCCTTTTGCTATATAGGGAATTTTGGGGGTAATATTTGTGATTTTGCATTTGATGGAAACAAATTAAACTCAGTTTTGGGTTTGGCTTTTTATTGTTTGTTTTTTTAAATATTTTAAGCATTGCATTGAAGTTTTATCACCATTAATGCTTATTCTTAATCACAAATTGTTTTTGTATTTTCATTTAATTCTTAAAATAGCATTAGTTCTTCATAAACGTTTGAAGTCATACAGCTCTTAGAGCTACCAATTGAGATGTAAGAAACTGTTAGCATCTTGCATGCATTTGTTATGTTACTATGACATAACGTGTATAGCAAGTGATGCAGCAAGAGATGTGGGGCATTCTGTTTTAAACGTTTCCTCGCATTTGGCATATGTTTTCCTGAACTGATGTCATTGAACAAGAATTGGCCATTTAAGGGTTGCACGGGGATCTGTTGTACTTCATTGACAGCATTAGAAATTGAAGAAAAATATACAGATCAATGGTCACCTGATTTGGTAGAGCCAAAATGGGTCTTGATACATTTTGTCTGGAGTTTGGGACATCCAGGTGGGGATGGGTCTTCTTCTGTTTTGTCATGTAATGCAAACACCTTTCTAGTTTTTAGGGGAAATCTGTCCAAATTATTTTTCATAATGCTTCTTCCTGTTTGTATTGGGTATATAAACTTTAATTAATTTTAAAGGAACCTGGGGGATATGCCATCAACTAATGACTCTTGTTACATCTACAATGACCATGCTACAATTTCAGATCCCGGATTTCCCAATCGGATTATGCCTACTACTTGCCATTTGTACGCTACTGCCATGTATTGTCTTGCCATGATAACTACTGTTACAATTTCAAATCAAACCAACATATCATACTTTCTATTTCCACAAAGACATTGCATTTGAATTCAACCAGAACTAATTCCTTGTGGTAACATTGAGTGTGGACAGTTTAGGAACTCTTAATGTCATCCTAGAAGAATATATTTAACAGTAACCATACAATCTACCCTCATGTACTCACAGCGTCTTAGCAAAGTTTGTCCATAATGTCATCATTTCATAGCTGATCGTCTTGTCCAGATGTGATACTCCCCAGCCAGAGCACCATGTCACATTACAGCCCCTCCATGGGCACGGCATGGTGTCAGGGAAGGGGCACCCAAATACATAGTGAAGGTCTGTTGCGTGAAGTACCCCTGAAGAAAACACTGCCACATTCAGAATTATATGAATATGAATAGCTTGAATCTTGACATTAACAAGGTGTGAAGACATGAAACGTTAATGGATAACTTCTTTATTTTTTGTAATTAAAAAGGTGATACCTATACAAAATAGAAAAATAAGCATACATGACTATCAGTTTAATACAACGTCGATAATTATTGTACATATAGAGAATGCATTAGGGTTGATCATGAGCTTGCCTAAACCAGGAATGAGGACAATCAATGCTAACTAACATGCATGAATTCGTTATTAGATTTGAATAAGCTTGCATGACCTTCCAATGACGATTTGGCCATTAAGTGTATAAATCCTGTCAGAACAATGCTTAAATCGCCGAACGTGAAACATTAAAATACCTAGTAGAAATGTAATTATATTACTGTCCCGTAAAGATTCCGGGTTAGAATTGGTCTTAAGCAACCCATGCTTGTTGTTAGAGGCGACAAACGGGATCGGGGGTCAGGCTCACTGACTTTGCTGATGCATATCATCGTATCCCAGTTGCGCAGATCGCTGCTCATTATGACAATCACTGGATTGTCGGCTCCATACTCGATTATTTACGTGATATTGCTGGGTCAAAGATGTGCTATTTGATCTACAAGAAGGTGGTAGCTACATGTGCATAAAGTGTGGTACACGATGGAGGTACACACGCCTTTGTCAATCCAGGTATATGCAGGAGGGGTACTGACCTTCCCACTGTGGGTCTGGCTGGTTGACCGATCTGTATTCGAAGCTGTACATGTAGGTACTTGGTTGTATCTTGTGATACGCGTCAACCATCCTGATATTAGGTGCAACGTAGTCGTAGTCGGACCAGAACTGGAACAGCCAGGTGCTCTTTGCAGAAACATCTATAAAGTATCCTACCGAACACGTTGCATATCGCTGGACAGCTTAAGTATCTCTTTACTCGGAATACTACTTAATTGCAAAGACCCGTGAACATACCGGGGTAGAATAGGTCTTCAGCAACCCATGCTTGCCGTAAAAGGTGACAATGCTTGTAAAAGGCGACTAACGGGATCGGGTGGTCAGGCTCGCTGACTTGGTTGATACATGTCATCGATCCCAATTGCGTGGATCGATGCTCATGATATTAATCACTGGATTGTTTGGTCCAGACTCGATTATTTACAGACCGCCGTCATATAGCTGGAATATTGCTGAGTGCGGCGTTAAACAACAAACCAACCAACCAACCAACTTAATTGCAAAATAATGACAACAAAAACTCATTCACTGAAAGGACTTTCTTATCCGTCAAATCAATTAAACATCCAGTATACAAACTGACTAGGGAGACTCCTTACACATAACGAGGAGGACCAATGGATTCTAGTCATCAGTTCTTTATTGCGTTTTTAAGTTATTTTGGGTTAAAGGTCGTGATAAAATTATGTTCACAGAGGAGTTAAAAACACTCGCTATTCCAGGTCAGTTCAGCCTATCAATAGAAGTACAACCCAAACTTTGTGACTGTCAAGTTTCTTGTCACTTACCGCTATAAGATTCTGTCTGTTGACCAGAGGATTAGCGCTACGGAAGTCATAATGACATGCGATCGTCTTGTAGACAATATCTGTTTGGTTGTGATATCTTTGGCTCCAAGAATGAATTTCTTGTTGTGCAGTTTGAGAACTGACACCCTTTTCCACGCCACCAATATACTCTTGAAGGAAAATGAATAATAGACATACACAACATCATCATGTTACCTTGTATTATGAATAACAATAAATGTCCCATGACAACAAAATGTCCGTTATTTTTACTGAAAATAATAAAAATGATAAATACTGAAAGAGTCTATGTTTCATTGTTAGTATACGAGTTAACGCCACATACAGCTAATATGACAACCAAATTTTGGTTGAAATTGGAGGGGTGCCCACACACTCTTTTACATTTGATAACATTTTGTATGCTGCCTGTCATGATAACATGTTGATCAGGTTGTACAAGTAAAATTAATAATGGCATATGTGTAGCGTTTGTGTTATTTGGGGTAGGATTTACATATATTTAAAGATTGGTTTTTAAAATGTGTATGCAAAGACGAGATATTTTATGGATGACAACTTAAAGCACTTTGCTTGACAAGGATCTAGCCATGACAATATTTTGATTAGGTTGTACCAGTAAAATTGATAATAGTTTATATATAGTATTTGTCATGCTTTGTGTAGGGTTTGCTTGACAACAGTATAAGGATCCATATCGAAACGTCCATCATAATAGAATAAAGAATTTGTTATCAGGAACTCCCTGATGATAAAACTGGAACATGTGGAACAATTCGTGTCATGTCATTATTGCTTGAATGTTTGTAGATATGTGCTAATGTACACGAGTGAATCTACCTCTATGTATGTATGTATGTATGTATGTATGTATGTATGTATATATTACGCCCTCGGATATAGTGTCTGGTTTTGTGAGTAGTGCCGAACAGAAGTAGGAAGTAGGTATCGTGTTTTAAAATGTATGCACTCACCAATCATATCAGCGCCTTCATTTAAAACCGTACCAGTCATCAACGGAAGGTCAAGGACGCGACCCTGTTCCAATAAGTTCTCTGGGAAATCCAGCATATAATAGCCATCAACTACCGGAACATAGGTAGAAGTCATCGGTGCACCCTAATTGTATAGAGAACACAGACAGAGATAATTGAGTCACAGATGTTGAAAAGATACAATAGATAGAAGGCAATGGGTGACCCGTGTGGAGTTGACAATATAGGTAGAGTGAGTGAGGGAGTAGGGTTTTACGCCGCTTTTAGCAGTATTCCAGCAATATCACGACAGAGGACACCAGGAATGGGCTTCACACATTCTACCCATGTGGGAAATCGAACCCGGGCCTTCGGCGTCACAAGCGAACGTTTTAACCACTAGGCTACCCCACCGCCCCACATAGCTAGACGTCATTTGGGTCACCCTAGTTTCATCGTTAACATTCATCAGGGCACACTTGTTGTATAGATAACATAGCTAGACGTCATTTGGGTCACCCTAGTTTCATCGTTAACATTCATCAGGGCACACTTGTTGTATAGATAACATAGCTAGACGTCATTTGGGTCACCCTAGTTTCATCGTTAACATTCATCAGGGCACACGTGTTGTATAGATAACATAGCTAGACGTCATTTGGGTCACCCTAGTTTCATCGTTAACATTCATCAGGGCACACTTGTTGTATAGATAACATAGCTAGACGTTATTTGGGTCACCCTAGTTTCATCGTTAACGTTTATCAGGGCACACTTGTTGTATAGATAACATAGCTAGACGTCATTTGGGTCACCCTAGTTTCATCGTTAACATTCATCAGGGCACACTTGTATAGATAACATAGCTAGACGTCATTTGGGTCACCCTAGTTTCATCGTTAACATTCATCAGGGCACACTTGTTGTATAGATAACATAGCTAGACGTCATTTGGGTCACCCTAGTTTCATCGTTAACATTCATCAGGGCACACGTGTTGTATAAATAGCATAGCCAGACGTCATTTAGGTCACCTTTGTTTTATCGTTAACATTCATCAGGGTACACGTGTTGTATAGATAACATAGCTAGACGTCATTTAGGTCACCTTTGTTTCATCGTTAACATTCATCAGGGCACACTTGTTGTATAGATAACATAGCTAGACGCCATTTGGGTCACCCTAGTTTCATCGTTAACATTCATCAGGGCACACTTGTTGTATAGATAACATAGCTAGACGTTATTTGGGTCACCCTAGTTTCATCGTTAACGTTTATCAGGGCACACTTGTTGTATAGATAACATAGCTAGACGTCATTTGGGTCACCCTAGTTTCATCGTTAACATTCATCAGGGCACACTTGTATAGATAACATAGCTAGACGTCATTTGGGTCACCCTAGTTTTATCGTTAACATTCATCAGGGCACACTTGTTGTGTAGATAACATAACAGGACACACTGATTGAATAGATAACATGAACAGAGGGAAATGTTTTGTATACATAGCAAAGGCACTCAAGTGGTTTAATGTACCTTCCAACAACATTAACATGTACTCCCCTAGGATGACAATCAGTATAATAGTCAATCTGAATTTGCGTGTGTCGTGGCCATTACCTGCGGTCTAGCATTCACGAGGTCGTCCGTAGACTTTCCTCTTAGGCAGGCAACAAGGGCATGCGATGACGAGGAGTTGCATCCAACAATCTTTCCAAGATTGCGGGCAGTGTCGCTTGCCTTGTAAGGAGGTCGATAGAACGCAAAAGGACTAACGCTTATGCCGCTCTGTGAGATGACACCTCGAAATAAACCTTGAAAAATAAATGTTTAGATCAAAATGTGTTCATTAATATAAAATATAAAATGTATTTTATCCCTTACATACCAAAGTGGTACAATTAACATGACTTGTTACTGGGAATAGTGAGTGAGTGAGTGTGGTTTTACGCCGCTTTTAGCAATATTCCAGCAATATCACGGTGGGGGACACCAGAAATGGGCTTTGTACCCTTGTCGACAATCGAACCCGGGTCTTCAGCGTGACGAGCGAACGCTTTAACCATTAGGCTACCCGACCGCCCCGTTACTTGGAATATCCCACCAGGAAATATCGACCACCCGTCGTTTTAAATAAGTTCGCGTGTTCTTCCGTCGCAGGAAAATCATTTTTATTTGGCCAGTGCAATATTTTCTATGTCTGATTGGAAATATTTGGAAACAAACTATTAAGAGTGCAGATAGCCTCTGTGTCGTGTTGAAACTATTCAGGCACCAGTTTAGGTCGACTGATTTTGAGTAAATATTTATACAGATTTTCTTTCTGTTACTCACACTGAGTATTGTTTGATGTATATGGGTCGATCGCTGATATCTAACTGTGAGCTTACATTTGATGTCCGTTTGCATTCTTCTTCTCAGACTACAGTGTTGAATTAGTATGAATGTTATATAAAAAAGAAATAAAATGACCGTGATTACCTTTAGCCAGTGGAGAAAACATATGGGAAGAGACACCTGCTCCTCCTGAGCTTTGCCCAAATATGGTAACCTTGTCAGGGTTGCCTCCAAACTGACCAATATTGTCCTTGACCCACTGGAGGGCCAGTAGCTGATCCAGGTGGCCGAAGTTGCCCGGAGCCGCATCATCCCCCGTAGACAGAAAACCTGAAGCAAGGAATACCAATCCCCAAACACTCACCAAAATCATCCATCCTGAACCTATCTAGTATCATCCATCCTTAAGCACCAATCTCTTTGAAGACATGTTGAATTCTTGAACACAAATACTTTGGATGCAAATCCTTATCACTTCACCAGGTTCAAAGCGCCAAACCTGAGACACTAATACTGAAACGTTTATCCTAAATACAAGCCAAAAATCATTAGAAATCTCAGCAAAAGCAGTCCACTGAACGAGCAGCATCCGCAACTATGACAATGCTGCGCACAAAGCAGCGCATCATTTGGCATGCATATATTTCACTTTAAAAGCCAAACTGTGGACCCGAAAATGATATGCATGAGAGAAAGAGCCCAGTGAAATATACCCATGAAACAAAACATACAGAATAACAGAAGATTGACAGAGCATGAAGTATAACAGTTTTTGATAGTCACGAAACATGCTAACTACGCCTCTGTTCACACCTGTCTCTCAAACGTAAACAAATATCAGCATTCCAAGTGATATGTAAACAGACAGAGCATACCAAGGACGCCTAGTCTGTAGTCGATAGTCACGAGAACAATTCCTCTTGATGCCAACATTCTACCGTCATACTCCGACGCCGAACCCCATTTGTACGCCCCGCCATGAATCCATACCATCACGGGTAACTTGGAGCCATTCTGTAAAAACGGTTCACTATTTCCTGCATTCTAAGTCTTTGTTGTTTACTCAGTGAAAATATACAATTCCGTTGCGTAAAAGAACCGTCACATTTAATAACGATTTGATTAACTTAAATACCCGCATCAGTGTTTTTTACTTATTCAATGGGAACATATGTCCATTTTAGTAAATGTTAACGTAAGAGGTTCAAGTTTTAATATACTATACCATCGGTGCGAAGACATTTAGATACAAACAATCTTCATTTGTGTTGTTGAAGACGGGCCCGAAACTGAAACTGTTTAATCGGGTCACATGAATTCTCGCAAATTTAAACCTTCAAAAAGGCCTATTAACTACTAAAACACACCATAACACACGTTTAAAGTTTAAAGCAACATAATATATTTGTGAGTAAGTGAGTGTGGTTTTGCGCCTCTTTTAGCAATATTCCAGCAATGTCACGGCGGGGGACACCAGAAATAGGCTTCACACATTATACTATGTGGGGAATCAACGTCGGGCCTTCGGCGTAACGAGCGAACGCTGTAACCACTGAGCTACCCCACCTGTCCCATAATAAAGATAAGAGGGTATGAACAATTAAAAATATGATCGAAGAAACAAGAGTTTCACCAATATAACCTTCCTTTCGGCGCATTTCGTGTAGGTATCGTCCATGTGACTGATTATATCTTATTTGTGTCATGTTTAGAATATACAACATAAAGTCAGTAAATGACTTTTGAACATATATATCAATTCAATCTAACGTAGGTTTACAAGTGTGCGTTTACTTGACGCTTACGTTTGAATCAATGATAGTCTTTGTGGGCAGATTGGTCTGTAGAATGTAGCATCGTGGATCCCATGCCATGAACCAGCTGGAATCGGTCTCGCGAAGCGTAGATCTCCGACAGGAGGTTCGGCGTATGGAATACCAAGAAACACCTGAAGAGAATACCCGCTCTTGGAACTGATATGGTAGCCTTTCACTCGGCCCTGCTTGGTATCAACAGTGATGTGTGTGTCAGCTGCACACTGAGTAAGATGTGCCTGTACTAAGACAATTACTAATATTCCTATCATGTTCAGCATGGAAATTGAGACAACGATATGGAAGCCTAGATAAGGGATATATTCCTATTGGTCACTGATAGTTGATCATTTTCTAATAACGCACCTAGGGCAATGTGAGCCATGTCCTTATCTTACTCGGACGGGATAATGCAAGTCTTGATCCATTCATATAATTTTCACCGCTATTTTGCCTTTTACTATAATAAATCGGGTTATTCTCCGGCGTTGACGTTTAATATTTAAGAAAAATCAAGTTTCATATTTGAATATGTCAAATGCAGGTCGTAGAGATTTAACACTAAAAAAAAACAAGGATCATAATCACAGCGAACCAACATGTATGATCACAATCCTAGCACGACTAAAGGGAGTGACTCTAATGCTCCTTAGACCATTCATAATAATATCTATAGATGGCTCAATAAGAGGTCATCCCAATTTTAACAGACTGTTTGCGAAAAAGTGGCGAGAACGATATACTTCAACTACAATAATTGTTTGGATCATCCACAGTTCTAAAGACTTCCTCGTGCTGAAGATTTGTATGACATCATAAACAACGTGGCGACTTCCGTGCAGATTTCGATCAATTGCAGGATTTGCAGCGCGTATATTTCCCAAATCTTTTCATGTTTTTAATCAAGGTAGCCAAGTGATCTGATGCACTTCGCAAGGTAAGACCTGTGTTATTACAATAAAGAACAAGATTATCGATCAGATCGTCTTAAAGGGGCGCCTTGCTTCTGCTTCAAGCAAATACATGTGATTTAAGAGGTGAAATCTGATTGTCAATAGGAGGGATATAATAGGAATATAACTCGTTATAGCCACTGGTGGTGCTACGATCGAGCAACGAAATTCCAGGCTTGTTCGGCAATTGTGGAAACTGGACTTTCATAGGGACGGGACATACACAGGGATGGACTCTACCAAAGTACCAGCTTTTCCATAATGGATATTTGAAATTTGTTTTATTCCACTAATAACAATAACAAGACAAGTTTATCTTTCCTCAGGTTTACCAAGTTGACAAAGTTTATTGACACAAGGTCACTGTTACTGTAGCTTGATCTAATGGCCAGTTTTTCTTCCACTTGTAAGATGCCCCTTTAGTCGCATCAGACACGGTAGACACGTGGTCTTCTCCAGGAAGCAGCTGCATGATCCAGTGGGTGACGCTTCACTCTGTCAGTATATTCAACCCACTCGATGTGAGGGAAAAACTGACATATGTTGGGATGAGCTGTCTTCATTCTGCTCTTCAGTCTGTTGTGAAAGTTTTCCAGACGTTATTGTCTGAAGGTGATGTACTGATTCCAAATGCGAAGTTGGAAACGTGCATCATCGTCCACTCAAAGTAGTCACACAGTCATTAAACTCTTTAACATTTTGTCCTTGTGGTCCCTCGTTCATGACATCTAAATAAGCATCTTGAACCAGCTCTCGAAGTAGGAGAGGCAGTGCACCAGGTCTTCAAAAGTGGCTTTGTACTTGAGGATTGTCCTTGTATTGTAGGGAAAGTCCTCTCTCTCACATGTTGACCCAAACCCAGGGTGTAGTAAAAACACCCACGTATCTAAGCATCAGGGAAAACTTCTTCAATAACACGAATGGCAACAAGTTCAAAGTCTGCATGTACAGTATCAGGTTCTAGTGGGACACCTACTGCTGTCAGGGTCGCATCTCTAAGCAGTTGTCTCTTTGGTCTTGTTAGGCAACCATCTACCATGCAGTGAATAGTGTGCACCTGCAGCCACGTCTGGGGCAATGCTGGTCTATTGTGTTTGGCCGATGCTGAGAGAGGCTGGACTTAACACTTGATGAGGAAGGTGCTGTTGCAACATACATTTCATCAAGACTTCAGACCACTTCTTCATAAATCACTTCAACTGGAGCTATTTCCTCTTGTACTTGATGTTGTAGTCAGCTACTTAGATGGATCTGTTTCTCGGGCCCTATAGGCAGATGGAAGTGGTCTGAAACTGATGTGATGTGTTAGTGCTACATTTAACCTTTCTACTCCCCCCCCCCCCCTTCAAATATAAAAGAATGTAGGCACTTTGGGGTATAGGCACATTAAAAACATACCCAATGTGCAGTCAGTATCGTGTGCCCCTCCCCCCTTGTGAGTGAAGAAGTGCCTGGTTCTTTATGAATGTGAATGTACAAGTATCTCTTATGGTGCTGGAATACTCTGGAGATTTCTGCATGATTCCTGTTTCACCATGTGTAAACTTCTGTAACTTCTGACATGAATTATTTCATTCATTTGAAGTGATTTGGTTTTTAAATGGTATATCCTGTATGCTAATGAGTTTGGTTATGGTGCAAACTTACATAAACTGTCACAAGAAAAATTAAATTATTGTACCAGTGGTTTGAAACGTTCCAGTGTCTCATGATAAATAATCGTAAAATGATACTTTATCACATTTCCGAATTTTTATGTACGAATGTCATGTATTACAGCTGACAGTGGAAACAAATTGTCGTTAACTTTGCAGAAAATATCCCAATGTTTACAAACAAATAAACTCTTAAATGAACCCTGCAATGTTATAAAACTTCAGTGAATAGTTTCCTTTTGAATCACCAAGCCTGTTTATAGTAATCACGAACATAGCACTGAGTAGACCTAGGTTTTATTCCAAATATGACAATAGTATTTACACAATAGACAACAATATGCAACAGATAAATATAATGTTCATGTACATCTATGTTCAGCAATTAGAATGTGCAGGTATAAAGCATACTGAATCTCACTGGAATAACAAGATGATGTATCACATTTAATGCAACATCCAAATAGCCCATCCATCCCAGGAACACAAAGAGCACTCGTTGGGTGACACTGAACGCATATCTAAGCTACGTCTTTACATACACACACATATCACCCACAACTTAAATATGTCCATAGCATTGCCAGCACCATACTGCAACAAGAACCTTTCCAAAAATTCTTTACTTGAAAAAAATCTTTTAGATTAGTGTTTAGGCTGGATACATGGCAAAATTTGTGGGATGACTCAGGGCAGTGACACATGTCAAGGCAATGGGTCTTCATGTAACACAATCTGCAAGGAATATCTCTATCTGTGGAGATAAACGTCTTATTTTTCCAGTGAGCATAATACTAAATCCAAAGGGATACATCTTGCCGGAAATCTCTGGCTCCTTAGCCAATCCGAAAGTCCATTATTTGCACCTCAGTGAATACACTTTACAAATGGTCATAATCATGGTATATCTGTACACAAGAAAGACATAAGAAATGTACAATAAAATCAATGGCAAATATATTAATATTCCTCATCACTTGCTAATGAAAGCATCAAGCTATGTACATTTCCTGCAACATACACACACGTATCACATACATTTCATGTAACAGTGCAACACCAGTTCGGAATATTCAAGATGTTCAACTTTTACATGCACAGGGTTTAATTCCAAATGCAGAAATTTCCATCTGTGCTGTCAATATGGCAGATGCCAACAAAAACAAGGATACAGACATCTCTCTGAGAATATAAAATAATGTAGCTTTCACGGCAATAGTAAAACCTCAAGAATGGAAAATATACTAAATTTGGTACTGATTCTCCATTTCATCTATCAACAAATCTGTCCAGTTTTGCAACGAAAAGCCCCCTAGTCAGCACATTGTTATAATAACAATTTGCCTCAACAAATTCAAAAGACATTGCCTGAGAACAAATTTTTATTGTATAGAAACCCTAAAAAAATGAAAGATAATATTACCATATGCAAACTCTTTTTCATTCATCCGAAAGCTGGTGTATTCACCACGAAATGATTTGTGAATAGGTTAAACTGCAATAAAATATGTTAAGTGACAAGACAAGCTTTAGCTTACCATTTCTCACATGGCGACATTTAGATACCATTTCTGAAGAAGTCAAAATCGGAAATTCTATTTTTTCAAACCTATCAATCTTGATGATAAAATAAACAAATCTTTAAACAGAGAAATTTTGAAAATCTGGACTAAGGGGATCTAGCATACTGTTAAATGTCATGAGGTGTCATACTGTCAAATGAAAATCAACTTTCCTGTTATTACTATTCATCCAAGTGTGTACTTTCAGTCTATAAATTCTAGTGGCCAAGTGTACTAATAAATATACAGTGCTACAGTCTGTATGTGAACAAAAACTAATTTTCAGGCATGGGTAACCATAATTGCACATATGAAGAGATGTTTTGCTGTAATGAAACTGCCCCTCTCTGAGCTGTTATCAGTACAATGAGAATTTTTATTTACTAACAACTGGCAGTAACACTACTCAAAAACCAACATGTGTTCTTCACTGTACTATGTATGCATCACATCATTGGGATCACTGAAAGGGATTTCCTCTACATTCAGTGTTAGTGAGTTTGTTTTTACACCACTTGGAACACTATTTCAGTGTATATATCACGGCTTTATGTTGAAGGAAAACCCCGAAGTGATGCAGGTTTGACGTGTTTAAAACCAAATTGGTATGGTGCTGATAAACCTAGCTACATAATCAGGGCAAACTGGTATTTGAACCAACGATCATAGGTTTCAGGCAGGCTTAAGGGACGTAACTCTGCACAGCCAATTGCAGGCTTTAGACGACTGGACCACCAGTGCCCCCATTCAGTATTATCTGAGCCATTGGTTTTGCGGACTTCACCTCAGTGAGTGAGTTGGATTTAATGACGCTCTTAACAGTATTCCAGTTATATCACGGCATGTCAGCTTAATGTGGGAGGAAAGCCCGAAGTGATGCAGGTCTCAGACATTTACCACTTCGGTGAAACCCACGAGCATGGGTATGGTGCTGACAAACCTAAAAACATAATCGGGTCAGACTGGGATTCAAACCCACAATCATAGGTTTCTGGCATGCCCAAGGGATGCAACTCTGCACAGTGAATCGCAGTGCCTTAGACTTCACCTCAGAGTCTCACAGTAACTATTAGGCTCATCATTAGCCTCGATACTGGGTCATGGACACTACTTGCTCATGAAACTAACTTGTTTCAATCGGAGTGTTGACATCTCAGATTATTTCTTAAACCATTAATTTTTAGACAATAAATATTCAAAGAACACATCATCTTGTTGAGATCATTGGCATGTTCTTTCTCGCCATGATGACTAATCAAACACAAAGTATATTAACCTAAAAAGCTTCCACTGTAATTTCGAAATATAACATAGCTGCAATAGAGGCATGTTTTTGCATTGATTTTGTACATTTATTTGAAATCAAAGTAGCAATAGGAAAAAAACTAACTGGCTCATATCTTACGATGTCTGAACTCAAGTGAAGATTAATGTTCACTTTACCTTATACATATACATGTCATAAGTAATATTTTTTACATACAGAAAATTCAAATGAAGACTTTGACAAATTCAGATTTTGACTAGCTGGCCTGTCTGTAATCTGGCTGGGTAAAGGTGGGTTATGTTGTTTCCTACAAAATCTTTCCCATGTTACACATACTAAACACAATCAAACATGGGCCAATCTGATTAAGACGTGGTATTGCTTTATGATTTTATCAATTTACGATCAGCGGGCAGCACTGAAAATGGCAGTTGTTTATGTTAAGACTTCTATATTTAATTTAAATCAATTAGGATCAAACAAAGACCAACTTGTTCCACAAGGACTTCAACAAATGTGGTGACTCCTTGTATATCAAAATTAGGACTAGATGCTCTTGCTGGTAGATATATTGTAGTTCAACATTTACTTTATAAAACAAAATCCATTTGAACTAGGATAAACTTCACAAAATAAAATTTGAAATAATACTCCTTATCATAATTACTTTAAGAATTTAATGTTCTTCATCAACCCCAAAATCTAGATCAGGACTGAAAAGAAAAACTGGCCATTTAACTGTCAAAACGTAAAGTCACCAAAGTTGAACCTTCAAAGATAACTTTGAAAATTCCCACAGTGGAATCTCACTCTCAGCATTACCCTCCTTTCAAGAACTGATCAGTGGGTCTGATTGCCCCCTTAGACACACGCTGGACATGATGTACGATGTACTACTCCAAAAAGTTATGGACCCCCCAATTCTTCCATGTCCCAGTGACATGAAAGAACCGCGTGGTCCTCAACCTTTATTTTGAGTATCATAGAAAAGAAATTTCATGTCCATTCTGTAAATAATCCGACATTTATACGTCTGTCAAAACAGTATGCACACAGTATGTCAACCCGTATAGAAATGAATTCTTAATGAACTCGTACTTTCCCTTCTTATGCTTTGCTGGGAAATCTGCCAAACTACTGATGGGATTAAAAAAACATTCATTCAATCTTTTTGCAGTTCAACATGAATATTATAACTAAAATGTTTTGGACAAATCAAGAGTTAAATGGAATCTTTTGGGTGGATGATATCATTAACAGTATTAAGTATTGAAAGCAAAATGAACAAGCTGCACATGCATCGGTGAACATATTGTCAGATAATGCCACAAATACAATGGAACGATGTGCATTTCGATATAAATTAATAAACATATTATGAATAATGTACTGAGGAGCAACAGCAAGTGTGCATTACAAAGTGGAGGATCAAACTGACATACTATGTATACTTCATAGTTAAATTAGAACCAAAACAAGACTATTTGTTCACAAAAAGATTCACAGATACATTTTCCAATCACTTCGAAATGTATCACAACAAATCATAATAAACCGTGTATTGTCTCATTCATGCGGCCACTTGTAATCAGTCTACAGTACCATAAGCACAATAAGAAGAAAGATATTTTCTTGCATATTGGGATTAATTTAATTACAGTTAAAGGGGCAACCCCCCCTGTCCACACATCAGAGCTATGGAATCGGTAAGGGGCTATCTGACACACTTAATGCATAAGGAGGGCTTTTTTTTTGTACATGAGATTACTTCTGAAGCCATTCTGCAACCGTGCACTTTTCACAACACTACAGCAACAAAATTTACTTCGGTTCTGTTCCAAATCGAAAACTATGTATGGTATGAGAAATAGCATCTCCATTAATTGGTACCTAAAGGAAAAGGTAGTTTTTTCTGCTTCTCTTGTTGGCCATTCAACAATAGGAACATCAACATTATGAAAATTATTCAGCAAGGAGAAGAATATAAAATTAGACTTTCATAAATATCTTTTGAATCCTTACAGGAAGGATGTTACTTGCCAAAGCCCATGTTACGTATGTTACACATGCAAGTTTACATTCATGCTTTCCTTGTGACAAATTGTGTAGTGACAAGGCGGCACACACAGTCACACAATCAAATCTCTGTCACTTCTTCACCGATTGCGTCCGATTGGATTGATGAAATGACGAGCACAAAGTCATCCTCATTCAGCACATACAAGCTTGTCCCCTCTTGCCTCACAGTAATGGCTGCTGCTGGAGAGGGGGCTGGTACACTGTCTGTGGGGGCATGCTCTGATAGCTTCCTGTCTGCCCTGCTAACTGTGTGGGCACAGCACCGCCATTTTGCACAGGCTGTTGGGGCAAATTTGTGGGACCAGAGGCCATAGGCATATTGTTAGCTGTGGGCAGGCTGGTATATGTCGTCTGTGGCATTTGATTGGGGAGGCTGTAAAGAAAGTGCACGTTCTTGTCAAAGATTTGTGTTAATATTTTTTTTTAAAAAGCATTGAGCTGGGACAACATTGGTAAAGTGATTGTTTACAGTAGTTTTAATTGCATTTGATAAAGACGACAGTAAACAAGAAGTACACACATGTCAGCTCCTTCCCTTTGTGTGCGAGCAATACATTCTGATTAGTTCTGGTGCATTTATCATCAGAATACACACACTGTTCAGATTAAAATCAGGAAAGGCTGTTAAAAAAACTGAGTTAGAACTCCTAAACAGTTCTAAAGTTTCATCATGAGTGAGTGAGAGTGTTGGGTTGATCACCACTGAACAGTTATATACCAGTGTGTGAAGATATGTGCCTGTAGACGTATATCACTGAAGACCCAAGAATCATAACAAGCTTCAATCTGGATTTCAAACTCAAGATCAGTGGATTGTGTAACAAATGGGACACAAACACTGACATCACTGGGATACGATGACATGCATCAACCAAGTTAGCGAGCCTGACCACCCGATCCCGTTAGTCGCCTCTTACGAGAAGCAGTTGCCTCTTACGGAAAGCATGGGTTGCTGACATCTCAAGAGAATATTTGTCCAATGGCTACCGGGAACGTTGTTGACTAGAGAGGGAGAATGTAACCGGCTAAAGTGTTCAATGTTACCTGGAATATTGTTGTTGTTGACTAGAGGGGGAGAATGTTACCGGCTAAAGTGTTCAATGTTACCTGGAATATTGTTGTTGTTGACTAGAGGGGGAGAATGTAACCGGCTTAAGTGTTCAATGTTACCTGGAATATTGATGTTGTTGACTAGAGAGGGAGAATGTAACCGGCTAAAGTGTTCAATGTTACCTGGAATATTGTTGTTGTTGACTAGAGAGGGAGAATGTAACCGGCTAAAGTGTTCAATGTTACCTGGAATATTGTTGTTGTTGACTAGAGAGGGAGAATGTAACCGGCTAAAGTGTTCAATGTTACCTGGAATATTGTTGTTGTTGACTAGAGAGGGAGAATGTAACCGGCTAAAGTGTTCAATGTTACCTGGAATATTGTTGTTGTTGACTAGAGAGGGAGAATGTAACCGGCTAAAGTGTTCTATGTTACCTGGAATATTGATGTTGTTGACTAGAGAGGGAGAATGTAACCGGCTAAAGTGTTCTATGTTACCTGGAATATTGATGTTGTTGACTAGAGAGGGAGAATGTAACCGGCTAAAGTGTTCAATGTTACCTGGAATATTGTTGTTGTTGACTAGAGAGGGAGAATGTAACCGGCTAAAGTGTTCAATGTTACCTGGAATATTGTTGTTGTTGACTAGAGAGGGAGAATGTAACCGGCTAAAGTGTTCAATGTTACCTGGAATATTGTTATTGTTGACTAGAGGGGGAGAATGTAACCGGCTAAAGTGTTCTATGTTACCTGGAATATTGTTGTTGTTGACTAGAGAGGGAGAATGTAACCGGCTAAAGTGTTCAATGTTACCTGGAATATTGTTGTTGTTTACTAGAGAGGGAGAATGTAACCGGCTAAAGTGTTCAATGTTACCTGGAATATTGTTGTTGTTGACTAGAGAGGGAGAATGTAACCGGCTAAAGTGTTCAATGTTACCTGGAATATTGTTGTTCTTGACTAGAGAGGGAGAATGTAACCGGCTAAAGTGTTCAATGTTACCTGGAATATTGTTGTTGTTGACTAGAGAGGGAGAATGTAACCGGCTAAAGTGTTCAATGTTACCTGGAATATTGTTGTTGTTGACTAGAGGGGGAGAATGTAACCGGCTAAAGTGTTCAATGTTACCTGGAATATTGTTGTTGTTGACTAGAGAGGGAGAATGTAACCGGCTAAAGTGTTCAGTATTACCTGGAATATTGTTGTTGTTGACTAGAGGGGGAGAATGTAACCGGCTAAAGAGTTCAATGTTACCTGGAATATTGTTGTTGTTGACTAGAGAGGGAGAATGTAACCGGCTAAAGTGTTCAATGTTACCTGGAATATTGTTGTTGTTGACTAGAGGGGGAGAATGTAACCGGCTAAAGTGTTCAATGTTACCTGGAATATTGTTGTTGTTGACTAGAGGGGGAGAATGTAACCGGCTAAAGTGTTCAATGTTACCTGGAATATTGTTGTTGTTGACTAGAGAGGGAGAATGTAACCGGCTAAAGTGTTCAGTATTACCTGGAATATTGTTGTTGTTGACTAGAGGGGGAGAATGTAACCGGCTAAAGTGTTCTATGTTACCTGGAATATTGTTGTTGTTGACTAGAGAGGGAGAATGTAACCGGCTAAAGTGTTCAATGTTACCTGGAATATTGTTGTTGTTGACTAGAGGGGGAGAATGTAACCGGCTAAAGTGTTCAATGTTACCTGGAATATTGTTGTTGTTGACTAGAGAGGGAGAATGTAACCGGCTAAAGTGTTCAATGTTACCTGGAATATTGTTGTTGTTGACTAGAGGGGGAGAATGTAACCGGCTAAAGTGTTCAGTATTACCTGGAATATTGTTGTTGTTGACTAGAGGGGGAGAATGTAACCGGCTAAAGTGTTCAATGTTACCTGGAATATTGTTGTTGTTGACTAGAGAGGGAGAATGTAACCGGCTAAAGTGTTCAATGTTACCTGGAATATTGTTGTTGTTGACTAGAGGGGGAGAATGTAACCGGCTAAAGTGTTCAATGTTACCTGGAATATTGTTGTTGTTGACTAGAGAGGGAGAATGTAACCGGCTAAAGTGTTCAATGTTACCTGGAATATTGTTGTTGTTGACTAGAGAGGGAGAATGTAACCGGCTAAAGTGTCCAGTATTACCTGGAATATTGTTGTTGTTGACTAGAGGGGGAGAATGTAACCGGCTAAAGTGTTCAATGTTACCTGGAATATTGTTGTTGTTGACTAGAGAGGGAGAATGTAACCGGCTAAAGTGTTCAATGTTACCTGGAATATTGTTGTTGTTGACTAGAGGGGGAGAATGTAACCGGCTAAAGTGTTCAATGTTACCTGGAATATTGTTGTTGTTGACTGGAGAGGGAGAATGTAACCGGCTAAAGTGTTCAATGTTACCTGGAATATTGTTGTTGTTGACTAGAGAGGGAGAATGTAACCGGCTAAAGTGTTCAGTATTACCTGGAATATTGTTGTTGTTGACTAGAGGGGGAGAATGTAACCGGCTAAAGTGTTCAATGTTACCTGGAATATTGTTGTTGTTGACTAGAGAGGGAGAATGTAACCGGCTAAAGTGTTCAATGTTACCTGGAATATTGTTGTTGTTGACTAGAGAGGGAGAATGTAACCGGCTAAAGTGTTCAATGTTACCTGGAATATTGTTGTTGTTGACTAGAGGGGGAGAATGTAACCGGCTAAAGTGTTCAATGTTACCTGGAATATTGTTGTTGTTGACTAGAGAGGGAGAATGTAACCGGCTAAAGTGTTCAATGTTACCTGGAATATTGTTGTTGTTGACTAGAGAGGGAGAATGTAACCGGCTAAAGTGTTCAATGTTACCTGGAATATTGTTGTTGTTGACTAGAGAGGGAGAATGTAACCGGCTAAAGTGTTCAATGTTACCTGGAATATTGTTGTTGTTGACTAGAGGGGGAGAATGTAACCGGCTAAAGTGTTCAATGTTACCTGGAATATTGTTGTTGTTGACTAGAGAGGGAGAATGTAACCGGCTAAAGTGTTCAATGTTACCTGGAATATTGTTGTTGTTGACTAGAGAGGGAGAATGTTACCGGCTAAAGTGTTCAATGTTACCTGGAATATTGTTGTTGTTGACTAGAGAGGGAGAATGTAACCGGCTAAAGTGTTCAATGTTACCTGGAATATTGTTGTTGTTGACTAGAGAGGGAGAATGTTACCTGGAATATTGTTGTTGTTGACTAGAGAGGGAGAATGTTACCTGGAATATTGTTGTTGTTGACTAGAGGGGGAGAATGTTACCTGGAATATTGTTGTTGTTGACTAGAGGGGGAGAATGTTACCTGGAATATTGTTGTTGTTGACTAGAGAGGGAGAATGTAACCGGCTAAAGTGTTCAATGTTACCTGGAATATTGTTGTTGTTGACTAGAGAGGGAGAATGTAACCGGCTTAAGCGTTCAATGTTACCTGGAATATTGTTGTTGTTGACTAGAGAGGGAGAATGTTACCTGGAATATTGTTGTTGTTGACTAGAGGGGGAGAATGTTACCGGCTAAAGTGTTCAGTATTACCTGGAATATTGTTGTTGTTGACTAGAGAGGGAGAATGTTACCTGGAATATTGTTGTTGTTGACTAGAGAGGGAGAATGTTACCTGGAATATTGTTGTTGTTGACTAGAGAGGGAGAATGTTACCTGGAATATTGTTGTTGTTGACTAGAGAGGGAGAATGTTACCTGGAATATTGTTGTTGTTGACTAGAGGGGGAGAATGTTACCTGGAATATTGTTGTTGTTGACTAGAGGGGGAGAATGTTACCTGGAATATTGTTGTTGTTGACTAGAGAGGGAGAATGTAACCGGCTAAAGTGTTCAATGTTACCTGGAATATTGTTGTTGTTGACTAGAGAGTGGTGGTGAGAAACTCTGAGGTGGTGGCATCACGGACCCTGGAGGCATTTGTCCTTGACCCTGTGGCATCTGAGCTTGGGCTGGTGGCACCTGACCTGGACCAGCTGGCATTTGCCCTTGAGGAGCATATTGAGGTTGTCCATTGTACATTGGCTGAAATATTTCAACAAAACATACAAACATAATGAATAGTGTTGCTTAAGTAAGTTTGTTTTTTTAATCCATGGACAGGAAAATGTTGAAACAAGTCCACAATGGTAAGATGTGCAAGAAATGGTTCCTAATGAAATCTCTCCCATCAAATGAAATCATTTATCACAATTTCCTGAAAACAAAGAATTGGAATATGTTTCCAGAAGCCATAGCAGAAATGTTTTACCTGACTGCTTCCTTAAACAACATACATACAAAAATTTATATCGGCATTAATCTGTTAGCCAAATTATAAATACAACGGATGGTTAACAGATTAAAGCAAATATGAATGGAGGGGGTACCATCATTTCTGTATGTTTGTTGTTTAAGGAAACAGTCAGCAATATTATATCGCTATCACCATTGCTTGAATGTAACTGAGTGTGTGTGTGTGTGTGTGTGTGTGTGTGTGTGTGTGTGTGTGTGTGTGTGTGTGTGTGTGTGTGTGTGTGTGTGTGTGTGTGTGTGTGTGTGTGTGAGTGTGTGTGTGTGTGTGTGGTTTAATGCTGCACTCAGCAATACACTAGCTATATGACAGCAATCTGCAAAAATGGAGCCTGGACAAGAAACTCCAGTGATTGATATCATGGGCACCAATCTATGTATCTAGAATATGATGACATGCATCAACCTAGTCAGCGAGCCTGCCCACCTGATCCGTAAGTCTCCTCTTACAACAAGCATGGGTTGCTGAAGACCAATTCTAACCCGGATCTGACTGATGTTATGAGTGCCGGCCAGTGACATCAGGGAATGACGACACATAATTAATCACAAAGTCTGAATACCCGATCCGCTTAGTCACCTCTTACAATAAACAGGTTAATAGCAACCCATTTTAACCCAGAATCCCTGAATGTTGAATGCTCTACCTGTGTCATCTGAGCTGCAGCTGGGGCCGGGGGTGGGGGCATCATCCCTGGGGTGAAGCCCTGTGGCCCCTTCATGGTGTAGTTGAAGGCCGGGTTCTCCCTCATCAGGGAGTGGTACATCTGCAGTGCGTCCATCACCTTCTTATTCAGGTCTACCAGCTGAGCATGTTTCCTGAACACACATGAGAAACATGTCAGACACACACTTCATCTTTAAATCACTTCTAAATCACCTACGTGTGTGTATGGTATCCTGAATAATACGAGTGAGTGAGTGAGTGAGTGAGTTGGATTTAACACCGCTTTTAACAGTATACCAGTTACACAGTATTGTTGTTCTCAATGTCTTTGTAACAAAAAGTTAACACTGTGATCTATTGATGACATTGCCTGCTACTACTGCATGCATAGTCAGTGTGTGTAACATTGTGTTACAAACACGACCAGATTACATACTTACTTATCTATCTTCTCTAGTTCTGTATCTATCAATGGACCCATCACTTTACATTGCTCTGAAACAAAATTGAAAACATTGATTCATATCAAGAGTGAGTGAGTTGGTTCCAATGCCACTTTGAACAGTATTTCTGATATACGGTAAACTATGGTTATAACAAACACAAGGGGCCACTAACTTTAGTTCGCAATAACCATAGTTTGTTGTAAACATATATATACAGCATATATACAACAAATGGCCGGAACTAAAATATAAGTTTGTTATATCGGTCAGTTCGTTATAAGCGTGTTCGTCATAAATGTAGTTTACTGTATACAAAACATCATGTGAGATTAATATGATAGGGGAAATCCACAAGCATTCGTATAATTCTGACACACCAAAGTTCATAAAAATGAGAAAATCAAAGATTCAAACTGACCATCCGATGGCATGACTAAGGGTTCTTAGGCCACTGGGTTACTCATGCTAACCCTGAATCGTGGTTAAAAAACAACATTTAATTTGAAAACTTGAAGTGGGTAACCACTGGTAACACAATGAAAGTTAAGTTGTGTGCAATTTTGAACATCTGAGAGGTGAAACTGCCTAAGCATCGTAGCCAAAGGTTTTGAATGGCATTAAATACTCATTCATCATAATACTCAATAGATCAGAACAAATATTCTTTTAAAATTGTAAATACAATTGTTACAAGGAACATATTCTTCATGTATATATACGAAAAGGTTATGTCACTTTTGAATGCTGCAGCAAAAAGCATGGATGAAGACATACGGTTCCATGACTACAGATCCACCTAGTGAGTTCATTTAACAAGTTTGGAAATGTATGACAATGATTTTCACATACCAAAACCTTTCAATCAACTAGCCACAAGCTATCTTTCAGCATTCGTTTCAGTAGATTTTAGTCTAAACTATGAACAGTTATTAACTGAGCCTACTTGACCCAAATAATTAATGCAAGACCCAGAAATTCAAAACTGCATCAGCTGAATAATGCTAGTAACACAGCAGTGAAGAAGGGTGTCTGGGGTTAAATGTGGGATACCTTCAAGGTTCAGTAGTTCCTGGGAATCTGGCTGTGTCTCCCCTGTGGGATCTGCATTCTGTATCAGCTGTAATGTCTCATCTATCTTATTCTGAAACAAAACATTCATAAGATTGCCATCTTTGACAGATCAAAATGACATAACTTTCCCTCACTACGGAGCCTGTGATTATTACCATGTTTACATCAAATATCAAGACGGACTATATGACTACTTCTGTGATTAAAAAAGGCATCTAAAACATATTGGGATTGGAACAAATGGACAGAATAAATATTACCATGACTACCATAATGTTTTGCTAGTATCACGCCACACACAGCAATGTTCCAGCTATATGATGGCGGTCTGTAAATAATCAAGTCTTGACCAGACATGGCAATGATGATACCATGACCATCAATCTGCGCAACTGGGATACAATGACATGCATCAACCAAGTAAGCGAGCCTGACCATCCGATCCCGTTAGTCGCCTCTTACGACAAGCCCAGTCACCATTTACAGGGAGCATGGGTTGCTGAAGACCTATTCTACTCCGGATCTTCACGGGTAGGTTGCTTTATGAATATCTGCCTTGTAAGTAAGCAGGCCATCAAACTGCTGCTGAATCTACTCACTTCATCTATCTCCACCTCATCCGGCAGAGGTTCAACTGTTTTCACTTCTACTTGTTCATTAAACTGTACAGTTTTCTTTTCAGGCTTGCCTAGACAAAAAAACATGGTTAGAGAGAACTTGTCTCAACAATTCAACTCAGACAGCAAATCACACTAATTTGTTTCAAGGCTCTTCACCCCCAACAAACATCACAGGCTGGTATTACAAATGGTGTAATTTAACCAAAGTTATCAATAATATCAACCTGAAGAAAATATTAGAATTCTATTTTGATCCATAACAATCCACCATATCTATATTTTCATCTATATTTGAGAGAGCACAACAGGCAGTGTTGCCATGAGACATATAAGCATAGTTAGCATCTGTTGAGGAGGGTCCAATCAAAACAGGAGAATTTTTATTTGAATGTTAACATACATAAGGGATCTCACTTGTCAATAAAAGTTCAAAACACCTCGGCAAGCTTGAGGGTTTGATATTAAATGAAACAATAATGAGATAATATTTATCATCCAAAATCATTCTTCCAACTGGCTCAGTTTGTAAACAACAATAAGGGACGTATCTAGGATGCTTAAATAAGTGCTCTTAGCAGGCAAATTGGGAAAAATCATTACTTTGCTCAAAACTGGGATATTTTTAAAGTTTCAATTTTCCTAAAATCTGATGTATTTTAACATGGCATTCAGTTAAATAATGTAAACTAAGCATACAATCATCTTCATTTTTATTGTTCATGAATATAAGTGACAACTATATTACTATGAATTGGAAAACGGTTAATTCCAATATGCAAATATTGATTGGGGCCAAGAAACGGTCTCTGATCATGGTCTTCTTAGATAAACACCTGACATAATACCCCAGGTTCTAACCACCAAATCCATGCTGGTACGTGGCACTTAGGAAATGTCTGGGGTACTGGGCACCTAGTCTGTCTCAGACTACACCACAACCAGGTTGTTCACATCAACCGTGTACTGGCTTCATGGAACTAACTACTTACTTTCTTCTGGTTCTACTGACAAGTCTGCAGTGACAAAGTTGGCTGGAAACAGTCCCTCACCACGATGGTTGAAACCTTTCCACCAGTTAGGATCACTGTGGAAGCAAAGGGGAGACATAGTAACCCTTGACCTACAATACTCCTCCACAGGACAGTGGGTAACACTGTTTTATATCTCAGATATATCATGTATGTAGTATCATACAATCTGGTAGTATGATACCCAGGTGCTGATGTATCAATTAAACAAGGGCTGTATCACACTACAAATAAAACAACATCTGTCCACATTGTGCAATCAATGTTAACGTCAAGCTGTGTTTCTCAGCCTAAATTAGCATGATTAGTGATCTCTGGTATGCATTCACATGGTATAAGGCCACAATCCTTTATCATGTTTATCATATACACATGGTAAAGGCCATGATCCTTGTATCACATACACATGGTAAAGGCCATGATCCTTGTATCACATACACATGGTATAAGGAAATGATCCTTGTATCACATACACATGGTATAAGGCCATGATCCTTGTATCACATACACATGGTATAAGGCCATGTTCCTTGTATCACATACACATGGTATAAGGCCATGATCCTTGTATCACATACACATGGCATAAGGCCATGATCCTTGTATCACATACACATGGTATAAGGCCATGATCCTTGTATCACATACACATGGCATAAGGCCATGATCCTTGTATCACATACACATGGTATAAGGCCATGATCATTGTATCACATACACATGGTATAAGGCCATGATCCTTGTATCACATACACATGGTATAAGGCCATGATCCTTTTATCACATACACATGATATAAGGCCATGATCCTAGTTTCACATACACATGATTTACGGCCATGATCCTTTTATTACATACTAGGGCTGCAACGATACAGGACGGTCATGATACGATATGTATCTCGATATTCTGGTCACGATATGATACGTATCTCAATATGCAACGATAAAAAAAAAGAGTACTCTAGTACTCACGCATTTATTAAGTTTCAAGGTTTCAAGCATGTCAGGATTGGACCTTTCATGATTTTGGAACAGTCAAAATCATTTTATAATAACAAGACTACTTGTTAAGCTTAAAAGTGGAACTTTCTCTCACTTTCCATCAAAACATGTCAAATTTCAAAACAGCAGGAAACTTCAAAGTTCAAACACCAGGAAATAATTACTGGACTTCTCAGTCTGAATAGTTCAACTTCAGATTCTTTTTCAGAAAATATAAAATGTCTAACATTGTGAAGGGACAGTGATACCCTCTCTTAACAGAGGTGGAAACAAAGACTTACCTGTCATCTAATACACTAATTAATTCTCCACCCTTGAATGTCAGCTCATTATCTTCTGCTGCTTCAAAGTCATACAATGCCCGGACCTGTCAAAACAAGGATTTTGTAAATACACATATTATCTGACTTCATTTATATGAATCTCATCCAACTTAGTGTGACCTCTGAATACTGACATACCTTAGTGTTGTACCTGCAGCATCTAGAGAGAGAGAGAGAGAGAGAGAGAGAGAGAGAGAGAGAGAGAGAGAGAGAGAGAGAGAGAGAGAGAGAGAGAGAGAGAGAGAGAGAGAGAGAGAGAGAGAGAGAGAGAGAGAGAGAGAAATACCAATTTACTACTAGTGCTAACATCGGGTGTAAATTTACAGCTGATAGCTGCATTCATTAATCAGTGAATGTCCTGACCCCTTTCTGAGTTATCACCACAATGGCCAACTCAATCACTACTCTCTCACAACAAACACACATATTAATCTGGTCATGTACCGGGAGCAGTGCTGAGTACACACAGTACACAGTATTCCAGTTAAATGACCAGGTTAATGTGTGTTTGTTGTTTAACATAGCACTCAGCAATATTCAAGCCAAAATGAACAGTTTCATGAGGATATACTAAAAATACCCCCAAACAATTTCAAGTAGGCTTTCTTCAATCACTGTCAATGTTAACACTAACATGACAAAGACAGTGGGGAGAAACAAAACCCTGTAACATGTCCAATGGTCTTTGGGGAACAAATTGACCTCTATCCAAGTTCCAAGCAAGCACTTAATTTAGAAAGGAAACTCATCATGCTGATAACAAACCTTCCGAGGTTCTCTGGGTCTAGGTGATGCATACATGGCTGAAGCTCCTCCTGCAGATGTGTTAAAGCTAGTTGGGTACAGACTGGTGGTCTTGGTCGATTTATCTGCCTCTTGCAGGGACAGTGCAATGGCTGAAAAGTGTTTAAAGGTAATAAATTGCAAGGGTTCCCATGGAATCTGTTATGCATTTATGTTTCCATAATCCTAAAATAACATAGGCCACGTCCGCCAACTGACTGGCTCCTAATAGAATGTGCGGGGCTCTTGTTGCATTATTGCACTGAACGATGTCGTTGATTTTGTATTGTTGTCTACAAATATGTTTGAGTTAATGAGTAAACATTGAATAACACCATGTCATTTCTACTCCAATCGGCAGCTATTCACAAAGCCTCACCTTTGGCAATATCATCCTCTTCCTGTTGCCCTTCCCGGGCTGTAGTCTCAACTTTCTTCGGCTGAAAGATCAAGGTTTGTTTGTTTGTTTGTTTGTTGTTTAACACTGCACTCAACAACATACCAGCTATATGATGGCAGTCTGTAAATAATCAAGTCTGGACCAGACAATCCTGTGATGTACATCATGAGCATCGTTCCACACAATTAGGACACGATTACATGCACCAACCAAGTCACCGCCCGATCCTGTTAGTCGCCTTTAATGGCAAGCATAGGTTGCTGGAGACTTATTCTAAACTGGATCTTCATGGGTCGAAAGATCAAGGAATGATACACATGATACAGCAATTCATGTTTGTCAATTCCCCTTCCATCTTCAAGACCATAATTTAGTAACTATATCAAAATGTACCATGTTTATTCATAGGAATTTACGCACTTAAAAATCTTAAAACAGTTAACTGGATAGCCTTTAGATATGTTCATTCTACAAAGTTACACTGTGAAAAAAATCTCAAAAGAAATTTTTAAAAAAACAACCATGCTAAACAATCAAAAGTAACCAAATGAAATTAGAAGCAAAGATACCCCTTTCAAATTTGATTTACAAGTTGCTGCTTAGGCTCTGTCTGTGTACAAAAGTTCATTTGAATCGATCATGTCCAAAAAACAGCCAACTCTCAAGATCAAATGACAATAATAATACAAACCCCAGCATCAGGATCAGAAAAATCAGTTCCTTCCTTCTTCAGACTGTCGAAGAATGATGGAACTAAGCTGAAACAGTCATTAAACACTTCCATTACATATCGGCATACTTCCTCAAAAATATACATCATCAATATCATACACTCTGCAATCATCAGCGACTGTTCTTGGGACATTTGTAAGGGAAGAGAGTTACAGGGCACTCTGCCTAGTCTACACAAACACAACTTTTTAAGCTGATGCTGAAAACAAAGCTGGCTTACTTGAGTGCAGGGTCATCCTTGAATTCAGACATATCTGCCCATTTCTTAATCATAAATCGTAACCTTTGTGCCACCTTAGGATGAGCCTGGAAACAAACATTATATCCATTAGAACAGGAAACAAAGTGAGTGAGTATGGTTTTTACACCGCTTTTAGCAATATTCCAGCAATATCAAGGCGGGGGACACCAGAAATGGGCTTCACACATTGTACCCATGTTGGGAATCGAACCCGGGTCTTCAGCGTGACGAGCGAACGCTTTAACCACTAGGCTACCCGACCGCCCGGAAACAAAGTGAACAGCAAAGTAGTGAGTGAGTGAGTTGGGTTTAATGCTGCATACAACAGTATTCCAGTTATATCACAGTGTGTCACCTTGATGTGGAAGGAAAGACCAAAGAGATGCAGGTCTTAGACGTTTACACTTTGGTGAAACCCACAGGCACGGGTATGGCGTGACAAACCAAGAAACATAATCGGGGCAAACCGGGACCCACAATCATAGGTTTCTGGGATGCCCAAGTGATGCCACTCTGCATAGCGAATTGCGGCGGAACAGCAAAGTAACACATTCAACATGTTACCCTTCATGATTAGAGACTCTTATTGTTCAATATTCCAATATTTACAAATAATACACAAATTGTAGAAAAGCATAAGCAAGGACCTTTTGAAAACAAACCAATTCAGCATTCTGTTTGTTAGGTGGAGAAATGTAGACATCTTTTTGGATGATCCTGCTGACAATTCTAACCACAAGATTTAAACCTTTGTACTTTCACCTAATTCCAATGTTGTTACCATGGTTACTGTTCTGGGTGTACTAGTTACTAAAAATTAGATACACAATATCTTTCAAATGTGCACTAGATCTATGTCATGGACAATGATTGTGATTGACATAATGAGTCTGCAACTTTAGCACCACTAATCCAAAGTCCAGTGCAAATTGTGAGAAAAGGTCTGACACTCAACACCAAACACTACTGAAATGTTCCAAATAAACACTTTCAGGCAAGTGGATTCAAAGGTGTTTGGCATAGTTTGCTTATTTATTTGTTGTCTAAAGCCGAACTCAGCAATATTCCAGCTATATGACAGCGGTCTGTAAATAATCGAGTCTGGTCCAGACAATCCAGTGATTGACATCATGAGCATCCATAAACACATTTGGGATACAATGATGTGCGTCAACCAAGTCAGCAAGCCTGACCACCCGATCCCGTTAGTCGCCTCTTACGACAAGCATGGTCGCCTTTTACGACAAGCATGGGTTGCTGAAGACCTATTCTACCCCGGATCTTCACGGGTACATAGAGTGAGCCTGAGACTGTCATACCCAGACATAAATAAATAAACTCCCATGTCTGATTACCTTCTGGTTGATGAGAGTTCGACATTCAGACACAAAGTCTCTGGAGCAGATTTCCAGGTGGAAAGGACGTCCACAGTTGTTTATACATGCATCTAACAGCTGAAAGTGACCATAATACAGACAGTGTTACACAAAGTGGGAACAACTCATAGGTATAGGACATACTGTTTCAATCTATATACCTGCACACCAGGTCAAACCTACAATGTCTCCCTTTCTAACAATTTGGTCAGACATCATAATTATTTCAAATGGATCTATTCTATACAGTGTAAACACCACACACATTAATGACAGCCACCAAAAGCTTAGTGAGTGAGTGAGTATGGTTTTACGCCACTTTTAGCAATATTCCAGCAATATCTCGGCAGGGGGACACCAGAAATGGGCTTCAAACATTGTAACCATTTCGGGATTCAAACCCGGGTCTTCGGCGTGACGAGCGAACGCTTTAACCACTAGGCTACCCGACCGCCCCCCAAAAGCTTAGTTCATGAGCTGCATAATCCTGATAAGTAAACAATAACATGTTGTTTTTATCATTGGAACAAATTTTCTACACATAAGGCTTTGCATGAAGTGTTCATAAACAGACACCAAAAATTCCTGAATTATCATATGACTGAAAAACAATCGCATGAATTACACAAAACTCAGACGATGAAATTATTACAGTGATTACAGCTTGTGCCCACGTATATTGAGTATCATAACGAAGACCAGGCATCATAGTATGGGTGTATCATTTCACCTGTATTCAATACTCAATTTGTCCTCAAGACATGTACTCACAGTCAATGCTTGCATGGATACAAAAGGAACTCTATGATTTAATCTCTTCACAATAGACTTAAGGCAATCTCTAGATCTGAAACAAACAAAATATTTTTCAATAAGATTGTTTTGTTTATCTGAAAAGTAGTGACATTTTGGTGTAGATTCCGACAAGCGAGTGATATCCCATTTCACAAGTTAAAATGATGTTAGAAACTACACTGAAACGTCTCTATCATTGGAAATCATCATGATTATGTGATAAAGATGTTGATCATCCATTATCCTGTCATCAGCTACACACCCAAATTCTAAATGCCACTAAAAGATATTTGCGGTTGGCAAATCCATATACATGATATTCTAACAAAATCACCCCACATGGTGCTAGGATTGACTAAAACTTATTGATTAATGGGAATTTGTAGCAAGATACAAACAGCAATTCAGGTGCAAACAGTGCCCATGCTGCTGAGACAGTGTTAACAAATGGCTGCTTTGTCATATTTATATCTATCAATATGTTCACATTTAACAACATTGCTTATATTCACAATAACAGCAGCCATCATTAACATGATTTAACAATGTTTGAATATAAGTCTGAAAGTTAACATGGTTAAGGGGTCCTTCCCATAACCATTGATAACCGTAATTTTAAAAGTCAAGGTTAATGGGTACCCTACATCTCAACAACCCTCAATTATGAACACTGAATAAGATCATTTCTGTAACTTTTTTGCAACAGAAAATTTTATTAGTGCATGAAAGTTACATAATTACATACCCATTCTGTGTCCTTGACACCTTTTCACAAATGTCAAGAATGAGGCTCCAGTCCTCAGTGGTATTCATTTCACTGGTTGCCTTTTCTGTGAAGTAAACAAGACACAACATTTACAGCAGTGGTAAATAATAACTGTATACACAACACCTAAGAAGAGTGAACAGGCAGAACGCACATCTGATCAAGCCATCCTAGAAAAACTATAAGAACTTCAAAATCAACACATAACACTCATTATATTCATGATGAAACAGTCAAGGGGTTGTGTGACATCTTCACAACTGAAAATGGGATCATACACTACATGGGGTTCAAATTGGTTCATTTTCTAGGACATTGACTGATTGTCATTCCAAATGTCCTGAAGATATTTTTTTCAAATTTAGTAGTTATATAAGAATATCCTATCAAAGAGTGATACAATTATGGAAATGTCCTGATGCCATTTGTTTTTTGTTTACGCCACACTCAGCAATATTCCATGCTATATGATGGCGGTCTGTAAATAATCAAGACTGGACAAGACAATCCAGTGATTGACATCATTAGCATCGACCCATGCAATTGGGATATGAAGACATGCATCAACCAAGTCAGTAAGCCTGACCACCGGATCCCGTCAGTCGCCTTTTTGCGACAAGCATGGTCGCTTTTTACGCCACGCATGGGTTGTTGAAGACCTATAAGTCACTGACAATACCATTTGTATTGTAGAAATATCATAAGAAAAAGGCTGACACTTTATTATTATTATTGTTTATCACATATCACTGTACCGTGTGTATGGCGACATGGCCTGAAGCAAGCGTGTGAAAACGCCTGTAATGATACTAAAGAATCCAGCATTTTCAATCATCAGCTACATGGAAATAACGTCAGAGCTTGATAATCACAAATTCAGTTGCTGACTACTGAGTACATCGCCAGATCACCGCCAAAGAAATATTTATAATAAATGTTCCCCCAGTGCAATCTATACATATGACACATACTCAAGGTAGTTCCAAATACCATAACATGCTAGCAATGGTTAATGAAACAAGTTACAGTTTGTATCAAATTTTATTGTTCATCCCCGAAAATTAACATGCATCCTCCACAGGACATTAGGAGATACATTGTGTTATTTAGGTCTACTGACTTTTTAAGAAGTACTTTTGTTGGGTCAGGCATAAAAGAAACATGTTGCCACTGATATTTGTTTGACATTGTACTGACTTAGTACTGGAGGATACTTCAAAAGACACAAGTGACAAACATAACATTTTGTGGCAAAGACCATATGACTATTTTGATAAATAGGACATTGTGTGTGTGAGTGTGCAGGTTTCCAAAAATAAAATGATGCTAGAATCAACTGATTTCTGCATTAAAAAAGTATACCCTATTCAACAAACAACAATGCGGTTTGATTAGTGTTGATAGTAATATTACCAATATATTCATAAATTCCAAGAATAAAAACCTAATGTGTTAATGTTGGATATGTTTAATCTGAAATTTGAAAGAACATTTGAACGTGTTGAATCTACTTGGCTGAGAGATTGTCAACCCCTTGCAGTACTTGGAAGAAAGTTTTCACCATTTTGTTCACTGATGTAACAAGATTTGGTCTATTTCAGAAATGGGGGTTGAGGATATACTTCCTCGTCAGTCAACACATGCACTTTTTTCATATCGGTTGTAAAACATCATAAAATGCAAGACATATGTGGTTACAACTTAAATAACTTCAATACTTTCCGCCAATGCTTCAACTTCATATGTGATCATTTGAAATCATAAAAACATTTGAAATCCATTACCATGAAAATAGATAACCAGTGGAAACAGTGGAGTCTGAATAGCCAGTAACTTAACATAAGTCATGACAATTGATGTGGTTAAACTGTTTATATGTGTCATACACCTGTACATCATAACCTCAGACAGTGATATACACATTTCATTTCAGACATGTTGTTTGTCATGTTCATGTGACAAATTATGTTTGACAGAAAATTACTAGCCCTTTCAATTTTTCACTAGTTATATACTGGTGGACAAGTGACTATGTTGAACTCTGGTCAATGTCAAATGAGAATCAGCTGATGTGATCACAAAGGCTTTTGTTACATAACGGACACAATAACCCTGCTCACACTGGTAACAATTGGCTATGTTGATACCTGTCTGGTACATCGCATTCGCCATACCATCTATGTAGTTGTGTTATTTGGATGTCAAGTGTATGGATACAGATACACCACGACTAACATGATGTCTCTCACTAAAGTTTAGTCACTTTAGCTTTTTCGGACTTCTGACTTCTGTTTCCCATTCAATGAGTGAGGTGTACAGTTACCGTAGTTTGGATTATAGCGATTTCATTTCATATTTTACAAGGAACAGAATTACGCAGTCGATGTAAAGACAGGTAATTGTCACAGCAGATCGCATCTTTAGGACACATATAACATCTATTAAGATCATATATCTGACAGGAATTGTCCACATATTATGATATGACTACCCGGAACAGACTGAATTTACATCGAAACTAGCGTCAATCACAAAGTAATAGGCCATCACATACTCGAAAATGTATTGTTCAATCAAAATCTTACCGACATCTTGGTCGAAAGGTGTATTCTGCGAGAAAAGAGGCATTTTAATGACAGATTTTTAATCAAAATACTGCATCACTTTTCATTCAGACCCTCTATGATACGCATGCGCAAGTAATGACGTCATATCCATCATTGTTTACTTCCGGCAAGGTGCCCTTCTCGATTAACCAGCATTGGAAACTCTCATACAGTATACACATGGCTGTTCGAACGAGGTTATTTAACCTGTGATGAAAATCCCTGTGACAATGACTGTGACCAGTCCTACCTTTATATATACTCATGAGTCAAATTACATTACGCAAATAAGAGCTCTTGTGAAGTGAAATATGTTAATTTATAATAAAGTATGGCCTAGTGATAGGATGTATTTGAAAAGAATTAAACTGAAAGAAAATGAAAAACAAGCAATACATGTTGAAAATTAAAAATAGGTGAATGTTACACGTGGAATTTTACGAATGCTTCTTTCAGTTTGTGCCTTTCATTGAAATGTTCAGATCCCATAAGCTCATCCAAGGCATATTTCGTCTTCAAGACATTTTATTTGTATCTTCTTTTCCCACTATTTAATACGGTTGATTATCAAAAATATAAGTCGTTTGTTGAATATTGGATCATCTGTTTTTCTATGAATACACAATGTCATTTAGAAAGTGGTCAAACGTAACAAGTGTTATATTTGGGATAACACCTTCTTAGTAAAGTACATATTCTCGTACTTTTTTGGGTTGTGTGTGTGTGTGTGTGTGTGTGTGTGTGTGTGTGTGTGTGTGTGTGTGTGTGTGTGTTGTTTAGTGGTGCACTCAGCAATACACTAGCTATATGACCAGAAACTCTAGTGATTGATTTCATGAGCACCGATCTATGTATCTAGGATATGATGACATGCATCAACCTAGTCAGCGAGCCTGACCACCCAATCCGTAAGTCTCCTCTTACAACAAGCATTATATATATATATATATGCGCACGCGCGCGTGCGTGCGTGCGTGTGTGTGTGTGTGGTATTGTTTCAATATCCAAATTTATCTAAAAATATCTTCAAGAAATACACCTTTTAGGACTTTGCAAGTACTATCCAACTCGAAGTTATTTTAATTGTGAGCTTAGAAGCTGAAACTGATCTTCTATCTCCCGACACGTTCACCATGATGGTATCCCATTATGAATCACTATGTTGTCTCGGACTTTACCAAAAGTAATGTCAAATATTAAATGTAATTAAAAGTAATGTTATAAAAATTAAATTTGGATTCGATTCTCACCTTCGGGATTTGGAGTCTGCAGCTTCTGGGGCGGTCGGGTAGCCAGGTGGTTAAAGCGTTCTCTCGTCACACCGAAGACCCGGGTTCGATTCCCGGCATGGGTACAATGTGTGAAGCCCATTTCTGGTGTCCCCCGCCGTGGCAATGATGGAAGATTGCTAAAAGCGGCGTAAAACCACAAAAAACTCGCTCTGCCGCTTGTCTTAAAAACCGTACCAATAAATGAGGATAGGATGGTGTATCATAACACCCTGAGAGCGAATTGTTGCTGACGCTGTCAACCATGCACTCTGGATGGCCGGGCCCAGGTTTGATCATTTACAGTCGTGTTATATAGTAACATTATTTCTGACAGCGGTAATATATGTAACATGTAATTGTAGCATTCACTCACGAACTGTAGTTGTAAAGTCAATACATACACACCTATAAATTACAATGAGATGTTTCTCCGAACCTTTTGAAAACCCATACACAATACATACGTATACAACACGCTTGGCAAAACTGTCCACACTTTGTGTGTGTGTGTGTGTGTGTGTGTGTGTGTGTGTGTGTGTGTGTGTGTGAAGATCCGGTTTGCCATTAAAGGCGACTAACGGGATCTGGTGGTCAGGCTTGCTGACTTGGTTGATGCATGTCATCGTATCCCAATTGTGTGGATCGATGTTCATGATGTCAATTACTGGATTGTCTGGTCTAGACTCGATTATTTATTGTATCACTCTTTTATGGGATATTCTTATATAACTATTAAATTTGAAAAACATCGTCAGGACTATTTTTTCAAATAAAGAAAACACACAACAAGAGTTGTGAGGGACATGTTAGATATTCAAATCAGTTTAACATATAGCTGGAATATTGCTGAGTGTCGCGTTAAACAACAAACAAAACAAACAAACAAAACAGCGAATTGCTGAAGTGACACACTCCGGAGTTATCCGATTGTACCCGATCGCCAGATCACCTTGACCTTACAATTTAAGATGGCGGGAAGACTCGTCACGTATGAGCTTCATGTCATATGTTTATTGCCGTTGGAATTTCACTTTACAGATGTTGTCACGGCATGACACTTTCACCAAGTATACATTATATGTTATTTTACAATATTTGCTAATAATTCATTAACAGTTGAAAGGCAAAAGTGTGTTATTGTTTGTTTGCTTGGTGTCATGTCCTGTTAGCTAGCTTGCTTCCTCTCGCCGTCTCGGTTCTTCAAAAACTGTTCTGGCTGTGACCAGCATGCATTGCATATTGTTGACGATGTATGTCTTTTGAAACAAAACGGAAGAATTTCTATCATTACAGAAACCTTTCTGGTTTACAACCTTTACAATGCTATTTCGGAAGACATGTTCAATCCTAATTTGGTTTATGGTCTGTTTTGATTTTGAACTTATAGGCCCTAGTCCAGCAATGTCGGCACGATATTACGCAATATTAATTAATATTGTGGATTTGATAAGTGTGTCTTTACATATGTTTTCAATGCCACCTTGTTTTATGGGTAAGTTATTTTAGGGATTGTTGCCATTGTTTGGAAAGTTAGACTAGAATAAGTGTTTGTTTACTGTGTAGGAGTAGAGCAGTTGCTTGAAAATATATTCGATATCACTATTTTAACAGAAAAATATCCACATCGTCATACTTCCACTCAACCAACCATCCTCAAAACACACACACACACACACACACACACACACACACACACACACACACACAAATCGTTTGAAAATTAAAGATATTCGAATTTCTCATTCATTATTGCTTTCCGTTTGAGTAAGGATAATATTTATGGATGAACAACTTCTTTATTACAATTAGGAGCGACGTTTCGGTGTAGGTTCTAACACCGTGATCAATTCATAAATCTTGTCCTTACTCTTAGTACTCCAACTACTAAATGCTTCTCAAAGAAGTTTTCCTTCTGAGCACTTTTAAAGTGGTTGGGAAGGATATTTGCTCTGAAAGACCAACGGTTTGTTGAAAATTATATTTGGGGCCATTTTTTAAAGGTATGGGCCATTTGGACAAACATCTTCCCGAGGCAAGGGATTTAACTGACTATAAAAGTCTAGTTTCCACCCTTGCCGAACTAGGCAGGAATTCCAGAGTTACATTTTGACTGGACTAATGAGCCTATGCATAGTCCAATCAAAATTGTGTAACGAACTAGAGTCCGGTTTGTAAACGACATATATTTCAACATGCAGATTTTGGTCGACTGCAGGATTTGCAATGCATGTGTACTGTCAACAGGGCGTTGACAGATATTTTGCAAATCTTTTCATGTTTTTGATCAAGGTGCTCAAGTGATTTCATGCACTTCTTGTAGTAAGACCTGGTTTATTACCATATAGATCTTGATTATTTGATCAGATCGTCTTGACTGGGTGCCGCCATTTTGTTTGAATCAAATGCAAGTGATATGAGAATTGAAAACTGATAGGTAAATAGGGACATAGAAGGGACGTAACTTGTAATAGCCTCTAGTGGCACTACGATCAAGCCTGGAAATTCCAGCCCAGTTTGGCAAGGGTGGAAACTGAATTTTTATAGTCAGATAACACCCTTGCCTTGGGAAGATGTTGGTCAAAAGAAGTGAGCTTAAATTACTTTCTTCAGTTTGTGTAAAAATATTCTGAATCATAGATAAAAAGAGATACCAAACATAAGTTTTGAAATTTGTGTATCCTTTGAAAATGCATTATTCCTTGCAGTTTTCACACAAAGTTTACAAAAATATTTTTTCGTTTCCATGAAACGATGAGTCCTCCATTTTCCTCCAGTATGTGATATTTTCGTTCGTCGGGTATAATACTCACACTGCCGTCACCTGATTGTGACTGTCATTTTGTGATATTGCTTTCAGAAACAGATGAATAGATTGTTTTGTGTTAGAATTGTTGGTCAACTGATTGATGTATTCACCACTGCAGTCGCGATATATTCAAATAAAATATCCTGCCATGGAGGACAATTATTTTATTCCATGCTCGTAATAATGGGTTAACATGCTTGAGATCAAATCAGTTTCACTAAATATCTACTGATGATGGTGTGTATTTTTTCAGACGATTATGAAAACTTGGGACTTACTATCTGAGATGGCAAGCTTACTATTTTCTGGTCCAGAAACATTGTTTCCATTTGATGGGCTTAAAGCTGTTTTCCCAAACTTTTTACTGTCCTGTAATTATCTATTGACTGTTGAAATATTTTGAAATATACCGATACAACGAAATGCAAAAATATATTGAATAAACACGTTAACCAGAAGGATGGATAGTCAGAATAAGCAAAAAAATGAAAATGTATACACATGTTTTTGTTAATTGGTTTCTGAAAAGAATTGGTGGAATGAAATTAAGGAAAAGTACTGGTCTAAAAGCATTTCTTTGCTTCCTATTTTGACCTATTTTGTATTTTTTGAAATTACTTGGCAGGGGGAAGCATTGGTCTCAAAATTGTGATTTGTTCACCATTTGTGAAATTTTGGTTAGTGATCCAAATACTACTAGTATTATAAACGTCTTTAAATGGCATTTAGCTTTTTTTTATGTTTTGTTACACATATTGCCTTGGTCAGGTAGGGCATTAAAGGTGTGTGGGTTATTAATTGGATCTCTCCTTGCATGTCAATGACCCTTATATATGAAAGTGAACACACTGAAAGCAAGAATAGTATGAGCAGTCACACTCAAGTGGTACACAGAAACTAGTAAATTAAATTCTTTGATTATTATTTTGACTCTAACAAGAAATGGTTGGAACAGTTGAAAGATAGTAAATGATTTGTTGTGGTTGAAATGATTTTAGAATGAGTACATTGTCAGCTTGAAGTCATGAATTGTTTGTGGTAAGCAGATATCAGATCAACTTGAGTTATTTCCCTTTGATATGATATGGGGATTTCCCTTTCAAACATGGCTTACGGTACTTCTCTCTTTGAAGCTGATATCAGCACGTTTTGAGAGTCTATATTTACACATGATCATTGTTGGAAATAGATAAATAACATCCTTCTGTGTGGTTTCTTTATTTTTCTTCCTAATATTGGAAACCTATAATTGTAAGTATTATTGTTATGCTATGTTTACCTCTGAGTTTGCCACAGGACATACGGTTAAAATGGTATGTTTGAGATCCAGAAAAATGGCTAAAAAAAACTTGTTAAAAAGTGTGATTTTCTATTGGGCACTTAAACTGAATATGAGTCAAGATGTGAAAATGAAATTATTAATTTTGATGGTTGATAAAAAAGTTACTAACAGAAATTAGTGATCAACATTTATATATAATGTGAAGTATAAATGGGCATTGCTAATCAACAATTTTTGTTAGTTCTCAGGATAGGGATAATATTAATCAACATGACTTCCAGCCTAGACAAGTGCTATCAAATCAACTGAAACTAGAGGGGTGGTTGGGTCGCCCTGTTAAGTAATTGACCTGTCACACTGGCAATGTGTTTGGAAACACTTTTGATCCACCGTTGAGCTAGTTTCGCAGTTGTAATCTAGAAAGTTTGCCCCTATCCATGTCATTGAGATTGATTTTCATCAATTTTCATGTTTTACAATTAGTTGTTCAAAAGTACATTATCTCATGTTTCAGATATAGTAAGCAATGCCTTCAAGTATCCTTGTTGGAAACAACATGATTTTGTCCATGCCTTGACATTCTGATTCAAGGTATTTCTTACCCAGCAGCTAGGTAGAGACATTGTTCTGCTGCACTGTAATTGTAATTGTTTAACATTTTCATTCTGAGACTGTCATCGTATCCCAATTGCGTTGGTCGATGCTCATGTTATTAATCACTGGATTGTCTGGTCCAGACTTGATTATTTACAGACTGTCGTCATATAGCTGGAATATTGCTGAGTGCGGCGTTAAACAACAAAGCAACCAATGATTCTGAGACATCAACTGCATCATGCTAAAATATCTCTCATTACTTTCAGAATGTAGCTGTAACCTTCTAGAACAATGTCACGACGAGGGGCCCCAAAATATGGGGGCCGGAAGAAACGGGCAAATTACTTTGCCCTCCAAGCATACGAGGTTGAAAGTGAGTAAACCTTTTATGCTGGCAATTAGTATTTATTATCAATTTTGAATAATATTAATGTTATGGCTGACAAGATATATGAATAACAAATTAGAGATGTGAATACAACAGTTTGATGCATAAGTTGGGATCATCATGGTTAGACATGGCCACAACACTGATAGTGAGAGACTAGTGAAATTCAGGAGGGACAGTTGTTTTATCCCAATTTTTAGTTATTTTACACAAGCCACAAGTCCAAATGATATAGTTCAATATGACCAATTGTGTTGCCCCCAAGTTCAATGTTCCAGTCTTGATTTGTCTGCTACTTAGTACTTACGTAAGGAAAGATAGTATTCTATTGTGCACTGGTGTTGCAAGGAATGACTGATGTAAATAATATAAGGGTAACGCTATTTTTCAGGGCATTATCATTTGGAGAAGCCCGAGATCTTCCATTAACTGCCCGACGAAAGAGGGCAGTTGAAAAGACCGAGGGCTTCTGCAAATAATGCCCTGAAAAATAGCGTCACCGTTATTATAGCTAATGTGGATGGAAGTTGTTATCAGATAAAAAGAAACAACAATATCGGTTTTGAAACATTCACTGCAATCAACACGAATGTCACTGACCCACTTTTACATAAACGCCATAGAATAAACCAGATGACATCACTATTGAATGTGCCGTCACCTATCCCTATCCTTTGACGTCACCTAACAACGGGCGTGATAATGGCAATATGAGCAATATAAGGGCATTATCAAGTTACAGTGGCTCGCTCATTTCTGATAACATGCAGGCGGTTTTATGATAATTCTATCCATTTTAGCTGTAATACTTCTTGGAGACGTCTTCAAGATGTTTTGTCTACCAGTGGTTTGAATTCCGAAGCTTAGTATATTTTATGATTTCTTGAATAAACACCTGCCTTGAGTAAACACAAAATCAATTGACACGGCAAATAAATAAATGCTTTATAAATGAACTATTATTGTTGTTGTAGCTATTAACCCCCACCACGAAATAGGAACAGAGTTCGTCTTTCTGTCCATCCGTTCGCTTCTCAAAGGGGACAAATTTTCTCAAAAACTATGTATGTCAGAGAAATGAAATTTTACACACTTATGTTACTGGTCATGATCTCAAATGTGTGTTGTAAATTCATTTTTAAGTTGCAGCGCTTGATTCATGTTATTTTACTTAGTGCATAGTGTGTGCAATGGGGACAAGTTTTCTCAGAAACTACCAAAGTTGTCTAAGCTTATCTAAGAGTTACTTATCAGGACTGAGTAAGTTTTTCCAGAGAAGGGGCCTTTTGTGCAAATTAAGTTTACATTTAGTCATTTTTATCCCCCCGGCATGAATCGTTTCCACAGCAGAACTCGAAAACCGTTAAATATTTCTTCATCAAATTTTGCATTTATATCACTTGAGTGGTGAAGTTGTGCCTTTTGCTATTTCCAATTTATTTTATTTTCCAATTTTCATGAAAGCATGCTGGACAAAGGCTAACTTTGTGAGTGATGTTTGTTTCCGGAACAGAACTCCGAAAGTGTAAAATATTTCTTCATCAAACTTTTGCATTTATATCACTCAAGTGGTGAAGTTGTGACTTTTGCTATTTTGCAATTTTAGAAATATTTCTTTTTTATGTTTCCATGGCAACAAGTTGGACTTAGGTTCTATAAGGGTGGTGTTGATTTCTGGAGCTTAACTCAAAAGCTGTTAAATACTTTCTTTAAAAAACTTTGCATGTCTACCAAGCACATACTGAACTGGTGCCTTTTGCTATTTAGGAATTTTATGAATTTTTATTTTTCACGTTTCCATGGCAACAAGTTGGACTTAGGTTCTATAGGGTGGAGTTTGTTTCCGGAGCATAACTCAAAACCCATTTAATACTTTCTAACAAAGCTTTGGATGTCTGTCAGACTTATGCTGAACTGGTGCCATTTGATATGCAGAATTGCACATTTACTTGTGGTTACTTTAAAGACAGCTGCCGGGGAGATATGTCATCTTTCGGATGACTCTTGTTTCTGATGACATAAAGCAGCCAAAATCACTATCTCCTCTTAAGGCTTTATAGGACATTGTTTTATAGTTTATATTCACTACTATATGAACCAACAGAATTCTAATGTGAGCCATGGTGGGGGATAGTGATACATGTAGCACTATTTTTTGGTTATCATTATTATTGTCCCCCGCCGCGCGAAAGCGCGGAGCGGGGGACATGTTATTCATGACCGTCCGTATGTCCCACCTGTTTGTTGCCGCGATATCTCAAGAACTAAACACTGGATTGTCTTCATATTTTGAACTATGGTGTATATACAGACTCCGCAGACACCAGTCGGTTTTGGTTACCTTGACCCCATTTTCAAGGTCACAGCAGGCAAATCTGCTTTTGGAGTTGGAAAACGGTGTTGCCGCAATATCTCAAGAACTAATCGCTGGATTGTCTTCATATTTGGTACTATGGTGTATATACAGACTCCGCAGACACGATTTTGGTGACCTTAACTTAATTTTCAAGGTAACAGCAGGGTAATCTGTTATTCGAGGCGGGGGACATTTCGTCACTTTGTGACAAATACTTGTTATTATTGTTGTTGTTATGAAAAAAAATACATGACGATATGAACTTCACATGATCAGTGTTTGACACTGGGCCATTTGACCAAATCTGGTCTGGTAGCCAAGTCAGAGGTCCAGATAAGCTACATACAGTCAAGTCTCATTTATCACGTCAGAACGACCTTTTTGCGAACTTTGACTAACCAATGAAATTACCAACATCAGTAACAGGAAGCCACTAAGCAAACAGCTTTCTTGAGCTTTGCGGCACAAGTTTCAAACTGGCAACTCCCATTCCAGACTATGCTTTTAAAAGTATTTGGATCAAGTCATACAGCCCAAATCAGTAGTTTTGTGTGAAGATTTAGAGGTTGCATGATCAGAAAACATATTCCGTTAACAATGCACATTGATGTAGCCGAACAATATGAATATTTCTTTTTTCATATTTTTTTTATAACGTGTTTTCAATCGTGTAGTTGTCCGATTTTTTTCCATGAACGTTGATACTATTACTTTCGTATATCCGACATTCTTGTTAATCCGACATAATCATATAACCATGTCGGATTAACGGTACTTGACTGTATTTGCATAAAATACACAATAATCACCATTACCAAATTCATATTGTGGCCAGTTATGTTGACTTTCTGGTTGCAAAGTGGCAAGCAGTAGATAAATGATTTAAGTTGCATTTGGCCACCAAAATGGTCGTTAAATCAGAGGGCTGCACTATGGTACTTAGAAAATTTTAAGAATGAAACAATATTGATCAATAATTAACACTTTGTTTTAACTCTTTTTTCAGTGTCAGACAAAAAGAACTGTGTCAGAGAGATCATTGACTTTGCCAGGGTGTATTTTGAGAATGGACAGTATGGCCGTGCCTTCAATCTTTGTAACGAAGCTGAACATAAGGCATATGAGTATTTTGGGTACCCAGAAAGTGACCTCTTTATGGATATCTATGACATTCGTACCCAGCTGTACATCAAACAAAATGATCCAGATGGAGCACTTGAGGATGCCTCACAAATGATGGAAATGATGAATTCAAATCCACTAGTAAGTTACCATTTTCTGGCTTGCATTGTCCAGTCAGTAACTTTTGGACCCGTGAACATCCAGGGTAGAATAGGTCTTCAGCAACCAATGCTTGCCGTAAAAAGGGATTATGCTTGTCGTGAGAGGCGACTAATTGGATCGGGTGGACAGGCTCGCTGACTTGGTTGATGCATGTCATCAATCACAATTGCGAGGATCGATGCTCATGATGTCAATCACTGGATTGTCTGGTCCAGACTCGATTATTTACAGACCGCCGTCATATAGCTGGAATATTGCTGAGTGCGGCGTTAAACAACAAACCAACCAACCAACGACAGTAACTTTCTACTTGCGTAAACCCGGGGTCATGGTTGGCCTATTTGTCTAAGGCCCAGCTGTTTGCTGTGCAGAATTGCTTCCCTTGGGCATACCAGAAACCTATGATCATCGGTTCCAGTCCCAGTTCGCACTGATTACGTTTCTAGGTTTGTCAGCACCATACCACTTATGATACCAGTGCTCGTAGGTTTCACTTTTGGCTTTCATCCCACATTAAGCTGCCTCACCTTGATAGTGGAATACTGTTCAAAGCAGCGTTAAACCCCACTCTCTCACTTGCCCGCCCAACCGCCCACTCTAAACCATTGTTGTCAGCATGTTCAGTGGATTTTCTTTGAATGTACTGCATAATAGATTGAGAACAATTTCATATCACCATAGGCAGCAAATGTATGAACACTCATTTTTGATCAGTCGTAACTCAAGTGTCATGTGATACAAGCATCTCTTTGCTGCACAACCAGGCTTGCCACTGGTTTATACTTGTTGGTGTTGCGTGAAATGATTGGACATATACTAAACAAGAAGTGTTGTGAAGACTAATGTCAGATATTATATTTATTATCGTATGATTCCTGTAAATGTATGTCAAGTTGAAGTGACATAGAAAATTATGAAAATATGAATTACTTGGATTTTTTAAAAGTATTCTTCAATGTATATCTTCATGTGCTCAACAATCTGAACAAGTCGTTTCGCTTCGACTACAAGAAAACCACACATTCCTGTCTGACCTTGTAGTTTTGCGTTGACTGCCTTGGACCTATGCTAAATAGATATTGTTATGCCCAGTTCATGAAATAAAAGATCTTTCATATTTTCTCTCTATAAATGCAAGCAATGTCTCAATTATATAATTTTGATCAAAAACAAAATAATGTATTATTCCAAGTGTAAACTAAAGGATTAGCAAATTCTTTGTATCATTGTATGCATAGCTAACACTTACATCAGGTATATAGAAGTTAGAACATTGAATACTGTTGCAAGTTTCAACAGCCATGAAAAGCATGTCATGACATGTCAACACACACACTCAAAAACTACCAATATATTTAGACCGCCTCCGTGGTCTAGTGGTAGAGCGTCCGCCCGGAGAGCGGAAGGTCCGGGGTTCGATCCCCGGCCGCGTCATACCAAAAGACGTTAAAAGTTGGTACTTGATGTTACCCTCTCTGGCGCTCAGCATTAAGGGGCTAAAACAAGGACTGGTCGGCTTGGAGTCAGTATACTGTGTCTGAGTGGGATATTCATGTTAAACTGCGGCATGGTATCTCAGTGAGCACTATAAATCGGCATCAGTCCAGACTAGTACAAGCAGCCACACAAACACACACACGTACATGCACGTCACTATATAAGTGCAATAATCTTGGAAGTGACGTTAAACCCCATTTCACCACCTCACCAATATATTTTGGTGTTAGTCAAGTGATCAACAGTTTCATTTCCCTTTCCTGATGTACTACATCCTGGTTCATTTAGATATTGTTGTTTCAGAAACTAAAACCATGTGTATCCATGACAACCACAAAATAGATCAGCAGTTTGATATGACACAGGGATTTATCTAGGAATCCAAACTAGCTGCCTTCGGAAGGCAAATTGGGAAAAATCATTATTTTATTTAAAGTTGGGGTCTGTTTTAAACTTAATTTTCCTAAATTCAGATTGAATGACAGACGGCTGTCATATAGCTGGAATATTGCTGAGTGCAGCATTAAACAACAAACAAAACAAGCAAGGTAAAACCACACACATTTGTCCAAACAACTTAAGTCACAGTGGCAAGAAATCACCAACTGTCTGTCAGCGTCTGCAAATAGAACTGCATACATTTTAATGTCATTGAATGAAAAAACAAGTTGGAAAACAAAAGTATATTAGTATTTTCCTAAATTTAGAAGTATTTTAACATTTCACTAAATGCAATAATGTAAAGCTAAACATGAAGACCTCTTACTTTGTAGTGGACCTGTTATCATTATGTCTCTTCCCCTCAATGCTTTACTGGTGTCATTTTCTATTTTATTATTTTTCCAATTTTTTTTGTTTGTTTCCATGGAAACAATTTAGAATTATTCTCAAACGAGGGTAGGGTTTGTTTCCAGGCTAAACCTTGAAAATCGTTCAACATATTTCAATGAAACTTGGCGTATCCATTGCTCATCAGCTTAACTGATGCGTTTTGCTAGTTTGAAATTTTTCTAAATTACATTTTCGTATGTTTCCAAGGAAATAAGTTTGACTTAGTCTTATACAAGGGTAGAGTTTGTTTCTGGGCCATAACTTCAAAACATTTCAACATTTTTCAGTGAAACTTGGCATGTGAAGTTACTCATCAGCTTAAGTTCCGCCTTTTGCTGTTTTGAAATTTTTTTCCATGGAAACAATTTGGACTTAGTCTCAAACAACTTGATGTTTCATTTCCAAGCCAAAACTTTCAAACTAATGAATATTTATGCATGAAACTATACATGTATAATGACCACATGCTCAACTATTGCCTTTTCAAATTTTTTAATTTCTACTTTTTTTTCAATTTCTTGTGTTTCCATGCTAACCAAGCCATAAATGGTCGGTGGCATCAGCTGTAATTCTGCTTCATTGATGCATTAATCAGAATCTGTACGAGTATTGTTTTGTTTGTATTGTTTTTCAGATTTGCAAACACATTTATGGTAACAACTTGAACTAATGTATCAACAAAAAGAGGGGGAAGACATCATTTATGATTGAATACACTCTCTAGTTGTAATACAAGTCAGCTTTGAAGAACCGTAACATAAGGTTTTAATAGCATGGACTGGGACATTTTGTATTCCAATTTGGAAATGTTGACTACATTTTCTGTAGAATGGAAGTTTTAGGGGCAGAATATCAGTCTCTAAGCAGGTCTACATAAATCCCTGTCTATCAGTATCAACGTATATTATAGTGATATATATAGGCTAATAGTGTTTTTAGTGGTTAGGTGTCCTGACATCTCCTTGCATGATAAAAGGTTCTCCTGTTTGCAGAGTAACCTGCGCTATGCCCAGGCAATGAGGGCGGGTGGCAAGCTAGCAGACTGTTTTGGCTTCCTGGTGGAGGGCTTGAAGCACCTCTGTGCAACCGAGGAAGACAGAATCACTTACTTTGCTGAACTGGCTTCGGTTATCCCAGATATCACTGGTAATGTTTCTGATGGAGCTTTGAACACTTTCCTATCATGCATATCCTCAACAAATCTTAACGTTACCAGGGTTTTACGTGACGTACAAATGTGTATCCATTACGCCCAAAAGATGAGAGTGGACGCAGAAAAGAATATGCTGTGGCTCAAGGGATGCACAATTTTTTATATTCATTGTACCTACAGCGTATGAAGAGCAGTTATGGTGTCTGTTATTTCATCCATTAATCATTACCACTGTTCACATGATCATTGATTCATTCGAGGCTCTAAAGAAATGATCTTATGTACAGACACTCCACCATTTCATTACTTTACAGAACCCCAATATCGCCTGCATGGATCCTCAAAAGTAATTATTGGGGGTCCCCTGGATCCTCACTTTTGTAGGTCAAGGTAAAACCCTGTGTTACAAATGAAGCCTTTTTCATATATTTTTCATAGAATTATCTGAGGTTTAACGTTACCTCATCCATTGCAAGTTTAATATTAAAAGAAACAGACGCTTTATCGGTTGATTCTGGTGAACTTTTCCAGTGGAAGATGACAGTGTTTATAATGAGATAGACCTCCCCAGCTCATCCCAGTTTTGGTCTAGTGTCCTGAAGAACCTAGCCAAGAGCGACAGATGGCAGGCTGTGTCGCTGCTCATCCTCGGCCTCACCAACGGGCAGGACTGTCCACTGGATTGTGTTGCCTCTGATGCTTCAACAGCAGGCATCAGTGTCTCGGGGCTGCTCAAGCACCTGCCTGATGTTGAGCTGAAGAAATGGGGCATTAAGCTTGCTATCTGTCTCCTGAAGAAGGGAGCAGCCATGGAGAGTATTTCAGCTGATATGGTAGAGCCTGTGCCTATTACTGCAGTGGTATCGGCCATTAGAACAGGTACTGGTATTAATATTGTTCCTGGAAATAAGAAAATTCCATTTTGTAACTATGTAATGTGGTAGATACTTTGTAGGGCTGGGACGAGTCAAAATGTACGACCCGGGTACTTGACCCCCTATTACCTGACCCTACCTGGGTACGTTCAGTTATCTTGGTTTGTATTTTAGCAATAGATTACTGTGGTCAAAAGCTTTAAGTAATATTGCAATTCAGGCAAGAAAGGTGTTAATGGTCCTTTTAAGTAGTATACATTCCTTGAAACCATACTCGCCTCACTTTTACTTCAAATTATTTGATGCAAAGATAACACCAATACTTTTATACAGGGCTGAAATTTGGGTGTTCAGTGACATAGAACCACTAGAAAAAGTTCAATTTTATGCCTGTAAGCGTCTTTTAAATGTAAAGTTATCAACTTCAAATAATGGGGTATTACGCAAGTGTGGTAGAAACTCTATCCAGTGTCTTGCTGTTTTGAAATTTGTCAAATATTGGCTGTCTCTTTTAAATATGCAGGAATCCCGCTTACCAAAAAAATGTTCCAATATGTTGCGCTTGTTCGATGAACAAGGCCACGTAAATTGGGTAACGAAACTTAAAACTGTTATTTTTAGATTAGGATTTGGTGATGTCTGGTTCTTTCAAACATGTAATAAAACCGTATTTTTAAATATGTTGCGTCAACGGTTAAAAGACTAGTTAAAACTTTTTTCAGGTTTGGCATAGTGATTTATTTGAAAGCCCCAAAATGGCTCATCATGCACAGTTTAAAACATACATTTTGTGTGAGAACTATTTGAGTGGTATTACAGTAAATAAAATCAAAACCACATTGACATGTTTTCGGCTTAGTTCTCACAATTTAGAAATTGAACGTGGACGACATTATAATATTCCTCGTGAATTTAGAAAATGTAAAGTTTGTAACTTAAACCATTTCGAAAATGAATATCCCTTTTTGTTAATTTGTCCAGCTTACAGCCATCTTAGGCAAAGTTACATAAAATCTAAATTTTACATCATTCCAAATATTCTGAAGTTTAATACACTACTGTCATCGCAAGACCCTATTATCAATATGAATACAGCAAAGTACTTGTTTTATGCCAATGCTGCAAGAACACAAATACTCCAACATGTATAATGTGCAATTATTTTAAGACTGATTTTGTTAAAAAGCAAAGAAATGTATTTCATCTTCTACTGTGTGCACCTTAATTGTATTTCGTCTGTACAAAAAGACCCGTGGCCTACAAGTACTGAAATAAAGTGAAGTAAGGATTATACAGTAACAATAGTCCACAAGTCTTAGACTAGTCAAATTCAGAGAGGACTGTTGACATTTCCGTGTGTTCCACTACCACTTGGATAGATGGCAACTTTATAGCAGATCCGGTAATAATTTCTGACCCACGGAAACACTAATGATTGAATGTGACACTATCAGGCAACAACGAGCTGTTCCGATATGTGATGGAGACCAGCTCCAAGTTCCGGCTGCAGATTGACAACAAGGACAAGAATGGGGACACACCGCTCCACATCCTGGTGAAATCTGGGAAGACGAACTCATTCAGCGGAGAAGCTCTTCTCAAATTGTTGCTCAATTACGGAGCAACTGTCAGTGTTCAAGACTCAAGTGGAAAAAAGCCGATTGACTATCTGGACGCAAAAACACAAGTGTATGCTCACCTGAGTCAGGCAGCTAGCAATTCAGGTAACTTATATGTCATACTGAGCATCTCTACAAATAGGATCCCTTGAGGTGACCTGTTCACCTGTTGGTCGTACAGACCGAAAGAAACAAAAAATACTGATCAACAGATTGCACAACAGTCATAGTTGCACATGACTCACTCAACAGTTGAGAATGGTGAAAATATTTGTAAAAATACTTTGTATGTTTTGAATATTTTCAGTGATTTTATTATTTCACTCGACTGCCAACAGGTAAAGAGAAACTTTGATCCCGGCAGCCAACTGGCGACAGTGTATATTGGCAGTGACATTACTGATAGTTTGTTCTTAATACTAGGGCTGCAACGAATACACTATGAGGCGAATATGATACATATCACGAATACTGGGTAACGAATATGAATATTTATTCACGAATACAAAAAATCAGCAGTGAAACAATAAAATATTTTTTTTGACATGGTTTAATATTATTATATTATACATTGATATACTGCAGTTATCCAGGTACTAGCATCTGCTCAAATATGACAATGACCAGGGATCACATCACTGTACAATTTAATATGTAAGAGAGCTGTCTTTGAAGAAATCTACGTATGCATATATTAAGTTCTTATGGAGGTGGAGTTGTAGATAACCAACACAACACACAACTGCATGGCTTGTATAGGTTCCATTGTGCATATCTTGCTTTGATAAACAACAGAGAGCTTCAAGTGAAAAACACTCTTATTTTTTGTGTGTAAATATTCGATTCTTGTGACCACGAATAACGAATTCAATTTGTGAAGAGAAACGGTTCTATTCACCGAATATGTGAGTGAATCATAACAGCCCTCGTTCTTACACCCAGGATGGTGGCTTGGATTAGTGTTGACAGTGTTTGAAATCAAGCATTGTGCACAATATCAATCACTGGATTGTGTGGTCTTGAGATAACATCTTGTCGGGGAACGTGTGGCTCAGTCGTCTAAGGCACCGTAATTCGATGTTCAGAGTTGCACCCATTGAGAACGCCTATGATAGTGGGTTTGAATCCCTGTTCTATAAAATTTTATGTTTCTAGGTTTGTCAGCTCAGTTCCCGTGCTGGTGGGTTTCACCAAAGATGTAAACCTCTGAAACCTGCATCACTTCAGGCTTTCCTCCCTGCTGACACGCTCTGATATAACTGGAATACTGTTCAAATCGGCTTTTTCCAACTCACTTTATCACTGCTACAGTTTGATGTGAAATAAATTAACACCCCTGATTGAGAACTGCAGCCCATGACAGAGCTGTAGAGTCAAGACCCGTGAAGATCCAGGGTAGAATAGGTCTTCAGCAACCCATGCTTGCCGTAAAAGGCAACTATGCTTGTTGTAAAAGGCGACTAACAGGATTGGGTGGTCAGGCTCGCTGACTTGGTTGATGCATGTCATCGATCCCAATTGCGTGGATCGATGCTCATGATATCAATCACTGGATTGTCTGGTCCAGACTCGATTATTTACAGACCGCCGTCATATAGCTGGAATATTGCAGAGTGCGACGTTAAACAACAAACCAACCAACCAACCATGAAGACTCGGGGACTTGATTAGGTACGACCATCTGTAACACAATGATGCACTGAAAGAAGAAAGTAGTTCAAATCCATGAAAGCTCTGTCTTCAAGGAACAGGTTGTGGAAACAATACTAGCAAGTACTGGTGTTCTATAATGGACATAACTGATCAAGCCACCCATTCTGTGATGATTGGAGTACTGTTTAAAGCAGTGTTAAACTCACTCACTCGCTAGCCCATCCAACTCACTCACTCACTCACTCACTCACTCGTCCATCCAACTCACCCATACACCCACTCACCCATCCAACTCACTCACTCACCCACTCACTCCATATTGCAGATGGTGCTCTAAGGAAGAGGATAGCTGGTATGAAAGAACAAGGAAACAAAGCCCGGCAAGACAAGGACCCGTTCAGTGCTATCGGGTGGTACAAGGACGCAATTGCTTTAGCCTTAACAGTCCCCAACATGAAGCAAGACTTGGCGGTCCTTCACAGTAACTGTTCTGCTGTCTACTCCAGCTTAGAAATGTATAATGATGCTCTGAGATCTGCGGAAGCAACTCTTGCCAGTGATCCTAAATTTCACAAGGTAGGTACAAACAGTTTTGGCAGTGAAAATCCTTTTAAAAAAGTAAAGCAGGCACTATTATGTTGAATAATAATGAGTAGGAATTACTTTAACTGGTTCTATTTGGACAAGTAAAACACTAGTTCATTTGTATGAGTAGTGTAAAAGTCTATACGTCCAATTGGAGTGGGGGAGTTAGTGTGACTCGTAGTCTGTATGTGTGTCTGTAGGGTCCCACATTTGTTGTTAGCCAGATAGGGTCATTTATGGGAGTCTACAGACACCTCTTTAATTATGTGAAAATGTATAATTATGCTCTTATTTTTTTGTTGGTCAATGGACCAAGCTAACACAGTAGTTCTACCCCCGACAAAATATATATAGTTATACCAAGGTTCCGTCCGTCCGTCTGAAAACTTTGTCTGCACAATTTCTCTTAAACTATTCAGGGGATTCATCTCAAACTTAGTACATATAATCTGTGTTATATGGAGGGGTGCAGTCAAAAGAAAAAATTGTTTTAATTAATTTTCCATTTTTTTAATGAATTTTTCAAACCCTAACGTCCGTCCGAAAACTTTGTCTGCACGATTTCTCTTAAACTATTCAGGGGATTTATCTCAAACTTAGTACATATAATCTGTGTCATATGGAGGGGTGCAGTCAAAAGAAACAATTGTTTTTATTAATTTTCCATTTTTTCATGAACTTTTCAAACCCTAACCCTATCCTAGCTATTTAATTTGTAACTACTGACACACTAGGCGGGTCTGGGGTATTAGTGAGCCACGCTCACTTTTGCACTTGTTATGACTGTATTAATGTGAAGTGGGCATTTCTGCTTTCATGTGCTGAAGACTTGGGGCCAAATATATATGTCGGTCTCGGAGCAGGGTTAGACAAAGCCAGGGTAGGGTATAATTACTCCATAGGTATTCATTGCAAATCAGTGTAGATCAAACTATGGTCTCATCAAAATGGCGAGTGGAATGCATCCATCCTCACAACTATTCTGTCCTGTTTGCAGTGGGGTCTTAGCCACCTTAGTGGCCAGGGCCCTGTTCCACAAAGCGATCATAGCGCTACGACTGTCGTAAGCCTATGCTAAAGTTACGATCATCTTAGCACTACGATCACTTTTTGGAACAAGGCCCTGTACTTGTTTCATGTTATAGTTAAGTTAAAATCAGATCACAGATTTACCTTTAAAACTAGCTTGAGAGCAGTGCACTGAACCATAAGACTGCAATGCACGTAAAATTTGGGCCATAGATCACCCGAAATCCGCCATACATGGACCAAGATATTCTCACTGGAGTAAAACTGTGACATGCTTACTTTGAATGTTGTGGACTTATAATCCCTGTTGCTTGATTGGAAAACATATTGTTGCATCAGAGTTGCCGAAATGCCATGCCATACTCACCAAACTCTGTATGTGAGACGGTTGAACATCTTGGCATCTTTGTTGTTGGACAGCCCAGGAAATAATTGTGTTATCAGGGATTAATTTAGACCTGCTCAGAGGTTGATATTCAGTCACAAGCCTGCAGCAAGTGGGGTCACATGTGGTCCAGTCATCTAAGGCGCCGTGATTCGCTGTGCAGAGTTGCGTCCCTTTGGCATGCCAGAATCCTATGATTGTGGGTTCGAATCCCAGTTCTTCCCGATAATGTTTGTAGGTTTGTCAGCACCATACCTGTGTTGTGGGTTTCACCGAAGTGGTAAATGTCTGAGACCTGCATCACCTCAGGCTTTCCTCCCACATTACGCTGACACGTCGTGATATAACTAGAATAATGTAAACAGCGGCGTTAAACACAATTCACTCACTCACTCACTCACTCACTCACTCACTGCAACAAATGTTTGTAATAATTCCCAATTTAAAAAAAAATAATTATTTATTAACTTTTTAACACCGCACTCAGCTATATGACGGCAGTCTGTAAGTTATTGAGTCTGAACCAGACAATCCAGTGGTTGACATTATGAGCATCGATCCATGCAATTGGAATACAATGACATGCATCAACTCAGCTGGTGAACCTGACAACCCATCCTGTTAGTCGCAATCTCATTAAATTCAGATCTTAGTTCTCGCTACCACTAAACAAAGATCTGAGGACATCCCATTACAGGTCACATCAGACAAACCTCGCGTGAACTTTGACCGACCAATGGAATGACTGACAAGAAGTCGACATTAGCCAATCAGAAGGCAGCTTTCTTGTGCTTTACTGCATTAATTTCAAATTGGCGACCATGCTTCGAAAAACATATTTTGACAAGTTCTCGATAAAAAAATTTAAACCTGAACAAATGAACATTCTGGAATTGCTAATTGATGGTCTAGATTGTATTGATTCAGTCGTTAAGCCCGTAACTATCGTTCGGAATACCCTGTGTTAAAGTTTCAAGGTTGCATGATTAGAAATCACATTCTGACTGTCACTTTCATGATCTGATAAGTGACGCTCTTATTGGTTGGATGAAAGGTCGTTCTGACAACCCCTAATGGGATGTCCTCAGATCTTTGTTTAGTGGAAGTGAGAACTAAGATCTGATTTTAATGAGATTGTGTTAGACGCCTCTTACGACAAGCATTGTCACCTTTAACATCTAGAATAGGTTGCTGAAGACCTATTCTACCTCGAAATTATATATTACCAAAGTAATATTCTTGTAGTTTTGACTTTGTAGATGTTATTTGTACTTCTCTGATAAAAAGACCAATAAGAAGGCTAAGCCCTCGGCTTTGCATAAATGCATTGAATGCAATGTTAAAATACCTTTAAATTTAAGAAAATAAGGCTGAAAAAGAAAATTGATTCTGAGGCAATAGCTTTTGAAAATATCGTGTGGGCGGGCGGCTTTTATTTGGTGGGGGAGGTTGTGTACAAACTAGTTAGAATCCAAATCCGTATATCGCTGTGTATAAGTAAGGCGAGTTTTCATAACTAGAATTAGGAGGCTTTCAAGGGGTGGGGGGAGGTGGGTGGGTCGTCTTATACACAGGGTTGAAGAGGTTTTTTTATGTTTTTTTCCCCAACACAAACACATTACTGTGAGCACATAGCACCAGAAATACCATGTTAGCAATCCCTGTATTGATTAATAATGAATGACACTGTCTGGTTGTAAACAGAGTTCATAATATTTCTTTGTTTGTAATCTATTTTATTAATTTTATTCAACATTTCATTCAATAGTGTTTCAATTATATTCGTCGAAATTGTGTGTGAAGTGATCCGAAGATTGCACAACTCACCGTTACTTAGAGCAACCACGGTCATATTGACACCTTGAAACAAACTTTAGTGGATAGAGAATGGATATATTTATCATAAATGCCATACATTGAATGTAATCGCGGCCGAGGGAGCATCGTTGGTGATTGGTCAGATATATTTCCGAGAAATGTGTGTACTGCTGATTGCTACTTCCAACTTAGTTTACGAGACAATACAGACAGTAATCTTATTCTCTGCATATAAAACAATGCCAATCAGAACAGGAAATACAATTTAATCAGTAAATCATCATTTCTTGTGATGTTTTATCTCAAATTTCAAATTTGTATTGGCCAAAGTGTAATTGTTATAATCTGTTCGTTTCCCTGAATTCGCTGAAAGGATAAGATGTAATTTTTTTCTTCGGAAGACAAACCGGTTTTTATTGCATATGTAGGGATTGGGTATGTGCTGGTGACGTGCTTCATTCAGATTCGCTCTGAAGACGGGGTATCGGCATCATTTTCACGCTTATTTAATGAGACAAATAAATATGTAAATCTTAACCTCGGCATATGAAACATTGTCCCGCATACAGTACATACCATAGAAATTTGTAAATCATCATGTCTAGTGATGTTTTATCGCAAAATTCATGTTTTCATTGATCAAATTTGCAAACGGCAAAACAAGCACACTCCTATATCCACACCACCATAACCAAAACACACGAGATGCGCAGTAAAGCAGTGCACATGAGAAGGGAAGTAACTGCACACTATATTGGATTGCATTGTTTTTAAGTATTGCAGCATTTCACTGTTGGGGTCATGTGTTCGAGATGCGGAATATTTAAGGATTTTTTATTTTTTAAATGGAAATAAAAACGAAACATGCTGCAGACTTTGTAATGATGCGGCGGTGCCTGAGAACCAAGAATTTTATTTTTTTTAGCCTACGAATTCCAATATTGGACAAAGTAACCTTTTTCCTTTGCCCACCTGAAGATCCGGGGTAGAATAGGTCTTCAGCAACCCATGCTTGCCAAAAAGGTGACTATGCTTGTCGTAAAAGGCGACTAACGGATCGGGTGGTCAGGCTCACTGACTTGGTTGATGCATGTCATCGATCCCAATTGCGTGGATCGATGCTCATGATATTAATCACTGGATTGTCTGGTCCAGACTCGATTATTTACAGACCGCCATCATATAGCTGGAATATTGCTGAGTGCGGCGTTAAACAACACACCAACTAACCAACCAACCTTTGCCCACCTGAATTACTTAGCATTAACATTGTAGATACATTCCTGGTGATGTTGTGTTCCAGGGTTACTGGAGGAAAGGCCAAGCCCTGAAGCAGCTGGGCCGGATACAGGAAGCACTGGCAGCATTCATCCATGCTATGCAGAGAACAGCTACCACAGATGAAGAGAAAGTCCAATTTCTCACTGAAGTTGTCGATCTGCTTCCCTTAATGGTCCAAAAAAGTAATTAATTAATTGATTAACAAAACAATGATGACATTTTGTCACCGACTGTATCTATGAGATGTTTCTTCCATTCAGTTTGACTGAACGGTCGTGCGGTGGATAAGGCGTTTCCTAGAGGGCAGAATGTAGGTTCGGTCAACCTGGCGTTTGCCCGTGTCATACCAAAAGACCTTAAGAGATTGGTTGTTACTCTGCTTGGTTGGTTTGTTTGTTTAACGCCACGCTCAGCAATATTCCATCTATATGATGGCGTCTGTAAAAAATGGAGACCAGACAATCCAGTGATTGACTTCATGTGCATCAACCCACGTATTTGGGATGAGATGACATGCATCAACCAAGTCAGCAAGCCTGACCACTCGATCCCGTTAGTCACCTCTTACGGCAAGCAAGGGTTGCTGAAGACCTATTCTACCCTGGTACCCTGCTTGGTGCTTGGCATCAATTGGATAAAAGAAGGATCAGCTGGATTGGAGTCTCTATGTGTCTGAATCGGGTATCCCATCGGGTAATGGACTGCCTCCGTGGTCTTGTGGTAGAGCGTCCGCCCGGAGAGCGGAAGGTCCAGGGTTCAATCCCGGGCCGCGTCATACAAAAAGACGTTAAAAGATTGTACTTGTTGTTTCCCTGTCTGGCGCTCGGCATTAATGGGCTAAAACAAGGACTGGTCGGCTCGGAGTCAGTATACTGTGTCTGAGTGGGGTATTCATGTTAAACTGCGGCATGGTATCTCAGTGAGCTAGCACTATAAATCGGCATCAGTCCGGACTAGTACAAGCAGCCACACACACACATACACGTGCATGCACGTCGCTATATAAGTGCAATAATCTTGGACGCGACGTTAAACCCAATTTCACCTCACCTCACCCATCGGGTAATTCTGGCATTGTATCTCAGTGGTCAGCACTTAAAACTGGCAGATGTCTGGTCTTGAACAAGCAGCTAAACATGCATGTGCGCATCAATATATAAGAGAAATAATCTTGAATGTTTAAGCCAATTTTTCCTCTCCAACCTTTGGTGTGAGGGAGTATGATGTTAATTGAATTAATATGTGAAGTTTATCACTGACAACTATTCCTGTTACAGACTTCGTTTTCAAGCCACAAATGGGGGCCACTTTGGACTGGCTGGGGCCACTGATGCCCAAAGTTCTGGAAAATCTAGTCAAGTCATCATCTTTTGAAGCAATCAGAATCCTTATCTTGGGTCAAGACTATGTCCCTCTCAAAAACCGATTACCACGGCCTGCAATTTTGACTCTGAATCACCTTCCAATTCCAGTAGCTCAAGGTGTAGCCACCAGATTCAATGCCAGAGATGTGGTACTCAGCCAGTTTGTGCTGATGGCTCCTGAAACTCAATGGATCGATGAGCTGGTAATTGTCCTCATGCTGCAGGGTGCTCCGTATAACTCCCTCAAGACATGTGATGGTGACACACCCCTTCATGCTGCCGTCAGACTCTGCATCAAGTCAGGTAGGAGCTATTACCACTCAGCAGATTTGTTTCTTTCTTTGTTGTTTAACACTGCTCAAGCTCTAATTCCCTAATTCTTTCTATGATACTCTTCCCATGCTTATTCTAAAAGAATTGAGCCATTCTATGCAACGACTAGATGAATGGATCTATCAAAATAGGAGAAAATGCTCTACAGTGTAAAGTCTGAATTTTGCTTTGCTTACATTTCAAACAAGTGCTGTTTTTTTTAGCACAGCATTCATTTTCACACCCTATTTATTTTTCTTGAGTTCTTTTAGACAGTTTATAGGCCTGTTGGTGACCATGACCATTTATCATTTGATTCTAAGATGTATGAGATTTGATAAAAAAACAGACACCTGTGATCAGTATACTGACAACTGATATGCTATATTTGAAATGCAATTCTCAGAGTAAATTTCCGATATTTTGATTTCCAAACATAACTCTGTAATGGTGATTTAGTAATGTGTCAAAAATGGCAAGACTTACGAAATTCCAAATTTTCAGAGGTTATTTTCAGTAATTCTGCTTTGCCTAAAATGACAGTTGATGATATCACAGAACAGGGAATTTCCCACAGAATTGAAAACTTGCAGTGTATTTGTTTGTGTGATGAATTTTGAATTTTATTTGACTTCAATGTGAGGGTTGAAGAGGAGGGTCATATATGTCCCCCTGGCATCCATTAGTTTATACGAATATGTAAGTAAGTGTTTTAATGAAACATTGTGTAAAAAAAAGAATGTTAATATACATGTATTATCCAATTTCCCCAAGATTGCGGTAAGCAGGGGATCGAGACCGCAGAAACATTTTCATCTTGGGGATTCCCAATGAAAAGCAGTTCCGGTATAAAATTGTGTAAATGTCAAAAGGTGAAGTTTGATTAATATTATGAGCATCTATCCACACACCTGGGATACGATGACATGTACCTGTAACAAGCGTGGAAACATACTTACCCCTTCTTGGTACACATGACACACACTGGTAACAAGCATCCTTTTCCATAACCGTGCAAACAACATATGCAGGTCTTTGGGCAGTGTCATGACTGAAATTTCTGCAAAATAAAATAACATTCACAATTGAAACATTCTGGGGTAAAGAAGCAGAATTTAACACTTAACTGACCACTGTTTCCTCACCCGCTAGGTCTGACCAGAAAGAGATGGGCACTAGCTGTAATACACATGGTTTATGCTGTCACCTGTTCAAGATAAAAAAAAAAGAAGTGATATGTATATCTTGAATGCTTGGAGTCGATGAAGTATATTGTTGACATTTATTAAATATTAATATATTTTTTTGACATCGTGTAACAAGAAGACATTTTGCTTCTTTCATGTGGATCATTCAAGTCATGGCTCCAGGTTTACAGGATATCTTCAGAAATATTTGATGTTGGCTAATGGGACTTTCAGGCATATATATGGAAGAGAATTTATGGATGTCAAGTTCTTTGTTATGAGGAACACAATGTTTCAGAGTGTATGCTTACTACCTGATGAAGGAGTAAGCATGTACTCCGAAACGTTGTGTTCCTCATAATAAAGAAGTTGACATCCATAAATTCTCTTCCTTATGGGTCTGTGAAGACGCCGGGGTAGAACAGGTCTGCAGCAATCCATGCTTGCCGTAAAAGGTGACTATGCTTGTCGTAAAAGGTGACTATGCTTGCCGTAAGAGGCGACTAACAGGATCGGGTGGTCAGGCTCGCTGACTTGGTTGATGCATGTCATCGATCCCAATTGCGTGGCTTGATGCTCATGATATCAATCACTGGATTGTCTGGTCCAGACTCGATTATTTACTGACAGCCGTCATATAGCTCGAATATTGCTGAGTGCGGGAACCAACCAAACCAACTCCTCTTTATGTGTATCACTTCTAAATGCCTTTCAAAGACTTAAGGCATATAGTCGGGTGTTTTCTTTCTCATATTGCAATTATATTTTTTAAGCTGTAAGTGCATTTAGGTTTCTTATATCGCTAGCTAGATGCAGAGTACTCAATTGTGGTATGTGGTTGTATTATGGCCTGCTAATCTGAATTTTGTCATCAGACTGGAAACAAAAGGTATATATAATGTATTAATATTTAGAGCATTCTTGAATCGTTGAAAGGGTGGCTTCTGTTTTTGCAAGTATTTGCAGACCCTTTTGTTGTAATCCCCACTGTTGACTTATGACCGCAAGATTCTAGGATAGGACTTGCCCAGAGTTGTTAGAGGTGGCTAAAATGTAACGGGTGTCAGGGTTTTTGATTGTGGAGATTGTCAACTGGTTTCATTAGAAGTTGCGTGTACCAACCTCTGGGTTTGCGTCGCTCAGACTTCATTATTCATGTAAGCAGTGCTATATGTGGAATATTGCTGTCAGTTGCATTAACCAATATTCACTCTGAAATCTGACTCTTCTGTTGCAGGAGGTACCTTGATGTTTGAGCATGTCATGCAGCTCAACCCTGCCTTCATAGACAAGAGGTACATCCAGGATAGTGAAGGCCGTAGTCTGTTCCACACCGTCTGCGAGTGCTGCCCATCAGGGGATTCCCCTGTCAGTCTCCAGATGACAGAGGTCCTCCTGTTCTTCAGGTTTGATGTCACTCTGCGGGATCGACTTCAACGAAAGGCAACAGATCTTGTGCCACCACACAGTAAACTCCACAAGGAACTCCAAAAGAAGACTTACGGTATTTGCCACTATTTGGACTCCTTTTTAGCTCTCCTGACTGAATATATCCAGAAAATACTTGAATATCATGATTAACTTTTAATAAGCAGCTGCCTTTGTTTACATTTCAAGCTGTTTGGGTGGTGAACGACAGTGCCTGTGTGCTATATATATTCCAATAAAGAAATTATGTTTGTGTTGTGATCATGCTAATGGTAGTTTTGTCTGTTTCAATTTTGAATCCTTCTGACATGTTTGAAAACTCGAACAAAACATATGAACCCGAGAGAGCAGAGATGCGTCACTCACTTACATCATGTAGTATTCACATTTATTATCCACCCATGGAAGATCCCAGTGTTTGATCCCTTGCTGCGCCATATTTAAAGATGTTAAAAATGGTACTTGGTGTTACCCTCCCTGGCATTTGGAGAAAAACAAGGACTGGTCGGCTCGGAGTCAGTATACTGTGTCTGAGTGGGGTATTCATGTTGAGCTGCTGCATGGTGTCTCAGTGGGCTGGCGCTATAAAACCAGCAGTAGTCCGAGCAAGTACAAGTAGCTGCCCAGGGTTAGAAAATGGCACTAGTCCTATAGTCCAATGGTCCAATGGTAAAGGTATCATAAGGACTAGTAGAAAATTGCCATTTTTAAGGGGTTTGCTATATGTTATCATTAAAAGGACTAGTGGACGAAAACTGTAAGTTTCTAACGCTGCTGAGTGCCACGCTCACCTACACTCATCTCAAGTCAATTCAGTTTCTTCATTGATATACTTGGAAAACTTGGGTGGGTGTTCTTAAGCAACTAATTCAATGTTGAGAGAAAACCATGTCAGCCGTCATTTTACAAACCACAAATTTGTGTTTACATGCTTTTGATCCTTATAACAGTAATGTCTTCTTCAAAGTTGAATTGAATGTGAAAAAAATCATGAGTAGCAGATAAATTGTTGGACTTATGTCTGATAAATTCTGTTTGTATTTTAACCGATGACTTGCTTTTGGTCATTACATTCTTTCTGAAATTCACTTAAATATAACAACCCGTAAAGATCCGGGGTAGAATAGGTCTTCAGCAACTTATGCTTGCCGTAAAAGGCGACTATGCTTGTCTTAAGGGGCGAATAATGGGATCGGGTGGTCAGGCTCGCTGACCTGGTTGATGCATGTCATTGTATCCCAATTGCGTGGATCGATGCTCATGATATTAATCCCTGGACCTGGACTCGATTATTTACAGACTGCCGTCATATAGCTGAAATATTGCTGAGTGCGGCGTTAAACACCAAACCAACCAACCAACTTAAATATCACACGCACAGTGGGTCTTCGTATATTGCTTATGAGCTATCAAATGCCTGTGTTTTCAGCTCCCATACTGGAAGATGCAAAGACCCTGAAAGAAAAAGGTAATCGTGAGTTCCAGTCTCAGAAATACCAAGATGCCATAGCTATCTATTCTAAGGCTATAGATGTAATGATGAACAAGGCCCAGAAGTCGACCAGCTTGGCGGACATGTTCAGCAAAGAGGATGACCATGACCTAGCGGTGCTGTATGGGAACAGGGCTGAGTGCTATCTGAAGAAGAACATGGTACAAGAGGCACTGGATGACAGCATGGAGAGTGTAGCTCATGATGGCCATTGGCATAAGGTAAGATGGGGTTCACAGAAGTAAGGTGTGTTAACACAGGTATGACAAGGGTCACAGCGGTATGACAATCTTCACAGAAGTAGGGTGTGTTAACACAGGTATGACAAGCTTCACAGAAGTAGCGTGTGTTAACATAGGTATGACAAGGGTCACAGCGGTATGACAAGGGTCACAGAAGTAAGGTGTGTTAACACAGGTATGACAAGGGTCACCGAGTTATGACAAGGGTCACAGAAGTAAGGTGTGTTAACACAGGTATGACAAGGGTCACAGCGGTATGACAAGGGTTACAGCACTATGACGAGGGTCACGGAGTTATGACAAGGGTCACAGAAGTAAGGTGTGTTAACATGTATGACAAGGGTCACCGAGTTATGACAAGGGTCACAGAAGTAAGGTGTGTTAACAGGTATGACAAGGGTCACAGAAGTAAGGTGTGTTAACAGGTATGACAAGGGTCACAGCCGTATGACAAGGGTCACCAAGTTATGACAAGGGTCACAGAAGTAAGGTGTGTTAACAGGTATTAAAAGGGTCACAGTGGTATGACAAGGGTCACAGAGGTATAACAAGGTTGGCAGAGGTATGACAAGATTCTAAGAGGTATGACAAGGGTCACCGAGGTATGACAAGGGTCACAGAAGTAAGGTGTGTTAACAGGTATGACAAGGGTCACAGTGGTATGACAAGGATGACAGAGGTATGACAAGGTTGGAAGAGGTATGACAAGGGTCACAGAGGTATGACAAGATTCACAGGTATGACAAGGTTGGCAGAGGTATGACAAGGGTCACAGGTATGACAAGATTCTAAGAGGTATGACAAGGTTCACAGAGGTATGACAAGGTTTGCAGAGGTATGACAAGATTCTAAGAGGTATGACAAGGGTCACAGTTATGACAAGGGTCACAGAGGTATGACAAGGGTCACAGAGGTATGACAAGGTTGGCAGAGGTATGACAAGGGTAACAGGTATGACAAGGGTCACAGAGGTATGACAAGGGTCACAGAGGTATGACAAGGTTGACAGAGGTATGACAAGGTTGGCAGAGGTATGACAAAATTCTAAGAGGTATGACAAGGTTAGCAGAGGTATGACAAGGTTCACAGAGGTATGACAAGGGTCACAGGTATGACAAGGTTCACAGAGGTATGACAAGGGTCACAGAGGTATGACAAAGTTGGCAGAGGTATGATTGGGTTCACAGAGGTATGACAAGATTCACAGAGGTATGACAAGGTTGACAGAGGTATGACAAGATTCACTGAGGTATAACAAGGTTGACATGTATGACAAGGGTCACAGAGGTATGACAAGATTCACTGAGGTATGACATGGTTGACAGAGGTATGACAAGGTTCGCAGAGGTATGAAAAGGTTGGCAGAGGTATGACAAGATTCACTGAGGTATAACAAGGTTGACAGGTATGACAAGGGTCACAGAGGTATGACAAGGTTCACAGAGGTATGACAGGGTTGACAGAGGTATGACAAGATTCACAGAGGTATGAAGGGCATTTGCAAATATGTTATTAAGGGCATTGATGTAACAAAATGAGCATTTCTATATGGTATGATGCAAATGGCTCAAGGTCACCATACTGAGAAAATGGATGGCGAGCACAAGATAGATTGATTGTGACACTAAAATATTTCACTTCATTCATATTATCCAAACCTCCCAGCTAGTGACACGTTAGTCATAGTCCCTTTTGTGTATTTATGCTGGAGGAACAACCAACATTCTTGCTGCTTTTCTGTAGGCTCACATGCGAGTTGGACGATCCCTGCAGGCACTGAAGAGAACAGACCATGCTATCAGTGCCTTTGTGAATGCCTACAACAGCCTGAGTCAAGATGGTGCTGAGAAGATTCAGAAAGAGATCCTTGGCGAGCTGCTGATGACTGTTAGCCAAAGTTCGAAGAGTAAGTGATCAGGTTTATTACTGCAGGAAATCTTCAGGCTAGTAGACCAAACAATGGTGCTACATCTATTGTCTGTCTGCCATAACACCATGCAACTTAGTGAATCGGGTGGTCAGCATGGTAACATTGTGATAGCTCATCATCGTACGCTAACAGCATGGATGGGTGCTCATTATGTCAATCACTGGATTGTCTTGTCTGTATTGTACTTACAGACTGCCTTCACATTGCTGAAATATTGCACTGCTTTAAACAGAAACAATCAAAACTAAACATTTAACTGCACTCAAACTCTGTTGTGCCAAAGTTAAGGGTCCCTTGGAAATACTTCGAGTTATGCGAGGTTTGATACAACCAAACATGATGAATAAAGAAGGAATACGCAAGGACCAAGTTTTTACTTTGAGACAACTGTAGGTTCAACACATCAAAGTTCGACACAACAGTGTTTGCTGTTTTCTGATTTCTAGATGTTAACTTTCTAAAATTGTTTGGGGTTTTATGAAAGACAGTCTAAAGTCATATGACAAGGGTAAATCTCTGGGACCCTTTCCACTAGAGGTACCCTGTGTTTGGTGTATTATACCACGAAAATACGTTTGGAAAATAGTGGTACATAGCATTTTTCAAAATAATGTATATTTTCATCATGTTACATACATACTTGATACATAGATAGTCTAGTGGTGAACTAGTACCTTTTGAAAGTTGGTATATTTTGCTCTAAACATTTTGAGCTTCCATGGCAACAACTTAGATTTTGGCTGGAAATACCGCTAGTGCTAGTTACCGGAGCAGATCTTGAAAACTGTATTTCTTAACCGAACTTGGCAGATAGATAGCTCTAGTGGTGAGCTGGTGCCTTTTGATTGTTTGGGATTTTTTTGGCCAAAAATATTTTTTGAGTTTCCATGGCAACAAAAAATAAATAGTTGACATATTCACAACAATTATTTACTTTTGTAGGGGATATCGATGACTTTGTCTTCTTGTTTGATTTTGATCCAAGTCAAATTCAATTCAATTCAATTCAATTCGATTTTGTATTTCTGTACTTGAGGCTAGTGGCCCATATGTACAAGGGTAATATAGCCTAACAGTAATGAGAAATCAGGTTGGTACATGTATAGGATGTTAATAATCTTTATATATTGTTTTCACTGAGGAAAACGTGTTGTATTTTATGACATTATTTATTCAAATCAATCAAGTTGTGGTCATGAGGCATAATGTCAAGAACATATTCTTAATCCTATACTTTCAATTCCAGTTTTGCCAGGTCAGCCAATCCCCAATCTGAACACAGTGCGCCGTGAGTTATGGGCCAAGGTGGCGTACGACATCATCCTGAGGACAGCTCAGTGGGGTGCTGCTCACTATGCGTACAAATTGTTTGCCGTTGCCAAGACCAACAGTGTGAAGATAAACATCGACCTGAAACCTTTGTGTGACCCCAACAATCTGCAGAGACATCGATGGGGATCTCAGCTTGTCCTCTACTTCCTCAAGTGTGAGGCCAATCACCATACACTCCGCTTCGAAAAGGGGGACACATATCTGCATGCTACTGTCTTCATTGTCTTTCTTACAGGTGAGCCGCATGGGAACTATAGGAATGTATTATCTCCCCTTGTTTTCTGTGTTTCTTTCTTTCTTTGTTGTTTAACGCCGCACTCTGCAATATTCCAGCTATATGACGGCAGTCTGTAAACAATCGAGTCTGGACAAGACAGTCCAGTGACTGACATCATGAGCATCGATCCACGCAAGAGGGATACGATGACATGCACTAACCAAATCATCGAGCCTCACCACCCGATCCAGTTTGTCGCCTCTTACGACAAATGTAGTCACCTTTTATGGCAAGCATGGGTTACTGAAGACCTATCCTGACCCGGATCTTCACGGGTGACCTTATGGTTTAGAAAAGAACTGGTTTTGATAGTGAACCCTGTGGATTCTGAGTTGGAATAGCTCCCCAGCAACCTATGGCCGAATCTTGGATTGGGTGGTCATGATCTTGGCTTGGTGGATATCATGTCATCGTATCCTCAGAATCGTTAATCATTCCTCATTATATGGTTTGTCTGGTTGACTATTTGCAGGCTGTCGTCATATAGCTGGAACAATGCTGAGTACGTTGACCAAAACCAAACTAAAAATAATCAAATCATAGGAGTAAATCACCAGAAGAACTGGCTTAGATGGTTATTGGATAGTTGCAGTGGCTACTTATAATGATTATGCTTGCAGATATATCTGATTGAATGAATGACTGGTACAACTGGGTAGTGACATAGGGATTCTCTGTAGATTACTCTGTTATGATAGTTGCTTATCCCTTCTTCAGGTGAATGAACATTGGCAGGTTAGATAGATGTAACAGACAGCTTTTCAGAAAAGGAAGTGTGCATTTTGTGTTCACAAATGCGAGATGAATACAAATAATCTGCAAAACAATATGCTTTTTGTGTTTCTTTGTTGATACTTGGTGTCTTGGTTCGTTGACGGTGTGGATCGCTGCTCATTATATCAATCACTGGATGTTCATGTAGCTGGAATATTGCTGAGATAAACAACAAACATGAATGCACACACATACACACACACACACACACACAGATTTTGTTGATAAAATTTCACCAAGTTATCATTACATTTGTTAAACCCAAACACCTTTGACTTTTCCAAATGTATAAATGTTTGGTACACTTCAATAAGGTTGGAGATGTGCAGTATACCTTTGTAAAAGTAAAATATCACAATATATCATTCGCAGCTGACATGGAGTTGCTGAAATGGCTGTTCGAAAATATTGTGCTGATGAAAGACGAGATGAACATCGAGGATGAGAAGGGAAACACAGCTCTACATATGGTCTGCTCTGCCAAACTTAACCCTGATATCAAGGTTCAATTGTTAATTTTCCTTGTTGATCAAAACGTGAGTCCACTTATACAGAACAGAAACAGTCAGACAGCCCTCGATTGTGTTCCGTCCGGGGAACATGAAGCGAGGCACATCATGACGCGGGCCATGGAAAGAGGTAAGATATCACTTGACAGTTAAGTTGTTCCCTACACAAATTATCTAGGTCAGAAGGTGCACTACTGTTATTTTTCTAACTTAGACAGTGTTACCGCTGGCTTTAGGAACTACCAGTCCTAGTGGACTGGCAACTCTAAAAATTACCAGTCCCTTCCAATGTCAGTCCCAACTTTCAACAAATAGAACACTGCAATGCAATGATGTCGTCTCCGAAGTAACTTAGTTCAATCTCTAGTCATTCTCTATTAATTTTGAATTTTTTTAGACAAAGTTGCTACAAAATTATGCGAAATGTTATTTCCTTGCACTAAAAATAGACAAGGCGAAACCCTGATGGTAACAGACAAGCTGGCTTCGTTAAAAAAATATATGTATATGAATATTGCCAATGTTTTGTTCCAACAACAAAGATTATGAGATATTACATTAAGTAATACGTTACCACTGTTATACCGAGGCTGTTGTCTCCCACAATTGCTGCTATAGCGAAATCTACCACAGAGATCTCAATTACCTCATGCAGCATGTGTGTAGCCACCTAGCTGCCATGTGACACCCTTCACTCTTGTCTCTTCGCTTGCTCTAGCAAGACGTACAATAAACTGCTCAAGCGTTCCAGTTTCTCCGACCATTCGGTGATATTTATTACTGTTTATTCTCTCTAATAAACTGTGCTTTTACAGGGCGTTTGCTGTAACTACGCTTGGAAATATTTTCCCGCCAAAAGGAAATACTTTTCCCGCCCTTTTTTTCTATATACTTGCGGGGTGTCTCGTAAGCACGTTGCGTCTTACGTTCCCCTGTTCTAGTATATCTTGGGTTTTTTACATCACTTATACCTCTATATGTTATATGTGTATGTTCTATATTCGCATTGCTCGTTTATTTTCTTGTGAAAATACTCGTTTGTGACTATTTGTGGTGCGTGTGTTGTAACAATGTTTTGCTCTTTGTTCATAGTACAAACAAAATGTCTGACATGGATGTTTCGCCGTCCTCCACCCCCTCTACCCCCGCAACCAGGAGCTGCGGGGTGTGCCGCAAGCGAGCGCTACCGGCTGTATGTGCAGTCCGTTTCCACCCCTGTGGTGGCCGGCTCGTCCGGTCGGGGTCCCCTTGCGGGTACCACCACCACGGCTGCGGCGGATCCCTTGGCGGCCCGTGGGCTGTCTGGGGATTCCGTCGCTGCATTACTTGCATAACTTGTGGACTCCAAGCTGGCGGCCTTATCTCAGGATAGGCCGCTGGCTGTTCCGTCCCCGGCCACTTTGGTGGTTGCGGGGTCGGACTCGGGGTCCACCGGTACGGCGGCGGCTCCCGTGGTCACCGGTCCTTCCCCTGAACCGTTGCTCCCGCTATCGGTTAAGGACCGCGTGGCCATGGTTTATGACCTCTTTGAGGACATGCCCCGGCCGGTACCGCGGGGAATCCACGACTGTGGGTTCCTCCGAGGTATACGATGAGTCTTCCGACACGGCTTTCCCCGCATCAACCTTGCTGCGCGGTATCAAGCCTTCCTTGGAGAACGCCTTCGCGGCGGCCTCCGGTCGGGGTCTCCCGCTGCCGTTGCTGACGTCGTGGAGAAAGGGTTTATTCCCGGTACATGACCTTGCCTTTCCCGAGGCTGGTCCTACCACAGAGGCCCATGTTGAGCGGTTGGGTGTCCGTGCCCCACCGGCTGCTACGGTAACGCAAGCTACCTTGCACCAGCTGGACGCCCTCGCTCGGCACTCCATGTCTCACGGAGACACTTACTTGGATGCAGCGGCCAGTCTGGTCGACTGTTCTCCCATGGACCGTGACCAGCGCATTTACAACTGCCTGCTCAGTTTAAATGCTTCCCTGGAGTACGTTGCCGAGGACTCTCGGCACACACTTGCTCTTGTTAGGTCCCTGCATAGGCGCCTGGGTGCCGCTCCTAACCAGAGCGCACCCCAGGCTGCTGCGGCCGGTAGGTCTAAGGGGTCGGGTTCTTCTTCCTCTGGGAAGTAGCCCCGCCCTGAGGGCTCTGGTATGGGCAATCAGCTGCCCTTTCGCGTGAAGACGGGGAACTGGGGGAAGCCCACGTCGTCTAAGGACGGCAAGGGCCCCTCCAGGTGACTCTCATTGGAGATGTTCGTATGCCGACAGCGCCAACTTCGGTTGGCCCTTAGGCGAACCCGAGTCACTTGGCCCTGGACAGTTGCGCCTGCCGCAGCCTGTCAGGGCCCCCTCTCCTTCCCCAGTGGGAGCCAGACTCCAGACTTATTGGGAGAATTGGGAACAAGTGTTCGACGACCCGTGGGTGGTCAACACGATTCGGTACGGCTATCGGCTTGATCTCAAAGCGAATCCCTTGCTCACGGTTGCCCCGTTGGCAGGTTTCGATTCGGAAACCGATCTTCCCATCCTCGCCGATGCCATCGGCAGGTTGGTGGAGAAGGGGCAGTACGGGAGTTAGCTCTACCAGAAATAACACCGGGGTTTTACTCCAGGATATTTCTCGTTCCCAAGTAGGACAGTGCCGAACTCAGAATGTTTCACACGTCCGCTCCCTGGCTGTTCACCCGGTTAACCACCCCCATAGTGGGGTTCCTCCACAGGAGGGCTGTCCGGTACTTCGCGTACCTGGATGACTCGCTAGTAGCAAATCGAATGACGGACACCCTGTCACGCCATCTCGTTTTCGCACGTCGGCTCTTGGAGCAATTGGGGTGGATTATCAATCTCCCCAAGAGCGAGTTAACCCCTTCTCAGAACTTGCTGTTCATCGGAGGTCGGTTCAACACGGTGTCCCATCGCCTCTTTGTCCCCCCAGACCAGTGGCACAAGATTCAGGCGATGATTGCCAAAGTCTTAGCGGTGCAACAGACTGTTCACTTTTGGGATCAGCTGTTAGGGCTACTTGTATGAGCCCAGGACTGCACCGAACGGGGTCGTCTCCACATCCGCCCGCTGCAACGGTTTTTAATCCAGTTGTTAGCAACGGAGGTGAACAGTGCGACCGTCGCCCTCCCGGATCGGCTCCGACCGCATCTGGAGTGGTGGACGGTCCCTTACAATGTCTTATCAGGAGTCTCTATGCGGCCCTACCGGGCCACGTTGAACCTGTATACAGACGCCTCTCTAGTGGGCTGGGGCGCCCATCTAGAGGGGGAGGTGAGCTGGGGGCTGTGGTGCGTAGACGAACTAGGTCTTCACATCAATTGTCTCGAGTTCAAGGCAGTGATCAACGCAGTCAATCACTGGAAGCATCGTCTCGTCGACGCCCGGCTCATGCTGGCGACCGACAACACGAAGGTAGTGTCCTATGTGAACAAACTGGGGGGAACCCACAGTCACTCGCTACTCGATCTCACGGTCGAGTTTTACGCTCTGGTGGACAGTGTCCCGTGCCAGATACGCGCCCGTCACATCCCAGGTGTGCGGAACGTACTGGCCGATGCTCTATCGAGGCCTCAGGATCCGAGCCCCACAGAGTGGATGCTGAACCCAGTAGTGTTTCAGTGGCTGTGCGAATGTTTGGGTCGTCCGATGGTCGACCTGTTCGCAACGCGGTTCAAAAATCAACTCCCATTGTTTGTATCACCAGTCCCGGACCCGAGGGCCATCGATCACGATGCTCTCGCGTTAGACTGGACGGGCTTGGACGCTTATGCTTACCCGCCGACAGCGTTGATACCACACATTCTAAGCCGGCTCCGAGGAGTTCGCTGTCGAATGTTACTGATCACGCCCATGTGGCCGAACAGATCGTGGTACCCCGACTTGCTGACCCAGGTCACGCAGTCGCCACTTCCACTGCCTGTGAGACCGGATTTCTTGATCCACCCTCACACCCGTCAGCTTCATCCAAACGCAGGGCAGTTCAATCTGCATGCGTGGATGTTGTCACCGAGCGTCTGAGGAGTAAAGGTTTTTCTCGCCGGGCGTCTCGGGCATACGTTAGTATGCATCGTGATTCTACCCAGAAGGTGTATAATGCACGTTGGGTTATTTTCACGAAGTGGTGTTGTAAACATCACATTCATTCGCCAGATAAGGTATCTGTGCAGGATATTGCTCGTTTCATGTCTCACTTGCGAGAGACCCGGAAACTCTCCGGGGGTTCCATTGCCAACTATGTCTCGTCCGTTGCTACGGTACGGGACGTTGCTATGGGTACCAGTCTCTCCAAAGAGCCGGTGATACGGGGTATTATCAAGGCACCGGCCTGGGATCTTTCCCTAGTGTTGCACTCACTTACGGAAGCTCCGTATGAACCCTTGCATAGTGTTTCGTTCCGGCATGTGACTTGGAAAACAGCATTTCTCCTCTCCTTTGCCACGGCGGCACGTGTATCCGAAATTCATGCACTCGATGTCGCCAAGGTACGATTCGATAGGGGTGACGAAGGAGCGGTCCGCCTGGGCCTGCTCATGGGCTTCGTCGCCAAGAATCAGAGAGTCGGGCAAACGGAGAGAGAATTCACTGTAAGATCACTCAAAGAAATCTTACATCCTGCTGATACTGAGGACAGAGCGCTGTGTCCGGTTAGGGCCCTTAAGTATTATCTTAAGGCTTCGAATGAACGTAGACAAGGGCGTGACCGTCTGTTCATATCGTGTAACCCTAATCGCACGGTTGACATAACTCGCAACTCGATTGCGTTGTGGCTTCGTTCTGTCATCAATCTGGCGTACCGGTCTTGGGGGTTACCGGTAGCAGGGTCAAACCCGCACGAGATCAGGGCGCTAGCGGCAACATTTGCCCTACACTCGAATATCTCTGTTCGCAGAATATTACGAGGTTGTTACTGGCGTTCTGACTCGGTTTTTGCCAATCATTACCTCAAACAGGTCGCTGATGCCGTCGTGGAGAGTGTGCACCGTCTTGGCCCGCGGATCGCGGCGCAAGCGGGCACCTAAGGGGTGTGCCCAGCGCAATTCCGAACTCCTCAGGCGTCAGACCTTGCACGGTGGTCAATCTGGGTCGACTCCAATGTTCCCACGCCGTGGGTACAGGAGTTGGGTTCCCGCAAACCAGCGCACTCACACCACAGGTGAGGGCGGCTTTTTGTGTGCTTTGTCCTTATTTGTATTTTGACAATTATGTATTTAATTGTCTGTCGTGTATCCCAACCTTGTGATGCATGCTTATAAATACTGGAATTAGGTCACGCGCCTAATGCATACTTTAAGTAGGCTTGCTCTGGGATATACGGTCTGAATGAAATTAATTTCCCTCTTTTCGACTGTTTAACCTGATCTAAGATTAAGCTCACGCGGATACAGTGTTCTCATCCGCTGCGGCGATGAAATACCTATCCAGTGGGGCCGTTTGGAGTCACCAATTGTTTTGGCAATGACGATTGAGCCTTACGGTATGCGCTTGACAGTGCTTTGGTATTCCTATAGGGTCACGCCTAGCTAGGTGCATGCGCATCGAGTGCTTCCGCCTTGGTGTTTACTTCCGCTGGTCGGAAGGAACGCTAGCAGTCAGGATTCGGGTTGTAGGTGCTCCCCACCGCCTACTGTGGTAGTCAGCCTCGGTATAACAGTGGTAACGTATTACTTAATGTAATTTGTAGAATTTTCCTATTCGGAATATTCTATAAGTAATACGTTACCACTGGGCTGCTGCCCGCCCGTCCGTCCCCCGAGCACTTGCTCTCGCAAGAGACAAGAGTGAAGGGTGTCACATGGCAGCTAGGTGGCTACGCACGTGCTGCATGAGGTAATTGAGATCTCTGTGGTAGATTTCGCTATAGCAGCAGTTGTGGGAGACAACAGCCTCGGTATAACAGTGGTAATGTATTACTTATAGAATATTCCGAATAGGAAAATTCTACAAAATTTATTTGCCGGTCCACAGGGACTGGCAACCACATTAATTACCAGTCCATGCCTTATTTTAAAGGTAAAAAACTGGTAATTACCGGTAAACGTGAACCCAATTAAAGCATGAGTGCCCAGTCCTGAAATGAGCAAATTGGGCAGCTTTAAAAATTGGCCGTAGTCCTGTAGTCCTTGCCAAACTGCCCAATAGTTAAGGTATCATAAGGACTGGTAGAAATTTGCCGTTTTTAAGGGTTTTGCTATATGTTATCATAATAAGCCCTAGTGGCCTAAGAGGCGGTGGGGGTGGCCCAGTGGTTTAAGCTCGTCACGCTGAAGACCTGGGTTTGATTCCCCACATGAGCACAATGTGTGAAGCCCATTTCTTGTGTCCCCTGCTGTGATATTGCTGGAATATTGCTAAAAGCAGCGTAAAACCATACTCACTCACTAGTGGGCTAAAACTGTTAATTTCTATCGCTGTTTAGGTGTTCCAGGATAAAATTAATATTGGTTCAAATCCCATTTGACATTCCCATTTGGTGAATATCTAATATGTCATTAGTTTGGGCTTTCTTCCAAAATCTGGCTGACGTGTGGATATAATTAAAATACTGTTCAAAAGTGGCGTTACTTCAAACTTACTGTGGAAGGCTCATTTGTGCTATGCATGACCACTATATTTATGGAATGTTGCTTATAGACGTGTAAGAGCGTTCTCATTTGATAACTTATGCTTATCGTAAGAGGTGACTGACAGGATCGGGTGGTTAGGCTCGCTGACTTGGTTGATGGATGTCATCGATCCCAATTGTGTGGATCTATGCTCATGATATCAATCACTGGATTGTCTGGTCCAGACTCGATTATTTACAGACCGCCGACATATATATGGACTATTGCTGGGTGCGGCGTTCAACAACAAACCAACCAATTATTTGATGACTTTTTTTTCAGCTGTGGAAGGAAAGTCTGTATTTAGGAAACAAAAAGCGGTTATAAGGGAACCATCACCTCCTGTCCAGAAATCTCGCATTCAGGAACCAAAACAGACTTTCCCTAAAAGCAACAAGAAACAGCCTCAGAGGAAACAATACTCCTCACAGTGTGACCGTTGTGACGAAACGTTTGAAACTGGCATGAGGCTGTTGGACGAAGACCCAGAGAGGGCTGTTGACAAGTTTGTGGGAATCTTGCTGTGGGAACACAAAGGAGGGAGACATCAGGAAATTGTAGACAAGTGCTTGAACAAGATAGTGGCCGAACTTGGGCGGACTCTCACTCCAGGTCTGTGACATGCTTTATTATTGTTCCCCATCACTGAGTGGGAGGGGGATGTAGGAATGGGTGCCTGTCCTTCCGTCCATCACGTTTTGTTTCTGGAGCACAACTGAAAGATTCTGCAATATGTCTTGATCACACTCTGCATAGAAATCTGTCTAGCAATGAACCGGTGCCTTTTTACCCCCCATTTTGAAAAATGGGATGTTGAGATCAAAATGTCTGTCTGTATGTCCTCTGTCCGTTTTCCATTTCCGGGGCAGAACTCCTAAATGTTGAATATTCCTTGTTGAAACTTGCTATACCAATCAGTCTAGTGGTGAACTGGTGCCTTTTGATGGTAGGCTATATTTATTATTTTTGTTTATGTTTGTTTGATACCAAGTTGGACTTGTACTGAAAATATTAAAGGGTAATGCTCGTTCCTGGAGTAGAACTCCAAAATTGTTGAAATATTTCTTGATAAAACTTGCTATACATATCAGTCTTGTGGTGAACAGGTGCCTTTTAATGATTTGGGGTGTTGAATAATACTGAACCGCATTATTAAAGCCCATTTCTGGTGTCCCCTGCCGTGATATTGCTGGAATATTGCTAAAAGCGGCGTAAAACCATACTCACTCACTCAATATATCAATACTAACTATCAATACTCCATTCCCTCTATTTCTAGATCAACATTACCAGACTCTTCATTCCTCATACAACACCTTAAATTCATTGGTCAATCAGTGTCTCTTTATACTTAATGTTGGCTTTCCCAAGCTGCATGTATTTGCACATTTAGGAGTCTGCCCTTTCTAGTAGTGGGACGATACACTGAGACATCGGTGGATCGCGATTTTTTACTTCTTGATACAAGTATCCATCACAATCGCACACTAAGTAAAAAGTATTGATTCTCACCTTAAATGTACTCTTTAATAAATGTTACACCAAACACTAATTATTAGTGTAAAGGTAATCATTTCTTCCATTGTGCCATACTTGACATTACCAACTGTAAATCATTAATATGCCAGGTATTTGACCATCCTGTCTATGAAAGAGATGGCTTACCCACCACAGATCAGAGCACATGCAAGTATTGTGATACGTATCGGATCGCACAGTTGGTGTATCTTTCCAGCCCTAGTCAGTAGGGCTGCAACGAATACACTATGAGGCAAATACGATTTGTATTACGAATTTAGGGTAACGAATAGGAATATTAATTCACGAATACAATTACAAGTCAGCAGTTGGTGTATTATTTGTAATATTTAGTGAAACAAAAACATAAATTATTTGACATGGTTTGTTAATTATTAATATATTAAACATAAATATACTGCACTTATCCAGGTACAAGTATCTGCTCAAATGCGACAATGACCAGTGACCACAATACTGTCAAATGAAATGTTATAAGAGTGTTGTTTATGAAGAAATCTATGCATATAATATGTTTTAATAAACTTTTATGGATATTTTTAGGTACAGGGTATGTAAATGCACATGATTGCATATTCATAAATATTCGATACTAGTGGCTACGAATAACGAATTCAGTTCATGAATGAATACGGTTCGATTCACCGAATACACAAGTGAATCGTAACAGCCCTACTAGTCAGTTCATTCACTGTTCAAGGATTATGACATTATTTTTTATGTCAGAACTTGATACAGTGTGTTTGGAGGTACCGATGACTGTGACTTCTTGTTTATCAAAAGTTGTTACATTTCAGATCTCCCCGATTCCCTGAAGAAAATCTCACCCCACATAATGAAAATCATCATGGAACGGTTTGCTGAAAAGGATCGTTGGAGGCATATTGAGGCAGCAATCAAACTCTATGGTGCTGACAGACTGCCAAAGTCATTTGCAAAAGGCATCTCTACCAAGGGTCTCATTGTAGGGAAAACTGTGGGCTCTGAAGCCCTGAAACTGAAGATCCTGTCTCTCCTGCAGAGCCATGGCGCGTGTCTGGTACGGGAGAAGGAAGCAGATGCTATGAAGGGTGCTATTGCCAACAATGAAGTGCGTGTTGTCCTGCGTCTTCTTGATGATGGCATAAGCCCTTTGACTATCAGTGTGACATTTGGTGACACCCCAGTGCATGCTGCTCTCAACATAGCCTTGGACAAGGACAAAGGTTTGTAGGGATGCACATTATCACTATTCTGCTAGCCTCAGTCAACTTGTCTCGTGTCCCTAAGACTCGTAGCATTTTAGACATTTTTTTGGTTGGGCTTATATGTAGTATTTAAGTGGTGTGTGGTATACTAACTATGGTATACTATGGTATGAGATACTAATAAATGTGTATCAAAATTTGTTTTGAAAATATGGTAGATTGCTTTTTTCAAAATCATGCATATTTTCATCTTGTTGGCAAAGTTGACAAACATGACTGACAAGTCGAATTGAAATTAGGAAATTCAGAAATTAACAACTGGTTTCTGTGACTTGTGCAGGGTTTTACCTTGACCGTCAGAACTAGGGGTCTGGGGTGCCCCCAATTCCTGATTTCAAGGGTCCTTGATGAAATGGTGTATTGTACTGTACTGTACCGTACCGTACCGTAAGATTTATTAATTACATAATTTACAGGAACTTTGTTTCTTGTCAAAATTTGGTACAATGAATATTATTTTGATCCCATGGGACTGTATATATTTGGTTCTGCATCAATTCTGTACATTTGTGTGTACTGGACACACATTTCTGCATCGCGTAAAACCCTGAATGTGTCTAATACACATGCATTTTGACCATAGCAACATCCAACAAAGCTGTCAGAATTGTGTCCGAACTTTATAACACATGAAAGAAAGTATGCAATATATTGTGTTACGTATCACAATACATGAATCATTATTGCAAAAAATTGCAAAATACAAAATACAAAATACACATTACTTGTTGTTTACACTTTGTTCATGGTTAATCAAGACAGAAAGAAAAGTCCACAGAAGTTAGTTTTTGTTCATCACATGAGAGTACTGTGTTCTGTTTTCAGGTAACTTCACACTCCTTGAGAGGCTTCTCGAGCTGCACAAATCTGATCCAGCAAAGTACAGCTACCTGAACTCACGAGTTGTGAACAGAGAGGGAGACACACTACTTCACATGGCTTGCAAGTGCAAGTACAACAAGCATTCTCAGAAAGCTGTGGAGTTTCTGTGTAACCAGCAGGTCCCAGCAGACGTCTGCAACAAGGGAGGCAAGATGGCAATACAGTACCTTACAACCAAAAATGACAGACGAGCCCAGTTTCTTCGAGTTGTTGGAGGGACTGTGCCAGCCACAAAGTCAAAAACTAATGATACCTCTCAGAAAAAGGCCAATGCCGTTGGTAAAGAAAAAACACAGAAAAAGACAGAGAAAACTGATTCTCAAGAATCCTCCCCTGAAAGGACAGAAGAAGAAGCTGACCTTGGAGTGACATCTGAGGAGGATATCCGAGTAAAGGCTGTGAATCTGGTAGGGGTTGCTCAGAGTAGGGAGAGGATCAAGGAGATCGTCAGCGAAAGACAAGATCTGGAGATTTCCATTTTCAAGGAGAGTAAATCCGAAAGAGACAAGACTGATGTTTCTGCAGCAATGGCAGCTTCAAATGATGCAGGGACTGGTGGAGCATCAGCAGACAGAAGAACAGGATCACCAAGAAAAGAAACAAGGACAGTAGCTGAGAGGATGTTGGAGGAAGATGCTGCTGATGTCCTGGCACAGGTTGATGAAGAGGACTTGGATGAGGATGAAGAAGTAGAAGAGGAGTCTGAGGTGAATCTGAGCACATTTGACAACTTGGCCTGGGAGGTGGAATGTACTGCTGATGTATGGAAGTGTCTTCGGGACAAGCATGTTCTCCCGGAATTAAAACAGCGAGCCATACGAAGAATCCTTTTGCTAGCCAATGGAGAGTGGAGACCATACCTTCGCAAAAGGGTGAACAATGCACCTGCAACACTGGAGCTGTATGAAGCCAAGCTGTCGAAGGCTGCAAGAATAATTTGGGAGGTGGCAGTTGCTTTCTCTGCTCGGTGCAGTGAAGCAGCAGACAAGAGACTTGAAGATGAGGAGGTACAAGAATTTGCCGTCAGAGGAGGGAGGATTTATTCGGAGATCATCCGAGTCTGGGATATTGTCTTCGACCATGACAACCTGTACAGGTCAATCCAAAATGTCATCAAGTCACACAGTAGAGGGGAGACATGCATCCTCAAAAAGAAGCTGAAAGGAGTGAAAGATGCCCAGTTCGAAGGAGGAATCACAAAGCGATATCCAATGCTGTTTGCTGAACAGGATGATGATCTGGGCCTTGAGGCTGTGAGAGACAAGCAGCAGATGCTGCTGTACCCACCAGCCAGTGCTAATGAAACAGAGTACCACATTCTTAAGTTCTACTCCTTTTCCTCAGCACTTGTCAACATTATTCTCCAGAACATCGAGCGCAAGGTTGACTTCCCGTTCCGTGTGACTGACAAGGAGCATGCCATCATTCATCTGAGATCGAAGTCTCCCATTCTACTGCTAGGTAGAAGTGGAACTGGCAAGACCACCTGCTGTCTGTACAGGCTGTGGACAAGTTTCATATCCTACTGGGTCATGGCTAAAGACTCAGGCGAACCCTTCCTGCCCCGACCCGAGCGCTTCATGGAGGATGAGAAAATAGATGAAGCAGGTAACTTGTTTTACACATCGAAAGAATTGTTAAGTTTTAGGTTTGATGTTGTAAGTGCCAACAGAATATCTTTGTGGAAAGGTTTATGCACATCATTTCATGCTCTTATTGTGTTCCTGATTAATGCCAAAAAGAACAAACAAGGGCATTAGTTTCTGGTGATGGTCATTTTTCCTGTACAGATTTCCAAACACTTGAAACTTGTATGGGCCTCCATGCGTGAAGAGATATGTTGAATGCATAGGCATTGAATGTACTCAAAGTTTAATATTTAGCATATATCCAACATTCAATAACATTACTCTTCCTGTTAGCAAGACTACGTTGATGTACACCCATGAAGATCTGGGGTAGAATAGGTTTTAAGCAACACATGCTGTAAAAGGCAACTATGCTTGTCGTAATAGACGACTGACAGGATCGGGTGGTCAGGCTCGTCAACTTGGCTGATGCACTGATGCCTGGATCAATGCTCATGATATCAATCACTAGATTGCCTGGTCTAGACTAATATAGCTGGAATATTGCTGAGTGCGGCATTTAACAACAAACAAACAAAAAGTATTACATGTACTGTTTACGTACCGTTGTTTCTCAAAGCAAACCATATCATGATCTCAATGCATTGTTTATTTCTCGAAACAATGCCTTTCAATTGATCAATTTTGAACCTTTTTGAGTTTTCATGATCTAATAATTGCAGGGGACGACAATGAGGATGAAGATGATGAAGACCTTGATGACGGAGGGAGAGATGCTGGCGGAGCTGCCTCCAAAGACGTTGATACTCCTGTATTCGAATGCTTGAATGATGAGGATGAGGAGGATGACCTGGGTGGTCCGGAGTATGACCATTTGCATCAGATCTTCGTCACCAAGAACCCTGTCCTGAGCACAGAGGTTCACAAGAACTTCTACGAGCTCTGTCATGCATGCGAAGCGACTAAAGATCATGCAGGAAAGGAGGCAGACGATCTTCCTCACAGGCTGCAAGATGTGCAGGATTTGTGTTACCCTCTGTTCCTCACGTCCAAGCAGCTGTTGATGATGCTGGATGCCTCCCTGGAGCCGCCATACTTCTTTGAGAGGAACGAAGATGGAAGTCTCGGAGCCCGAGTACAAGGATGGGGCACTCAAGATGACCTGTTTGGATTTTCCCCCCTGGAACCAGACTCTGATGATGAGGATGAAGGAGTTGTTGACTTGGATGAAGATGTGGATGAAGACGCAGAGAATGCTCCAGAACAGATACGACCTGCCCCGCATCAACAGAAGGTAGATCCCAGAAAAGAAGTCACTTATGAAATGTTTGCTGAGGAAATCTGGCCCAAGATTCTCAAAAAGATGTCTGTGAATTACCACCCGTCCCTTGTGTGGACAGAAATCATGTCATTCATCAAGGGTTCTTTTGAAGCTTTGTTAAAGCCAAATGGACATTTGAGCAAGGATGAGTACATCGAGTTGGGAAAGAAAAGAGCCCCCAATTTCACTGGCGAGAGAGACAAAGTTTATGAACTGTACCTCAGATATGACCATTTCAAGAAGCAGAAGTTCCTGTTTGATGAAGCAGATCTTGTCCAGAACATTTACAAACGTCTACGATCTATAAAGGAACAGACATGGGTGATTCATCAGTTGTATGTGGATGAGACACAGGACTTCACACAGTCCGAGCTGTGTGTCCTCCTTAGAATCACCCAGAATCCAAACGATATGTTCCTCACTGGCGACACAGCTCAAGGCATCATGAGGGGAATTTCTTTCAGATTCAGTGACCTGAAGTCTCTGTTTTTCTATGCAAGAAAGTCTCTTCATGCTAGAGGGCAGTTCGGAAGTGTCAATGTACCCAAACAAATCTACCAGCTGACTCACAATTACAGATCACATGCTGGGATTCTCTCCCTTGCATCCTCAGTTTTGGACCTGATGGTCGAGTTCTTCCCAGAATCGTTTGACAGATTGCAGAAAGATCAAGGCCTTTTCAATGGACCACCACCTATCCTGCTGGAGTCCTGCAGTGTTGGAGACTTAGCAATTCTACTGCAGGTATGATGTTCCTTTCTTATGCTATGTCAGTAACAGGGTTTGAATTGAATCAGTTAGTGTGTGGTCAAACTCTCTGTGGCTTGTGTGTAATAGCAGATCGTGGGTTTGAATCCTGATTTGCCCATATTATGTTAAGGTTTGTCACAACCATACCTGCGCTCATGGTTTCACCCTAAATTGTAAACATCTGACAACTGCAACTCTTCGGGTTTTCTTCCCATGTCAAACTGACACGCTGTGATATGACTGGAATACTGTTCAAAGCTGTGTTAAACTAACTCACTCACTCACTCACTCACTCACTCACTCACTCGACTGCGGTAAGGCTCCATGACATTCAGACTATAAAGTAAAATGTCCTGAGAGCATGGATCTCAATTATGACTGTTGTTTTATATAGTGTCATTTGTCTGCAACCCCCTGTAACTGGAAGTGATGTAATTATACAAGCTATATCTGATGGCTAGAGACATGTGACCTTCTGTTTTTATGCTGTCCCACTTTAGACGACATGAGGAATCATAGATGAGTGTTCTTGAAATTAACAATAAACACTTTCACTATTTGGATTTACTTTTAGTTCTAATTACATTAAGTAATACGTTACCACTGTTATACCGAGGCTGTTGTCTCCCACAACTGCTGCTATAGCGAAATCTACCACAGAGATCTCAATTACCTCATGCAGCACGTGCGTAGCCACCCAGCTGCCATGTGACACCCTTCACTCTTGTCTCCTTCGTCTGCTTAGCAAGACGTGTTTTCTCCTGCTGAAGCGTTCCTTGAAGATTTGGTGATATTAATTATAGTTTATTCTCTAATAAACTGTGCTTTTATGGGGCGTTGCGGTAGCTACGCTTGGTTATAATTTTCCCGCCAAACGGAAAATTTTTCCCGCCCTTTTTTCTATATACTTGCGGGGTTCGCGTATGCACGTTGTGTTTTACGTTTCCCCTGTTCTTGTATGTTTTGGGGGTTAACATCACTTATTTCTTTAATAAAAGTTATATGTGTATGTTATATGTTCACATTGCTCGTTTATTTTCTTGTGAAAATGTTCGTTTGTGAATCATTGTGGTGCGTGCGTTGTAACCATGTTTTGTTCTTTGTTTATAGCAAACAATCAATGTCTGACATGGATATGTCCCCAGTATCCACCCCCTCTACCCCTGCTCCTCGGAGTTGTGGGGTGTGCAGAAAGTTTTTGTCGTCCCGGGATCCCCACGATCGTTGCCCGCGGTGCAGGGTTCCTTGCGGGGACACCCGGTGCATCCTGTGCGAAGGTCTGGGGCCTGCGGAGTTTGAGCGGTACCGGCTGTACGTACAGTCCGTCTCCACCCCTGTGGTGGCCGGTTCGTCCGGTCGGGGTCCCCGTGCGGGTACCACCTCCTCGGCTGCGGCGGATCCCCTTGCGGCCCTCGGGCTGTCTGGGGATTCCGTCGCCGCATTGTTGTCGAAACTTGTGGTCTCCAAGCTGGCGGCCTTATCGCAAGATAGGCCGCTGGCTGTTCCGTCCCCGGCCTCTTCGGTGGCCGCGGGGTCGGACGCGGGGTCCACCGGTAAAGCGGCGGATCTCTTGGCGGCCCGTGTGCTGTCCGGGGATTCCGTCGCTGCATTACTTGCATAACTTGTGGACTCCAAGCTGGCGGCCTTATCTCAGGATAGGCCGCTGGCTGTTCCGTCCCCGGCCACTTCGGTGGCCGCGGGGTCGGACGCGGGGTCCACCGGTACGGCGGCGGCTCCCGTGGTCACCGGTCCTTCCCCCGAACCGTTGCTCCCGCTATCGGTTTAGGACCGCGTGGCCATGGTTTATGACCTCTTTGAGGACATGCCCCGGCCGGTACCGCGGGGAATCCACGACTATGGGTTCCTCCGAGGTATACGATGAGTCTTCCGACACGGCTTTCCCCGCATCAACCTTGCTGCGCGGTTTCAAGCCTTCCTTGGAGAACGCCTTCGCGGCGGCCTCCGGTCGGGGTCTCCTGTTGCCTCCGACGTCGTGGAGAAAGGGTTTCTTCCCGGTACATGACCTTGCCTTTCCCGAGGTCCTACCGCGGAGGCCCATGTTGAGCGGTTGGGTGTCCGTGCCCCACCGGCTGCTACCGTAACGCAAGCTACCTTGCACCAGCTGGACGCCCTCGCTCGGCACTCCATGTCTCACGGAGACACTTACTTGGCTGCAGCGGCCCGTCTGGTCGAAGGTTCTCCCACGGACCGTGACCAGCGCATTTACAACTGCCTGCTCAGTTTAAATGCTTCCCTGGAGTACGTTGCCGAGGACTCTCGGCACACACTTGCTCTTGTTGGGTCCCTGCATAGGCGCCTGGGTGCCGCTCCTAACCGGAGCGCGCCCCAGGCTGCTGCGGCCGGTAGGTCTAAGGGGTCGGTTTCTTCTTCCTCTGGGAAGTAGCCCCGCCCTGAGGGCTCCGGTATGGGCAATCAGCTGCCCTTTCGCGGGAAGACGGGGAACTGGGGGAAGCCCAAGTCGTCTTCGGTTGGCCCTTAGGCGAACCCGAGTCACTTGGCCCTGGACAGTTGCGCCTGCCGCAACCTGTCAGGGCCCCCTCTCCTTCCCCAGTGGGAGCCAGACTCCAGACTTACTGGGAGAATTGGGAACAAGTGTTCGACGACCCGTGGGTGGTCAACACGATTCGGTACGGCTATCGGCTTGATCTCAAAGCGAATCCGCCGCTCACCGTTGCCCCGTTGGCAGGTTTTGATTCGGAAACCGATCTTCCCATCCTCGCCGATGCCATCGGCAGGTTGGTGGAGAAGGGGCAGTACGGGAGTTAGCTCTACCAGAAATAACACCGGGGTTTTACTCCAGGATATTTCTCGTTCCCAAGTAGGACAGTGCCGAACTCAGAATGATTCACACGTCCGCTCCCTGGCTGTTCACCCGGTTAACCACCCCCATAGTGGGGTTCCTCCACAGGAGGGGTGTCCGGTACTTCGCGTACCTGGACGACTCGCTAGTAGCAAATCGAATGACGGACACCCTGTCACGCCATCTCGTTTTCGCACGTCGGCTCTTGGAGCAATTTGGGTGGATTATCAATCTCCCCAAGAGCGAGTTAACCCCTTCTCAGAACTTGCTGTTCATCGGAGGTCGGTTCAACACGGTGTCCCATCGCCTCTTTGTCCCCCCAGACCGGTGGCACAAAATTCAGGCGTTGATTGCCAAAGTCTTAGCGGTGCAACAGACTGTTCACTTTTGGGAACAGCTGTTAGGGCTACTTGTATCAGCCCACGACTGCACCGCACGGGGTCGTCTCCAACTCCGCCCGCTGCAACGGTTTTTAATCCAGTTGTTAGCAACGGAGGTGAACAGTGCGACCGTCGCCCTCCCGGATCGGCTCCGACCGCATCTGGTGTGGTGGACGGTCCCTTACATTGTCTTATCAGGAGTCTCTATGCGGCCCTACCGGGCCACGTTGACCCTGTATACAGACGCCTCTCTAGTGGGCTGGGGCGCCCATCTAAAGGGGGAGGTGAGCTCGGGGCTGTGGTGCGTAGACGAACTAGGTCTTCACATCACTTGTCTCGAGTTCAAGGCAGTGATCAACGCAGTCAATCACTGGAAGCATCGTCTCGTCGACGCCCGGCTCATGCTGGCGACCGACAACACGACGGTAGTGTCCTATGTGAACAAACCGGGGGGAACCCACAGTCACTCGCTACTCGATCTCACGTTCGAGTTTTACGCTCTGGTGGACAGTGTCCCGTGCCAGATACGCGCCCGTCACATCCCAGGTGTGCGGAACGTACTGGCCGATGCTCTATCGAGGCCTCAGGATCCGAGCCCCACAGAGTGGATGCTGAACCCAGTAGTGTTTCAGTGGCTGTGCGAACGTTTGGGTCGTCCGATGGTCGACCTGTTCGCAACGCGGTTCAACAATCAACTCCCGTTGTTTGTATCACCAGTCCCGGACCCGAGGGCCATCGATCACGATGCTCTCGCGTTAGACTGGACGGGCTTGGTCGCTTATGCTTACCCGCCGACAGCGTTGATACCACACATTCTAAGCCGGCTCCGAGGAGTTCGCTGTCGAATGTTACTGATCGCGCCCATGTGGCCGAACAGATCGTGGTACCCCGACTTGCTGACCCAGGTCACGCAGTCGCCACTTCCACTGCCTGTGAGACTGGATCTCTTGATCCACCCTCACACCCGACAGCTTCATCCAAACGCAGGGCAGTTCAATCTGCACGCGTGGATGTTGTCACCGAGCGTCTGAGGAGTAAAGGTTTTTCTCGCCGGGCGTCTCGGGCATACGTTAGTATGCATCGTGATTCTACCCAGAAGGTGTATAATGCACGTTGGGTTATTTTCACGAAGTGGTGTTGTAAACATCACATTCATTCGCCAGATAAGGTATCTGTGCAGGATATTGCTCGTTTCATGTCTCACTTGCGAGAGACCCGGAAACTCTCCGGGGGTTCCATTGCCAACTATGTCTCGTCCGTTGCTACGGTACGGGACGTTGCTATGTGTACCAGTCTCTCCAAAGAGCCGGTGATACGGGGTATTATCAAGGGTTTCAAACAGCACGATCTTAAGAAGGGCCGCCTTCGGGCACCGGCCTTGGATCTTTCCCTAGTGTTGCAATCACTTACGGAAGCTCCGTATGAACCCTTGCATAGTGCTTCGTTCCGGCATGTGACTTGGAAAACAGCATTTCTCCTCTCCTTTGCCACGGCGGCACGTGTATCCGAAATTCATGCACTCGATGTCGCCAAGGTACGATTCGATAGGGGTGACGAAGGAGCGGTCCGCCTGGGCCTGCTCATGGGCTTCGTCGCCAAGAATCAGAGAGTCGGGCAAACGGAGAGAGAATTCACTGTAAGATCACTCAAAGAAATCTTACATCCTGCTGATACTGAGGACAGAGCGCTGTGTCCGGTTAGGGCCCTTAAGTATTATCTTAAGGCTTCGAATGAACGTAGACAAGGGCGTGACCGTCTGTTCATATCGTGTAACCCTAATCGCACGGTTGACATAACTCGCAACTCGATTGCGTTGTGGCTTCGTTCTGTCATCAATCTGGCGTACCGGTCTCGGGGGTTACCGGTAGCGGGGTCAAACCCGCACGAGATCAGGGCGCTAGCGGCAACATTTGCCCTACACTCGAATATCTCTGTTCGCAGAATATTACGAGGTTGTTACTGGCGTTCTGACTCGGTTTTTGCCAATCATTACCTCAAACAGGTCGCTGATGCCGTTGTGGAGAATGTGCACTGTCTTGGCCCGCGGATCGCGGCGCAAGCGGGCACCTAAGGGGTGTGCCCAGCGCAATTCCTCAGGCGTCTTACCTTGCACGGTGGTCAATCTGGGTCGACTCCAATGTTCCCACTGCCGTGGGTACAGGAGTTGGGGTCCCGCAAACCAGCGCACTCACACCACAGGTGAGGGCGGCTTTTTGTGTGCTTTGTCCTTATTTGTATTTTGACAATTATGTCTTTAATTGTCTGTCGTGTATCCCAACCTTGTGATGCATGCTTACAAATACTGGAATTAGGTCACGCGCCTAATGCATACTTTAAGTAGGCTTGCTCTGGGATATACGGTCTGAATGAAATTAATTTCCCTCTTTTCGACTGTTTAACCTGATCTAAGATTAAGCTCACGCGGATACAGTGTTCTCATCCGCTGCGGCGATGAAATACCTATCCAGTGGGGCCGTTTGGAGTCACCAATCGTTTTGGCAATGACGATTGAGCCTTACGGTATGCGCTTGACAGTGCTTTGGTATTCCTATAGGGTAACGCCTAGCTAGGTGCATGCGCATCGAGTGCTTCCGCCTTGGTGTTTACTTCCGCTGGTCGGAAGGAACGCTAGCAGTCAGGATTCGGGTTGTAGGTGCTCCCCACCGCCTACTGTGGTAGTCAGCCTCGGTATAACAGTGGTAATGTATTACTTAATGTAATTTGTAGAATTTTCCTATTCGGAATATTCTATAAGTAATACGTTACCACTGGGCTGCTGCCCGCCCGTCCGTCCCCCGAGCACTTGCTCTCGCAGGAGACAAGAGTGAAGGGTGTCACATGGCAGCTGGGTGGCTACGCACGTGCTGCATGAGGTAATTGAGATCTCTGTGGTAGATTTCGCTATAGCAGCAGTTGTGGGAGACAACAGCCTCGGTATAACAGTGGTAACGTATTACTTATAGAATATTCCGAATAGGAAAATTCTACAAATTTTTTCACAATTGCACACAGTGACGGTCCTAATTTGACTGAATCTAAAGCTGTCTAATGTTGACCTATTGGCTTTAAAGTTTGAATATGACAAGATGCCGTTGTATATACGACCAGTCGCCTACTCAGTGGTAATACAAAATAAAACGATAGGCTGTCAAACATATAACCAATCGCCTTTGAATCTGAATGAATTGTGACAAAAGACTGTCAAGAAAACTTCTCACATGGTCTATTCCATCTTTTTTTCTATTTTAATGATGTCTAATATCCGCGAAGCAAATAGCGATTGTTCTATGTTTTCATTAACACAAACGCATGAATATTCAAAGTTCATAAACACAGTTCTCCAGTAACAGTTCTCTCCTAACAAATATTGATAGATTTTACTACCCAAGTTTTAAAGGTCATTTGTTGATATCCCTATAATAATTTACTGTGTGTGTGATTATGTTATTTTTCCACCCCAGCATATAATGTGGGGGGATAGCCATCATCTGGTCGGTCGGTCTGTCCGTCCGTCGGTATTTCGTTTCGGGAGCATAACTTGAAAACTGTGAACAAAATTTCATCTGAACTTGCTACATGTATTGACAGGGGCTAATGTGGTGCCTTTTGCTATTGTGGAAGCCGGGGGATTTGTCATCTGTTTCAAACGTTAACTGTTTGTGGAGCTTCAAATAGTTAAAGGCATCAACTTTACCTGATTAAGTTGATAAAATTGTTGCATCTAAATTAAAGGGCAACAAGAGAAAGACATCGCACATTGAGTTCGGAGCCCACCAGGCTATCCTGGTAGTGAATGACTCTGTGAAGAACAACATGCCGGAGGAGCTGAGCCACGGCATCGTACTCACCATCTACGAGGCAAAGGGGCTGGAGTTTGATGACGTCCTGCTGTACAACTTCTTCAAGGACTCTCAGGTAGGTGACGTGGACTAATGCTGCCACCCAAGGCAATATTCTCTTTCAGATTAAATCCTCCTTGGGGCACTTATTGCATTTTCCTGGCTCAAGAAAATCTACATGACATAGTTGTAACCATTTTCCTTAATAAAAAATGTTACCACACAAAAAACTTCGTTTTTGTATGATATACGTCCACCCTTATAGTGCCTCACCCTCCACAGCGCGTCACGCCAAGGGAAGCAACTCTCACCCAAATCACTTTCCTTATGTCATCTGACAAAGACAGACGTGCCTGTTTTTTTCAAGACTAACAAAAGTACAAGATAATCATCGTTCGTACAAGAACCATGGCAGACAAACTGTATGTATGGTACATTTCTTTCATGCAAAGGCATAATACCTCGCATTGTAAAGTTATAGAGTTGTAATTATGTGACACGTGTACGATACCTTTGAAACAAAGGCCGTCGTGGCGTCCATATTGTAGTGCCACGTATGATACATGTAACACCAGGGCCATTAAAAACGGCTTGGGTTTTTTAATATTATATCATCAGGCTTTGGCCTACAATCTTTTCCTTTAATAAACCCAAGGTGGTGTGTTAATTATATTTAAATTACACTTACCTTTTTTTACGGGTTTTTTACACCTTCGCGCGTAACACGCCCACTTTGGTGTTATAATTATACTATGACATTGGCTATTAGTATCGCGTTACCAATCGCATTCTAAATTACGCCTTTGCTTCTAGTTTCACAATTTATGCACGTATCTTTCCGATCTTTCAATCGCACTGATACAATTTATTACCCTTCCCGCCCAACTCAGAAATTACGGTCTTTTATCAAGACCTTCAAACTGTGTACGGGGTGTTCGGCATCCATTCCCCCCCAAGACAGGCATGATACTTGCCTCAAGTGTTTGGCGGAAGACGGGCATGACGATGGGTCATGCCCGATCTGTATTGCTTTCACCCCCCGGGCTCAGAAAAAGAGACAAGTGGATCTCTTACACTTTAAGGGTCTCTTGAAGGCGGGGGTGGATATTAGATCGGCAAAGACTGTCCCCCCCCCAATTTAAAAAATCAAGAAAGGGTAAAAAAGCAGAGACTGTCTCCTCCGCTCCCTCTCCGGGGGCTGGGGGAGAAGGCTCTAGGGTCCCTGTAACAATCACTGCACCCTCTCCTGCACCGTCTTTGGCGGACATCTCTGCCTTGTTGAGGTCGCAGATGGCGTCGATGATGGAGGAGGTAAAGTCTCAGCTCCGAGAGGAGATGTGGACCGAGCCTTCCCCGTTGTTGCCGCCGGACGCGGCTTCGAGACCTCGTGATATGCCCGGCGTCGGCCGAGGCAGGCCACTTGGTCTCGGGGACAATCTCAGACCAGGCTTCGGCGCCGGCTCGAGGTCGTTCCCCAGCGGAGGGGTGGCGGGCGCTGGCCCGTTCACTACTGACGCACAGTTCTCCCTAGCGGAGCCAGACGCCTCCTCCGAGGCCGAGGCTTCCTCTAGCGGATTCCTAGCCCAGAGCCAGGTGGGTTCCCATGAACCCCCGGCACCTCGGGACCGAGACTCGGTTTCGGGCCGGGTGCAGCCTGGGGATGCGAAGGCCCAGGCCTTCGGGCGTCCCCCTTCCGACTTCGTCTGCCTCTTCTCTCGGGGAAGAGTCGATTAATTTCGGCTCGGAATCGAGAGAGGAGGAGTGGATGGAGGAGGGGGGAGACCTCGGGAACATTTTCCTTTGCTTCCTCTTTGAGGCATGTACGGGACAAGATTGTCCAGTTACTGCCTCAGGTGGCTGCGCCCATGCCCCAGTCGGCTCTGAGCAAGGCGCCCCAGGTGCGGCTCCGTATTCTGTCCTCACTGGTGCATGAAGTCATCAACCCTCTGTTGTCGGGTGTTGTCGGTTGCATGTTATCGAACTGCCGACAGCCGGGGTCCACTGCCTCAAGCCGGATGTCCCTGTAGCGGCCGACTGGCTCTATTCCTGAAGGAATGGGAGACAGTCACATCCAATCCCTGGACCCTGTCCACTCTAAGGGATGGCCATTTGCCTCGGTGGAAACATCATCCGCCCCCCTTCTCCGGGATAAAGCACACTCCGGTGCCTGCTACCCAAGAGAAGGCGGAATTCCTCCGTGCCGAGTTCGACACACTTCTTATGAAGGCTGCGATCGAACCGGTTCCCGTGGGACAGGAAAGCGAGGGCTTCTACTCGACATATTTCCTAGTCACCAAAAAAAGACGGGGGTTCAGGCCTATTCTCAATCTGAGAAGGCTGAACAAACTTATAGAGGTACCGTCCTTCAGGATGGAGACACTGCGCTCGGTGATCTCAGCTGTCGAGACAGGAGAATGGCTAACGTCAATAGACCTAAAAGACGCCTATCTCCACGTACACCCCGAGTTCAAGAAATACCTGAGGTTTTCTTTGGACGGGAGGTGTTATCAGTTCAGGGTTCTACCATTTGGGATCTCCACGGGTGTTCACCAAGCTGATGTTGATTCCCGCCCAAGTGGCCAGATCAAAAGGTCGCTTCTACAATCCGTACCTCGACGACTGGTTACTAAGAGCTCTATCGCAATCCCTGAGTCAGATAGCTACACAAGACGTGATAGACATTCTGATCACTCTAGGTTGGATAGTCAATCTCAAGAAGTCAGTTCTGAGCCCTACTCAGAATCTAGTCTTCCTAGGGGCGAATTTCAACACGGTGAGCGGACTTGTATCTCTGTCACAAGATCGCATTACCAAGGTCAGAAGTGTTACTTCCCAGTTCCTTCTGTCTGCAAGTCACACTGCTTGTACATGGCTCCAGTTACTGGGCAACATGGCGGCGACAGTGGATGTGGTTTGGCGGGCGCGCTTGAGAATGAGACCCATTCAACAAGCGCTCCGTCGACTTTGGGTGAACTCGGAAGAGCTCGAGACTGTTCTCGAGACTGCGCAGTGGCTCAATGCACACCTTCAGTTGTGGACCGAGGTCGGGAATCTGTCCCGGGGGCTCCCCCTCGACACTCCCGTTCCGTCTCTCACAGTTCAAACAGACGCGTCACTCTCCGGCTGGGGAGGGGTTCTGAACGGTCACACTGCCTCGGGACTATGGTCCCAGCAGGAGATCAAACTGCATATCAATGTGCTAGAACTGAGAGCGGTCAGGATGGTGTTCCAACGCTTCCTGGATCTGCTTCGTGGCCAAGTGGTGCGTCTCGAGATGGACAACCAAACGGCGATGACTTACATCCGGAAGCAGGGGGGAACGGTGTCTCCGTCGCTTCTCCCAAGAGACGTGGCAGTTCCTCCTATGGTGCGACTCACACGTTATCAGGGTGCTACCTGTTTATCTCAAGCGTACGCCCCGGCTCTGCCCATTGAGGAGATCTGCTCCGCGGCTATTTGGAGCCAGCCAAGCATGTTTATCAAACATTACCAACTCGACAAACACTCAAGCGAGCGTGCTCGGTTTGGTCAGTCAGTTCTCCGAACTGGGCAAAGTTCTGCATCTCTAGCCGATTGAGCTTTCGAGATTTTAGACTGCCCGGACCGGTTATAAAACTGCTCAGTAACGGTCCGGATTATATCTTCTACGGTCGATAACAATACCAGCCATTACTACTCGATAATCATCGTATTTGCACATGCACTCCTTCGATTCCCGGGGACCCTCTGGCCTAGCTCTGCGCAGGTTTATAGTCTCTCGTGATCTGCACCCCCATATCACTTGTTCAAAAAAGTGTGTGTGTGTGTGTGTGTGTGTGTGTGTGTGTGTGTGTGTCTCGAGTTCTCAAAGAATGGCCCTTTTATTGTGTATGGTCGACCACGCCCTGTCTCCAGCCCCCGCCTTTCGACGGTGGTCCCTCCCGATAAGGTTGGTTCCATTTATTGAACTCTTGTTTATTCATTGAAATAATCAAAATACGATGTATTTATGCACGCTTGTTGCTGACGGATGCCACTTCCTAGATTATCTTTAAGAGTCTATCTGGATGCAATAAGTGCCCCAAGGAGGATTTAATCTGAAAGAGAATTTTACAAACCTGTAGAGGTTATGAATTCTCTGATGAAATCCTCCTTGGGGCACGGCCACCCACCTCCCCGCATTCCGTCAGCATTAGACATATGGAAAGTGATTTAGGTGAGAGTTGCTCCCCTTGGCGTGACACTCCGTGGAGGGTGAGGCACCATAAGGGTGGACGTATATCATACATAAACGAAGTTTTTTGTGTGGTAACATTTTTTATTAAGGAAAATGGTTACAACTATGTCATGTAGATTTTCTTGAGCCAGGAAAATGCAATAAGTGCCCCAAGGAGGATTTCATCAGAGCATTCATAACCTCTACAGGTTTGTAAAAGTTTCATACTACTGGATTATGTACATGATCGAAAAATGCTTTGATAAATATAACGGTTACAATTGGTTGGTTGTTGTAGACAGCCATTTCTCAGTTATAATAGCATTAAACATCTAACAAACAGTTTTGTTATTGATGGATCACAAGTATGATTCTTCTGTGTATATGTATCGTCGGGTTATAAGTTTTCAGACATCATACATTTTTGGACGGCCACGTTTATCGTGATTATTCGCACTATAACAGGATGTAGCATCCAACAGACATTGTAATTACTGATATGATGGCTTCTTTTGTAGAGAAAGTTGTCTTATATATAAACTACGAATGTTTCTTAAGCGTCCAGAAACCCATTACACCGGAATATAGATTATTATTTGAATACAGGCGATGAAAGAATGGAGAGTTGTTACATCATTCTTGGAACAAATTGCAAAGGGCCAGGAAGATGAAAGAACAGAAAATCTAGTCATCATTGACGAAGGTTTGTATTTTTGTATGTCGCTGGTTAGCACTGCATTTAAGACTCCCTCCAAATGTAATTGTACGTCCACACCATACAGCCATAAGATAAGAGTACAGTAATAACTTACATATATGGAGTCTTGGCAGATCTCGGGGCAGAAAAGGTCCCTATTATGAGTTACCAAACAGTGGAAAAGTGGTCCGACTCGGTAAGATGGCTGTGTGCGTGTCATGATGCCCAAACGGCTTACACGTTTTTCAGTCACTGATATTTCGGGTCCATACTAGATTATTTATAGGCTGCAGTGATATGACTTGGTTTGACAAAAGTTGGCTTGATCACTTTGGTTTTCAAATGTCTGGGTAATTACTTATTTTTGCAGAAATCTTAAAGAAGCCAAAGAGGCCTCGCCCTTTGAACTTTGACCCCAACCAGCACAAGGTCCTAAACTCTGAACTGAAGCATCTGTACACAGCCTTGACTAGAGCACGGGTCAATGTGTGGATCTTTGATGAGGATGAGGAGAGGCGGGCCCCCATGTTTGAATACTTCAAGGCAAGGAAGCTGGTCAGATGTATCACGGATGCAGAGATGAATGCTGCTGGTGAGATTATTATAATCTAATAAATATTGATTGATTTGCCGAAGTTTACCATCAATCTTGTACTGTGCCTGTGCAGATTATATATGAATACATAACCCATAATAAGTCAAGCAAGATATCCCCCATGTAGATCTGGGTTAGAATTGGTCTTCAATAATCCTGTTCTTGTTGGAAGACTAACAGGATCGGTTGGTGAGATTCGCTGACTTGGTTGATGCTTTCATGGTATCCTGATTGAGTAGATCAATGCTCATGATGTCACTTACTGGATTGTCTTGTTTGGACTTGATTATTTACAGACAGTCGTCATTAACGGGATCGGTTGGTGAGACTCGCTGACTTGGTTGATGCTTTCATGGTATCCTGATTGAGTAGATCAATGCTCATGATGTCACTTACTGGATTGTCTTGTTTGGACTTGATTATTTACAGACAGTCGTCATTAACGGGATCGGTTGGTGAGACTCGCTGACGTGGTTGATGCTTTCATGGTATCCTGATTGAGTAGATCAATGCTCATGATGTCACTTACTGGATTGTCTTGTTTGGACTTGATTATTTACAGACAGTCGTCATTAACGGGATTGGGTGGTGAGACTCGCTGACTTGGTTGATGCTTTCATGGTATCCTGATTGAGTAGATCAATGCTCATGATGTCACTTACTGGACTGTCTTGTTTGGACTTGATTATTTACAGACCGTCGTCATTAAGCTGGAATTTCTCCGAGTGCATGGTTAAACAGCAAACTAATAAACAAGCAAGCTATTTCATGGTTTTTATTTGACTGGGTCTGCAGTGTTCGAAATAAGCGCCTGCCCGTAGGCCCGTGGCATGTAGAACTTGTGTCGGGCCCGCAGTTTCAAATTTGGATGGGTCCTTATGGCCTGCTGTAAATTTATATTGTTGTTTTTTGTCACAATAAGCTGTAGTTTTTGTAAGTAAGGGCCTGAAGAACAGTCAGGGCCTGCAGCTTTTAAAGTTTAAGTTGACCATAAAAACCTCCTTGTGAAAGTTGTGATAATGAAATTTGAACAATTGATTTTAGATATTAGTCAACAATTTATATCTAATTTTGATGTCTCTCTGAGATGACACATAGCATTTAGGTTCTTGTTACTCTTATGGTTGTGTTAATTGTTGCAGCTGGTTTGGAAGAGGTTGTTGGTCCCCTGTACTCCATGGTTGCAGGGCACCATTACTCCATAATTATGATTGTGTTAATTGTTGCAGCTGGTATGGAGGAGACAATGTTTGCTGAGAAGTCCACCCCCGAGGATTGGGTGAAACGTGGTGATGAGATGATGGGCCGGTGTCTCTACGAGGTGGCCGCCAAGTGCTACAGGATGGGAGACAATGAGACGAAGGAGAAGATAGCCCAGGCTCACAACCAAGCTTTGAAAGCTTCCAGGATGAAGGACAACCCGAAGAAGATGAAGGAGGAGTTTGTCTTCGCTGCTGAGAAGTTCCTGGAAAGTGGCCATGACAACAAGGCTGCCCTCTGCCTGCAGAATGCTAGGGAATATGAGCTCGCAGCTACCGTGTTTGAGAAATGTGGACAGGTATGTTCACTCCTTGCTCAATATATTATTAACTTTTTCAACACTGCAGGCTGGTACATCGGCCAAGACGTAGCCATGTCAAAATAGTCTGTAATTTTATTAACCTTACCTGTCATATCATTCATTTATAAAATCTCTCACTTTTCACAATATCTGAAATAAGTATTTCATTTCAATCAATCATATTTTAGCGATAGATAAAATTGTTTTCACTATTTCCTGGAAAAAACAAAATCTCTGACACATGCTCCGACAACGAGTCCATATTGACGCGTCAAAGAGAAGACGTTTTAAACAAATCTCTAAATAAATTAAATAAATTAAATAAATAATAATAATAGTAATAAATAAAATCAACAATAATATATCCAAAAGTTGTCAAACTTACATCTAGGTTATTATTTCCATCTTTTCATGCGATCTGGTGTAATGCAAGTCAAATGACATCTCAGGTTTTGTCGCCTTAACTTTTATGCTCGGACACGGTGTTTAATGCCAAAATATATGCCTAAGAAATCTTTGTCACAGCTTGTAACCTTGCACGTGCAGATGCATCCAGGAAGTTCCATATTTTTAATATAGGTTGCTATTTCCTGCTTTATAGAATATAACTTTCAGAATAATATGATTTAACATAAACCTTTTGTTTAAATCTGAAATTTATCATTCACAAGGACTGTATCGATTGCTGTAATTTGATTGGTTGCCTTAGGTCATGTGCTTGAATTCGACCAATCACAATCCTTTTGGCAGATTTCGGCAAGAAAGTGTCATTAGAAACTAATTTCTATCCAATAGATTTGCTTGGTACAGCCAATAAAATACACAAGGGGAGGTTACTCTTTCGTATTATTGATGTCATAAGCTTTCTAATGATCCAGAGAGCGAACGATTCGTCACGTGTTGCTCATAGAAAGCTTCGAAAATGGGTGTTACTGAGCAGAAAGCCACTGTTATTGGGAGATGGATGATACCAGATAATATTTAAGATTCTTTTTAGAATAATCTTCTGAAGAAATAGGTAAGTGAATATTATGAAATCTTACGATTGCTGAAATTCTTCAAATTCTTCAAATCTGATCTGTTTTCTTTCCCTCCAGTTGGTTGATGCTGCAAAGATGTTCCGAAGATGCAAGAAGCATGTTGATGCAAGTCGATGCTACGAACAGCTTGGTAACTACCACAAAGCTATAGAGGTTCTTGACAACGAGGAGCTGTATGACCAAGCCATTGACTGCCTTGAGAGACACAAACTGGTTGTCAGTGTAAGTCACTTATGTTGAATGATGACTCCAGATCAGAAACAACTATATTGTTTATAGAAATATTTCATTCATACCTTATAGCACAAACAATTGTGTTCCACATTTTTATTTATCCATTTCAAAACATAAATTTTTGTCCTTGCTTAGGCATTCCAGCATATGCCCCCAGAATCCAAGACTTGCAATAAGAGCATACTAGCATGAGGCTCAGATGGTTATTATGTGTGATGTGGATGAAACATTATCTGACAGCATGGATCATTGCTCGTTAAGATCGGGGGTAGAATAGATCTTCAGCAACCCATGTTTGCCGTTACAGCGACTACGCTTGTGTCAAAATGTTTGGTAACAGCGTGGGGGCACTGGAGGCCCAGTCGGCCAGGCACGGCAAATTACTATCCAGAGGAGTGCCGGAATCATCCAAGTTATATACGTCTAATAATTACTAACACTAAGGTTAATCTAACATACCCTTATGGAACTGAAATAACGGTTATATTCGATCTCATTCACTGATGAGACCCGTGAAGATCTGGGTTAGAATAGGTCTTCCACAACCCATGCTTGCCGTAAAAGGCGACTATGCTTGTCGTAAGAGGGGATAGGGTGGTCAGGCTCACCGACTTGGTTGATGCATGTAAATCACTGGATTGTCTGGTCCAGACTCGATTATTTAAAGATCACCGACATATAGCTGGATTATTGCTGAGAGCGGCATTAAACCACAAACAAACAAATATTAGCCACTTCTTTGCCAGGCCCAAACACGACTATTTATATCTTTGTGACATAGGTGGAATAGTGCTAACAGAGGCTTGAAACAATATTAACTCATTCTAAATAGAGTTGTGAGAGGTTTCCCAAACATGTTCATTATCAAGTTAAGATACCTTTTGGTGCAGAGGTAGCACTCGTAAGAAATATCGGCAAAGCTTATCTTCCCCATCTTTATCAGTTATACTTGTCAGCACCATTCCCGCGCTCATAGAGGTCGCAAAAGTGATCAGACATCTTAACCATCATCCTGTCAGGCTTTCCTCCCACATTATGTGTTAGGTTTTGTTTTGTTTGTTGTTTAAAACTCACTCAGCAATATGATGGCGGTCTGTTAATAGTTCAGCTGAAATGCCGTGCTATGACTGGAATTCTGTTCAAAGTGGTGTTAAGCCTGATTCACTCACACCTCACTATGTCAGATGTACACACAGGAATTCAAGTGACAACCAATATATATTATTCGTGGGGGGTGGTCAGGTAGCCTAGTGGTTAAAGCGTTCGCTCGTTACGCCGAAGACCCGGGTTCGATTCCCGACATGGGTACAATGTGTGAAGCCCATTTGTGGTGTCCCCCGCCGTGATATTGCTGGAATATTGCTAAAAGCGGCGTAAAACCATACTCACTCACTCACTATTATTCGTGGAAATATGAACAAAATCGATGTTATCTTGTTTACCACAGGAGCTGGAGAGGAAAGGGAAGGAGGTCCCACGTGTGCTCCTCCTCAACAAGCCTGGCATCAGCTTCACTGTGGCCAGACTCAGCTACAAGGCGGCCAACTTCTACCACAGGTACAAGAATGAAGCCAAGATGGTGGAGGCGCTGGAGCGCTTGCCCCGCGTTGAAGACAGACTTGTCTTCCTCAAGAAGCGATCCTATGTGGAGCAAGCTGCTACAATCCTCGTGCAGGAATGTAGGTTATTTCTTTGCTTCATTCCGTTAAACCTCATTACATTAGAAATTATCCTCTTTCTGAGTTTTTCTAAGTCATTCTGACTCCTCTTTCTGAGCTTCTTTCTTATCATGCAAGCAAAATGAATGCATAGGTATGTATGTATCCACTGCAGATGGGAATATAGATAATTTTTTCAGAAATACAAAAACTGGAATGTGTGTTTATTTTTTAAATTTTTTACTTATCCTGCATTACTCCTTAATGCATTCACTGCTTACTTACGACAACTAGAAGGACAGCGCTGCGAAGGTCCTGGGTGAAGAAATAAAGTTGTTGTTCTCAAGTCCCAATCAGTGGCCTTCCGTCGCTGTCCTGTGACCTTGATGACACCTAAGGTCATCTTCACATCACTGCTTGTCGCAGCATAGCTAGGACGTGTCCAAGCGGAGCTCTCCTTTTGGATTAATTTTAGACCTTCAGTTTGTCTACAATCTTAAAAATTGATCTGCGATGGGTGGTGTATTCTTTTCATATTACTTTCACCATGTTGTGTAGTTTTATGTGAATTAATTAGGCGTGAAAAGACGCTTGTCTTTTTTCCCGCCAAAATATTGTTGTTCGCCGCCATTTTGAATTGTGTTACAATCGTTTGCCTGCCAAGGTAGTCATATTGTTTACAATTCTCAGCTACGTATGTATAACATATTCTTATGTTCTTAAATATTACTAGCTTTGGCGTAACAGTGAGTTGCGTATACTAAAATTATTGTATACTTTTTCAACTCGTTAAAAATATGGTTGCCGATAGATTAATATCAAATCTACGGCTTTCTTCCAGTTCCGCTTCATCAACAATTCTTTTATTGCGTACCTATGTTTATGCGATTAAATAGTTTTTTGTTGGTATTTTTGGTTTTACATTGAGTTGCGTATATGAACTATTGTATACTCTTGCAACTCGTAGTTTTTGCCGATAGATTATTGTTCAATTCTATGGCATTCTTCCAGTACCGCCTCATCAACAATGGCGTAATTGTGTTTGTTTTAAACATATTTTATTGACATATATGGTCAACGGGATTGGGCAAAAGTTATCCAACTTAGGTGGCCCTTTCCCTACTCTATATGTACAGACATTGAATATACATATATATATGTAATTGTGTAACTTATGATTGAGCGTGGTATTAATTGTCGTGGGAAAAATCTTACAAAGATTATCATCCACGTTGTTTGGTTTGCGCGCAGATGTGCTCTCCAAACCCTAAATGAAAATATAAATACCCTTGGTTTACATTGGGTTGCGCATACAAAAATATTGTATATCCTTGCAACTCATAAATTTGCCGATAGATTAGTGTTCAAATTCTTCGGCACTCTTCCAGTATTATCTCATCAACAAGGGTTTCATTGCGTAACATACCTTTGAGCATTTTACTAATTGTCATGGAAAAAAACTTACAAGATTATCATCCACGATTGGTTGGTTTGCGCGCGGATGTGCTCTCCAATCTCTAAATGTAAATAGCATTGGTTTACATTGAATTGCGTATATAAAAATATTGTATACCCTTGCAATTCGTATTTTTGCCGATAGATTACTGTTCAATTCTACGGCATTCTTCCAGTACCATTTCTTCAATGGTTTAATTGCGTAACATAATTATGTTTGCTCGGTGTACATATTGTCGTGGAATAATCGCCCAAAGCTCTTTATCCACGGTCATAGGCATGCACGTAGATGTGCTCGCCAAAATTCAAAATGTAATTTTTATGTAAATCTCTAATCCAACGAGTTTACTATATAAAAGCAGATTACTCACAATCATATTTTGCAGTTATTCCATCGTGAGACGAGAGGAATGTCACTATCGCAGAATAGCGAATGACATGGTTCTGTCATTACCACCCAACCGTTATTATCGGCAGGTATTATGACGACTGTGATTGCAGAAGTACACCATCCACCGAAATCAACAATACCGGAGGATTTTGTGAGTATCGTAACTGCTCCTATTTTTTCAGCCGCCGGACACTTCCAGATACATGTATGATAATCTGTGACGTCGGCGACAGCACCAGCACCAGCGTATCGAGATGCTATGATGGGGGTAGATTAGACGCAAGCCTTGATCCAGTCAATACTTTTGAGCTTTGTGTCTGATTTATCTGCGCCGAGCGCAGCACTTGACTACAACCCAAGCACTTCTATTACGCAAGCGGCGCACGATCAGCTTAGCGCTGTTCCAACATATCCAGCATAGACCTGCGCCGAGCGCAGCGTCTGACTGATACCCAAGCGCTCCTATCACGCCAGTGACGCACGATCAGCTTAGCGCTGTTCCAACATATCCAGCATAGACCTGCGCCGAGCGCAGCGTCTGACTGCTACCCAAAGCGCTCCTATTACGCAAACGTCGCACGATCAGCTTAGCGCTGTTCCAACATTCCAGACCTGCGCTGAGCGCAGCGTCTGCGTATCAATCAAGGTCTCTACAATGACGTTAGCCCAAGGCTTACAGTGTACTCGGTTACGTAACCGGCACATGATCAGCTTAGCACATGTACCCGATTGGGAAGCAGACCATCTCGTGTCAGTAACGCCCTCCCCTGATAACAGGGTAAATAAGAGGGACACCACGAGGTCATTGGAGGAAGCCTCCTCCAAAACTCACATTTGCTCCGTGATTTAAGCGACCAATATCGTCAATGTTTGCAGTGGATCAGAATCTATTAGAGGATAACCCTATCTGATTAGATCACTTCCAAACTATGGTGTTTTTCCTACAGCGTCAGTTTGACCACTGGAAAATTCATCTTGAGACCGTTCTGACGGTGATTACCGTTACACCCAAGACTTCATAGCGTTTCCAACTGAGATGCTGGTTTCAAGGGCAGTCTATTACGTCAACCTTGATCATCTACTCCCCTGTTCAACGAACAGATCGCAGACACGCACGTCAAGTTCCCAAAAAGCTTGGAAAGTCCAAGTCAGGGAATTATAAGCCTAGACGCGCGTTTCTCAGGGAAGACCAGCATTCCCTTACTGAGAAAGGGAGTGGCAGAGACAACTCTCAAGGAAGATTTCGTACTTATCGCACTATATCATGGTGTCCGTATAAGGGTAGAGTTAACCCCACCGTTGACCACAGTTTGATTGGGAAAATCCAACATAGACATACTGTTGGTAAGAAGAGCTGTAGAGTGGGTTCACAACCCAGTCTTTACTCCGGGGTTTTATCCTCACACCTACCTGGTACTCATGAAGGACCCAGACAAGATGAGAATGATCCACAATCTCTGTGTTCAACGAACGTTTGATTCTTCATTAGTCTCGACTATCCATCCCAACCGTAGACTTTTCAGGTCCAGTTCATTGGGGTTCACTACCAATGGTAGTATTTCCCATTTGACATGTCAGTGACACTTATGGCTATTTACAGGAGTAATGAAGCCAATAACTATCTACACGTGACGAACACTTGGTTCGAGTCGTAGATGGAGGGCGATCTACTGTATCATCAACACATGTCAATAACTGGGATAGACAATCAACGAGGCGAAGTCGGGAGTATTCTCCTTCCTATTGACTTCAGTTCATAGGAGACCTGTTTAAGACAGACCAGGATATCCTATCTGTACCGAGGGACAGATGGCACAAGTTTCTACTTCTTTTGTCATCTACTCTACACCAACCACACACACTTCGCCAGTGGCAAGTGTTGCTAGGGTTAATCACCTCGGCACAGGAGTTAACTAGCATGGGCCGCTTACAACAGCGACCAATTCAATTTTTTCCTGAACCCTTACATCAGGAGTCAGGATCCACTCAAGGCCATCACTCTACCAACTTAGCTAGAGCCTTGCCTCAATTTGTGGCGCTGAATGTCTGCGGAGTCTGTTCATCGGGTTTTCCCCGAATACACACCTGTTTGTGGACGTCCCCTTTCAGGGGTGGAGTCTTCACTTACAAGACCAGATAAGCTCAGGGCTATGGCCCGGCGCACAATGGAAGTGGCACATAAACAACTTGGAGTTGGAAGCTTTAATTCTGGCTATATCACATTGGCAGAATCAACTACAGTTAGCCTGACTCGCTATATCCACAGACAACAGCACTGCGGTGTGGTGCCTGTGCAATCGGGGAACAACACACTCCCACTCTCCACTTCTAAGGACATTCAGATTTCTTCCATCTAGTGGATCGGCTGTGACTAAGGTTCATAGTTCAGCACATCCCCGGATGTAGAAACATACTGGCCGATACTTTATCACGTCCAGACAGGGTGGCTCCCACTGAGTGGAAATTTCTCACAGAAGCATTCCAGTTACTGCTTCAGGAATTCAGGCAACCAAACATTGACTTGTTTATTACTTGCCTAGGCCACCAACTCAAGACGTATATCTCCCCGTTGCCGGATCCGCAGACTTGGGCGGTGGACGAGTTCAGTATCACTTGGGAAGGGCAAAGAACTAAAACTCTTCTGCCACCACTTTTACTTCCCAAGGTGCTACAGGGGATCAAGGAGACAAGGTATCTCGATCTCTCCTTTGGTCGCACCATGGTAACCGGCGAGAGGGTAGTTCGTCAAGCTCGGAAAAATCTAAAACGATTCACTTCCCCTCTCACAGTGGTCCAACCTACTCATCCACCCTCAACAGAAAATTGCCTCACCCAACGTCTGCACGTATGGTTCGTCTTTAAAAGGCGTTTAAGTGCGAAGGGTTATTTTGACACGGGCAGCAAAGCTATAGCTTTAATTCATCGTTACTCTCCCAGAGACGACGATTACAAGTGGGGATCACTTGAGACTTTTTACAGGGAAGAAAAGAATCAAGACCCTACGATTGCGTCACAATTCCTAGAGGAATACCTCCTACATTGCGTACCCAAAAACACTTGGAAGGTAGCACCATTACTACGTAATTGGCTGCAATTATCTTAGTGTTGGCCGTTTCCGGAAAATCACAGTGTGATTAAGGTCACGGAACTACAGGCCATATTATGCTCATTCAGGTTTGAGGATCAGAAGGCCAAGTTCCAGCCACCTGATTGGGACTTGAACGTGGTACTTCGAGGTTTGCGAGGGCCCCCTTCGAGCCCCTCATTGCATCCTCATTTTCAAGCTCCTTCCCAGCGCGTGACACCTTCGTTACACTCTCGGTATAGTATAGAGAGCTCCGCGAACGGGCTATCGCTGTGAGGAGCTTGGACATCACCAAGGAAACAATGGTTTCTCTTGGCATTAGCAATGGCGGTACGGGTGAGCGAACTACATGTGATCGACTCAACCCGGATCCGTTTTGAGCATGGGACGCACGGAACGGGACATCTAGGGTTATGCTGGGATTTTATTGCTAAAATCTACTACCAGGCCAACCCGACCGTTCTTCACCATCCCACCGATATCGACTATTGTGGGAATCGTACATGGTGAAGTTCTCCTGGGCTCGGTGCGAGCAGTTCGAGTTTTCATTCGACGCTCCAAGACAAGGCGTGGTTCGTCCACGACAGAAGTTAGTCGCATAATCGCAAACACCATATCTATATGGTTACGCGCAGTAATCCTTCAGGCCTACGAGATCATCAAACGGAACTCGCCGAGAGCGAATTACCCTCAAGATCTCAAGGTGTCAGCCTTACCAGGGCTCAACACGGCAATTGTGGTTTTGGAACAATCACGGAAGGATATTTCTGGAGATTCGACACATATTTTCGTTAGTCATAACCTTCGCGTTGTGACTCTCGAGGATGTCGAAGACGTTCGAAGTTTGGCCCTCTGGTTGTTATCCTGCGGATTGCCAACCACTGACGCAAATAATGAACTCGCCCTATACAGAGCCAGTCAACTTCCATGTGCAGTCACTCAGTCGCCACCAGTGGAAGAATATTAGACAATCTTGTTTGTCAGCGACGGCTCTATGACGCAGTAAGTAAAGAATTAGCTGAATAGCTATTATTTTCTTTATTACTAAGCGTGTATAGGGAATTTCTCTTTAATTCCTATGTTCAATGTTTTTGATTTTTGAACAACCCTACCGTAATGGCGTTTTTGTCTGAACTTTTCCGCTTCACGGTTTATCGACCAAATGGGGTCGTATTGCAGGGTGTGAATTATTGAGGTTTCTGTATTCTGAAGGTTTACCCACCTCCAAACCGTCCGATACAGATGCATTAAGGAGTAATGCAGGATAAGTAAAAAATTTAGTAAAATCTAAATATTTTTTACATTTGTATACTTATCCTGCATTACTACGCTTAAGGCCCACCCGTCGTTAGACTTGCCTCCCCACTTTGGCTTCAGAAACCTCAAAAGTATGTTTTTCTAAGAGCTTGGGCGACAGGCAGTGATGTGAAGATGACCTTAGGTGTCATCAAGGTCACAGGACAGCGACGGAAGGCCACTGATTGGGACTTGAGAACAACAACTTTATTTCTTCACCCAGGACCTTCGCAGCGCTGTCCTTCTAGTTGTCGTAAGTAAGCAGTGAATGCATTAAGGAGTAATGCAGGATAAGTATACAAATGTAAAAAATATTTAGATTTTACTAAATTTATCTCAATTTTTTCCCACCTGCCGACCAGAACTGAGAACAATTTTTAAAATATCCTCAAACCAAGAAATATAAAAATCTGGCACTTATTCCCAGAATGTGTTATTCCTAGATTTCTCATTTTGAGTGTTTGCACACTAATCACTTGTGTGACTAATGGTTCTGAATCTTTTGTAGGCAAGACAACTGAAGCAGCCCGCATGATGCTTCAACATGGGAAAGTTGAGAAAGCGTTGGACTTTGCTCTGCAAGGAGATGACCAGGATATGCTTGGTGACTGCCACTATGCCCAGGCCCTGGCTCTCATGTCCTCAAAGGAAGGATTTGACCAACCAAAAATCTTGGAACACCTCACCAGCGCCCGTGATGCTTACATGTCGGTGAAGAAAGTAGACAGTGTTGGGGTTACCTGTTTGGCCCTGGCTAGCATCAGACTTGACCTTGAAACTGCAAAGAAAGCTTTTCAAAATTTCCAAAGCGTCAAACCCTTTGCTAATGAAGCCGGAATGCTGGAGTCCTTGGATCTTGTTGTGCGGTTGTCACCCATGGATGAAGCGTTTGCCGACATGAAGGCAGTTGTCCGCGGCGTGGACGCCTTGTTCAATGTAATGAAAGCTCTGTTGAAACCAACATCGACCGAGGAGAAGGCAAGGTGTCAGTTGTATTTGCAGTTCTATGGGCTCCATGAGAAGGATGTCAACATTCTGATCGTCTACCCGAAGCAGAAACCCAGATGTGTCAGGGTTATTCCAGACTTCTATGCCAACAAGCAGGAGAAGAAACAGCCATGTGTTGAAAAGGAAAAGAAGAGAATATGTGTGATGCTAAGCTTCCACCTTGTAGACATGTTGAAAAACTGGATCAACTCAAGTAGAGATTCTCTCAGAAGCCATGTCTCTCACCGACTCCAGTGTAAGTCCCACATGGAGGGAGAAGTGTGTCCTGACGAGGAATACTGCCCTTACCTACACACAGACTACAACAGGGGCTTGGCATTCAATGCTCTGGAGGCCCTGCTCTGGGAGGTACATCTGGACAGTATTCTTCAATCTGGAGCTCTTCACATTAAAGGAATCAAGATTCCAGGCTTGGAGTCTGAGATGAAGAACCTGTACAGAGGAATCAACTCCTTGAGTGATGAATCAACTAGGTTTGATTCTTGTGAGAGGCTGTTAGACTTCTTGATACCAGAACATCATCACTTGAGGAATCTCACTGAAAATAGTTTTGTGACAAAGCAGTTGTTAGGCCGGTTGTCGTTTGGAAAAGTTGAAGCTCAGGTTCGCAGATTCCTTGAGTACTCCTGGAAATTTTCAGAAAAAACCTTAATTGACACCCTAGAAAAAAGATCTAAAAGCACAGACTGGTTTGTAAGAGCTACACTCTTTTCATCACTTTTTCGTTTGAAAATGGATATTTCCAAATTCTGTCAGCAGCTTGAAAGTGATCTGATGAAACATACCCCAAGATGGTTGGATAAACGCAGAAAGTATGCCCTCAAGGCTGATTTCCATCACCACACTTTTACAGTAGTCTGTATCGGAAGAAGATTCTTTGATGTTCATCAGTGGCTGCAAGGAAGTCCAGTCAAGGCTGTAATGGAATATGCAAAGTTTGTCAAACTTATGGGTGATCGAGTCAGGCTTTCTGTATTCCCTAAGATGCCACTGTTCCTGTTTTGGCAAGAGGTCTTTGTGTGTATTTCCTTCTTCTGCATTGCAAAACTCTCCCCAGCCACCATGAGGTTTGTTCTCCCTGCAACATACCTTGCTACCATCCCATTAGTAAATGCTACTTTTACAAAGGGTGAGAACACAATACAGGAGTTGGTTCACACAATATCTGACAGGGGGGACAACCTTCAAATTGTTAAGGATCGCTTTCTACAGATAGTAGGCGTGATTTTTGGGTCAAGAATGAATCTTCTAAGATTGATATTCAAACCAAGGAAGGAAGGAGCGGAGATACAATATCTTCAAGCTGAGAGACTGCTTGTCCTGGCACTAGTTCTTCTGACCAACATCGGGTCGTTTGTCGCTGTTGAGCTGGAAAGTCAACTGATGTCCACAATCTTGAAACTGAGTCTTCCAGAAGATGCTCCTAACAGATTGACTCGGAGTCTCAAGGCAGTGAAACAGTCGAGAGGTATTGTTGACATCGTGGCTGTTCTCCGGGACCTGCTGATGCAGAGAGAAGAAGAGTTCCTTTTGTCCTGCTACTGGAAGTGGGATAGCCAGAGACGACAGGGAGCTCAGTTCAAACAAGTGCACAGACTGGATAGCTTCTCTCCAGGATTTCATCGATTTGACCCAGAGAATCTGGAATCAGGAAATGAGATGCTTCTGGACTATGAAGAGGAAGAGGAAGAACTGGGTCTCACGCCGGAGGAGGCTCAAAGAAAACTCGAGGAGAATTTACAGTATCAGGAGAATCTCATAAGGGACAAAGCAGCCAAGAAACTACAGCGATTCTTCAGATGGCTTACCTTCAAAGAGAGATTTGAATCTGGCAACTTTATTAGGATGTGCTTGCATCAAGATACAAAGGACACATTTGCTCCTTTTGAAGTGACTGAGAAGATGTGTGGAGTCTGTGGAATGCCTTTCCAGACGGAAGAACTTGCCATGAAGGACCTGGAGGAGGAGATTACAGATGGGGAAGAGGCCACAGGAAGACGCAGTCCAGACTCGTTTTTGTCACCTGAAAAGTCAATGAGCCTCGGAGGAAGGGGAATGTGGAGCCCAGGAAAATTATCTACACCATTGGAGTCCCACAGGACAACAACTGAACATATCCAAACGAAATTCCAGTTTGAGGTATTCAGACGTCTGTATGATGACTTCTTTGCCATGAAGGTCCCAGAGATGAGGAAATTTATAACCAGGACAAAGTTGAGAGACCAGGACTTCACTGCAGAGCACTACCCTGACCAGGCTCTTGATGTGTCCCGGCTGACTTCTCAAATGGATGAAGTGCTCAACATGCTTGACATCGTCCTTCGTGGCCGCAAATGGGATCTGTCGGTGAAGCTGAGAGACAAGGTTGTGATGTTGTTTAGTGATTACAAACGAGTTGGTCCAGAAATCAAGGAGAAGTACAAAGAATATGTGGCAAGTAGATTTTCCTTCAGATATACAGTAATGAAGTGATATGGTCATTGGAAGAAATGGATGTAACTTAACGACCCTCTTGAATTATCTTGGGTGTAAATCAACAATGTTCTTGGTTTTAAGGCATAGCCATAAGTTTTTTATCCCCCTGGCATATAATGCGGGGGGAAATAGCCAAGGGCATGTCCATCCGTCCGTCTGTCTGAATCGTTTCCGGAGCAGAACTCGAAAACCATTAAATATTTCTTCATCAAAATTTGCATTTATATCACTTAAGTGGTAAAGTTGTGCCTTTTGCTATTTAGAAATTTTAGAAACGTTTATATTTTACATTTCCATGGCAACAAGATGGACTTAGGTTTCTGTTAGGGTTGGGTTCGTTTCCGGAGCATAACTCATAAACCGTTCAATATTGTTTCATGAAACTTTCCAGGTCTGTCAGGTACATGCTGAACTGGTGCCTTTTGCTATTTTGAAATTTTAGAAACTTTTGTTTTTTACGTTTCCATGGCAACAAGATGGACTTAGGTTCTGTGAGGGTAGGATTCGTTTCCGGAGCATAACTCATAAACCGTTTAATATTTTTTCATGAAACTTTGCAGGTCTATCAGGTACATGCTGAATTGGTGCCTTTTGCTATTTAGAAATTTAAGAAACTTTAGAAAATTTAACAGAACTGAGAAACTGTGTGATAGTTCTCCACAAAACTTTGCACAAGCATCATCAAGTTTGCATAAAAAAAACCCACAGAAACACACTTGTTTTACTTTCCATTTCATATGGATGCGACCATGGTGGATCTTTTGTGGGTAAACAATGTATGCTTCTTCAAGAACATTCAACTCTTGACTCATTGCATACAGAATTGCACATTTACTTGTGGTTACTTTACAGACAGCTGCCGTGGGGATATGTCATCTTTCTGATGACTCTTGTTTGTTCTTGTGGTAACACAGAAAAGTTTCTGCAACAAAATCTCAAGCTAAAAAATAAGTATCTATAGTTTAGCCCATGATTTTGAATTTATAAAAAATTCATTTGAATAAGAAACCTTTTTCCAATTATTTAGAAACAGCAACAAGAAGTCAGAACTGAAGCAAGAATGGTTAATCCCTCCGGAGACGAGGAACAGAAGGAAGATTGGGACAAGGAAACTGATGTAGTTGATGTTGTAGAACAACCTGCCCCCAGGAAGGAGTTCAGGCCACGTGGTGGAGGTGGACGAGGGCGACACAGAGCCAGGGGTCAAAGATGGGAGGGAGGCAGGGACAAAGGAGATCATAGAGACTGGGAAGGAGGAGCTGGTAGAGGCAGAGATAGAAACGAGAGGGAAGGTCAGAAGCGAGACGGACGTCATCGTCACTTCAGCCAGGAAGATTTGCCTCCTAGATTTCAGCGGCAACGGCAGCAGCAGCAGAGGAGGCAGAAACTGAATGATCAGTATCAGCAGAGGAGGCATCAGGTGCCTCTCTGAGACCTTGCCAGGCAGACCACAGATGCAAACAATTGTGTCATTGTTACATGTTCAGTGTGACAGGAACTCAGCATTTTGTGAATAGATATTTACTATTTTCGTGGACAGAAGATGCCATTGGCTTCTTATTGGAATGGGAATATTCTTTATCACTTTTCACATGGACATATTTTGAGCTGTTTCCACATCAAGTCAACAATGACGCTTTTCTTCCATGACACATCATGAAGCATAGCATAGGCAACACAGAGGCACTGATTAGAAGAACATAGATGAGTAAGGTATTCTCAAGCTGACATGCATGTTACATTCTTGAGAGAAATTCTGACAATGTGATAGAATGTTCTTCCAGAAGATGTTGGCATAGATCAAAGAACTTTTTGTCAAAGGGCCATAACACATGTTATCAAGGAAAGATGTGATGGCTGAAATATACATTTTGTACAAGCAAGAAATCATTTTGTCTGAAACAACAGATATATGAACATTTGTGCTTCATAAGCTATGTTTTTTACTGATGGAAAACTTTTAAACACTGTTTATAGCAGCTGATTCAGTACCTGTAATTGATAATTAGCCAAAAGTTGACAAATTATTTATACTATGAGCAATACTATGAGTGGCATCCAATGTTTCACTCATTGACTTTTCCCTTAATAATCACAGTGGTAAAAGGCTGAAACCTGCATTACTTTGGGCATGTATGTTATAGCAGAATCCTATGACCATGGGTTTGAATCCTGATTTGTCCAGATTATGTTAAGGTTTGTCAGAACCATACCTGCGCTCATGGGTTTCACCAAAGGGGTAAAAGACTGACACCTGCATCACTTCGGGCTTTCTTCCTACATCAAATGCCGTGATATAATTTGAATACTGTGAAACTGGCGTCACACACACACACACACACACACACTCACACTCACACTCACTCACTCACATGGCTAGTCATTGGGAAATCAGCAGAACGAGATATGAATGGATTTGAAAACTGATTTGACTACCGACAGGTGAGACTTAGTTCTCTTCAATGTACATTTTGTAAGTATTGTTTACGTGCCTTCTCAGATCATTTCAACTTTGCATTGCTGTTTTCGGTAAGACCGGGAAAGTATTATGCTGTGGTGCTTTTGTTAGAACTAGATATTTTGTGATAAAACCTGCCTTCACTCTTTCATGTCCCTTTGGGATTTTGAGTTCGAATAGGTGCCCAGTAAATCTATGCAGGTTGTAACAGGCGACTAAATGGATTGGGTGGTAAGGCGTGATGACTTGGTTGATTGTGAGTTGATTATTGCTCACAATATCAATCACTGGATTGTCTTGTCTAGACTTAGTTATTTACTGGTCATATATTGCTGAGTGTAGCGCTGAACAACAAAACACGCCCTCAATCTTTCACACAAATAAGCTTGATTAAACATCAGTCACAATGTCTATGCAGTGCAGTACCATATGGTGTTTCCTGTTGGTCTTCTGGTGAATACACCGTCTGCCTGGAGAATGGAAGGTTGGTGGTTCAATCAGCGGCCATGTCATACCAACAGACGTTACATGATGATACTTGTTACCCTGCCTAGCCCGTGGCAGAAAGGACTGGATGGCTCAGTCCGTATACTGTGTCTGAGAGGGGTATCCATGTTACGTATCCAACTACGGCATGGTATCTCAGTTGGCTAGCACCATGAAACAGGTATTCGTGAGGGCTAATACAAACAGCGACACACGTACATGCATATCGCTGTATCAATGCAATAATCTTGAAGGCGACCATACCCACAAGCACGACCTCACCTCCTAGTGGTGTGCACGAAGTCTATGCAGAAAAAATCCCATTTACTAATGTGCCTCCATTGCTGGTAGTATGACTAGACTTGTTTTTTATGTAAACAACTATTTCTGGTCAACATCTTTTACAAAATGTCAACTATCATATATCTTACTGTAACTTCAACTTGTAATCTTATGTGGATAATTGTATTTCATGTCTTTTTTGAGAGTGTTCTGTGGACTACACATTTTGTCACTCTGGACAGGGCCATTCCCTGTGAGATTGCATGGATTAACAAATTCTTGATTTATGAATTATTGATAAGAGTAATGTTACTTTGGATTATTGTTGATGTTCCTCACTAGATTATCAGGAAAATAGTGTTCAGAACTGATGGGGTTCAAACTAACAAGTTTTCACTCTGTTTATATATTGTAAAGGAGACATCATTTCCAATTTCCTGTCGCTTGGAAAATATTTTAATTAAAAGTTTTCAGCTGTCATATTTGAATTCAGAAACCGAAAGGAAACCAAATGTGGAAAGGTTTTGTAGATTTCTGTAAATGTGTTTTATAATGTCCAAATCATGTTTATGACAGATTGTAAGCAATTGCCTTACCTTCTTTTTCTCGGATTTTTGTTTCACGAAAAATCTGTTTTCCATGATGTCAACAAATCAAAAGAAATGTTTTGCTTGAAGTCTTTGGCTTTATTGTCACATGAAACTGTACACTCACCCCCAGAGTTCAACAAATGCTATTATTCAGGGATGAAACAGGACTTTTATGGCAAAAGATTCCTTGATCACATTGATTTTCTAGACAACCGCAGTTTTGAACAACTTCTCACACCTTATTGTTTCAATATGCTGACATTTTCTGTTCTTATCATTCTGCAAAAGATCAACATGTTGGAATACTGACATATTGTATTTACCTTACTGTCAGCCTTCCTCTGTTATAAAATTACTGTCGCCCCTTTTGTCTAGTGAACTACAGTATTTTTTGAACCCTTCCCACAGTGAGTTTGAATACTTTTTAGAAAGTTATGGTACACTTCACTGATGCATCAGTCCAAATCAGTGATCAGTGTCAGTGCTGCGATTGTCTAGTGCCTTTGCTATAAATATGTAATAGTAATACCTGTCAGCTGATTTTCACAAGAACACAGTTTACCGATTACAACAGAATATTATATTGTATGGCAATGATACACACAATGTTCCTCACCAGCAATAGTTGTAGGGTGAGTGCTTAGAATGGGCACGTGCCTGAGACCCTCGGGTAAAGATGAATCTTGAAATTAAAAGTCACAATTTTGGAGCTAGACCAATGTGGGTTTTTTTCATGAAACAGATATTTTCATGAGTGTGTCAATGCAATTCCATCATGTCTGAGCAAAGCTTACTAAAATAGTTTCAAAGTTCTATACCTGTCAGTGGGCTCAGTATGAGGCATGTCTAAGTTCAAGTGTTTTTATATGGTTTTGAACCAATCAACTTGTAATTAAGGAATATTGCCAGCAGATAAAAACATCCCATTATGTTTCCAAGTTTGTGAGTACCATATCCATGTGGGTTTCACCAAAGTGGTGAACATGTGAGACCTGCATCATTTCAGGCATCCTTCGTTCATGAAGCTGACATGCCGTGATATATTTGGAATACTGTCCAAATCAGTGTTTTTCCAACTCACTCACTCACTGCTACAGTTTGATATGAAATAAATTAACACCCCTGACTGAGAACTGCAGCCCATGACAGACACAGGTTGTATCTTTGAGTTGCATTGAAGAGCTGTAGAGTCCATGTAGGCTCGGGCACTCTAATAAGGTACGACCACAATGTTGCACTGAAAGAAGAAAGTAGTTCAAATCCATGACTACAAGTACTTGATAGTTGTAGCGCTAAGATCGCTTTGTGCAAGTGGGCCCAGGTGTTCATCATACAAAGGGGACATTACTGATCAACCCACCCTACCTCTGATTTAGGTTTCAAACAAAGTTGTGTTCTTTTTTCATGTATGTTTGTAATGGTGCATATGTATATGTGTGTATATATGAATTCTATTGGGTGGGATATTGCTTTTGATTGAAGAACATTTCTGAAATAGATTTTGCTGAAGTTTCCCATTCAAGGGTTTGAATCTAATTCAGGTCGAACTTAATAAATGACACTTGCAGTTTTTCTCGTGTCATATTCAACATAACTTTCTGTTTAATTGGTTGCACGGGTGGCCGACTAATCCGAGGCACTGCGATTTGCTGTTTAGAATTGCGTCCCTTGGGCATGCCAGAAACCTATGATTGTTGTTTCGAATCTTGGTTCACGCCGATAATGTTTCTAGGTTTGTCAGCACCATACCCGTGCTAGTGGGTTTCACTGGACTGGTAAACGTCTCATCACTTCAGGCCTTCCTCCCACATTCAACTGACACAGCACGATAAAACTGGAATACTGTTAAAAGCAGCGTTAAACCCATCTCACTCACTTCTGTTTAATTTTGACTAAAGTGTTTTGACTGAAAATGTTAGTCTGCCTACCTTGAAATTATCAGAGTGAGCTTATGTCATACATCATCTGTCCATCTATCAGTCAGTTGGCACTGAACTTAAAAACTCTTCAAATCTACTGAACATAACAGTATCACAAACGGATATGTCCATGGTAGACATAATGCTTTTCTTTGATGTATTCAATGTGTGTAAATGTTTTGAATTGTTGAATAAATATTGCAAGACTTTGTTTGACTCATGAACATAAAAAACAATGATCAATGATTTATTCAGTTGGATCTCGCAACCATTCTAATCTTAATATTCAAAGGTGTTGAGACAAAAAGAGGGAGAAAATTAAAAATCAAATGTCATATCCAAGTAGTATGTTTTTGAGCTGATCTTGTTTCATCTGTCCATCTATCAGTCAGTTGGCACTGGACTTAAAAACTCTTCAGATCTACTGAACATAACAGTATCACAAACAACAGATATGTCCATAGTAGACATAATGCTTTTCTTGGATTTATTCAATATGTGTAAATGTTTTGAATTGTTGAATAAATATTGCAAGACTTTGTTTGACTCATGAACATAAAAAACAATGATCAATGATTTATTCAGTTGGATCTCGCAACCATTCTAATCTTAATATTCAAAGGTGTTGAGACAAAAAGAGGGAGAAAATTAAAAATCAAATGTCATATCCAAGTAGTATGTTTTTGAGCCGATCTTGTTTCATCTGTTCATCTATCAGTCAGCTGGCACTGAACTTAAAAACTCTTCAGATCTACTGAACATAACAGTATCACAAACAACAGATATGTCCATAGTAGACATAATGCTTTTCTTGGATTTATTCAATATGTGTAAATGTTTTGAATTGTTGAATAAATATTGCAAGACTTTGTTTGACTCATGAACATAAAAAACAATGATCAATGATTTATTCAGTTGGATCTCGCAACCATTCTAATCTTAATATTCAAAGGTGTTGAGACAAAAAGAGGGAGAAAATTAAAAATCAAATGTCATATCCAAGTAGTATGTTTTTGAGCCGATCTTGTTTTGCACATCCCCACCACTCCATTATTATATCACCATGTAGAAAGATACACCAACTACTGCTGAATGTGCTCTAAAGTATCCAGATCCCTCTCATTCTGCTTGAGAAAAGGAAGCGAATACTTGAGTGATTGATTTAAGATTTAAGGTCGCATTGGCAATATTTCGGCCATATATAGCAACTAGACCAAGTTGATATATACACACTTTATTCATGAATACAGAGTTATATCTAAATACAATTTATCAAATATATTTGGGCTTAACAGTATCATATAATATACAGTTTTAAGACACGGGCTATAGGCCACCAGTGGCCAAAGCTGGGCCACTTCGCTGGGGATCATGGAGACTTACGATGCGCAAATACTGAATCAATTTGTCAGTGACTTTGTTGATTAAGCGTCATTAGACAATGGCATTGACTGTTGCTCATAATATTAATCACTGTCTTTTGACTAAATGGTCTAATTTTATTATTATAGGCTATATAGTTTGTATAGTGCAGGGTGAAGTGAATTGGAACCCTCATGGCATCTTTATAATTATTTCAATTAAGTTTTACATTATTATGAAAAGATTATTTGCCATGGCTTTACAAATTAGTGCTCCTTGTATTCAGGGATCCAGCAATATCAGGGCTTAGAAGGAGATCCAGAAGCTTGGTTAGCCTTTCATTAAATTATTTGATTTATTGATGTGATTTAGACAAGTAATTTCATGTAAGTTTCTTCTTCAAATATTATAAATTCCAAAGGGAGGAAGTAATTGTTTTGCTTTTTATTCAAAGAAACTCACATGAATCTCAATCCAAATAAATAAATAAATAACGATATGTGGAGTGATAAACACTCTGCTTTTTAAACATCAGATTCTAGCAAAGAGTATTGAAAATTCATTCCCTGCTCCACTGTCTGACTACTTTGTGGTCGACAAATAATACGAGATAACCTCAAATCACAATTGCTGATTTTGTGCCATCCTACAGCTACTACATGGATTTTTGCTCATGCTTTGAACACCACATTAGCCTGGCCAATTTGGTTATAGCTAAAGCTGGAATAGGCTGACTGATGCATCATTAAATCGATAAACAAATGGTATATGATGCATTTTGCAACCAAACAAATTCCATTTACAAAAGAATACTTCAGTTCTGCATAGAAAAATATTCATATTTCACACATAGACATTTACTCCCAAAACACACACTAAAGACGTCAAATTTAATTATTCATGAATATATTATATCAAGACTTTGTGCTGCCTGTCTTGTGAAATGACCTGGGATGGCGTCGGAATTCACTGTGAAAAGTTGCTATTTTGAGCAGACAGGATCTGCTGGTGTTGATTTCGAATCCCGGCTTTGCCATGATAATGATCGGTGGTCTCAGAGCATCAAACCAGCTCTTGTTTCACAAAAGTCGTTAACTCCTATTACCATCTTCATTATTGTCTCAAGTCCTACATTTAGTGGGTGCCCTAGTCGTCTAAGGCGCCGCGATTCGCTGTGCAGAGTTGCGTCCCTTGGGCACGCCAGAAACCTATGATTGTGGGTTCAAATCCCGGTTATCCCCAATTGTGTTTCTAGGTATGTCAGCACCGTACCCGTGCTCGTTGGTTTCACCGAAGTGGTAAAAGTCCGAGACCTGCATCTCTTCGGACTTTCCTCCCACATCAAGCTGACACACCATGATATAACTGGAAAACTGTTACAAACAGCGTTAAACCCAACTCACTCACTCACTCACAACATTTAGTGGATACAATGTTAACACGGCATTCAGCACCGACTCTCTTGTACTTGTGAAGCATTCATTCAGTTGCATTAATATTCATCAGGGACATCTATACAATTCCTTTAATTAGGAACTCAACGCTATATCCCGCGTCTAAAGCTCTGCATCTGTACACTGTCACACAAGGGACCCCACACAAATACAATGGAAGCCACAAATATCCAAAAGAAACATTCATGAAACATTAATTAAACATTGGTAATCCCAGAGCTTCTCGAAACAGGTCACCATGACCAGCGCTTCCAGTAGCACCCAAGCCTAAACTCTCCGTAGAAGCACCTGGAAACACCACAAGGCAGTTGTACGGTTTTGCTGTCTTAGGTCTCATTCCGAGCCGCGAGCTCAGCCTTCTCCAGACAGCGATGTTCCGCGTCAAACTCCTCTGCTCGATGGTACATAGCACTCGCATGCTTGAACTGAAAGATGGATAGAACTGTTTTAAGGTCAGGCTTTGTTGGGTAAAATGTACTCATCAGCTAAAGAAACAGTCAGTGTGTCTGCAAGAGTGAGTTGAGTTTAATTCCGTTTTGAACAATATTTAGTTATGATAACATTTCAGCTTCATGTGTGGGAGGATAGATATAAGTGACACAGATCTTAGACATTTAACATTTCGATGAAACCCAGGGGCACAGGTATGGTGTTGACAAACCAGGATTGATAATCAGTGCAGATATGGGGTTCGAACCCACGATCATAGGATTCTGGCATGCCTGAAGAACACCCCCCGCCCCCACCCCTGTTACCGTTACCATGTCCTAGAGAAATGGACCACCTGGGCCCTGTTCTAAAATACTCGATGTGACAATTGTATAAAAAGTTGACAAGATTCACGATGTCTAAACCATTCACTAATATTTTGCAAACTGAAATAATTTCACATTTCGTTTATAAACTACTACATTACTGCTGTAGTGATTGAATAATTATAAACTTTAGATTCACAGAACTGCAATGTGGACACCGTACCTCTTCACATTTCTCGTATGCCATCCCAGCGAGCTCATACTCTTTGGCATACTGAAGACAAAGTGCAGCCTTTTTGTCAACCTCGGGCCCAAGATCACAGTCAATGAACTCTTCCGCTGCTGTGATGTAATCATTTTTCATGGCCCTTGGGTTATCCTTGAGACCAACAGCTTTCATGGCTCTACTGTGTGCCATGGACGATTTTTCTTTTTGTATGTCACCAGCTATTCTGTAACATTTTGCAGCGTCGTCATACAAACGGCGCACCATGAAAGTATCACCCTGGCTAACCCAGTCCTCTGGTGTGGATTCTTCAGCAAATCCCACATCTGCCTCACCTGGAGATGAAATTAAATTGTTACATATACAGGCCATTGTGATGACACTACAGCTGGAACATAAATGTTGAAACCTGGACAGAATTATTTTTGAATAGAATCTAAAGTTACACAATGTATACATTATTTTCAAACTTTATATACAAATTCATCTCACTGTCTGTCGAAACGTCTGTACAGTCATCAGGAACTTGATATTGGCCAGATTTGCATCGAACCAGGTTTTTAGCCTTGAAGAATTGAAACATTGGTGCCCGCTTCTCTTCATCCTCATCAAAGATCCACACATTGACACGTGCCCGAGTCAGAGCTGTGTACAGGTATTTTAGTTCAAAATTGAGAATCTTGTGTTTGTTGGGTTCAAAGGCCAGTGGATGGACACCACTGCTTTGGAATCCTAAGAATCAAAGAGGATTATCAATATAACCATGTTAAAGTAATATCATGTTGGGTAAAGATAAATGGAGGGTTGGCATGATATTATCTTATATGAATCTAGCAACCGCTTTCTCTCCTGAGCCATGGAAAATGTTTCTTTACATTTTGAACATATAAATCTGAATTCCAAGGTGACATTTATGTCTCATATTTGAATACTTAATGCATAAATTCACAATTCCACCATAAACTTAGAAATCACTCGATTGTGATTGGTCAGAGGAATCAAAGCACAATGGAAACCCATGAATCAGCCGATTTGTCATGTTAGATTGGAGATAAACATACTGCGTGTTCTGTACCCAAATACAATTTAGTGTGCTTGAATCTATCCTACCCTAATTCTACACTGAAAACATCATGTTTATCTCCTGAATGTCTCTCAACTCGCCGATTGAAACGATAATTACATGATCTCTGTTTGTATTCGTTTACGTATTCCCACTAAAGGTAAACGTCATTTACTGACATTATTATTCAAAAAATGAATTTGTTGGCAGTATAATACAGCTGAATCAGCATATAAATAATCATGAAATCATTCTTGCTGGATATGACTGAAACCGATCAATATTCACTGCAATGTCAGGACTTTTGCAAGGACCATAATCCTTGCCTATGTGAGAGATGGGTTTTGGGAAAACTTGTTGAAAAGATCGAACCTTCATGATCTTCTGTAAACGTTTTGGCATGTCTTTCCAAGCACGAAGCTACCACTCTCCATTCTTTCGATGCCTGGAAGATATAAATACATGACTTAATCTGCACCAGTATGCAGAGCTCAAAGTTTGATGCAGGTATGTTTATTGATCTATAGATTATGAACAGAATCGTTCTAAAATACAAATGATTTGTTTATTCTACCTGTGAGTCTTTGAAAAAATTGAAAAGAAGAATGTCGTTGAATTCCAGTCCTTTGGATTCAATGATAGTGAGGACATTGCAACGTCTGGACATTTCTTTAGGCACACACTCTTTAGCTTCTTTGTTCACTACTAAGATGGCCTGGTGAGCTCCAAAGTCTATTGGCGATGATGAACTTCTATTTCTTCCCTGTGAAATGATTAATTGACAACTTCACTAAAAATACCATTCAAATATAGACATTCATAGACATACAGAAACTAATATCGCTTGAATTACATTTGTAGTATTCTTTTAACATTCTAAATTTATCTTAGAGTATTCACACTGATTTAAAATGTAAAGCAAGGGACATAATCACAGTAGTAATATATGAACCATTGTTATCTCTAATACTTGATAAAACCTCTCAATATCATCTCATCACCTGAAGAAGTGTATGCAAATCTTCTCTTCTGCACGATTGTATGAGAACTGGAGCTGGCCCTTGAAACAAACCCACGTCTCTTTCCATATGTACTTTGTCAAACGATTCAGGAAAGAACTCCTCCATGACATCCAGGATTGCAGATGTAAGTGATAGCACTCCATTGTGTGACCTATAATTGTGAGTCAGTTTCTGAACACAAGGCACAGTGATTGTGTACTGTGTCTCAAAAAGACCAGATACTTTAGCATGATGGAACAAAGATTTCAGATCACAGAAACGAAACGAAACCCCTTTTGTGATGCCTTGGGCCGTGTCACCTGTCAAAAACATACCGTTTGGATTGCGCATAATGCTGAGAAGCAAAAACAGTTCAGCCTCTGTAAAATCCTGTGTTTCATCTACGTATATCTGATGCACGATAAACGGACGGCTTGGCCATTGGTCTAGGAGACGTTTGTAAATGTTCTGAATGACATCGACAATGTCAAACAGGCCCCTCTGTTTAATGAAGCGGCTGTACTTCTCAAAGAGTTCATAGATAATTTCTCTCTTACCCACAAAGAATGGTGCTTTTTTCCTGCCAACATCAATGTATTCATCTCTTGTGAGATGCCCTGATTTATTTGATAATGCTTCAAACGAACCTTTGATGAAGGACATGATCTCTGCCCATACAAGAGATGGGTGATATTTCCTTGCCACTTTTGTGACAATATCTGGCCATATTTCACGAGCAAATACTTCATATGTGACCTCCTTCCTTGGGTCCATCGGTTTTGTTTGAGTATTTCTGGGAACACCTTTCTCTATATTTGGGTCATCGTCCTTTGGGTCAATGTCAAGTGGAGAAAATCCAAATAACGTAGTTCCATCATCCCATCCGTCTATCCGCACACTGAGTGTACCATCAGGTTCCCTTTGGAAAAAGTAAGAAGGGCCCAGAGAAGCATCCAGCATCAACAGATATTGCTTCGAGGTGAGAAACAGGGGATAACTAAGATCATCAATATCCTGCAGCCTTGGAGGAAGGTCTTCTGATGCCTTGTGAGCATGTCTTCTTGTTGCCATCTGTCCACGACATAATTCCATGAAATGTTTGTGTACCTCTGTACACAAGACATTGTTTTTGGTCAAAAACAACTGATGGATATGGGTATCAGGATCTGCAATATGAATTAAACAAATGAAGTATCATCTAATTTATAAATAATCGGCTACGATTAGCATATATTAACTTACACTAATCAGTTCGTTGATAGGGATTTTATCATACAACTGTTATATTTTTGCTTGCATACTATCACATACTATCCATTTCAGTCTTCAGATAAATAAACTTAGAAATTATTGACATACCAGTTATATTTTTACAGTTGCTCTCAAAGTCTTCATCTTGCATTGGCAGATTTGGTTGTCCAATTTCTCTGATTTTTTCCCAGTATGTGGCGAAATGTGTCCACAACCGATAGACGCAGCAGGTAGTCTTGCCAGTACCACTTCGACCAAGTAGCAAAACGGGTCCTTTACTTTTCATGTCTATTATACTACGCTCTTTGTCAGTAACTTTGAACAGGAAGTCAACATTTACATGTACATTCTGTAGAATGACATAAACCATTGCGGAGGAAAATGTTTGAAACTTGTGTATGTGTGGCATTTTCGCATCGTCACTGACAAGACAGAAATCAAGATCATCTTCATGGTTTGTTCTGGCTGCCACATATGACACGGGCTTTCGTTGTTTCATACATCCTTCAAACTGTGAATGCTTACACCCTTTAAGCATTTTCTCTATCTTTTCACGACTTTCACTTCTTTTATGGCATTCAACAACATGTGCTATTGTTCTCTGCAAATTGCCATGATCTAACACTACGGCCCAAACTCGAATAACTTCATGATACATTGTGTTGCTTTGTTGGTTCGAGATATCCCTTGATATGCCAACTTCCCAGATGATTCTGGCTGCTTTGGACGTTTTAGCTTCATATAATGGAATTTGCAAACCGTTGTGTGTTACTGGTTTGTGTACGTTTCTTGTCCATTCCCCCTTGCCAATCTGATTTAATGCCTTTATTACTTGTGATTTTACAACACAAGTCATTTTTCGAAGTTCTTTCCAAAATGATGGCAGGCATTCAATCTCCCAAATTAGATTGTCAAAATCTAAAACATCACTTTGATAACTGCTCTTTTCACTTGCACCCACTCCACTCTTATCATCAAGTTTAATTATATCTGACAATTTCTGTTTTGCCATTCTGCACAATTTTTCACGTATCCTTGCCTTACAACTCTCAATGTGTTCTTCTAAAATTGTCTCACTCGCCGGCCGCTTTTTGGGGGCTTTAGTTTGTATCCTTGTTTCTTCTTTCATGCCTTTATGCGGTGTAAGTCTGTAGCCATTTAATAACTGAAACCGCTTGTCATCCCTGACATATTGAACAGGTGTCTTCCCCTCTGAGTTTACAGCACTGGAACAAACCTTCCAGTGACAGAGCAGTTTAACTGCGTTGTATGCATTCTCACCAAATGGATACTTGCAGGCTACATGCAGTGGTGTATCCTGATCTTGATTGCCCTTGTTAGGATTGAGGTCTGAATGTCTCTTTGAATCGTCTTTGTACAGCTGCATCAATTTCTCAAGGAGGCCAAAGTTACCTGTTAAGTATATCATGACATGACAATTGGACTATTGCAATCCGAAAGAATAAATTTTAATGATATTTTAGGGGCTTTTTACAGATCTTATTATTAACCATTTCAAACACATGTCCGGTGGTCTGATTTACAGCTAATAAATAATTAAAACTAAACTAATTTTAAAAAGCCAAGTCATACAAAAAGATCATTACCTTTTTCCAACGCAAGTATTAGTGCTGTATGTATTGGTGTATTGCCCCCTGAGTCGGTTGTGACAGCAGAGGTGTTGACCCCATCCTCCACTAACCGAAGGGCCAGTTGTACCTCTTTGTATTTTACAGCAAAATGCATGGACTCTGCTCCTTTCTTTGGAGACAGGTTTGCACCATGATCGCAGAAGATTGTGTATAGTTTCAGTTTCTGGTCTTCTTGTCCTTGGAAAGAATCACTAGCGATGAAATTCCTTATGGAAATTGACTGAAACAACGTTGGAGAGAGGTTTTCTACTCCGAGTATCTCTATCGTTCTCAGCACATGATGCCATTTCCCCTTCGATGCCAAATTTTGTATGAGGTTCTTCAATTGTGGAAGCGGTATAGTCATTAGGCTTCCAGGGAGATCTAGAAAGGGATAACAAAAAATAATTGGTTATGCACAGATCATACCTTTTCATTCCTTTCTCATCATAACTACATAAAAAAGTGACAAAACAATTAAAAGATACGGCAATTTCTCTGAATTGTGTCCATTATGTGCCGAAATTTGTCTTCAAACGATAGAGACAGCTGGTTATTTATCTTTTTCACTTCTTCCATTTTCTGTTTTACCACAGGTACGGTAACGCGTTAGTTACGGTATTATTACATGACAGTATTGTTTAAATAATAAATGACTGAAAGCTCCTGAACTATGAACACTGTGTCAAAATGTTTGGTAACAGCGTGGGAGCACTGGAGGTCCAGTCGTCCAGGCACGGCAAATCACTATCCAGAGGAGTCCCGGAATCATCCAAGTTATATACGTCTAATAATAACTAACACAAAGGTTAATCTAACATACCCTTATGTAACTGAAAATAACGGTATTATTCCATCTCATTCACTGATGATGGGACCCGTGAAGATCCGGGTTAGAATAGGTCTTCCGCAACCCATTCTTGCCGTAAAAGGCAACTATGCTTGTCGTAAGAGAAGACAAACGGAATCGGGAGGTCAGGCTCGCTGACTTGGTTGATGTCATCGATCCCAATTGCGTAGATAGATGCTCATGATGTAAATCACTGGATTGTCTGGTCCAGACTCGATTATTTACAGACCGCCGTCACATAGCTGGAATAATGCGGCGTTAAGCAACAAACAAGCATACACTGATGATGATGCCAATAGGCAATCTGATGAAGGGATGTGTCTACGTAATGAAGATGAAGAGTTGTGATCAGATCAAGTCTGAGTCAACACCTTCGAAAAGAGTATTATTTATCCAGCATGCAGGACAATTGACTGTAAAAGACGCCAGAAATCCAGACTGATGTACTGACATGTATGAGTACATGCACTTGAAGACTTCAGTCCAATATTATTACCTTCATAAGAAAGTGGAATTAAAGAACACCCGTTTTTCGACTATTCTCAAACATGGTCTGATGGCTGATGGCTTATTTAATAATTAGCACTGGGTTATCATATATTTCTGAAATTGTTTTTGCCTTATCATGGCGGTTCAGTTTGTTTGTTGTTTAACGCCGCACTCAACAATATTCCAGCCATATGACGGCGGTTGTGGTTCAGTAATATATACATATATAAAATGTAACTTATTTCAACGCTACCTATTTCTTTCAAAGATAACTAACTACCTTACAATGTGATCTGTGACCATCGTGCCAAGTGTATTCAGTAACGTTATGTCTCAAATGTCAACAATCAGCTGTTCTGTGTCTTTAATGAACTAATTTAACAATTCACCTTACAGTAAACTACGGTAATAACAAACTCAAATGGACCTCTAGTTTTAGTTCGTTATAACGGTAGTTCGTTATAAGCATATATACAATATCGATACGGCAAATGGCCGTGACCAAAAATTAAGTTGGTAATATCCGTCAGTTCGTTATATGCGTGTTCTTTATATACGTATTTTACTGTATATGTATGTCCACGTAAACTAAATCTAAAAATGATATGTTGATTTAAGTGAGGGTGTATGGGCATGCATAACCGAAAAGTGCATCTTACCTTCTACATTCGCGGTGTCAACAATTTGTTTGATTGTTCGCTGATGCTGAGATCCTTTATTGTTAGCACACAGTCGTTCCACTAACATACGAACGTTCTGAATCTGTGAAGTGTCTTTTCCTGGTGAACTGTGTTGTTGCTGGTTTGAATCCTTTTCTGTGGATTCCTGACTTGATCTCTTCTCTGCAAGCTCCTCTGCTGAAATGTGGAAAACGAAGATAAGTACAATAATGCATGCATTATTTACCCACTTTGAAAGACAACATATCTGTAGCACTTTGATAAACTATTGTACTTCAAATTTCATTTACATGAACATTATATGGTAACTGATATCTATTTAGTCTGGAAAATGAATATAAATGCATCATCAGTAATCATACTCTGCCATATGAACGCAGATGAACAACAGTGCCCTCACTTAACAAGTTTATAGAAATCAACACTTATATCATGACATCACCACCGCCTCCGTGGTCTAGTGGTAGAGCGGAAGGTCCGGGGGATTGAACCCCGGCCGCGTCATACCAAGAGACGTTAACAGATGATACATGTTGTTACCCTGTATGGAGCTCGGCATTAAAGGGCTCAAACAAAGGATGGTCGGCTCGGAGTCAGTATACTGTAACTGAGTGGGGTAATCATGTTAAACTGCGGCATGGTGTCGCAGTGAGCTAGCACTATAAATCGGCATCAGGCCGGACTAGTACAAGCAGCCACACAAACACACACACGTACATACACGTCGCTATATAAGTGCAATAATCTTGGACGCGACGTTAAACCCCATTGCACCTCACCTCAGCACATGACATCACCATAATCTACATACAGGATCCAATATTCAAACAAAACTATTTCTTGACCTACATGTGACATATTGTCGTTTTGTGATATCATTTTTCTAAAAACATCAGTATTATGGATAATACTTATTCATGTGCAGACTAGATTCGCGAATTATTCGAAACTTGATGCAATAGCCGTATACACCAAAAATCCATTAAACTCAAAGAAAGTACTTGTAAAAGATGACTTGTTCTGGTGTTCGGATAATTTCTCTTTTGATTCTTCCTTTTCCTTTTGGCTATTAATTGACCCAGTCTTTGGTGTTGTGTATCCAGCTTGTATCAGCAAAACAACCCTCCGATCATTGTGCTTGACAATGCAATCGACTGGCGTGCGCCCCGCCTTGTTCTTTGTGTCGACTTGGACCCCTTCTTGAATCAACAGTTGAACCAATTCCAGTGCTGCTTTACTATACTTGCGCTTGCAGGCCAGGTGCAGAAGTGTGTCACCCCGTGCGTCTGCTCTTCCGGGATGAAGATAATGGTATGTTTTTGGATTTGACCTGTGCAGAGCAATGAGCTTCTTTAGAAAGGCAAGGCCACCTGAAACATTAGATATAAAGCATCTGAGACTAAAGACTCTGGGATATAATCATCGTTGTGATTTGAAGTAAGGATCTCAATCTCAATCATGACAATAATTTGACTTGTGTATATATTACTAAATGCAATGTCCTAACTCTGACAGGAAATCTAAAATACATAAACCTAATTTGAAAGTGTGTTTTGGCAAGAGATATCACTTGATAAGCTACCCACAAGCTCCTTGAATAAAGAAAACTCAGATGTATGTGGGTTTGTATGCTCATAGGTTATTTATTAATAGGTGCTTTAATACATCGATATACTTTCCTTGTGTATATGAAAGAGACTGGAAGTGTGAAACAAAGTTACTTCGTAAGAAAAACATTAGGTGGTTATGCCTTATGAAAATGAATCAAATTTGCAAGGTAAAGTTCGAAACTGCAGACATGTATGACGTCACAACGTTCATTGTGGTGCAATAGATATGACGTCACAGTCGGAGATGTTAACCTCTACCTTGTCCTTAGAATGTGCAATAAACTCAATTTCTATCGTGTATTCAGCCCAGAGTGTACCTATGTGTGTACTTTGAATACTGAAGTGACTGCATCTTGTTGCAGATAATCATCTTTATCAGTATTTCAAAATGCCACTGACAATTATTGAAAAAGAAGCAAATTCCTATTACTTAGGTTAATTAGATGAGGCTAAATTTGAAATTATTGTTACGGAAGAATATTTGGTAAACATGTTTACTGACGCAGTAAGGCTTTGGTGGAAGAAGCATTGAAGACAGCATGCAGTTGTGGCTCATCCGAGTTTGTATCATCCGACAAGTAGAAAGGGCTGCCGCCAATTTCAAATAGATATTCCATGAGGCCCACGGATTTGTTCAATGCTGCTTTCAACATGACTTGTTTAAAGTACTTAGCTGGAAACTTTGCGCCATATCTGTTGGCTATCCTCAAAACACTTTCCTTTTCGATATCGTTGATTGTATCACAGTCTAGAAGATTTGGAATAGATATCGAATTTGGAAGTCCCGAATCCAGTCCTTCGTCACCATATACATCGACAACAGTCTTCATATGTTTCCACATTCCCCTTGAAGCAAGACGTTCTATCAGTGCCTTCACGATGGAAACATGTACCCTTTTTATGGAGATGTTATCGAGATCTGTAATCGAGGTCAAAATCGTGAATACTATTTTTGTTGTATAGTTTTCAAAGTCAAATAGCACAACGCATAGAACAATTACATTTCTCAACAACCCTGGTGCCCAATTCTCCAAATTCTTGAATCATGTTGTTCTGAATATACCAGTTAGCAGATTTGTTTTCACAACTTTCCCTCTGCTCTTTCGCCTGTTTGACTTTCCATTCTTTCCTCAAACCCCAAAAGCCAGCTTCCCGAGGCAAGGGAGTTAACTAACCATAAATGTCGACTGGACTTTTATAGTCAGTTAACTCGACTGGACTTTTATAGTCAGTTAACTCAAAACGTGTACATACTTTATCTCAAATATTTGAATGTCAGGCTTTGAGAGCATTTGTACACTGTAAAGGTTTGTAAAGTTGACAACCAACAACTTTAAAATCACAAAAATTACTTTATAGCATGGTATTGTTACTGATGTTCATAGAAACAGACTCACCCGATGGACTTGCAGTATTAACAATGGACGACAAACATTTCTCAACAACTGTGTGATGACAAGCTGTAGTATGATATTGGTTCAATATTCCAACAAATGTATCCACACATTTGGCGGTGTCTTGTCTGCAGATGGAAGCCCAACCCTCTTCATACATGCTCTCACATATGCGGTCTGCACCCATCCCTTCTTTGTTGCTTGTAATTGTGAAGTGAGCTAGAATTGGAAGTAGGTAGAAAAATGGCAAACACGCTAAGCATAACATTACCATATTTATCAAGTGTATGGTTGATGCATCTGTAACAACCAAGGCAACATCGATCAGCAGGTGTTGTCATACATTTTATTTCACCCGTACGCGTAATCTTGATGTGCAGTGTTGCGTCCCTTAGATATATCAGTATACACTGATCTGGATCTTGGTCTGTCATGTGGTAACCGCATACGACCAGAATCACTTATTAAGTGGCAAATTCAATGACTGGCTCCCACGTAAATACACTCAAATACATTAGCAGTGCAATGTTCATTCCTTTCTCATTTATTTGTATTAAATTCAGTTAAACATTTACTATTCAATTTATATTATATAGAAATATTGATACCATAATGTATTGCCAAGAAGAAATACACTGTGATGAATTCATCTGATGGCTGTATGCATTGAATGGCTTTCCGTCCCATATGGTTTGTTGCGTGAGGATCGACACAGTTCTGAGTGAGATATGTCAGCACTTTGATCTTCATGAGTTGTGGGGCAAAACACATGCATGCAGTGTGAAGTATGGAATTTCCGTCACCATCCTTCATATGAGTCTCATGTCGTGGCAGAGCTTTGTTTTCAAACAACCACTCAAATACGCCCATATTCTCTGAAACGATGAAACAATCAAATAATCAGAATCCCAATGGTATGCATGAATAGTATTGATCAAAAGAAAGAATATATAGAGAAATTTGAAATGTATATTGAAGTTCAATCGTTAAAATTTTATGGTACAATATGGCACTTGGGATGAATTAACAAAAAAACAAACAATCAATCTGAACGGTTCCATAGCATCTCGTTAATGGCACCAATATCTTGTGTGACCCCCACATCAGGACAGGCCTGGACATTCCGACTCATCGATGACATAAGCCTCCTGAAAACGTCATTGTGTATGCGGTCCCACTCCTCCTGTAACTCACGTGCCAGCTGCTGCCTGTTATGCGGCAGATTTGAGGGTAGACTTATCATTCACCCAAGATGATCCTTGAGATGTTCTGTCGATTAGAGGTCGGATTAGCGTGACGGCTAGTTGCAGAAGGGCATCACTGCAACGTTGCGCGTCCACATTACCACGGATGATGAATAAGACGTGTGTTCTTTTTTTATCACAAATTCAACCTCACAACATGACGTCACTGCTTCAAAAAGGATGAACTCTTGATTCATCCAAGAGCCAATCATTCACCTCTCCATATATATACCCAAATCCGATCATCAGAATGGAACAAGTTAAAGCTCTCGTCGCTGAACAGTACCCTTGACCATCACCGATGACGTCACCATTAGCAAGCGTTTGTGCAGATGGCGATCGTTCCGTGGGATGGTCACACGTGGTCTACCAATTCGAGGCCTGTTCCAAGAGTGCCGAGTATGGTGTAATGCCTAAAGTAGTCTGGCAATGATCTGTTGGCTGCACTCGAGCGTTCTTGCAATATGGACCTCAGCAGACTCCATCAGCGCCACCTTGACATTTTCATCTCGTGTGATCATCAAAAACACGTTTCACACCAAATTCACCAAAAATAATTCTTTTCTCAAAATGCACGGATTTCTAACAGTAAGAGCATGTTGGATGTTTGGTCAATCGTTTTCCAGCGGAATTTAGTTTCTTTTAGCCAAGGTATTCAAACTTATTTATACTTCCTTTTGATCAGCAGTTAAGTAAGTTGTCGAAATCGCATTTGTAATCACAGGTTTCAACAAAATTTTGTTATTATTTAGGGAAAGACCACTCAATATTCTAGGGCCTGGGTTTTCGTTTGAGGCAGAATATATTTCAGTTCTCGGAAAGGAGAAGTCATCATGTTTTAAAACTATCAAACCCTTATTTTTCAGAGCATCCAGCTTGTCAAGTGAACAAATGATTTTCAAGTCTAAGGACATACTATTTTTTCCTGCATTTTCCGCAACATATGATATTTTCAAACAAAATCCCAGGGGACGCCAGAATATCCATGCAAATACTCGTAGACTATGATTCCCTTACAAATAGACTATGTCAGTGTTTTTTTCTTACATGTAATGAAACAAAAACAACTCTCACGTGAGGCAAACGCTACTTCGAGGCCTGCATGGAGATATGTATCATCAGCTCTTGTGGTCATAGTATGGTGTTTGCTTCCCATTTTCAATAGGAATAAGATGAAATCCCCTGCCCAGTGGTTTTCACACAAAAATCGAGTATTGCAGAGTGGTTTCAGATCCAGGTCCACCTGAGACACCATCATAGGTGTATTAAGCATCAATAGGTAGTCCTTGTAGGCCGAATTCCAATCCGAGGCAGAAACATGAAAGAGCACCATCTCCGCCCACATCTCACCCCCAACAGTATACAGCTGAGGGACAGCGATCTGGTTGGGCATACCTGAAGGACACACCACGTACGATGTTAGAGAGATTAATGTCATAATATTAATATATTATTAATAATTAATAAGGAGATTGCTGCAAATATGCATCTGTCTGATATACATTTATCATTCGACCCGTGAAGGTCCGGGGTAGAATAGGTCTTCAGCAACCCACACTTGCCACACTATATTTGTCTTGGAGGCGACTAATAGGATCGGGTGGTCAGGCTCGCTGACTTGGTTGATGCATGTCATCGATCTCAATTGCGTGGATCGATGCTCATGATATTAATCACTGGATTGTCTGGTCCAGACTCGATTATTTACAGACCGCCGTCATATAGCTGGAATACTGCTGAGTGCGGCGTGAAACAACAAACAACAACAACAATATTTGCCATGCATCTTTTTTACATACATTTATGGTGCAGAGTTGTCTTTGGTCCTGATCAGGACTATTGGTTTCTCAGGAACTTACCAGCGCTTTCAGCTCTCAAAGGATACACCTTCATCATTTGCAGGCTATCCTCCAAAATTCTGATGACATGTGATGGAAATACTGTTAACAGCCCTGTTAAACCCTGCATTACTCTCATATTTTTCAGGTTAATTTGGGAATTATATGTACTACGTTGATAGCCCCAAGTCTCCAATATACCAATGACACATCACTGAATTAATATTGAAGCTCGTTCACTTACATTTACATTTCACTATTTCTGAAAGTATCTCCTGCTTTGTGGCTTGAGTGCAGTTTGAGGATAGGACGTTGAAGGCTGTAACGAACGATTCAATAGCTTGTACTGTCTCTCCGAGTTCTTTACGAGATTTTCCGACTCGAATATGGGCCTGCAATGAAAAAAGAATCACTTTATCTGTACGGCGTTCATCATAATGAAGAAATATGTTTTACATGTTTAACTAGATTCACAGTACATACAAACATTAATAATTTATGTGTACTGTAGTTTCGGTCTATGGTGTCTCAATACACTGTGAAGTTAATTCTAAGATTCGATGGTGCGCGTCTGAAAGTGGCGTAAAATCCAAATGTGCATGTATACCACCAATACTTCAAAATCATGCCCCGTGAAGATTCGTGTTAGAATTTGTCTTCAGCAACCCATGCTTGTCGCACGAGGTCACTAAAGGGATCAGGTGAGTGAATATGGTTTTACGCCGCTTTTAGCAATATTCCACCAATATCCCGGCGCGGGACACCACAAATGGGCTTCACACATTGTACCCATATCGGGAATCGAACCCGGGTCTTCGGCGTGACGAGCGAACGCTTTAACCACTAGGCTACCCGACCGCCACTATTGGCGTTGAACATCAGCAAATATAAAGACGCACTTTGAAGTTTCTTCTGTCTTGCTTGGCGCTCTCCAAGCTATCTGTTAGAGCTTGTGTTGGCATGTTGCTTCTCAGGTAACATTCGGCTCTGTTCCCATGGAGGCGAGAGAGCAAACTGAAAGTTTTACTTTGCCTCCAAAAGAAAATATAGGACCACCACGGTGTGTCGTTACTTGTATTCTCATTGCAGCAATGGATGGCCTTTGTGTAATAGTCAATCGCCTTCATAAATCTCCCTAACCGGAATTCTGCGTTCCCCTTTTCCCTCAGAGTTTCGGCATTGTCATTCCCTGCATGACATCAAAATAAATGCTTTATAAATTAATTAAATAATTCCATTTATTAAAATAGAAACAATCAACTTGAATAAAGTATCTAAATATGGTCTTGTTAAATGGGTCCAATCATAAGTTCTTTTGTGCGCAGGCTATTTTGATTTTCGTCCTATTCCTCCCAATATATGTTCCAAAGTGACATAACTGTACAATTGCTGAGTATTGTATATGTTTTCCCACCTTACCCGAACTATATTTTATAAGTAACTACAGTATGTACTATCAACATATACTGGCATACCGGCCAGTCAAATCATAAAGGAACTTTGCACCCTAGTTATATCTATGTTACCTGAGCCAACACACATCTTACCTGACCCGCTAGTCGACGTAACAGGCACTGTACCCATGGTATAGGAGTCGTGCGGCCGCAGAATGTATTCAGCATGTGTAACAGTATTGTGGTATTGAGTGTCCCTGAAGAAATATCTGCTTCATGACAGGAGGAGTGTTCATCCAAGATCCAGAAGACGCTTTATCGTTCCTATGATGTTCTGCACTGAAATAATCTGTAAACATATGGTAATTTCTCTGCTTCGATGTCCTCGTGCTGCAGATGAAGCGTGAAAAAGCTGAACACTTTACCGACGATATATTGTCTGTACCCGACTAGACACGAGTATCTCCCAATCACCTGACTGCGCTAAGCGGCCTTGATAAGAGATAACACGTTTTATCATTCACATGCATACGTGGTGTAGACTTGGCAGTTGTGGCAGGATCACGAGGGGCACATTGGATGTTCCGCGTGCGGCGTTTCGCTTTTAAGTGCTTTATTCTGCCTCTCAGAAATCCAGGTGCAGCCTTTAGTGCTCGTGGCAGCGTAAAAGATATTTATTCCCCTGCTGAGAAATTTATTACCCTCCAAGGCGGGTTACACAGTATTTTATCAAGATCACGTGGACCAATCAGATCTCATCATTCTGACATGGAGGTATGATAAGGTCAGTTACACGACTCTTGTGGGGTTTCTTCAAAATTACAAAAAAACACTTCGTCATTTCTAGATTAGTGTGATATATGATTGAACGTTACTGAAATGTGACATTTTATACCGTGAACACTTAACTTAATTTGAACGTACTTTATTTTCTTATTTCATTTTATTTCATGTGTGTTTATTTCTTGTTGGTTTTGTTTATTTCATTATTGTTTTTAATTTATTATTTTTAATAATGTCTACTTGTTAATGTTAAGATTATTAGACTATCTCGTACTTTTCATGCATGATAAGTGTTTTTCGTGTTGCTTGTTTGTTTAAATCTCATCACACTTTGGGATGAATCAGGACAAAAACTATTCACAGAAAATAATCAGATTAGTTACACTTCAGTTACTACTTAGTACCTGTTGTTGCATTTGTTATGACTAAAGCATACCCAATTCTCCACCTTTTGTTAAAACACTGCGTGTTCCATTGGAGTTGATATCAGTCAATTTTAAAGGAAAATTGGGTTATTGTTAATTATGTAATGACTTGATGAGGAAAATTGAGGGGTGAAAAGTATTTATTACTCCCAGACAACATATCCAAACCATTACTTTATTTTAGAACATGCAATCACACATTACCAATTGAAAAGGGTCGCTGGCTGAACATTACCAGGAAAAGAGATTTTGTACATTGTGTAATATGCAACAAATTGGCGACGAGTTCCATTATTTATTCAGATGTAAAGCTTTGGCGAATTAACGTTCTTCTGTTATCAGTGATTATTATTATGAATGGCCTAACATGTCAAAATATAAGAAACTTGTTGGGAATAATAAGATCAGTGTCCTGAATTTTTTTGTCAAGTTCTCTAAAACATTGATACGCCATCTTGTTGTAATTTGTATACATTTATGTATACTCATGTAAATGTAACTCATGTACCACCATTGGTGGTTCCTTTGAGTAATAAAGAGAGAGACTTCAGGGGTAAAATTGATCTCAGTGCTTAATTTCTTTCAATAGTATTCTACAAGTTTGGTGTGAGAGGTTTTCATCAGTTGATGTAAATGTATTACGACGCGCTGCCACTGTGACTGACTTACTGAGGTAGCTCTTAACATGCTTTTCTTATCTCATGGTGATGATATTTGAATACATGTGTTGTGTAAGATGTTTCTGGAGAGCAGGTTGTGCATACATACGTAAATGTCACCTCTCTTTTTTTGGAACTATTTTATTCCGCGATACAGAAGGTTATTTGAAGGCTGTCAGTGTAATCATGAAGTCACACGTACCAAATATTGTATCTAGATCTAGGCCTACATCTTTTGAAGTAACACGTATTACTATAAAAACATATAAGAATTGACTCCCACTTTGTGTGAGTTCATTGGCGTATAAACCTTCATAGAGTGAGGGCCAAACTGTATGAACGTCGGAAAAACACACTATCATTCAGCAGCTAATCATATCAAACATAATATTCCACTTAAGGAATGGGACTTACAGCTTGCACAAATCCTACGAGACGGAACTCTTGCAAAAAGGTCCTAACGCCCCAAACTCACTTCAGTGCTTAAGGAGACGACATATATATCAGTAACTATTTAGACAACCTAACTGCCTTACCCTCCCCTATTAGCCCAACCTTAACTAGGACACCCCTTTTAAAGTTTTACCTCTTTCTTTGTTTTACATTACACTGTTTATTTTAAAATCAATTGAACTGATTTCATTATAAATCTACTCCTTTATGCCACACTAAGTACTATATTCCAAATTTGTTATCACATTTTTTACTTTTGTTAACGATGGGGTGGTTAGGGTTGAAGTGATTGCACTAGCAATAAAGTGTAGATTTCCTGAAGATAACACCTGGTTTAAGGGTAACTGTTAGCGTTAATAAATAATGCACACAAACCCAATACAGCTGAGGCAGGTAAGACTTACCAAATCATTCCCGACTTGAGTTAGACTCCCTTTTCAATTTATTCTTTTGGCTCTCGTGAACAGTCAATAGGAATTTGTGCTTATATCGATAACGATGACGCATAGCCTCGCGATTAATCAATAGATAATGCTGTCAGTGAAACCAGTGCAATATAGGTTAATTTTAATCTTAAAGACACATTTATGTGACACAGCGATTTAGTCTGTGAACTATGTTTGAGAAAGGACAAGTTGAGTTGCAAAACTTGTTATCCATGAAGGAGATCAGATGGACTTTGATATGATCGACCATGATTACATACGCATATAGGGCGTTGTTCAAAAATGCAAGTTGAATGTAGTGCATGTTGAATAGTTTCATGATTACGTTGCGACTCACCTCCAGGTGAAAGCAACTTGAATAAGTATTCTTCAAATGAAAAAGATAGCATTATGTGTTACGATGTTTGGTTGCTTGAATAGGTGCCTATTGACAAGCTGCATTTATACTCCTTCATGTCAACATACAATGGTATATTTGCCTGACCTGCCTATAAAGTTTCCTCATATCCCATGCTGATGTGTTAAGGTAAAAAAGTGACAAAACCCTTTCCATATTCATAGGAAATCTCTGCAAAAAGCATGTAGTCACAATTTAGTTTTTGTCATAATCGTTTGAGAGATAACCAGTCTGTGACAGAAGTCATCCTCGATCGTCCCCAATGCGTATCTCTTAAAGTCGCGACTTCCTGCCTTAACATTCGTTAAAGAAGAAGCAACAAGAATCTTACCAGAATACAAATAAACTCAGGCGTCGTCTCTTTCTAACGTTAGCTGCGAATTTAGTCTTTAACTCCAGGCTGCTTCCCATCGATCACTATAACTGATGTTTGTGGTGACAGCTGATAGTTGCAGGTCACTCACGGCCGATCTATGCTTTGAACAGCATTTAAGTAACATCGCCGCATACATCGCTCAAAACAAGTTATACATTACGCGTTCAATGGCAGTTAGCTCCCTTTGATATTCAAGGAAGTGTAGTACTTTCGTTTCAGATTCTCGAAATAGCTCACGAGTTCTTTTTTTTAGAGATGACTGCAAATATATGTAGGCGATGTGGTTTTAGACGCATGATTTGTGTACGTGTATATGGAACGGACAGACCAATTTAGTTTTTGTCATAATCGTTTGAGAGATAACCAGTCTGTGACAGAAGTCATCCTCGATCGTCCCCAATGCGTATCTCTTAAAGTCGCGACTTCCTGCCTTAACATTCGTTAAAGAAGAAGAAACAAGAATCTTACCAGAATACAAATAAACTCGGGCGTCGTCTCTTTCAAACGTTAGCTGCGAAGTTGCTCTTTAACTCCAGGCTGCTTCCCCTCGATCACTATAACTGATGTTGTGGTGACAGCTGATAGTTGCAGGTCACTCACGGCCGATCTATGCTTTGAACAGCATTTAAGTAACATCGCCGCATACATCGCTCAAAACAAGTTATACATTACGCGTTCAATGGCAGTTAGCTCCCTTTGATATTCAAGGAAGTGTAGTACTTTCGTTTCAGATTCTCGAAATAGCTCACGAGTTCTTTTTTTTAAGAGATGACTGCAAATATATGTAGGCGATGTGGTTTTAGACTCATGATTTGTGTACGTGTATATGGAACGGACAGACCAAACAGAGGTGAGTACCGAATAGATGTAATCAGCACGAAAATGTCATTGAATATTTCTAGTTACAGTAAACTACGGTTAAAACAAACTCAAAGGGACCACTTATTTTAGTTGGCAATTACCGTAGTTCGTTATAAGAATAATTTTAGTTCGCAATAACCGTAGTTCGTTATAAGCATATATACAGCAAATGGCCGGGACTGAAAAATAAGCTCGTTATATCGGTCAGTTCGTTATAAGCGTGTTCGTTATAAACGTAGTTTACTGTACTAGATACTTTCAACCGAGCGTTTATCGCACACAATTGAAGTACACGATATTTCAAAATGTGCGTATTGTCAACCAATCAGTATTTGATATACATGTACACAACATACAACGTGTATTTAGGTACAAATATCATGAAATAACACACTGGTGTGCAAGAATAACCAACGAAGACAGCTGTTATCTCAGATATCGCAACATTACACACTTGATTAACTTTAAATAAAGTAATTCGCCTTTTATGTCTCGATTATTGTTTCTAGTGTTCATCATAATGCATTTAGCTGTGCTGTGTACAATCATACACTCAATAGAGTATGTCACCTCGCCCTCAGGTGTACAAGTACACCAACTTACATCGTGTCGATTTATGAAATCAATATTGTACTGAATGCACACTGACAATGTACCTCTAAAACCCGAATAGGTGTACACGTTCAAGGACGTTGATAGACATTTCTAAGAACCGACTTCGTATTTGTGTTCCAGTTAGTCTATTTATATCGATGACAGACCCGCAGTCGTAGTATCGTTGTGGCTATCAGAGTTACATATTGTTCATCATTTATCCACGTCCTGATAAGAGTTATCCACGTCCTGATAAGAGAACACTGAATTTTTACATGCAACAAAATTTACCTAGCTCTATGACGCCTTTTAAACATCTACCCCCACTTTTTATACCCTTTTGAAATACACTGATGACGTGTTTGTGCTTTTGACAAAACTAGTGCTATACCCCCAGCTGAACTTACATGATATGTGTTATCTTGATGTTGATTGAATATATTGAAATATGTAAATATATATGTTTTTGGTTTATTCTTTAACGCCGCTTGAATGTAAATACTATCTGAACCAGACAAACCAGTGATTGATATTATGAGCAATGTCCCTCTCCGACGGGGAACAATGACACGTGATCAACCAAAGCCACCGAACCTGACGAACCGATTGAAAATTAGCTGTACGTTTTAGTAAACAATTATGTTATACCATGTCGACTACACAGATAGAAAAAAACCCCAGGAAATTGCGCTTCATAGGTTTGTAGTTGTACAAATGATGCATGACGAACAAGGCATATCGCAACAAAAAAGACAAAGAGACACACCTCTTTATCAGAACGAGTATTGGGAGTTCTGTAGGGAGATATAGCGTTATCAGAATATCATATTTATTCAGCGCTTCATGACAGAAACTGTTGGGCAAACGAAAGTGTGTGTGATGTTGGCTAAATAAATGTTTATTCGATGGGGATGTATAGGATACGGGTATCATGGGCGAGTGTACATGCATTATATCAATGGGTATCTGTTTCAGCCTAATAACGTTTTGAGAACGTATTTTTTTATATCAAATTCACTGTTCATGTGTATGCTATCTGTTATTGCTGAGTGTAGCGCTGAACAACAAAACACACCCTCAATCTTTCACACAAATAAGCTTGATTAAACATCAGTCACAATGTCTGTGCAGTGCAGTAGCATATGGTGTTTCCTGTTGGTCTTCTGGTGAATACACCGTCTGCCTGGAGAATGGAAGGTTGGTGGTTCAATCAACGGCCATGTCATACCAAAAGACATTAGAAGATGATACTTGTTACCCTGCCTAGCTCGTGGCATAAATGACTGGATGGCTGAGGTTCAGTATACTGTGTCTGTCTGTGTCCATGTTACGTATCCAACTACGGCATGGTATCTCAGTTGGCTAGCACCATGAAACAGGTATTCGTTAGGGCTAATACAAGCGGCCACACACGTACATGCATATCGCTGTATCGATGCAATAATCTTGAAGGCGACCATACCCACAAGCACGACCTCACCTCCTAGTGGTGTGCGCGAAGTCTATGCAGAAAAAACCCATTTACTGATGTGCCTCCATTGCTGGTAGTATGACTAGACTTGTTTTTTTCATGTAAGCAACTATTTCTGGTCAACATCTTTTACAAAATGTCAACTATCATATATATTACTGTATCTTCAACTTGTCATCTTATGTGTATCAATGTATTTCATTTTCTCTGCGATGTCTTTTTGAGAGTGTTCTTTGGACTACACAATTTGTCACTCTGGACAGGGCCATTCCATGTGAGATTGCATGGATTAACAAATTCTTGATTTATGAATTGTTGATTAGAGTAATGTCACGTTGGTCTATTATTGATGTTCCCCACTAGATCATAGGGAAAATTGTGTTCAAAACTGATGGGGTTCAAACTAACAAGTTTTCACTCTGTTTATATATATTGTAAAAGAATAAGACATCATTTCCAATTTCCTGTAGCTGGGAAAATATTTTAATTAAAAGTTTTCAGCTGTCATATTTGAATCCAGAAACCGAAAGGAAACAAAATGTGGAAAGGTTTTGTAGATTTCTGGAAATGTGTTTTATAATGTCCAAATCATGTTTATGACAGATTGTAAGCAATTTCCTTTCCTTCTTTTTCTCGGATTTTTGTTTCATTAAAAATCTGTTTTCCATGATGTCAACAAATCAAAAGAAATGTTTTGCTTGAAGTCTTTGGCTTTATTGTCACATGAAACTGTACACTCACCCCCAGAGTTCAACAAATGCTATTATTCAGGGATGAAACAGGACTTTTATGGCAAAAGATTCTTTAATCACATTGATTTTCTAGACAACTGCAGTTTTGAACAACTTCTCACACCTTATTGTGGCAATATGCTGACATTTTCTGTTCTTATCATTCTGCAAAAGATCAACATGTTGGAATACTGACATATTGTATTTACCTTACTGTCAGCCTTCCTCTTGTTATAAAATTACTGTCGCTCCGTTTGTCCACTGAACTAGAGTATTTGTTGAACCCTGCTACAGTGAGTTCGAATACTTTTTATAAAGTTGTGTTACACTTCACTGATGCATCAGTCCAGGTCAGTGATCAGTGTCAGTGCTGCGATTGTCTAGTGCCTTTGCTATAAATATGTAATAGTAATACCTGTCAGCTGATTTTCACAAGAACACAGTTTACCGATTACAACAAAATATTATATTGTTTGGCAATGATACACACAATAATTCTCCTCACCAGCAATAGTGGTAGGGCGAGCGCTTAGGATGGGCCCGTGCCTGAGACCCTCGGGTAAAGATGAATCTTCAAATCAAAAGTCAGTTTTTTTTTATGAAACAGATATATTGACAGCAGATAGAAAGTGGTGAACATGTGAGACCTGCATCATTTCAGGCATCCTTCGTTCATGAAGCTGACATGCCGTGATATATTTGGAATACTGTCCAAATCGGTGTTTTTCCAACTCACTCACTCCTGCTACAGTTTGATAGGAAATAAATTAACACCCCTGACTGAGAACTGCAGCCCATGACAGGCACAGGTTGTATCTTTGAGTTGCATTGAAGAGATGTAGAGTCCATGAAGGCTCGGGGACTTGATAAGGTACGACCACCTGTACCACAATGTTGCACTGAAAGAAGAAAGTAGTTCAAATCCATGACTACAAGTACTTGATAGTTGTAGCGCTAAGATCGCTTTGTGCAAGTGGGCCCAGGTGTTCATCATACAAAGGGGACATTACTGATCAACCCACCCTACCTCTGATTTAGGTTTCCAGCAAAGTTGTGTTGTTTTTTCACCGTATGTTTGTAATGGTGCATATGTATATGTGTGTATATATATATTCTATTGGGTGGGATATTGCTTTTGATTGAAAAACATTTCTGAAATAGATTTTGCTGAAGTTTCCCATTCAAGGGTTTGAATTTGATTCAGGTCGAACTTAATAAATGAGACTTGCAGTTTGTCTCATAAGTCATATTCAACAGAACTTTCTGTTTAATTGGGGGCACCTCGATTTTCTGTTTAGATTTGCATCCCTTGGGCATGCCAGAAACCTATGATTGTTGTTTCGAATCTTGGTTCGCGCCAATTATGTTTCTAGGTTTGTCAGCACCATACCCATGCTAGTGGGTTTCACCGAACTGGTAAACGTCTCATCACTGCAGGCCTTCCTCCCACATTAAACTGACACAACGTGATAAAACTGGAATACTGTTAAAAGCAGCGTTAAACCCAACTCACTCACTCACTCATTTGTTTAATTTTGACTAAAGTGTTTTGACTGAAAATGTTAGTCCGCCTACCTTGAAATCAACAGAATGAGCTTATGTCATCTACCATCTGTCCATCTATCAGTCAGTTGGCACTGAACTTAAAAACTCTTCAAATCTACTGAACATAACAGTATCACAAACAGATATGTCCATGGTAGACATAATGCTTTTCTTGGAGTTATTCAATGTGTGTAAATGTTTTGAATTGTTGAATAAAAATTGCAAGACTTTGTTTGACTCATGAACATAAAAAACAATGATAAATGATTTATTCAGTTGGATCTCGCAACCATTCTAATCTTAATATTCAAAGGTGTTGAGACAAAAAGAGGGAGAAAATTAAAAATCAAATGTCATATCCAAGTAGTATGTTTTTGAGCCGATCTTGTTTTGCACATCCCCACCACTCCATTATTATATCACCATGTAGAAAGATACACCAACTACTGCTGAATGTGCTCTACAGTATCCAGATCCCTCTCATTCTGCTTGAGAAAAGGAAGCGAATACTTGAGTGATTGATTTAAGATTTAACGTGGCATTGGCAATATTTCGGCCATATATAGCAACTAGACCAAGTTGATATATACACACTTTATTCATGAATACAGAGTTATATCTAACTACAATTTATCAAAGATATTTGGGCTTAACAATATCATATAATATACAGTTTTAAGACACGGGCTATAGGCCACCAGTGGCCAAAGCTGGGCCACTTCGCTGGGGATCGTGGGGACTTACGATGCGCAAATACTGAATCAATTTGTCAGTGACTTTGTTGATTAAGCGTCATTAGACAATGGCATTGACTGTTGTTCATAATATCAATCACTGTCTTGTGACTAAATGGTCTAATTTTTTTTATTATAGGCTATATAGTTTGTATAGTGCAGGGTGAAGTGAACATGGAACCCTCATGGCATCTTTTTAATTATTTCAATTAAGTTTTACATTATTATGAAAAGATTATTTGCCATGGCTTTACAAATTAGTGCTCCATGTATTCAGGGATCCAGCAATATCAGGGCTTAGAAGGAGATCCAGAAGCTTGGTTAGCCTTTCATTAAATTATTTGATTTATTGATGTGATTAAGACAAGTAATTTCATGTAAGTTTCTTCAAATATTATAAATTCCAAAGGGAGGAAGTAATTGTTTTGCGTTTTATTCAAAGAAACTCGCATGAATCTCAATCCAAATAAATAAATAACTAACGATATGTGGAGTGATAAACACTTTCTGCTTTTAAAACATCAGATTCTAGCAAAGTGTATTGAAAATTCATTCCCTACTCCACTGTTTGACTACTTTGTTGTGGACAAATACGAGATAACCTCAAATCACAATTGCTGATTGTGTGCCATCCTACAGCTACAACATGGATTTTTGCTCATGCTTTGAACGCCACATTAGCCTGGCCAATTTGGTTATAGCTATAGCTGGAATAGGCTGACTGATGCATCATTAAATCGATAAACAAATGGTGTATAATGCATTTTGCAACCAAACAAATTCCATTTACAAAAGAATACTTCAGTTCTGCATAGAACAATATTCATATTTCACACATAGACATTTACCCCCAAAACACACAATAAAGACGTCAAATTTAATTATTCATGAATAGATTATATCAAGACTCTGTGCTGCCTGTCTTGTGAAATGACCTGGGATGGCGTCGGAATTCACTGTGAAGAGTTGCTGTTTTGAGCGGACAGGATCTGCTGGTGTTGATTTCGAATCCCGGCTTTGCCATGGTACTGATCGGTGGTCTCAGAGCATCAAACCAGCTCTTGTTTCACAAAAGTCGTTAACAACTATTACCATCTTCATTATTGTCTCAAGTCCTACATTTAGTGGGTGGCCTAGTCGTCTAGGGTGCCGGGATTCGCTGCGCAGAGTTGCGTCCCTTGAGCACGCCAGAAACCTATGATTGTGGGTTCGAATCCCGGTTAGCCCCAATTGTGTTTCTAGGTATGTCAGCACTATACCCGTGCTCGTTGGTTTCACCGAAGTGGTAAAAGTCTGAGACCTGCATCTCTTCGGACTTTCCTCCCACATCAAGCTGACACACTGTGATATAACTGGAATACTGTTAAAAGCAGCGTTAAACCCAACTCACTCACTCACTCACTACATTGAGTGGATACATGTGATACAATGTTAACACGGCATTCAGCACCAACTCTCTTGTACTTTTGAAGCATACATTCAGTTGCATTAATATTCATCAGGGACATCTATACAATTCCTTTAATTAGGAACTCAACGCTATTTCCCGCGTCTAAAGCTCTGCATCTGTACACTGTCACACATAAGGGATCCCACACAAATACAATGGAAGCCACAAATATCCAAAAGAAACATTCATGAAACATTAATTAAACATTGGTGATCCCAGAGCTTCTCGAAACAGGTCACCATGACCAGCGCTTCCAGTAGCACCCAAGCTTAAACTCTCCGTAGAAGCACCTGGAAACACCACAAGGCAGTTGTACGGTTTTGCTGTCTTTTAGGTCTCATTCCGAGCCGCGGGCTCAGCCTTCTCCAGGCAGCGCTGTTCCGCGTCAAACTCCTCTGCTCGATGGTACATAGTACTCGCATGCTTGAACTGAAAGATGGATAAAACTGTTTAAAGGTCAGGCTTTGTTTGGTAAAATGTACTCATCAGCTAAAGAAACAGTCAGTGTGTCTGCAAGAGTGAGTTGAGTTTAATTCCGTTTTGAACAATATTCAGTTATGATAACATTTCAGCTTCGTGTGGGAGGATAGATATAAGTGACACAGATCTTAGACATTTAACATTTCGGTCAAACCCAGGGGCACAGGTATGGTGTTGACAAACCAGGATTGATAATCAGTGCGGATATGGGGTTCGAACCCACGATCATAGGATTCTGGCATGCCTGAGGAACAGCCCCCACCCCCACCCCTGTTACCGTTACCATGTCCTAGACAAATGGACCACCTGGGCCCTGTTCTAAAATACTCGATGTGACAATTGTATAAAAAATTGACAAGATTCACGAAGTCTAAATCATTCACTAATCTTTTTCAAACTGAAATAATTTCACATTTCGTTTATAAACTACTACATTACTGCTGTAGTGATTGCATAATTATAAACTTTAGATTCACAGAACTGCAATGTGGACACCGTACCTCTTCACATTTCTCGTATGCCATTCCAGCGAGCTCATATTCTTTGGCATACTGAAGACAAAGTGCAGCCTTTTTGTCAATCTCGGGCCCAAGATCACAGTCAATGAACTCTTCCGCTGCTGTGATGTATTCATTTTTCATGGCCCTTGGGTTATTCTTGAGACCAACAGCTTTCATGGCTCTACTGTGTGCCATGGACGATTTTTCTTTTTGTATGTCACCAGCTATTCTGTAACATTTTGCAGCGTCGTCATACAAACGGCGCACCATGAAAGTATCACCCTGGCTAACCCAGTCCTCTGGTGTGGATTCTTCAGCAAATCCCACATCCGCCTCACCTGGAGATGAAATTAAATTGTTACATATACAGGCCATTGTGACGACACTACAGCTTGAACATAAATGTTGAAACCTGGACAGACATATATTTGAAAGAAAATAGAATTTGAGTGATATGTACTTGTATATGTAACTTGTATAGACTCTAAAGTTACACAATATATACATTATTTTCATCTCACTTTCTCTCGAAACGTCTGTACTATCATCAGGAAGGTGATTTTGGCCAGACTTGCATGGAAGATTTTGGCCAGACTTGCATCGAACCAGGTTTTTAGCCTTGAAGAATTGAAACATTGGTGCCCGCTTCTCTTCATCCTCATCAAAGATCCACACATTGACACGTGCCCGAGTCAGAGCTGTGTACAGGTACTTTAGTTCAAAATTGAGAATCTTGTGTTTGTTGGGTTCAAAGGCCAGTGGATGGACACCAATGCTTTGGAAAACTAAGAATCAAAGAGGATTGTCAATAAAAAACATGTTAAAATTATATCATGTCGGGTAAAGATATATGGAGAGTTGGCATGATATTATCTAATATGAATCGAGCAACGACTTTCTCTCCTGAGCCATGGAAGCCTTGTTTCTTAAAATTTTGAAAATTTAAATGTGAATTCCAAGGAGACATTTATGTATCGTATTTGAGCTCATGAATAATTAATGAATAAGTTCACAATTCCACTATAAACTTAGACATTACTCGATTGTGATTGGTCAATCAGAGGTATCAAATCACAATGGACACCCATGAAGCAGCCGATTTGTCATGTTAGATTGGAGATAAACATACTGCATGTTCTGTACCAAATTCAGTTTAGCTTGCTTGAATCTAGAGGCACCCGAACTCTACACTGTAAACATGTTTATCTCCTGAATGTCTCAAACTCGCTGAATTAAACGGTAATTAAATGATCTCTATTTGTATTCTTTTACATATTTCCGTGAAGATCCGGTATAGAATATGTCTTCAGCAACCCATGCTTGCCGTAAAAGGCGACTATGCTTGTGGTAAGAGGTGACTAACGGGATCGGGAGGTCATACTCGCCGACTTGGTTGATGCATGTCATCGATCCCAATTGTGTGGATTAATCATTGGATTGTCTGATCCAGACTCGATTATTTTTACAGACCGCCGTCATATAGCTGGAACATTGCTGAACGCGGCGTTAAACAACGAACCGACCAAAACAACATATTTCCACTGAAGGTAAACGACATTTACTGACATTATTATTCAAGGAATGAATTTGTTGGCAGTACAAAAACAGCTGAATGAGCATCTAAATAATCATTAAAACATATTCACTGCAATGTCAGGACTTTGCAAGTACAACAATCCTTGCCTATGTGAGAGAAGACTTTTGGAAAACATGTTAAAAAGATCGAACCTTCATGATCTTCTGTAAACGTTTTGGCATGTCTTTCCAAGCACGAAGCTACCACTCTCCATTCTTTCGATGCCTGGAAGATATAAATTCATGAACTGAATCTGCACCAGTATGCAGAGCTTAAATTTTGATGCAGCTATGTGTATTGATGTATAGACTATGAACAGAATCGTTCTAAAATACAAATGATTTGTTTATTCTACCTGTGAGTCTTTGAAAAAATTGAAAAGAAGAATGTCGTTGAATTCCAGTCCTTTGGATTCAATGATAGTGAGGACATTGCAACGTCTGGACATTTCTTCAGGCACACACGCTTTAGCTTCTTCGTTCACTACTAAGATGGCCTGGTGAGCTCCAAAGTCTATTGGCGATGATGAACTTCTATTTCTTCCCTGTGAAATAATGTATTGACAACTGCACTAAGAATACCATACAAATAAAGACATTCATAAACATACAGAAACTAATATCGCATGAATTACATTTGTAGTATTGTTTTAACATTCTAAATTTATCATAGAGTATTTACACTGATCTAAAATGTAAAGCAAGGGACATAATCACAGTAGTAATATATGAACCATTCACTCTAATTTGTTATCTCTAATACTTGTTAAAACTTATTATTATAATCTCATCACCTGAAGAAGTGTATGCAAATCTTCTCTTCTGCACGATTGTATGAGAACTGGAGCTGGCCCTTGAAACAAACCCACGTCTCTTTCCATATGTACTTTGTCAAATGATTCAGGAAAGAACTCTTCCATGACATCCAGGATTGCAGATGTAAGTAATAGCACTCCATTGTGTGACCTATAATTGTGAGTCAGTTTCTGAACACAAGGCACAGTGATTGTGTACTGTGTCTCAAAAAGACCAGATACTTTAGCATGATGGAACAATGATTTCAGATCACAAAAACGAAACGAAACCCCTTTTGTGATGCCTTGGGCCGTGTCACCTGTCAAAAACATTCCGTTTGGATTGCGCATAATGCTGAGAAGCAAAAACAGTTCAGCCTCTGTAAAATCCTGTATTTCATCTACGTATATCTGATGCACGATAAACGGACGGCTTTGCTTTTGGTCTAGGAGACGTTTGTAAATGTTCTGAACGACATCGACAATGTCAAACAGGCCCCTCTGTTTAATGAAGCGGCTGTACTTCTCAAAGAGTTCATAGATAATTTCTCTCTTACCCACAAAGAATGGTGCTTTTTTCCTGCCAACATCAATGTATTCATCTCTTGTGAGATGCCCTGATTCATTTGATAATGCTTTAAACGAACCTTTGATGAAGGACATGATCTCTGCCCATACAAGAGATGGGTGATATTTCATTGCCACTTTTGTGGCAATATCTGGCCATATTTCACGAGCAAATACTTCATATGTGACCTCCTTCCTTGGGTCTATCGGTTTTGTTTGAGTATTTCTGGGAACACCTTTCTCTATATTTGGGTCATCGTCCTTTTGGTCAATGTCAAGTGGAGAAAATCCAAATAACGTAGTTCCATCATCCCATCCGTCTATCCGCACACTGAGTGTGCCATCAGGTTCCCTTTGGAAAAAGTGAGAAGGGCCCAGAGAAGCATCCAGCATCAACAGATATTGCTTCGAGGTGAGAAACAGGGGATAACTAAGATCATCGATATCCTGCAGCCTTGGAGGAAGGTCTTCTGATGCCTTGTGAGCATGTCTTCTTGTTGCCATCTGTCCACGACATAATTCCATGAAATGTTTGTGTACCTCTGTACACAAGACATTGTTTTTGGTCAAAAACAACTGATGGATATGGGTATCCGGATCTGAAATATGAATTAAACAAATGAAGTATCATCTAATTTAGAAATAATCGTCTCCGATTAGCATATATCAACTGACACTAATCAGTTCGTTGATAGGGATTTTATCATACAATTGTTATAATTTTGCTTGCGCTTGCATACTATCACATACTATCCATTTCAGTCTTCAGATAAATAAACTTAGAAATTATTGACATACCAGTTATATTTTTACAGTTGCTCTCAAAGTCTTCATCTTGCATTGGCAGATTTGGTTGTCCAATTTCTGTGATTTTTTCCCAGTATGTGGCGAAATGTGTCCACAACCGATAGACGCAGCAGGTAGTCTTGCCAGTACCACTTCGGCCAAGTAGCAAAACGGGTCCTTTACTTTTCATGTCTATTATACTACGCTCTTTGTCAGTAACTTTGAACAGGAAGTCAACATTAACATGTACATTCTGTAGAATGACATCAACCATTGCGGAGGAAAATGTTTGAAACTTGTGTATGTGGGGCATTTTCGCATCGTCACTGACAAGACAGAAATCAAGATCATCTTCATGGTTTGTTCTTGCTGCCACATATGACACGGGCATTCGTTGTTTCATACATCCTTCAAACTGTGAATGCTTACACCCTTTAAGCATTTTCTCTATCTTTTCACGACTTTCACTTCTTTTATGGCATTCCACAACATGTGCTATTGTTCTCTGCAATTTGCCATGATCTAACACTACGGCCCAAACTCGAATAACTTCATGATACATTGTGTTGCTTTGTTGGTTCGAGATATCCCTTGATATGCCAACTTCCCAGATGATTCTGGCTGCTTTGGACGTTTTAGCTTCATATAATGGAATTTGCAAACCGTTGTGTGTTACTGGTTTGTGTACGTTTCTTGTCCATTCCCCCTTGCCAATCTGATTTAATGCCTTTATTACTTGTGATTTTACAACACAAGTCATTTTTCGAAGTTCTTTCCAAAATGATGGCAGGCATTCAATCTCCCAAATTAGATTGTCAAAATCTAAAACATCACTTTGATAACTGCTCTTTTCACTTGCACCCACTCCACTCTTATCATCAAGTTTAATTATATCTGACAATTTCTGTTTTGCCACTCTGCACAATTTTTCACGTATCCTTGCCTTACAACTCTCAATGTGTTCTTCTAAAATTGTCTCACTCGCCGGCCGCGAGTAGCCATTTAATAACTGAAACCGCTTGTCATCCCTGACATATTGAACAGGTGTCTTCCCCTCTGAGTTTACAGCACTGGAACAAACCTTCCAGTGACAGAGCAGTTTAACTGCGTTGTATGCATTCTCACTAAATGGATACTTGCAAGCTACATGCAGTGGTGTATCCTGATCTAGATTGCCCTTGTTAGGATTGAGGTCTGAATGTCTCTTTGAATCGTCTTTGTACAGCTGCATCAATTTCTCAAGGAGGCCAAAGTTACCTGTTAAGTATATCATGACATGACAATTGGACTATTGCAATCCGAAAGAATAAATTTTAATGATATTTTAGGGGCTTTTTACAGATCTTATTATTAACCATTTCAAACAAATATCCGGTGGTCTGATTTAAAGCTAATTAATAATTAAAACTAAACTAATTTTAAAAAGCCAAGTCATACAAAAAGATCATTACCTTTTTCCAACGCAAGTATAAGTGCTGTATGTATTGGTGTATTGCCCCCTGAGTCGGTTGTGACAGCAGAGGTGTTGACCCCATCCTCCACTAAGCGAAGGGCCAGTTGTACCTCTTTGTATTTTACAGCAAAATGCATGGACTCTGCTCCTTTCTTTGGAGACAGGTTTGCACCATGATCGCAGAAGATTGTGTATAGTTTCAGTTTCTGGTCTTCTTGTCCTTGGAAAGAATCACTAGCGATGAAATTCCTTATGGAAATTGACTGAAACAACGTTGGAGAGAGGTTTTCTACTCCGAGTATCTCTATCGTTCTCTGCACATGATGCCATTTCCCATTCGATGCCAAATTTTGTATGAGGTTCTTCAATTGTGGTAGCGGTATAGTCATTAGGCTTCCAGGGAGATCTAGAAAGGGATAACAAAAAATAATTGGTTATGCACAGATCATACCTTTTCACTCCTTTCTCATCAAAACTTCATAAAAAAGTGACAAAACAATTAAAAGATACGGCAATTTCGCTGAATTGTGTCCATTATGTGCCGAAATTTGTCTTCAAACGATAGAGACAGCTGGTTATTTATCTTTTTCACTTCTTCCATTTGCTGTTTTACCACAGGTACGGTAACGCGTTAGTTACGGTATTATTACATGACAGTATTGTTTAAATAATAAATGACTGAAAGCTCCTGAACTATGAACACTGTGTCAAAATGTTTGGTAACAGCGTGGGGGCACTGGAGGTCCAGTCGGCCAGGCACGGCAAATCACTATCCAGAGGAGTGCCGGAATCATCCAAGTTATATACGTCTAAAAATAACTAACACAAAGGTTAATCTAACATACCCTTATGTAACTAAAAATAACGGTATTATTCCATCTCATTCACTGATGATGAGACCCGTGAAGATCCGGGTTAGAATAGGTCTTCCGCAACCCATTCTTGCCGTAAAAGGCAACTATGCTTGTCGTAAGAGGAGACAAACGGGATCGGGAGGTCAGGCTCGCTGACTTGGTTGATGTCATCGATCCCAATTGCGTAGATAGATGCTCATGATGTAAATCACTGGATTGTCTGGTCCAGACTCGATTATTTACAGACCGCCGTCACATAGCTGGAATAATGCGGCGTTAAGCAACAAACAAGCATACACTGATGATGATGCCAATAGGCAATCTAACGAAGGGATGTGTCTACGTAATGAAGATGAAGAGTTGTGATCAGATCAAGTCTGAGACAACACCTTCGAAAAGAGTATTATTTATCCAGCATGCAGGACAATTGACTGTAAAAGACGCCAGAAATCCAGACTGATGTACTGACATGTATGAGTACATGCACTTGAAGACTTCAGTCCAATATTATTACCTTCATAAGAAAGTGGAATGAAAGAACACCCGTTTTTCGACTATTCTCAAACATGGTCTGATGGCTGATGGCTTATTTAATAATTAGCACTGGGTTATCATATATTTCTGAAATTATTTTTGCCTTATCATTGCGGTTCAGTTTGTTTGTTGTTTAACGCCGCACTCAACAATATTCCAGCCATATGACGGCGGTTGTGGTTCAGTAATATATACATATATAAAATGTAACTTATTTCAACGCTACCTATTTTATTTCAAAGATAACTAACTACCTTACAATGTGATCTGTGACCATCGTGCCAAGTGTATTCAGTAACGTTATGTCTCAAATGTCAACAATCAGCTGTTCTGTGTCTTTAATGAACTAATTTAAGAATTCACCTTACAGTAAACTACGGTAATAACAAACTCAAATGGACCTCTAGTTTTAGTTCGTTATAACCGTAGTTCGTTATAAGCATATATACAATATCGATACGGCAAATGGCCGGGACCAAAAATTAAGTTGGTAATATCCGTCAGTTCGTTATATGCGTGTTCGTTATATACGTATTTTACTGTATATGTATGTCCACGTAAACTAAATCTTAAAATGATATGTTGATTTAAGTGAGGGTGTATGGGCATGCATAACCGAAAAGTGCATTTTACCTTCTACATTTGCGGTGTCAACAATTTGTTCAATTGTTCGCTGATGCTGAGATCCTTTATTGTTAGCACACAGTAGTTCCACTAACATACGAACGTTCTGAATCTGTGATGTGTCTTTTCCTGTTAAACTGTGTTGTTGCTGGTTTGAATCCTTTTCTGTGGATTCCTGACTTGATCTCTTCTCTGCAAGCTCCTCTGCTGAGATGTGGAAAACGAAGATAAGTACAATAATGCATGCATTATTTACCCACTTTGAAAGACAACATATCTGTAGCACTTTGATAAACTATTGTACTTCAAATTTCATTTACATGAACATTATATGGTAACTGATATCTATTTGGTCTGGAAAATGAATATAAATGCATCATCAGTAATCATACTCTGCCATATGAACGCAGATGAACAACAGTGCCCTCACTTAACAAGTTTATAGAAATCAACACTTATATCATGATATCACCACCGCCTCCGTGGTCTAGTGGTAGAGCGGAAGGTCCGGGGGATTGAACCCCGGCCGCGTCATACCAAGAGACGTTAACAGATGATACATGTTGTTACCCTGTATGGAGCTCGGCATTAAAGGGCTCAAACAAAGGATGGTCGGCTCGGAGTCAGTATACTGTAACTGAGTGGGGTATTCATGTTAAACTGCGGCATGGTGTCGCAGTGAGGTAGCACTATAAATCGGCATCAGGCCGGACTAGTACAAGCAGCCACACAAACACACACACGTACATACACGTCGCTATATAAGTGCAATAATCTTGGACGCGACGTTAAACCTCATTGCACCTCACCTCAGCACATGACATCACCATAATCTACATACAGGATCCAATATTCAAACAAAACTATTTCTTGACCTACATGTGACATATTGCCGTTTTGTGATATTATTTTTCTAAAAATATCAATATTATGGATAATACTTATTCATGTGCAGACTAGATTTGCGAATTATTCGAAACTTGATGCAATAGCCGTATACACCAAAAATCCATTAAACTCAAAGAAAGTACTTGTAAAAGATGACTTGTTCTGGTGTTCGGATAATTTCTCTTTTGATTCTTCCTTTTCCTTTTGGCTATTAATTGACCCAGTCTTTGGTGTTGTGTATCCAGCTTGTATCAGCAAAACAACCCTCCGATCATTGTGCTTGACAATGCAATCGACTGGCGTGCGCCCCGCCTTGTTCTTTGTGTCGACTTGGACCCCTTCTTGAATCAACAGTTGAACCAATTCCAGTGCTGCTTTACTATACTTGCGCTTGCAGGCCAGGTGCAGAAGTGTATCACCCCGTGCGTCTGCTCTTCCGGGATGAAGATAATGGTATTTTTTTGGATTTGACCTGTGCAGAGCAATGAGCTTCTTTAGAAAGGCAAGGCCACCTGAAACATTAGATATAAAGCACCTGAGACTAAAGACTCTGGGATATAATCATCGTTGTGATTTGAAATAAGGATCTCAATCTCAATCATGACAATAATTTGACTTGTGTATATATTACTAAATGCAATGTCCTAACTCAGACAGGAAATCTAAAATACATAAACCTAATTTGAAAGTGTGTTTTGGCAAGAGATATCACTTGAGTTATTTAGAATTAATGACTATTTTTTTAGCTATTCATAACTTCAGAAAGGAAGACATCTTGTCACTCAAATCGAATCGTGCAAGGATGAGCAAATATATTTTGGTGATGAGCATGTTGTGTTCACAATGTAGAGCTATGTCCCTTGACGACTTGACAGGGCTAAATTGAATTTGGAACAGAATGTGTGGCGTGAAAAGAGACTGGAAGTGTGAAAGACAGTTGCTTCGTAAGAAAAACATTAGGTGGTTATGCCTTATGAAAATGAATCAAACATTGCAAGGTAAAGTTCTAAACTGCAGACATGTATGACGTCACAACGTTCATTGTGATATGACGTCACAGTCGGAGATGTTAACCTCTACCTTGTCCTTAGAATGTGCAATAAACTCAATTTCTATCGTGTTTTCAGCCCAGAATGTACCTATGTGTGTACTTTGTATAGTGAAGTGACTGCATCTTTTCGCAGGTAATCACCTTTATCAGTATTTCAAAATGCCACTGACAATTATTGAAAAAGAAGCAAATTCCTGTTTATTAGGTTAATTAGATGAGGCTAAATTTGAAATTATTGTCACGGAAGAATATTTGGTAAACATGTTTACTGACGCAGTAAGCCTTCGGTGGAAGCAGCATTGAAGACAGCATGCAGTTGTGGCTCATCCGAGTTTGTAGACAAGTAGAAAGGGCTGCCGCCAATGTCAAATAGATATTCCATGAGGCCCAAGGATGCTGCTTTCAACAGGACTTGTGAAAAGTACTTTGCACCATATCTGTTGGCTATCCTCAAAACACTTTCCTTTTCGAAATCGTTGATTGTATCACAGTCTAGAAGATTTGGAATAGATATCGAATTTGGAAGTCCTGAATCCAGTCCTTCCTCACCATATACATCGACAACTGTCTTTATATGTTTCCACATTCCCCTTGAAGCAAAACGTTCTATCAGTGCCTTCACGATGGAAACATGTACCTTTTTTATGGAGATGTTATCGAGATCTGTAATCGAGGTCAAAATCGTGAATACTATTTTTGTTGTATAGTTTTCAATGTCTAATAGCACAACGCATAGAACAATTACATTTCTCAACCACCCTGTTGCCCAAATCTCCAAATTCTTAAATCATGTAGTTCAGAATATACCAGTTAGCAGATTTGTTTTCACAACTTTCCCTCTGCTCTTTCGCCTGTTTGACTTTCCATTCTTTCCTCGAACCCCCAAAGCCAGCTTCCCGAGGCAAGGGAGTTAACTAACCATAAATGTCGACTGGACTTTTATGGTCAGTTAACTCAAAACGTGTACATACTTTATCTCAAATATTTGAATGTTAGGCTTTGAGAGCATTTGTACACTGTAAAAGTTTATAAGGTTTCAACCAACGGACTTTAAAATCACATAAATAGCTTTATAGCATGATATTGTTACTGATGTTCATAGAAACAGACTCACCCGATGGACTTGCAGTATTAACAATGGACGACAAACATTTCACAACAACTGTGTGATGACAAGCTGTAGTATGATATTGGAGCAATATTCCAACAAATCTATCCACACCTCTGGCGGTATCTTGTCTGTTGATGGAAGCCCAACCCTCTTCATACATGCTCTCACATATGCGGTCTGCACCCATCTCTTCTTTGTTGCTTGTAATTGTGAAGTGAGCTAGAATTGGAAGTAGGTAGAAAAATGGCAAACACGCTAAGCATAACATTACCATATTTATCAAGTGTATGGTTGATGCATCTGTAACAACCAAGGCAACATCGATCAGATGTGCAGAGTTGCGTCCCTTAGATATATCAGTATACACTGATCTGATGCTTGGTCTGTCGTGTACGCATACGATACGCATACGACCAGATTTACTTACAAAGTGGCTATGATTGATATTACAAAAATATTGCAACGTTAAACCAAATTCAATGACTGGCTCCCACGTAAATACATTCAAATAAATTAGCAGTGCAATGTACATTCCTTCCTCAATTATTTGTATTAAATTCAGTTAAATATTTACTATTGAATTTATATTATATAGAAATATTGATACGATAATGTATTGCCAAGAAGAAATACGCTGTGATGAATTCATCTGATGGCTGGATGCATTGAATGGCATTCTGTCCTTTATGGTTTGTTGCGTGAGGATCGACACAGTTCTCAATGAGATATGTCAGCACTCTGATCTTCATGAGTTCTGGGGCAAAACATTTGCATGCAGTGCAGAAGATCATCACTGCAACGTTGCGTTCAAATTACCACGGATGATGGATGAGACGTGTGTTCTTTTCATCACAAATTCAACCTCACAACATGACGCCACTGCTTCAAAAAGGATGAACTCTTGATTCATCCAAGAGCCAATCATTTACCTCTCCATATATATACCCAAATCCGATCATCAGAATGGAACAGGCTCTCGTCGCTGAACAGTACCCTTGACCATCACCGATGACGTCACCATTAGCAAGCGTTTGTGCAGATGGCGATCGTTCCGTGGGATGGTCACACGTGGTCTACCAATTCGAGGCCTGTTCCAAGAGTGCCCAGTATGGTGTAATGCCTAAAGTAGTCTGGCAATGATCTGTTGGCTGCACTCGAGCGTTCTTGCACTATGGACCTCAGCAGACTCCATCAGCGCCACCTTGACATTTTCATCTCGTGTGATCATCAAAAACACGTTTCACACCAAATTCACCAAAAATAATTCTTTTCTCAAAATGCACGGATTTCTAACAGTAAGAGCATGTTGGATGTTTGGTCAATCGTTTTCCAGCGGAATTTAGTTTCTTTTAGCCAAGGTATTCAAACTTATTTATACTTCCTTTTCATCAGCAGTTTAGTAAGTTGTCGAAATCGCATTTGTAATCACAGGTTTCTACAAAATTTTGTTATTATTTAGGGAAAGACCACTCAATATTCTAGGGCCTGGGTTTTCGTTTGAGGCAGAATATATTTCAGTTCTCTGAAAGGAGAAGTCATCATGTTTTAAAACTATCAAACCCTTATTTTCCAGAGCATCCAGCTTGTCAAGTGAACGAATGATTTTCAAGTCTAAGGACATACTATTTTTTCCTGCATTTTCTGCAACATATGATAGTTTCAAACAAAATCCCAGGGGACGCCAGAATATCCATGCAAATACTCGTAGACTATGATTTCCTTGCAAATAGACTATGTCAGTGGTTGTTTTTTTTACATGTAATGAAACAAAAACAACTCTTACGTGAGGCAAACGCTACTTCGAGGCCTGCATGAAGATATGTATCATCAGCTCTTGTGGTCATAGTATGGTGTTTGCTTCCCATTTTCATTAGGAATAAGATGGAATCCCCTAGCCAGGGGTTTTCACACAAAAATCGAGTATTGCAGAGTGGTTTCAGATCCAGGTCCACCTGAGACACTAACACAGGTGCATTAAGCATCAATAGGTAGTCCTTGTAGGCCGAATCCCAATCCGAGGCAGAAACATGAAAGAGCACCATCTCCGCCCACATCTCACGCCCAATAGTATACAGCTGAGGGACAGCGATCTGGTGGGGCATACCTGAAGGACACACCACGTACGATGTTAGGGGGATAAATGTCATAATATTAATATATTAATAATTAATAAGGAGATTGCTGCATATATGCATCTGTCTGATAAACATTTGCCATGTGACCCGTGAAGGTCCGGGGTAGAATAGGTCTTCAGCAACCCACACTTGCCACACTATACTTGTCTTGGAGGCGACTAATGGGATCGGGTGGTCAGGCTCGCTGACTTGGTTGATGCATGTCATCATTTGCAGGCTTTCCTCCAAAATTCTGATGACACGTGATGGATATACTGTTCGCAGCCCCGTTAAACCCTACATTACTCACACACTTTTCAGGTTAATTTCGGAATTGTATGTACTACGTTGATACGCTCAAGTCTCCAATATACCAATGACACATCACTGAATTAATTATGAAGCTCGTTCACTTACATTTACATTTCACTATTTCTGAAAGTATCTCCTGCTTTGTGGCTTGAGTGCAGTTTGAGGATAGGACGTTGAAGGCTGTAACGAACGATTCAATAGCTTGGACTGTCTCTCCGAGTTCTTTAAGAGATTTTCCGACTCGAATATGGGCCTGCAATGAAAAAAGAATCACTTTATCTGTACGGCGTTCATCATAATGAAGAAATATGTTTTACATGTTTAACTAGATTCACAGTACATACAAACATTAATAATTTATGTGTACTGTAGTTTCGGTCTATGGTGTCTCAATACACTGTGAAGTTAATTCTAAGATTCGATGGTGCGCGTCTGAAAGTGGCGTAAAATCCAAATGTGCATGTATACCACCAATACTTCAAAATCATGCCCCGTGAAGATTCGTGTTAGAATTTGTCTTCAGCAAACCATGCTTTTCGAACGAGGTCACTAAAGGGATCAAGTGATCCGGCTCTTTGACGAGGTGGATGTTTGTCATCGTATCCCAGCAGCTTAGATCGATGATCATGCTGTCAATCACTGGAATGTCTGGTCCAGACTCGGCTATATGCAGACCACCGCCAAATATTGCTGAGTGTGGCATTAAACAACAAGCAAACACAATCATACACATCCAAAAGTGTTGAAAATATTTCTTCTATTGGCGTTAGAGTGAGTGAGTGATTATGGTTTTACGCCGCTTTTAGCAATATTCCAGCAATATCACGGCGGGGGACACCACAAATGGGCTTCACACATTGTACCCATATCGGGAATCGAACCCGGGTCTTCGGCGTGACGAGCGAACGCTTTAACCACTAGGCTACCCGACCGCCACTATTGGCGTTAGAACGACTGATAATTGAACATTAGCAAATATAAAGACGCACTTTGAAGTTTCTACTGTCTTGCTTGGCGCTCTCCAAGCTATCTGTCAGAGCCTGTGTTGGCATGTTGCTTCTCAGGTAACATTCGGCTCTTTTCCCATGGAGGCGAGAGAGCAAACTGAAAGTTTTACTTTGCCTCCAAAAGAAAATATAGGACCACCACGGTGTGTCGTTACTTGTATTCTCATTGCAGCAATCGATGGCCTTTGTGTAATAGTCAATCGCCTTCATAAATCTCCCTAACCGGAATTCTGCGTTCCCCTTTTCCCTCAGAGTTTCGGCGTTGTCATTCCCTGCATGACATCAAAATAAATGCTTTATAAATTAATTAAATAATCCCATTTATTAAAATAGAAACAATCAACTTGAAAAAAGTATCTAAATATGGTCTTGTTAATGGGTTCAATCAAAAGTTCTTTTGTGCGCAGGCTAATTTTCATTTTCGTCCTATTCCTCCCAATATATGTTCCAAAGTGACATAACTGTACAATTGCTGAGTATTTTATATGTTTTCCCACCTTACTCGAACTATATTTTATAAGTAACTACAGTATGTACTGTCAACATATACTAGCATACCGGCCAGTCAAATCATAAAGGAACTTTGCACCCTAGTTATATCTATGTTACCTGAGCCAACACACATCTTACCTGACCCGCTAGTCGACGTAACAGGCACTGTACCCATGGTATAGGAGTCGTGCGGCCGCTGAATGTATTCAGCATGTGTAACAGTATTGTGGTATTGAGTGTCCCTGAAGAAATATCTGCTCCATGACAGAAAGAGTGTTCATCCAAGATCCAGAAGACGCTTTATCGTTCCTATGATGTTCTGCACTGAAATAATCTGTAAACATATGGTAATTTATATGTATTTCTCTGCTTCGATGTCCTCCTGCTGCAGATGAAGCGTGAAAAAGCTGAACACTTTACCGACGATATATTGTCTGTACCCGACTAGACACGAGTATCTCCCAATCACCTGACTGCGCTAAGCGGCCTTGATAAGAGATAACACGTTTTATCATTCACATGCATACGTGGTGTAGACTTGGCAGTTGTGGCAGGATCACGAGGGGCACATTGGATGTTCCGCGTGCGGCGTTTCGCTTTTAAGTGATTTATTCTGCCTCTCAGAAATCCAGGCGCAGCCTTTATTGCTCGTGGCAGCGTAAAAGATATTTATTCCCCTGCTGAGAAATTTATTACCCTCCAAGGCGGGTTACACAGTATTTTATCAAGATCACGTGGACCAATCAGATCTCATCATTCTGACATGGAGGTATGATAAGGTCAGTTACACGACTCTTGTGGGGTTTCTTCAAAATTACAAAAAAACACTTCGTCATTTCTAGATTAGTGTGATATATGATTGAACGTTACTGAAATGTGACATTTTATACCGTGAGCACTTAACTTAATTTGAACGTACTTTATTTTCTTATTTCATTTTATTTCATGTGTGTTTATTTCTTGTTGGTTTTGTTTATTTCATTATTGTTTTTAATTTATTATTTTTAATAATGTCTACTTGTTAATGTTAAGATTATTAGACTATCTCGTACTTTTCATGCATGATAAGTGTTTTTCGTGTTGCTTGTTTGTTTAAATCTCATCACACTTTGGGATGAATCAGGACAAAAACTATTCACAGAAAATAATCAGATTAGTTACACTTCAGTTACTACTTTGTACCTGTTGTTGCATTTGTTATGACTAAAGCATACCCAATTCTCCACCTTTTGTTAAAACACTGCGTGTTCCATTGGAGTTGATATCAGTCAATTTTAAAGGAAAATTGGGTTATTGTTAATTATGTAATGACTTGATGAGTAAAATTGAGGGGTGAAAAGTATTTATTACTCCCAGACAACATATCCAAACCATTACTTTATTTTAGAACATGCAATCACACATTACCAATTGAAAAGGGTCGCTGGCTGAACATTACCAGGAAAAGAGATTTTGTACATTGTGTAATTCGCAACAAATTGGCGACGAGTTCCATTATTTATTCAGATGTAAAGCTTTGGCGAATTAACGTTCTTCTGTTATCAGTGATTATTATTATGAATGGCCTAACATGTCAAAATATAAGAAACTTGTTGGGAATAATAAGATCAGTGTCCTGAATGTTTTTGTCAAGTTCTCTAAAACATTGATACGCCATCTTGTTGTAATTTGTATACATTTATGTATACTCATGTAAATGTAACTCATGTACCACCATTGGTGGTTCCTTTGAGTAATAAAGAGAGAGACTTCAGGGTTAAAATTGATCTCAGTGCTTAATTTCTTTCAATAGTATTCTACAAGTTTGGTGTGAGAGGTTTTCATCAGTTGATGTAAATGTATTACGACGCGCTGCCACTGTGACTGACTTACTGAGGTAGCTCTTAACATGCTTTTCTTATCTCATGGTGATGATATTTGAATACATGTGTTGTGTAAGATGTTTCTGGAGAGCAGGTTGTGCATACATACGTAAATGTCACCTCTCTTTTTTTGGAACTATTTTATTCCGCGATACAGAAGGTTATTTGATGGCTGTCAGTGTAATCATGAAGTCACACGTACCAAATATTGTATCTAGATCTAGGCCTACATCTTTTGAAGTAACAAGTATTACTATAAAAACATATAAGAATTGACTCCCACTTTGTGTGAGTTTATTGGCGTATAAACCTTCATAGAGTGAGGGCCAAACTGTATGAACGTCGGAAAAACACACTAACATTCAGCAGCTAATCATATCAAACATAATATTCCACTTAAGGAATGGGACTTACAGCTTGCACAAATCCTACGAGACGGAACTCTTGCAAAAAGGTCCTAACGCCCCAAACTCACTTCAGTGCTTAAGGAGACGACATATATATCAGTAACTATTTAGACAACCTAACTGCCTTACCCTCCCCTATTAGCCCAACCTTAACTAGGACACCCCTTTTAAAGTTTTACCTCTTTCTTTGTTTTACATTACGCTGTTTATTTTAAAATCAATTGAACTGATTTCATTATAAATCTACTCCTTTATGCCACACTAAGTACTATATTCCAAATTTGTTATCACATTTTTTACTTTTGTTAACGATGGGGTGGTTAGGGTTGAAGTGATTGCACTAGCAATAAAGTGTAGATTTCCTGAAGATAACACCTGGTTTAAGGGTAACTGTTAGCGTTAATAAATAATGCACACAAACCCAATCCAGCTGAGGCAGGTAAGACTTACCAAATCATTCCCGACTTGAGTTAGACTCCCTTTTCAATTTATTCTTTTGGGTCTCGTGAACAGTCAATAGGAATTTGTGCTTATATCGATAACGATGACGCATAGCCTCGCAATTAATCAATAGATAATGCTGTCAGTGAAACCAGTGCAATGTAGGTTAATTTTAATCTTAGAGACACATTTATGTGACACAGCGATTTAGTCTGTGAACTATGTTTGAGAAAGGACAAGTTGAGTTGCAAAACTTGTTATCCATGAAGGAGATCAGGTGGACTTTGATATGATCGACCATGATTACATACGCATATAGGGCGTTGTTCCAAAATGCAAGTTGAATGTAGTGCATGTTGAATAGTTTCATGATTACGTTGCGACTCACCTCCAGGTGAAAGCAACTTGAATAAGTATTCTTCAAATGAAAAAGATAGCATTATGTGTTACGATGTTTGGTTGCTTGAATAGGTGCCTATTGACAAGCTGCATTTATACTCCTTCATGTCAACATACAATGGTATATTTGCCTGACCTGCCTATAAAGTTTCCTCATATCCCATGCTGATGTGTTAAGGTAAAAAAGTGACAAAACCCTTTCCATATTCATAGGAAATCTCTGCAAAAAGCATGTAGTCACAATTTAGTTTTTGTCATAATCGTTTGAGAGATAACCAGTCTGTGACAGAAGTCATCTTCGATCGTCCCCAATGCGTTAAAGTCGCGACTTCCTGCCTTAACATTCGTTAAAGAAGAAGAAACAAGAATCTTACCAGAATACAAATAAACTCGGGCGTCGTCTCTTTCAAACGTTAGCTGCGAAGTTGGTCTTTAACTCCAGGCTGCTTCCCCTCGATCACTATAACTGATGTTGTGGTGACAGCTGATAGTTGCAGGTCACTCACGGCCGATCTATGTTTTGAACAGCATTTAAGTAACATCGCCGCATACATCGCTCAAAACAAGTTATACATTACGCGTTCAATGGCAGTTAGCTCCCTTTGATATTCAAGGAAGTGTAGTACTTTCGTTTCAGATTCTTGAAATAGCTCACGAGTTCTTTTTTTTAGAGATGACTGCAAATATATGTAGGCGATGTGGTTTTAGACTCATGATTTGTGTACGTGTATATGGAACGGACAGACCAAACAGAGGTGAGTACCGAATAGATGTAATCAGCACGAAAATGTCATTGAATATTTCTAGTTACAGTAAACTACGGTTATAACGAACTCAAAGGGACCACTAATTTCAGTTCGCAATTACCGTAGTTCGTTATAAGAATAATTTTAGTTCGCAATAACCGTAGTTCGTTATAAGCATATATACAGCAAATGGCCGGGACTGAAAAATAAGCTCGTTATATCGGTCAGTTCGTTATAAGCGTGTTCGTTATAAACGTAGTTTACTGTACTAGATACTTTCAACCGAGCGTTTATCGCACACAATTGAAGTACACGATATTTCAAAATGTGCGTATTGTCAACCAATCAGTATTTGATATACATGTACACAACATACAACGTGTATTTAGGTACAAATATAATGAAATCACACACCGGTGTGCAAGAATAACCAACGAAGACAGCTGTTATCTCAGATATCGCAACATTACACACTTGATTAACTTTAAATAAAGTAATTCGCCTTTTATGTCTCGATTATTGTTTCTAGTGTTCATCATAATGCATTTAGCTGTGCTGTGTACAATAATGCACTCAATAGAGTGTCACCTCGCCCTCAGGTGTACAAGTACACCAACTTACATCATGTCGATTTATGAGATCAATATTGTACTGAATGCACACTGACAATGTACCTCTAAAACCCGAATAGGTGTACACGTTCAAGGACGTTGATAGACATTTCTAAGAACCCACTTCGTATTTGTGTTCCAGGTAGTCTATTTATATCGATGACAGACCCGCAGTCGTAGTATCGTTGTGGCTATCAGAGTTACATATTGTTTGTCATTTATCCACGTCCTGATAAGAGTTATCCACGTCCTGGTAAGAGAACACTGAATTTTTACATGCAACAAAATTTACCTAGCTCTATGACGCCTTTTAAACATCTACCCCCACTTTTTTATACCCTTTTGAAATACACTGATGACGTTTTTGTGCTTTTGACAAAACTTATTTCAATGTAGTGCTATACACCCATGTAGATATATTTGTGGATATTGACCTTTTTCACACTTTCGCCATCTTGGATCGAAAACGAGGCTTGGAGAGCATAGCTCCATGCAGTGTGAGTCTCATCAGCTGATAGGGAACAGACAGCATGTTGTGCATTTCACTAATGGACATTTCAAACAAACAAAAAATGGTATCATCTGTATCTAATACAGAAGATATTTAACATTTAATCCTGAGGTCCAACTAAAATATGCCTGTAATACACAGGAATTAGCATTTTGCTGTCAGGATCCCGGAAGTGAATCGAAAAGTGCATTTCGAGATACGTATTTCAGAAATGATTGTTTTATCATAACCTCGTCGGCATATAGGTACAACGTGTCAGTACATTCAATGACAGAAGTTTTGTATCGTAAATGAACTGCATAACATGAAACACGTCAGTGTACTTTTGCCAATTTGCTCAGTCAATGCGTGGCTTGGCGAACTCGAGATCGTCTATCATCTTTATTTCACGTTTCAGAGTGGTGTTTGGTGCACAACGCACTATCGTTTTGCCATGAGTCCAGTTGACAAAAGACACTTTTTCTGTGTCATCTTAACATATTACGATGTAAATAAAATTAGTTCACAAAATAATTCGTGTGTCAAAATAAATATTCAGACGGGACGATAACTCTATTCAGTGTGTACAATGACAGATGATACTTTACTTGTTCTTCAAACATCACTTAATTAAATGATTATTGCCGATTGAGATTGCAAAGTGCACGACAAAAGTAATAATGTGTGAACTGTTTAAACTAAGTTAAAAGGAAAGTAAAAATTGATAAATATAAATTATGAATGAAATTGAAGAAATATAAGAATTAATACAACCACCAACTTCTTAAAAACCCTCACCTAATCCTGTATGATGATAGGCAATTATATATCAAAAGGAAGCTACTGATACATTTATCCTGAATAGTTTGAAAATGTCTTGATCAGATATGAGTACAGATAAAATAACAAAATATATAAAGGAATCAACTTCAATCGGTAATCAAGACAAGATAAAATATATGTATCGGTACAATTATGTTGATGGAAGAATCTGGATTTCTCATATTTAACAAAGAAAAACAAACCGAAATTTTCATGTCTTTATTTCTCACAATATAAGATTTCAAAACTTAACATGGACCGGGTGTCTTTGTCAGTCAAAAGCTCCTAATTAAATTCCAGGAGAAAATAAATTTTTTGCTTGTAAACAAATGGTACAATGTGCTTTTTTAGTGTCTGATAAATATTGGCCATGTTGTTTTGTGAGTGAATAATTAATTAAAAATAATTCTGTTTATACATAAGTTTATTGTAATGTCTATATCAATTTATACATTTGGAATATTTGAATACAAACTGTTAAAGAGTTATCTGTTTCTGTAAATTATATAAAGATCACATGTAGATTGAACATTTACTGGCCATTAATTAGGTTTTTTTTTGTTCATTTCATGACATGATTAATTTGGTACAGTAAGTAACTATAATTTTGGTAGAAATATTGTTTACAAAATTGCAGATCAAACTGTACCTTACTTCAAATATTTACACACCCTTTATGTAATAATTCAGTTGAAATATTACACCTCATGCAATCTAATCTGTCAACATTGACAATCAAAATAACAACTGTTCACAATCACAACAGCACAAGTAGATCTAGAGGTCTAATATTTTATTGGAATGCATTTGAGTCCATTACAATTTACATCAAATACGCAACTGATGCAAAATTCTGATTTGTTACGATTGTAAATTTTCAGTAGGTTACAATTTGATACATCATATAAACATATCAATTTAGTTAGTTCCTGACATATATCTAGATATGGTCAAAAGGTCAATATTTCGACTTCAAATACAACCCGCAAGGTTATTTAAACTCACAATAAATTTTTTTTTGGCATAATGGTGTGTAAACAATGAATAATTTTTCACAAGATATCAGTAGCATTTGTAGTAAGTCTGTTCAGCTACCATAAACTCCGCTGGGAGTTACCAGGTGGTCATGGATATTTTAAATTGAAATCACAACAGACTCAAATTTATATCGGTAAGGAGACCAGATAACAGTAGAATAGTTTGTCAGTGATAAGAATAAGAATAATGTTCAATACTTACGATAAATGTAACGGGATGGTTAAATTGTTAAAGTTTGTCCCGATTGCGTGCCTTGTTGACATCTCCGTGTCTTTCATGTGCTATCGAGCCTTCACCTTCTGCTCTCCAAGCCTGGCTTTCAAAGCGGAAGTAGCGATGTGTGAAAAAGGTCAATAGAACATATCCCACCACCTCCCATGAGGTGTCTATGACGTCATTGACCTATGACCTCCAACTATGACGTCATCGACCTCTGACCTCTTTGAGGTCACACTATTGTCCTATCACACCTGTATCAACAATGGATTTGTCCTAATGTCAGTAAGAAGGGAGAGGAGTGTGAAATCTATTGTCTATATGTCAACAGGGGATTTGAATACGTATTAATCTTATGTCAATAAGGTTGGAGTGGTACCAGTAGATCTATTGTCTATAAGTCAACAGTGGTTCGAATGGGTATTGACCTTATGTCAATAAGGGTTGAGAGACCGCGGTAGCTCTATTGTCCTTATCGTAACAGTGTGTTGAATAGGTATTGTCCCTTATGTCAATAAGAGTGGAGAGGCCGCGCTGGCTGTATTTTCTTTATTTCAACAGCGGGGTTGAATAGGTAGTGTCCCCCTTATATCAATAAGGGGGGAGAGACCGCGGTAGCTACGTTGCCTTTACGTTAACAGCGTGTTGAATATTGACCTCTGACCTCTACCTCTTTTGTCTATAAGTCATCAGTGGTTCGAATGGGTATTGTCCTTATGTCAATAAGGGTGGCGAGGTCGCGCTAGCTGTATTGTCTTTATCTTAGGAATTTAGGAAACTTAGGAATTTGTAGATTGATTTCTTCTTCATAAGGTAAGACTTGTATTTTATTTCATAGACAATTGACATTATTACATTAGATCTTATTATTTTCTCCAAGAATTACATTATGTACATATTTTTTTCTTTAAGAAAACTGTAAAGAATGTGAATATTACTAATGTTGACTACTTTTTAAAAGACAATCTGAAGGTATCTATTTTTGTTTGATTCAGAAAACGTTCAAGTTTACATTGTTAGTTAGACTTAATTTCTAAAAAATGTCAACTCCATTTACTACACACGTATTCACCTGTGAGCTTTGTCAAAAGACATATGGTTCTAAACGTTCTCTCATTAGACATAAAAAAAATTGTGGCCCATTCTCCAAACATTTCGACTGTCAATTCTGTTCAGAAACTTTCCCTCGCAATGATAATTTACAGAGACATTTTAGAAGACATCATAAAGTTTCCCCTCTTCCCTCTACCAGTCAATCCTCTTTTACCTGTCAGATATGTTCAGAGACTTTCACTCAATTGAAAGCCTTAAATAAACATAGGGAACAAGCCCATTCAAATGACCAGGATGGTGGAGGGTCAAGAGGTAAACGTAGAAAAAAACCCAATGACAATAAACAATCATCGTCATGTTCTCGACAAGCATTGAACGGGGATGCGAGAGAATTTGATTTTATTCCAGAGAGGGAAGAAGGAAACGATTCCTTTTTTTATTTTGTGTCAATTCACTCTCAAATCATAGAACATTTGAAAGCTGAAATTGAAGCGAAAGGTGCCATCAAGTGGGGTCTTTGCTGTCAGTTCAAAGTTAGTAAGACCAACTCAAACTTCCTATACCGAACCCTACTTTAGAACAAAAATGTCTCCCACAACCATAGATGATGATTTGGAATCTTTGTATACCGAAGCTGTACACACCATTATGACACTGATGGACACCTTTGAGGGCGATAGTTCAAATTTGAATTTTGAAACTGTGTTGAGCGTGAAATTATCCATAGTCAAATTTCAACCTTTTCGCGGTATGTCCTATCTCCCGCTCCCTCCTTCTTT